AATGGCTTCGTGAGTTTGATAAACAAATGGCTGGTCGGAATGTGATTCTATTAATGGATAACTTTTCTGCGCATGAATCTGCTGTTGAKSAGATTGAAAAGGATTTAAAGAATACAACTGTTATATGGCTTCCACCTAATTCAACAAAATATCAACCTCTTGATCAAGGGATTATACGAACTTGGAAAGCGCTATGGAAGCRAGCCTGGGTTCGATATATTATTGACGAATTTGACCGTGAAATTGAYCCTTTATCTACAATGACAATCCTTCGTGCTGTACGGTGGGCAGCTAATATGTGGGATCAATTATCKCCAATAACAATTGCYAATTGCTTCAAGAARGCTCTTCATAACGAGACTGAGGAGGAGTTTGAGGCCGCACTTATAATCCAAGATTTACAGAATAGTCTACACGATCTACAGCTTACCAACAAGATTCACGATATCATGGATATCAACCAGTTTTTGAATCCTGCTGAGGAGGAGGTCAATGATACRATGATGGACGTTGATRCCCTTGTTTTAAGTCAATTTGATTTACCTCAGATTGATGARCTGGATGAAGATATCGTTACRGAGTCTACTCCAYTAATAACGGCCCAAGAGGCCTTACAAGGCCTTAATACTCTTCGTCTTTTTGAGGAGCAACGTGAACAAGCTGATAGCTCCTTTATCCGGMTTCTTACGCGTTACGAAAATCAGCTTATAAAAAAGAAGCTTGCCACGCAGCGTCAAACCGATATCCGTCACTTTTTCCAATAAGCGATTGCACAATCACGATGCAATAACGACGACGCCATCTATCGTAATTTCCCGATTTGGTTWACGACGCCATTACGCACGTTGATACGGATCGAGTTCAATTCTCACGATCGCCGTTGTCGAATCTTTTTGGTGTTGAGTTTTATATCTCGTACGGAGGCTCGGGCGGCAATATGAGGCCCGGAATCGATATTTATATATAAAAATGGGCCCCGTATCCAATTTATACTCTAATATCAGATTTATATAGATTTCCACACGGAAATGCGTTGTSGTGCGCTTCGGRTGGGTTTAGACTGCGAATCATCACGTATTGGTGTATAKGGCGCGACGCCGAGCGTATTGAATAGCCAACTGTGCCGCGGGGCCTCGTTGATTCTAGAGAATTTGACGCTGATATATAAGGCCTACTAGATTAGAGCAAATTGTCGTCGTCAATATCGTCAAGTTGGGGTTGGGGGGTGCAATATATGCGATTGATATACGTGAATATAGAGATGTATAATTTTGTATGGCACTCGGGATATAGCACCACCTGGGTTATAGCACATATTTGGGCGGTCTGAAATAGGTGCTTATATCCAGGTTTTACTAAATTTTCCAATACCAGTCTGGACCATCCATAACAGGGATCAAAGCTTTGCCTTAGCTGTCCTCGCTTCATTCTGAAAATATGCGATGACTCCACCAAAGGGCGATATGCAAGCGGGCCTTTGGCCCCTTCTACCGCACATGAGGCAGTTAGAATAACTCGTGGTCTTGATACTTAAATACGTTGGGCGAGAGACTTGGAAGCGAATCCACCAAAAACTATGACATGAATGGCACCTAAACGAGCAACTGACAATGCTGCAATGAGAATAGCAGGAATCATAGGCACTACCTGAAAGTTAGCGGTAACCTACACGTACTTTTCGGATACCAGATCTAGAGCAAATTGAAAGGAAATCAAATACTATAAATAACGACGGTATCTCCCTTCTTCACCCCTTCCTCAGGTAATACCCCAGCAAAAAGCTCCACTTGCTCCAAAAGCTGTCGGTAGCTATAGGTCTCTGTAGTTTTCGTTACTGGCGACTCCCAGATAATTGCGATGTCATTGCCCCGCCCAGCCTTGACATGTCGATCAACGCAATTGTAAGTCGTGGAGAACTCGCCGTCCTGGAACCAGGACCAGTGTTGATAGCTAGCGTCATTGGCTACTTCCTTCATGTTCTGAGACAATGCACGCGACGGCATCTTGTGCCAGTAGAGATTTTCGGCTTGTTTGGACCAAAAAGCCTCTGGATCACGTAGCGAAAGCTCATGAACAAAGTCTTGAATGTAGTGCGTCATCGTTGTAATTTGATGTTCTGGTTAATTGAGCGACTTTCCGGTGCTATCTTTTTATCAGTTGCAAGAGATTGAGTTCCCTCACCACAGGATCTCAATCTTCAACAAACCCAGTAAATAATGTAAAATATAGGTAGAGACTAGCTCTCAATTCCGAACTTGAAATTGAAACCCCGCGGAGTGATGGCCTTCATTATGGGCGCCAATCGAATTGAACCATCGTACCGACTGTAGCAGAGGTGTGGAACATTTCATTATGAAACGTCTGTGTGGGACGACTTGACCACACTCATGTGGGACGAACAAGTAGTACTCAGTTTCTATATTGCGACTATGGGGAAGAATAGCGCAGTGCTACTGTAGATCTATTCGGTCCATGGAGACTGCTCAGATGATGTGGTACATCGGTGCGATGAAAACTTGAGTACAGTATAACATGTAGAGTGCCCCTTCCATCAAAAATCACCTTTTCAGCCAGGTAAAAATAGGGGTAACTTATCTAGCGGATATCAGTTCCTGATCATTCTATCTTATAGTTATACAGTAGTAACCAGCATATCGCTAGAGTAGCGAGGGGTCAGGGTAAATGAAATCATCCTTCCATCCAAGTGGTCTCGACGCAGCTTTGGTAGGGAAGGCAAAGTTGAATATCGTAGACCTCACTAAGGCATGCCGTCTAGGGGCACCACATATCACTACGACGATGCTGCCTGGCACTATTGTTGAGTCTTAACACTGGCATCATTTACATGTATGTTACTATTAGCATAACGCATGCCTTAAAAATCTATATTATCATTTGTTGTCCTTTCACGCCTTGCATTCATATAACGCTTATATCCATATCCACCACAACCCACTATCAACACTACAACACCTTAGGTCTTTAGCTTACCATGCTAGTATGAATAAACTTGCTTGTGTTAAAGGGGTCTTTGATAGCCCTAGCTTAATAAGGATATAGGAAGCCAAGCCTAGTGTATATTATAATAGGATACTTTACATCATCGTTCTTCAAGATATCGCTAGAATGCATAAATAGCACACAAGCGAAACATTCATTCAAATTCGAGTCTAAGCAAGGATAATGATCTCCAATAATAATATTATTAAGTGCAGTTGGCAATTACTGTTTACATGATTAGATAGGCCTTTACATGTCATTTGGCTTGAGACTTGAAAGCGTGGATATAATCTGATGTCTAACTGTGATGGATGATGCTCATTGGGAGGGAGAACCAAAACGGGCCGCCGGATCTACCCAGTTAGTCAAACTCCAGATCTTACCCTGTAGAACCACGAACTCGCGTCCAAAAGAAATTGCCTGCCTTTTGGTAGCAATGACTGCCCATGGAACAGAGTAAGTGCACATTAGAGACATCAAAAGTTGTAGATTACTGAGGCTTGCACCAGTTTCCCCGCAGTCCGTGCTTGCATTTTCGACATGGACGGACTTCTAATCAATACGGAAGACATCATCACTCTGTCCACAAACGAGCTTCTCGAAAAATACAAAAGGCCTGCATTTACCTCGTCGATTCGATCTCAGCTAATGGGCATCCCGGACTCAACAAACAGCGATGTGTTTCACAACTGGGCCAAATTACCAATATCCCACGAGCAATTCGCTCGTGAATCGACTGAAAACATGCGCCGGCATTTTCCGAGTTGCAAGCCATTACCTGGTGCACCAGAACTTCTATCAAACCTCAGCCGTGCACGAAATGCCAATTCTGGGGACAGGATTGAGCTAGCATTGGCGTCCAGCACCAAGACTCATAGCTACAAACTAAAAACCTCGAATCCGGAAACAAAAGAGCTACTTAGCTTTTTCCAGGCTGACAGGCAAGTCCTGGGAGATGATCCACGGGTAGGCCAGGGTCGAGGAAAACCGGCGCCGGACATATATTTAGTCGCTTTGCAGTCGTTAAACTCGACGAAAAGTCCTGGAAGACCCCCCATCATGCCTAAGGAATGTTTGGTCTTTGAGGATAGTGTGGCTGGGGTTGAAGCTGGAAGACGGGCTGGGATGAGGGTCATCTGGGTGCCGCATCCAGATGTGGCGATGGAGTATCAAGCGAGTCAGAAAGCTGTGCTGGCTGGGAGGACGGGACTATTTGACGTCGGAGACGACTGGCAACTAGGAGATATTGATGATGGCTGGGCTGAAAGTGTATCCAGTCTGAAAAAATTCGATTACGAAAAGTACGGCATTGAACGTGGACCTTGATTCTTCAACGGACCGTTTCACACGACAACTTTCTCAAGGACGCGTGATTGAGGATTGCATAGTTGTAGATAAGTAACTTTTTACTCCTGGAGAAATGGGCACGAATCTTTTCTGGATCTTAGGATTTAATGGTACAAGATACCATTTAACCTAAAATAACAGTCGGGAGCGAAGTTTATAATACAAGAGCCATTGATTGGGTCAATCTATAGAGGGGTCTGCTCCACTACACAGACAAGCAAGTAATATATCTCTGATCTGGCATAAAGCAGGAATCACGATTTCAGTAGGAGAATACTTCGCCTTTGACTGGGATAATATCCCGCTGGCACCGACCAACACTGAAGGATCAAAATGAAACGATCTCTTTCGTAAGTTGCACTATCGCTGGCTGAGTATATGCTTAGCTGAGAAACCCGTCTGCGGTTGACGTTCTACTATACGAATGTCAGCAAAGGCCCTGCGGATTTCAAATCCTGGGATAAAAGTCTGGAAAGAACCAAGGACTCCATCCTAGTCTCAAACCTACCATCCTCATACACCCTAACAACTAAAAAAACCACACGAAAAAATACCCGTCTTGATTACTATCAAAATCTAGGGCAAACGCAGCCAGCACGTTGAAAGAATATAAGTATGAAGAATTTTTATTCAAAGGATCGAACCAAAGAAGATCTTCCAGAGATGGAGAGAAAAGAATCGAAGGGAAAATTTTGGAGAACGAAAGCATGTACATGAATTGGAAACATCAAGATGGAACAAGTCAGTACTTGTTGAGTTTTACAGGAAAGATACTGTCCATGCATCTTGACTTTTGTTAGATAACATCATGTATTTAGGAGGCAATGACTATCGGGTTGCCCAATGGACTAAGGACGTTGGCGCCGTATTCACCACCGTAGTTACCTGTTATAATTAGCATGTATAAAGCTTTACATATGAGGAAACATACCAGCTGGGTAGTAGTTGCAAACGGTGAATGGCAAGGCCAAAGAAGAGCCAGACTCGGCGAGATTGGAGCAAGTCACGGTAGCACAGCCGACGGTGGTAGTGTCCAACCAGACAATCTGACTGAAGTGACCCCAATGCTCAAAGTTGGTCATGTCGGGGCTGGCTTCGCCGTACAATCCTTGGTAGTACATCATTTCGTCGTTGTACATCATGTTGGTGATGATTTGGTCGACTTTGTCGGAGTCGATGCCATAGGCAATATTTTGGCCGTAGTTGGCAGCGGGACCAAGTGAGCTATGTCCGTTAGTTTCTTGTATATATTTTAGTCTAGTTGCAAATACTTACGTATCGTGGTGGTAGTCGCAGGTGTTGGCCAAGGCAAGTGCAGACTCGGCCAAGGTTTCGTTCCAGGTAAGAGCTGGAGCAGAGTGATTGGAACGGTGGATGTTGTGAGAGTCGAGAATCAAGGTTTGGTAGGCAGAGCCAGTAGCCGTGGGGACGCTGGTAGATGTAGAGGATACCTCGACAGCGGTGGTGGTGGGGGCAGCAGTCGTGGTAGGCTCGGGAGCAACAGTTGTAGCAGGTTCAGGAGCAATGTAGGTGGAAGTGGACGAGGTAGATGAGGGCACGACTATAGTTGTCTCAGTCTCAGTCGAAGTCCATGGTGGGCGAGGATATTCGTTGTTCACGTTGGCAGCACCCGCAACGGGGGCAGTAGTCGCAGCGACAGAGGTAGTCGAAGCAGGCACGGAAGTGGCAGCTCCAGGAGTTTCAGTGACGGTGACGGTGACCACAGTGACGGCGATATCGGTGACCAAAACACGCTTGTTGAGGGGACTGGCAGCAGCACCCATAACGCACAAAGCGCTGACGAACAATGAGCCCTTCATTTTGTATGACGGTTGACGATTGACGGTTTGACTGGTTGGATTTTGATGGCTTCTGGTTCTGGAACGATTGACAGATCAACTGTAAGACTGGCTTCTCCAGGAAGGTGAGTGGCGCGGGGGAGGATAATAAGGACCGGCTAAGCAGATCGACTGCTTGAAACAACGCTGTGAAGGAGTGAACGGCGATGAAGTTGAAAGAGTGTGCGACGAAAGGAAGCGGAAGTCTGTCGAAGAATAAACAAGAAACGAAGGCAACGCTGGAAAGGGACCCAAGAAGTTATAAAGTTGGGAAGGCGCGAGTGGGCCGGGCACCAAAAAGGGAAGGAGCGGGCCTGTGCCGATCTCGAAATTACTTGGAAGCCACCTAATTACATGCTATACTCAGTAGGTAATAGGTATCTGTTGCAAGCTTGTATAACGACTATATGAGTATCACCAGGAGCTGGTGGTCCTATGGCAGGGATCAGGGCGGAAATGAGGTGGAACAAGCAATCATAAAAATGGATTGTGCTAAGTCTGTCCAGACCGTCAGACTTGGGCAAAGTTTTTCTGACAACAGCGGGTTGGAGGTAAAAGGGCCTTGGCTGTATTAGTAGTTTAGTACTCGAGAATTACGTGGAGTGATACATCGTCGAGATCTGATAATCTTCATGGGATTACGTAGTACTATGCGTAGTATGTACTACACGCTGTGTGACATGGCCGACGATGGCGGGGGAGATCGCTCGCCGCATGGTGTCTCTCAGTCTGGTCGTAGTAGTATGTGCTGGCATTGTGCGAGACAGTCAAGACTACATGGTAGATGTTCCAGTATGTTTCGGGTCCACTGTATCGGCGAGAGCGTGGTATCAGGAGATGGTTGGAGAGGGCGGAATGAAGTACCTACATAGTATGTATTCCATCAGCAAGTAAGCTGCTCGAAGATGAAAGGTGATCCAAGCACGCAGGGGTGTGTCGCATAGTGGGGGCATATCTCCTGCTGCGCGTCTTTTAATTGGCTGTGTCCCCTGAATTTAGTGCGAAAGGGGTCAGGTCCCGCTCTGCTAATAAAATGGATTGGATGTTTATTATTACTCCGTAGTATGACCGCCGTTTCATCGTGCGCCTTTATTCTGCTGTCATCTTGACTTCCAAGACATTAAGAAACACACAGTGAACCGATCGAAACATTGTGGGCGCTTATTCCAGAGTACATCGCATTCGGGTTACTCGAGTMCCCCGCCAATCCAGGATCTGTTCAACACCATGGCTGGTGCATTCCAGCACACATTCCACCCTGACTCTTAGTTATACATTCATACAGAACACGAACCTTATGCTCTACTATGGACGTACTTTGTAGTACACTCTGTAGTAAGCATTTCCCATCCAGACCAGCCACACCCTGAATTTTCCAGTCAATGTTTCACGTTGATGACCGCGCCAAAGGTACCATGTCGATTCGGCCCCGCCCGAATCACTGATCATTTTCCCTGCATTTTCCCACGGCCCAATCAGCGCGGGAGACGCTAACCAACCATGGTCGATGGGTTTCAAGCCTCAGGCAGGAATTATGACCATTTATTTTTGTTATTGCATGACTGTCAGCCTCTTACTCCGTAACTTAGTGAATTCCAGTGCCAATAGAGTCATCAGTGAGCATGACCTAATTTTGGACATGCTTAGCCGCAAGACTTGTCGAGCCACGAAGAGGGCGCTGCATACGGTCGATAAGCTGATAAGCTGACAAGCGCCCCTCATGCCTTGATGGAGTGACGCTGCTTCTACTACATAGTACAGAGGAAAGTTGTTCTCTTGGCTTCCAGTTACAGGGCAGACTTAGCTACTGTTTTGCAATTGGCAATTGCACTCAGGCTGGAGCGATCAGTGCGAAGGATCTGTCGGCGATCGTTAGTCGCCATGACATCATACGTAAATACTGCCGGCAGAAAACACACCGTCTTCTATTTAACGTCTATTCATTGGTTGTTGAGCACTTTTTGCCATCTCAAGCCTACGATAGGCAAGCGGTATGGACTGGCAGGGTTCCCAAACGGGGAGATAACTCTCTCTACGGGGTATATACTATGTATATCTAGTCTACCCCTCACTTCATCGACTATAATCATCCTCAGAGATAATCAAAATGACTCGTCAAAAAGTTCAGCAACTCCCCCTCGACGACATCCCCAGCGCACTACAAAAATGGAACGCAACTCGCGTCTTGCTAATTCTTGTTAGTAGTCGGCAAAAGTCTGAACACAAACACCAGCGGTAGTCTTGACTTCCGAGAACAGGTTGAACATATCTGTATTGTATTGTACACCGAAACATAGACACGACAGACAATTACATACATATCACAAGCAGAACTCCACCCAGGAAGAATGACTCAACCCCAGTATCCTTGTGCAGGAAAGACATAGCCGCCCCAGACTTCTTGCGAAGGATAGCCATAGTTCCCCTGAGTCACAACCGTCGCATTGCCCGCAGCAGCACTAGCACCAGCTCCAACATTTACAGTTCCAGTTCCAGTTGCAGCTCCGGCTTCGGCTCCAGCCCCAGATCCAACACGAACATTTGCAGTTCCAGCGCCAGCACCCCCACCTACAGCCCCAGCTCCAGTTCCAACAATTCCAGCGCCAGCACCAGCACTAGCACCAGCACCCCTCTGCTGCAGCTCCTGCTGCTTCTGCAACTCCTGCACCCTGACCTTCTGCCACCTCAACGCCCTCGCCGCCCTAACGTCCGCCACCCTCTCCCTCAACTCCACCAACAACCTCCTGACATCCTTGTACGATCCTCCACCCACAACCCCATCATCGTCGTATGTAACCCACTTCGCCGGCGCCGTCGCAAGCACATATGCCCTGATAACGCGCAACGAATCCCGCTTCTCATCGTAAATTTTCCATTCGCGCTCGCGGTCATGCCGCAGGGTTGCGAGGAGGTATTGTCTTTCTGCCTTTTTCACATTCTCATCCGCTGCATCACCCTCATCCTGACCCTGACCCTGACCCTGGTCCTGATCGTGATTCACGGCGGCACCCGCAGAGGCGAAAAGATGGGCAATATCAGCTGGTAATGGAATCGCAGCTCTGGGCGGAAGGAGTGGGATGGCTTGCTCGTTTGGGATTGATGGATCGATGTATTGCCAGACGTTGCTTATTATGGCTTCGGTGCGGATGAGGGTGAGCCATGCTTCCCAGTTGACGGCTGTGAGGTCCAGGGTTAGGATTTGTGGGAGGCGGAGGAGGGACAGGAGGTTTAGGGGGAGCATTTCTCCTCTGCCTTTCTCCTTTATTGGCGGGAAGGTGGGKATAATTTGATTTGGCTATGAGAGGAAGAGAAGAAGATGATGATGGTGATAGTTGTAGAGATGGAGGTTGTTGATATGTAGATAAGAAAAGTTGTCAAACATCTTGCTTCCTGTCTTATATATGCCTGATTTTTTTTTGTTGACGGAGTTTTCCATCATCGTCACTATACGGAAATTTGTGAATTGTGTTAGATGCTCTTTGTGAAGCAATTTGCTTGTTCATTGGCAACAGAATGTGCAATTAGTATTCATGATATTGCAGGCTCTGTTAAGGAGAATTAGTGATTAAAGACAGGTGACCTCCTTAAGATACAACCTCAGACATGGAGAAACAATGACAAGAACTCTCTAGTCATAGAAAACACTAAGTTGATAGCGATTTCAACGAGACAATCATGACTCACAGATCAAACTAAATCGAGTATATAAACAACAAATACTGCATATACCGAGCAGCTGAAACATTATACAACTTTCAAATATCCACAATCCGGCAACTACCCGTCTCGCAGACGAGTAGATAGTCCTTCGGCGGTGTACCTGGCTTGAGATCTTTGAATAACGGATTTCGCGACTGGAGCCATGTTGTTGATGCATTCGATCCCCGGACGTCTACCACTGACACCGTCGTCACAGAAGTAGACGCTGCTGAGCCTGCCTCTGCGCGGACTCGCTCACGTACAACATATGTCGTGTCCTTGTTTGTTTGTGTCTCCGCTGCATCTTTTTGAATCGTTGTAGCCACGATATCCTTCGCCAAAACACCAGTGATATTTCGAACACCCAGCTCCAGACCGACCATTGCATCTAGTAGATTCACATACAAGAACGGATGCTGCATCAACTCTACCGAAAACGTACCGCAGGTCTGTCGTGCTAATTGTCTATAATTGTCATCTTCTAAAAGCGCTCCCAGTCGGACTAAATTTCGCGCAATGATCCCATTTATTGACGGCGTTGCCGAGTCTGTGCCGCTCTTGAGACGTAGTAACGGGCCTGGTTCGCCTGGTATGGGTTCTGACGATGTCGTGTAGTATCCAGCTGATGCACCGGATTCTCCTGAAGCGATAAAGTATTGATTCAGATGCTCTGTTTAGGTTAGCTCATTGCTATCATAGACGTGCACCTCAGACGGAAGATGCTCACTTTGTAGTTGTTCTGCAAATTGCAAATAACTATCGTCAAACGTCGCCTCGTACATTGCAACAAGACCAGACGTTAAGAAGGCATAGTCATCAGCGAAACCAGGGGTATTCCCGCGGCTACCATCTCGATAAATACGCCAAAGCTGTCCGCTGGACGGCTCAAATAGCGTCTTTCTAATAAATTCAACTGCTTTATGCGCAGAGTCTCTGCACTGCTGTGCTTTGACTCTATCGATTTCTTCCAGCAAAACACTAGCCTTTGCAAGTGCGCCAATCGCCAACCCATTCCATGCAACGATAATTTTGTCGTCAAGATCCGGTCGCACACGTGTCTTTTCTCGATATTCTCGAAGCTTCTGTTTTCCTGTTTTGATAATTTTGATGACTTCTTCTTCGCTCAAGCCAAACTCCTTTGCAAGCTTGCTCGGTGTGACTTTGATAGACAGGACATTCTGGTCCATAAATTCGTCATGCGGGTCATTTTCAGGTGCAATGTTACCATCTGCCAAAACACCCCAGTGTCGTGCGCAAACTCCGGCATCTCTCTGTCCTAGAACCTGTTTGAGTTCCTTCATCGTCCACACATAGAACGCGCCCTCCCGTTTCTCTGTATCGTTTGGCGTAGGTAAGCTGTCGGCATCCTCAGACGAAAAATACCCACCGGTCGGAGCTTGTATTGGCTCSCTTGTCAAGTAACTCACAAGATCGTAGACGGCACCCAACAATTCCGGTTCGTGCGTCGCACGAAAAGCATCAACATATACGTCCAGGAGCTGAGCCTGGTCGTAAAGCATCTTTTCAAAATGAGGCAACAACCAGTCGGTCGTAACACTATATCTGGCCAATCCATGTCCAATATGATCACGTATTCCGCCGCGAGCGATATTCAATAAAGTGTTGGTCGCCATTGCCGTGGCTCTCACACATTCATCCTGTCCAACGATATCCGACACGGCTGACGGATACATACCAAGTCGAATAAGGAAACTGAGATTTGCTGGTGTAGGAAACTTGGGCGCTCCGCCAAACCCACCATAGACGGGGTCGTATCGGGACGCAAAATGCTGGAAAGCTTCTTCGATAAGCTCAATTTCCAAATCCTCACCGCCTCCCTTGGCTCCTTGTTGGGCATAAGTACCCTCTTCTGCAAATTCGCGAAGTTGCTTTGTTATTTCCTTAGCACTATCCAAGCACCGGGCTTGCTGTGTCTGCCAGACGTCGCGCAGCTTCTCCAAGATCTCGACGAATCCAATTGGACCCTCAGCCCCCCATTGCGAGTGCGAATGTGCCAGTGGGCCTGGCCAGTAAGTTCCTCCAAATACGGGCTCGAGATCCGGAGTAAGAAAGACGTTTAGCGGCCAGCCGCCCGAGCCAGTCGTAGCTTGGACATAGTTCATGTACACGTCGTCAATGTCTGGTCGTTCTTCTCTATCCACTTTGATCGGTATGAATGATTCGTTGAGGATGGTCGCCACTTCTGTCGACATGAACGATTCTTTCTCCATGACATGACACCCTACTCGGATTAGCTCAGTTCTATCACAACTGTTTTGGAACACTTACAATGACAAGCTGAATATCCGATGCTGACAAAAATCAGCCGGTTGTGTTTCTTTGCCAGTTCAATTGATTTCGAGTCCCATAGTTGCCAAGCAACTGGGTTGTTCATGTGGCCACGGACCTACTCTGTTAACAATTTTTCTTTAAGGCAGCTGAACGTAACGTGATGCAATATGACTATTGGGACCTACATAAGGAGATCGGCTTTCGTTGAGACGATTAACCAGCTTCAGGGTATCGGTTATCGCGTGTTGCTCCACGGAGCGTGCATTGGATTTATCAGCCATACTCGGCAGCGCAATTTTCCTTGAGCCCCTGCTCCAGTGATTCCAGTCGAAGCGATTCACGTGTCCCTGTACAGTGGTTGCTAACGAAGTTGAGATTAGAGCTGATCGCGCGTCGAGGGGTACCTCTACCCGTCCCCGCCGAACGAAATGATGATGTAAATGGTAGTTGGTATGGATGCTCCACCGGGGTGGGGTCCCGCTTAAAGATGAGAATGATTATATTCGTCTACAGCGTGTCATGAAAGAGCATATCATTTGTATCAAGGGATGGATAATGACAGAACTCTAGGATAAGCTATGATAATTTGGCAGTTGCCCTGTACGGCAGACCAGATGCACCAAGAAAGGAGCGAAGGAGGGGATGTTCGGCCGCAAACAGCCGTGCCAAGAAGGGTCACGTGATGCACATACATTTGAGTGTCAGACACATGTTGATCATTTATTGACATAAAGGATCATAGAGTCCAAGTATATATATTGAACATCGTGTCCTTGATCAAGCAACAGCATTAAACGATCAGTCATCACCCATCAGCTCGGCTAGCTCCCGCTCCTCCTCTTCAGTCAACATGGATTCCTGCTTCGGCTGTTCTTCTTCAGCTGGTTTCTTTTTAGCTTCTTCGATAGCCTTTTGTAGATCTGTTGGTTTGAGACTCCACTGCCTGATGGTCGCATCTATGCTGACACTAATAACTAGGCTTCCAATCAAAAGTAGACCAGTCACCTCCTCAAAATGCCCGGTGAAGGTATGGTATAGAGCGCCCGTCTATTGAATTAGCACTTGCTGTCAAATACCGAGAGACTCAGTCAGACATACCGCTTTGTTCCATATTCGGACCTCTTCGTCACGACATGCCGTGATGACCCAACCCCCTTGTTCAAAGACCACCACATCTCTAACAAAGTCTGGATGCTCGAGTGTCATGTTCGGTTTCCAGCCACTGTCCCGTGTAAGACATTTTGCCGACTTGTCAGCAGAAGCAGTCCACAGGTCGCCATCTTCGTCGAAATATAGCTTGTATACACTTGTTTCGTGGACAATGAGGGGATCCTCAACATTGGCCGTTGCTAGGCCAAGTGTATATTCTCGAATCTCTCGTTCGCTTCCAGCTGAGAATAGCTTGATGGTTTGTTGGCTTTGATCTAGAGTTACCGGATCAATGCATAAGTCTTGGACGCCTCTCAAGTGATCTTTCAGGACTTGTAGTTTTTCACCGCTAGCGATGTCGTATGTTATGATTTTAGAATCCGCTCCGCCAGAGATCAGCACATCTTTACCGCCTATATGGGCACAAGCGACAGTCTTTACGAAATCCGAATGGCCTTCGTATCGTCGCTGTGGCTGTCTCGTCCGTACATCCCAGCTCCAGATTGTCTTGTCCCAGCAGCCAGCGAATATCAATTTACCATCTGGGCTAAAAGCAACACTTGTAACAGGGGATGTTGGACCTCTATAAAGAGCCAATGTTCCACCCGTCTAGTTCAGTCAGACTAGATGTCTAGTATCAAATTGGAGATATTTGCCTACCTACTTCTAGACCAACTTTCCTTATCAAACCAGCACTCTCGGCAATATAAACAGAATTTACGCTGAAAGGATCAGCTGTGATGGCCAATATTTTGCTTTGTAATCTTATAGGACTGCCATTCTCATTCTTGGACTTGGCGACCTTGCGATCATTATCTTCTATTGACGCACTATAGAGTCAGCTGGATAGTCACGATCATTGCAAGCTCACTTACTCCGTCTGGAAAAAGTCGTCTCGATGCGATGACTGCGGCATTTTCAATTCTGTACGTGCTGAAAATATTGGGAGCGAAAGGGGCTAGTGCGGAGTTGGCAGGCTCTCATGAAACTGCTCTTGTGGTCGCTAAGCCCGCCGTAGAGATCGATCTCAAGCCACAAACAGCTTCCTCGTCATCCAGCATCCCTCTCTGAACCCCAGCTTCGTCAATACAACCACATTCTTTATTTCTGTTATTTATCGCTCTTTGTCTTTCAAAGCGCGGGTGCGCGCAACTCTTCAAAATGGAAATGAACCATCTCATAGGGTTAGTGCTGGCCCAAGACAATTCGACTATTTGTGTGCTTTATTAACCTGAAATAGCCAGCGGTTCAACCTCATCTCAAAGAGCGATATTCGGTATGCCGTTCTCCTTACCAGTTTTGATCGTCTTCAACTAATTCAATAAGCTACGTTGGCACACTTCACGAAATCAACCCCGAAGCATCGACAATCGCACTTGAGAATGTCGTGTCGCACGGTACTGAAGGACGACGAGGCAACCCTAGCGAAGAGATCCCTGCGTCGACAACAATCTACGAATACATCGTCTTTCGAGGCAGTGATGTGAAGGATATCAGTGTCGCCGAGGAGAAAAAAGAGCCAGAAGTACCTCCTTCACAAGTTCCAGACGACCCTGCCATCCTCGGTGTGAGTTGATCTTTCCATCTACCTGCCTTTCCACATGATGAAGTATTCCGGATGTAAACACAGACCTGTTCCGAGAGCGCAAACCCATGTGGATATTTCCGTTGCCTTCCTTCTGATTAAGCTTATTTTCTTGCTTTTGCTTCCTCCAAATGGTGTGGCTTCAAGCTGATAAATGTATTAGAGCATGCCCCGCCCTGGTCCTCAAGCTCCCCAACAGCAACAACAACCTCCTCCAGGTCCTTCAGCGCCCCCAGGGCCTCCCGGTCCTCCCGGTCCAGGCGGCCGACCTGGTCCACCTCCCGGTTATCCTCAACAACCTCCGTTCCAAGGCTACGGCTATCCTCCCTATGGTCAGCAACGTTTCGGTCCTCCTGGTTATGGACCTCCTGGTCCAGGTTTCCCTCCATATGGTGCTCCTCCTGGATGGTTTCCACCTCCTGGCCAAGGCTTCCCACCTGGTCCGCCAGGTCAATTTCCTGGACACCAAGGCCCAATTGGACCACCTGGTCAGCAACGTCCAGGACCAGGAGCTCCTATTAACGCTCCCAAACCGACGTCAGAACTTCCTGTTGGTGAAAAAACCACACCTCAACCGACCAGCAAGACTGCGACTCCAGCTCCAGGTGCTGCGCCAGAAGGCCCAACTCCCCCAGTCGAATCCAAGCCTACTGTCGCAGAGGTCGCTCGTGGACCTGCTCCTGTAGCACCTCAGGGTCCGGCTACAACTGCGCCTGCTCCTCAGGCACCATCCAAATTACCTCCCAATGGCCCGAAGAACGATCGTTTCATCCCCGCTATTCCCATCGCCAATCCACCCGTCAAGCCAACAATCCCGCTTTCGACCGCACAGCAGGGTGTAGTTGCTGCATCTCAAAGCACAGCACAGGCAGCCATCACGGAAGCCACACGAGCCGCGACAGCTGCTGTTGCAGCGGCCATGGCTAAACTTCCGCAACCTGGCGCAAAGAAACCGAATGAGGCTGGTGTTGACGACATGACCAAGAGATTCAATGACCTGAAGCCTTATGACAACAACCGTACGACTCGCGGCGCACACCATGGCCCACGCGGCGGTCGTGCTCACGGCCCGCGAGGTGGTCCACATGTTGCAGGCAAGAAGTTGGAACTTCCGGATGCTGATTTCGACTTTGAATCCTCCAACGCCAAGTTCAACAAGCAAGATCTAGTAAAGGAGGCTATCGCTACTGGATCTCCTATCGTTGAGGAGGAGAAGGAGCCCCATAGGCCGGAAGAGGTGCCCTCGAGCCCTTCGGCAGCGCCTTCAGCATATAACAAATCTTCGTCGTTCTTCGACAACATCTCGAGCGAGACCCGAGATCGGGAAGAGAACACAGCTCGCCCTCGTGAACGCCGTGGTGAAGAAGAAAAGAAGAACATCGAGACCTTTGGTCAGGGCAGTGTCGATGGCTATCGCGGATATCGTGGACGCGGTAGAGGACGCGGCTATGGCCGAGGAGGATACAATCGTGGATACGGAAACCGGGGACGAGGCAACTACCGTGGCCGCGGTGCTTCGCAGTCTACTGGTGTTCCCACACAAACTTAGCTGCAGCCTTGCATCAATTCGCGGAAAGCTCTTCTTTGAAACTTTGAAACATCGAAACTCTTCTCATGTGGCACATTGGCGTTATCTTTGGCTGTGCACCAAAGGTCTATTCCGAGTCTTATCTGTCTTTTATTTCTATTTGCTTTTCTTCCGGCGCAATACAACACATATGGAGGGGTCGCCTTTTACATGAAAATCTTTGTTGAAAAAAGGAAAATGTATGCTTTTTATCATTATCACGAGATGATATTCAACCTCTTTTCCCTAGCGCATCATCTATTGCTTTTTCTTTGGGGGGAGTCTTATGTCGCCGATGAATTTTGGGATTTGATCAGAGGTGCTATGGCGGAGAATGGTCATGTATCATACGAAATGTGAAGTAAAAAGAGAATCAAGTCTTTGACGAGACATTGCGTACCAGTATTTGTCTAGATGTAAAAATATCGCAGCGTTTGCTCGCGCAGGAGTTCATCTACGGCCAAAATTCTCGTGGTAACGCGTATATCAAATGCTGTTTCTATTTCATAGCTTTAGTAAAAGGCTCCGAGAATATCTAATAACCCATTTTGACAGTTAACTTCAACTTCAGATATTCTCCTGAGATGTTCGCGGTGGAGCAGCCTAAACAAGCAAACATATTCCAATATGTAGCCTAACCCAGAATGAACTAGCTCACTGTGGAGAGTCTCCGTGAGCCGCGGTTCAACCGTTGGACATCATCACATTCTCAAGTCTCGACACATTCTGCTACGGGCTATCGTTACATACTTTTATTTTCCAAGGCTAAGTGACCATCGCCTACCGAGCTCTTACTGTCATCCGGCACGAGCTCATCTATACAGACTAAATCAATCACCCGTGACCCACGACTGAATTGTCCAATACCTACCTCTTATCACGTACTAGTTACCTACTCGCTCGCTATCGTTGACATGCGACTTTATCCAATTCGTTCTTTCCTTCTCGAGCGCTGACTGCTCTCTATCTACAATATATTCAGAATAAACAATCCGCACTGTGTATCGTCATATTACCGGACTGCACCTTTATTTACTTTCTGTCGCGTGCCTGACAGTAGCAGCTTGTTGCTCGGCTGCTTCACTTGTTCTTACCGAGCCAACCCGCTCCCTTCTCCGACGGAGTATTTGCTTTCGACAAACGTGCTACTACAATCACTGCGTTGTGAAGCGTCATCCTTGTTTCCCTCGATATAGCGTTTGAATACTATCCTACGGCGCTATCTACCTCTATTCCACTGTTGCGCGATAACGCCGGGTTCAGCTGGTGTGCGGGCCGCGCCAGCGATTTTTTGAAGCTCATGCAGAAGCAGGGGGGAACCTCGGATCGCAATGTCGGACTCTGTCGGTACGATTTCTTCTTCTGAACCGGTCGATATACCATCTACCTATCTACATACTTACTAATATTCTTTGCTTGGTGTACAGATCGAGTCTTTGTCCATGCGCTCAATACGGTCAAGAGAATACCGAGGACGGGCACTGCTCGTCCTCCGGCGGCGGAGAGATTAAAGCTATATGGATTATACAAGCAGAGCATGGGTTCGTTCTTTCCCGAGTTTATGCGTGATGTTGATACTAAGTCGTGGCATACAGAGGGTGATGTCGAGGGTATCATGGACCGACCAATTGGTGATGCGCCAGATGTGCAAGCTGAGCGCGAGAAATGGTATTTCTAACACCAGAACAACAGTATAATGCATATACTAACATGAGCATCCAAGGGACGCATGGTACTCCCAACGTGGCAGTTCTCGGACCGAGGCCAAACGACGCTACATCACAACCCTAATCAACACCATGCATCTCTACGCCTCCCAAACGGCAGAAGCGCGCGAGCTCGTGGCCGAACTCGAATTTGTCTGGGATCAGATCAAATACAATGCCGCGTCATCGTCGTCGGCGTCGTCTTCGAGCCCGATACAAGCACCGAGAACTCTGCCGTCCGTGTCTGTGTCTGCTGCCGGCGGTGCATCCAGACGGTATGGAAGTATAGATGATCGAATGACGCGCCCGCCACCGGTGGATGTTGAAGAACAAGATGAGGATTTGGCGATATATAGAAGACGGTCTGGGGATTCGCGACTGAGGGTGCTGAGTCCTGTCAGTCAGTCGGACGAAGCGGACGTAAGATCGCATCGACACGCCAACGAAGACCAACACGATGATGATGAAGATAATGAAGACGAAGACGATGACGACGATGATGAAGAAGAAGACGACTTCCAAGAAGCGCGCACCGGCACCTCATTCTCCGACACCTCCCACAACGACGCCCACACAGAAGACAACGACGCCGCGAACCACCGCACACGCAAAAGACGAAAACGCCGCCCCTCCCACTCCCAGTCCCACTCCCAATCCAAAGACTGGCGTCACCGCATCGAACAAGCCCTCACAAAGATGACCACCGAAATTGCTGCTTTACGCGAACAACTCGACTCCCTCCCCATCAACCACCACTCCCACCATTCCCATTCCTTCCGTAAACCATCAAACTTCTTCTCCTGGCTGCTCTCATGGGGGAAATGGTTCCTCTTCCATTCACTGCGACAACTCCTCTGGCAAAGCGTGATACTAAGCATGATATTAATATACCTACGCTCTCGCGGCGACACGAGACTTGAGCGACGCGTGCTCACGATTCTGTTGCAGTTGCGACGGAGGATGATGAATGCCATTAGGTCGGTGCCGAGACGGTTGCCGAAACTGTTGCATTTACCTCTCTTATAATCTTTCTACAAATATTCAACCGTCAGGAAGACTGGGGTTTTCGTGTACATATGCTTGTTGGAATTTCGCATAGATACATACATATTATAAGTACATTTCACCTGATTTAGTCTTGTTGGTTTGGGTTAAAGAGCATGTGTCGGCGTTAATCTGGGGTTTGGGTTTTATATGACCTTGTTTATTGTTTACTAGTCTATACTTAGAGAAGAAGAAGAGAAGATCAAAGGATACATTTCAATTCTTGATTACTTTCCACTGTCTGCCTAGTCTTGTGTACGTGTACTAATACAATCTGCTTACTCCTGAAGGACATTAATCTCAACCACACCCTTCTAGAATTGATATGATTCACCATACTGTCTGACATTCGATCAAATCACTCGGTCTCTTGAATGCTGAGTGTAATGTCCCCAGCACTTCCCCCGGCCTTGCGCATGGCGGCTCTCTCGCATTCCATTTTGATTGACAACTGGGCTGCTTCGATGGCGAGATCTTCCTCTTTGCTATCGAGTCTCTCTTTGTGTTCTGCATTTTCCTTCTCATACTTGAAAACGCTTCTTTCTTCATAGATGCTGTCTTCGTACTCGTCAGGGACCGCGGCCTCTTTGTCTTGGTCGGCGGGCTTCTGAGCATCGTCGTCGATGGTCTTCTTGTCCACGACGTCGGGCTTCTTGGTACCAGCTTCCTGAGACTTCTTGTCGTCGCCATTGTCCGCAGGCTTGTCATCATTATTGGTCTTTTCGTCATCCGTATCCTTGCCATCATCCTCTGTGTCACTCTCTACGTCGTCCTCCGAATCATCATGTTCTCCTTCCACATACTCTGACTCCTCATTGTCAGCCGCAACCTGTCTCACCATATCCTCCATATCCTTCGGCAACTCCGCCAGCGGCCACGACTTGAGCAACGCCGGCATCGACTTGCCCATCAGCGGCGCACCCTCTGCAGCCCTGCAAACCTCCACAAAACGATTCTGCCCAATTTGCTCAGTCTTGTCGTCGTCAGTGGTAGTGGGAATGTATGTAGCACCACCAAAGACTTCAAACACCTCCGCGTCCAGATCAACGCAGTAACAGTACTCGCAGAACAGGCCATTCACAGCAAACTCCAATGATAGCTGAATGGGAATGTAATCATCAGGCCGTGCCGCAGCGATGATATCCAGGATCTTCGCACCCGTGTCCCGGTTCAAGGTTGATGGGAAACATTTTTCTTGTTCCTGGAAACTGACCGCTGCACCGCATTCGCACACCTTTTTGTTGTTTTTGTAGGTGGAGTAACGGTGTTTACCAAGGATATCTTGAACGGTTTGGTCGTCGACGGGGGTAATGCGGGTTAGCCCTTTTTTGAGACGTTCAATGTTGCTGGGCACGAGAAGGAATTGGAGGATGTTTGCTCCTTGGCCTTCGAGATAGCCGTCCCACTGGCAGTACTGGGCGACCATGAAGCGGCCTTTGTACCAGATGCAGATGAGGTTGCGGGTGCCCATGTTGTTGTCGTTGTCTTCAGATAGTCTTGAGAGACTGTAGATAGTGGTAGAGTAGAAGATGATGCAATTCAAATCTCTAGACGAAGAGGAGGATGGGTGAGAGAAGAAGAAAAGGGAGAGGAGAGGAAGAAAGCAGTAGCAGGTAAACAAAGGGAAGAAGAGGGTTCTCAGGCGACCACGTCAGCCGGGCATCTACGACAAACGGCCAAAAAGGGCAGGCGGGGTTGTTTGTTTGTATATCCAAGGCTAAAACATCAATTGATTATCATTCTGCCATCACACACCTATCTTCATATATCACATAACTATCGCAATCACAATCTAGATGATTGCTATTTGCTTGCTGCTGCTGCAAATCTCTTCTTAGTCTGGCCGGCGACCCTGGCCTCATCCCAGATATAGTTCACACTCTCATGCTGCACGGTAGCTTCCAGCCAGCGCTTGAATTTGGGCGTCGACTCCAAGAGAGTAGGCAGCTTTGCGCTGAGAATGCCATACTCCGGCTTGGAGAAGCTGTTGATACGGAGAAGGAATGAGCCGGTGAGTACCTATTCAGTCAATCTTTCGTCTATTCTTTCAATCTCACCCAAGGATACTCACCTCAGCAAGAGTCAACGTCTCACTACCACCATAGTACGGACCCTTACCCTCCACCAAGCGAGGCTCAAGATCCTTGGCCACAGCCGCCACAAGCTCTTCGGCAGACTTGTCGCGATCTTCCTCAGTGGCAGCGCGAGCACCGCCAAAGATGTGCGGGTTCACTTTATTGATAAATGCATCCACGAACCAGTCGAGGCGTGCACGATACAACGCATTCTCGGTCCCTGAGGAAGGGGGTAGCAGATGCGATGGGTGCGCATCGGCCAGGAATCGGGCTACGATGGCTGATTCTGTGATGATGTGGCCGTCATAGACGAGTGCGGGAACTTGGCCGCGCTTTTTATCAGTTAGCGGGGTCACAAAAGAGATTCAAAGCAGGGCATACGTACAGGGTTGATTTCCAAATACCACGGCTCTCTGGGAACCGACAAGTCAATCAACACCTCCTCAAAAGGAAGTCCAAGCTCCTTGAGCGCAATATGAGCGCGATGTGCCCACGGGCAGATATGGCTGGKATAGAGAGKGATCTTGGGAGTCGACATGTCGAAGTGCTATCAAACTGTTTGATGGATGCAAAGAATTTACTGACAAGAATGCGGAGATGTGCCGTTATATATACATTTATAATCATTTATAATCAAGCTCAGTCGTAACTGTTTCGGCAAATGACGAATGAGGGGAAATTCTGATTGACTGCGTGTGGAGAGCATTACTAAACTCTCCTTGCATTTTAGAGACCAGGCCCGCACTGGGAAGAACCCAGGATGTCTTCGGACTTTGACAAACTCCCCATAAAGTCAGACAGTCCAGGACCTCTGATTTTAGAGAAACCACCCAAACAAAGCATTATACCTACTGCATTCGGGCTGTGCAAAACATGAAATCAGAGTATACATAGAATGCCTAAATACGTAATTCGCCTGGCAGATATAGTCCTAAGGGTGAACATATGCCACGATAACAATCTAGAAGCCTGCCCGATGACCTTTTAAGTATGAGCCATACAACATGGGAATAGCTTCATGTTGCGCGTTGTTGATTGTTGCTGTAAAGGCCGGTATGAAAGCAAGCCTGGGAGCGACCCTTGTATGGACACAACTATGGACTTGCTGCGCTATAATGCGGTTTTGCTCCAGCCCATGTCTTGTGAATTTTCTGTTATATGCGCTATCCTGCTTTCCTCACTTCGTCACAGCGAGAAGGTATGAACAAGAGCATACAGTGACCACACCATGGCAGGTGTTATGCCGTGATTAGATAAATGCCCTTCATTAATGACTCTGCTAGTTTTCAATGCCAGTTCAAGTTGCATTTCCTTGCAGAATAGGCAAAAAACAGAAGCTAAGTTCCTGCCGTGAAGAGCACGAATATATGAATGTTGCGGCCTCAGAAATTAGGCTTGGACCCCCACCACCCACAACAACAAACATGCTGATTGGCCCGCAGCCCCCGAGTAAACAAGCCAGCTTAGCCCCTCCATCATCTCTCCCGGTCTGCCTGCCAGGCTACCTCTATTATTCTCCAACCTACACTTTCGCACATTGAGTCGTTTTCTTTCACATCCTCACCTCAAAAACACCACATAACTTGATTCTCTCCGTATGTTGTCTTGTCCTCGCTATTCCGCGCTACTACCTCGCTGAGATTCACGATTGCCGAATACCCCCTCCCCGCAATCCGGTCGCACCCATATCATCCTTATACACCACTGACTTTATACTTTTGCAGCCTACTTCTCCCTTTTTTTCGACTCATAACCGCCATCATGTCTGTAAGTAGACACGTTCTGCTCAATTCTTCATCTTGATCGCGACTAACTCCTGAACAGCTCGCCTCAGGGTACGTTAATTGCCATTCGCTTGGTAGATGAAGCGCACACGACAGTACAATCCGTCTAACTCTCCCAGTGTCACCATCGATGATGAATGCATCACCAAATTCAACGAATTCCGTTTGAGCCGCGGCAAGACCAAGTTCGTCATCTACAAAATTACCGACGACAAGAAGCGAGTCGTCGTCGAAGACGTTTCCGACGACGCCGACTGGGAGGTTTTCCGTACGAAGCTTGCCGATGCCAAGGACGCTGCTGGCAACCCTGCACCCAGATATGCCACCTACGATGTTCAGTATGAAATTCCCGGAGAGGGTCAGAGGTATGCTTCCCCTCTTAGGCATGGAATCGGACACGACTAAGCGTGATTACTACTACAGGAGCAAAATTATCTTCATCTCATGGGTTCCCCAAGACACTCCCACCCGCGTAAGTCTATCATGCTACTAGCTCGAATATGGTGTATAATGTACTGATTGTCGAAGTTGTCCATGCTTTACGCCAGCACTCGCGAGGTTCTCAAGAACGCCGTGAATGTCGCCCAGTCCATCCACGCCGACGACAAGTCCGACATTGAATGGAAGACCGTCCTCAGCGAGGTCAGCAAGGGCAAGGGCCAATAAATCACATCACTCTACACACCGGCCGGTTTCCGGGGGAAATATGGACCTCTATGTGCTTCCAAAATCTTGCATTTGCAGGCTGCATTGCTGTAGAATCCACACACACACACAAATCAAATGTTCGCGTTTCCCTATGAAAGGACTGCGGCTGTCCAATTTCCACTCCATCACTCCATAAATGATTTCCTTCTATGTTATGAGGTTCGCTATGAGGTTCGCGGGCTAGGTTGAGACTTGACTGCTGACACTTTTTCCGTTCGCACTGTGGGTCTGATGATGAATGTGTATGAGCTTGTTGTTGAGGCAGCACGAAGACATATCCTCTGTGCTTCTTTAGCTGCTTGTTTAGATTTTCGAAATTAATGTTTGGAGGCTTGACGTGACCGTTGTTTTGCAGAATTCTGTCAGCGAAGGCGCGTATGCCACTATCTGAGCCAATCTGACTACAGTGAGTAGATTTCGTAGTGTCGATAACAATAATTTGTAAAGACGAACACGAGAGATTACCATTTGAGTATCGTATGTTGTAGACGGCAAAGTCTCGGGTCCGCGGGACTAGCGCCTTACCCGACCGCCAATCAGCGCCGCGCAAAAACCGTCCATGACCAAACCCGGCTCCCGAACTTCCACCTCACGAAACCTCACCTGGAGAGCAAATCATCATCACCACCAACTGCCATTCGGTCGACCAATCTCTACTCCACCCCTCTACAGCTGATCGACTTTTTCTCGAGGAGCACTGCTCTCTCTTCCTTTCTCTTCGATCTCGCCTTTGTATCAAATCTCCGATTCCTCGCCATCCCCGTTTTTTCTTCCGACGCACAATGTTCGTTCGCGCCGCTTCCCAGGCTGCTCGCAGCCCTGCTGTCCGGGCCACTGCTACCCCAATGGCTCGTGTAGCTGCTCAGCAAACCCGTTCCGCCTCCGAACACGCCATTGCCAACCCCACGCTCGCCGGTATTGAGAAGCGCTGGGAGGGTATGCCTCCTCAGGAACAGGCCGATTTGTTCATGCAGCTTAGGGATCGTATGAAGGTTGACTGGCACGAGATGACCCTGCAGGAGAAGAAGGCTGGTACGTGTGGAAAGCTGTTCGAGGACAGTTCCTCTCTCTTGCTGCAGAAAGAATTGACTGACTGGTGTTGCACAGCTTATTGGATCGCATTCGGATCTCACGGTCCTCGCAAGGAAACTCCCAAAGGCGAAGGCTGGAAGGTCCTGTCCAAGGTCGTTCAATTGGTGGCCGTCTCTGTTGCTGTTTTCTACTCTACCCGTATCTTCGCCAAGGAGCCTCCTCGCACATTGACCAAGGAATGGCAAGAGGCCAGCAACGAATATGCCAAGGTTCGTCCTCCTCCTGTCTCTTTTCTACAATCCATAAACTAACCCAACTTCCTACCTACAGAAAGAAAATATCGAACCTATCACCGGTATCAGCAGCCCCAACTACGAAGGCGAAGGATACGTCCAGAGCCCACCTGCCAAGTCCTCATAAACAATAATAAGTCAACAACAATCACAACTTTGGGAAGGACCTTGATTGCTTGAGAAGAAAGACGCAAAAGTGAGAGAGAATAGATTCGCCTTGTTTAATTATATAAAACATCTCGCCTTGAGTCTCCACTCTTCTTCTGTTCCTAGTTGGCATTTCGATCAAATCGAGCTGAGCAAAATCCCATGTATCGTCTACTACTTGTGCCATAGTCAATCTATTTCCTTTGTAACTTGGATTATTTGGTTTTAGCATTATTAGAGAAAAGATTTATCTATTTGTGTCTATTCAATGTCGCAATTTTCATCAAACGAATGCATCAATCGATGTCCACTGAGAGATATATATATAACTGCTCGGAACGAGGGAGAAATACATATTAGTTGAACTGACAGGTAAGTATATCTCAGCGAATGGGACTTGAGCAATTGATTGACATAGTAAATGAATAATTGATATACAATACTACACGAGATAAACAAAGTAGATAGCTTATAACATTGAAGGGTGTACATATGGGACGTCATCTCCCACGGCTATCCGTGGAATCTTTCTTCCAAACTTATTTCTGTAGCCTCAGGCACCAACACCTTAGCTCTCTAGCTTTAAAAGTAGGAACTACGTATTGTGTACGCACACAGTCAACTTAATTCTCCTTCTGCTCATGAAGCAATTGACCTCAATTTCTATACTCTATATCTTACTGTGGTAATACAAGTGCAATTGAAGTTCAGTGCCAATTCAAGTCATTGAGCTGCAGTGAAAAACTTGATGAAAAATGACTTGTATGAGATGGGTTAGTACGGGGGCCTGATACCCCGACTACGGAACGGGTTGGAAGAGATGACGGACAACATATTGTATTCACGAAAAAAATGGTGCATGCTATTGAGAATCTAGAAACTAGAAACAATTCTATTCAATTGTGTGTAGTAGACTGTAAAGATAATACTTAACAGAGATGTTGTGGTGTATTTCCAAAGAAGAACGGTTGCTAGGTCGGGTGTGGTCGGGTCACGGGCACCGGAAAAACTGCGCATCCGAAGCGCAACGCCAGCAAAGCCGTCGCACCTCCCCTTCGACCTCCAGAACTCTTCAGTTCCCTTCCTCTGGCAAAGTCCATCTCTCTCTCTCCTCCTCCCCCATCTGTTTTTCCCTTTTCGCTCTTAAACACATATCACAATGTTCAAGAGGTATGTCAAAGATTCAATTGAGCTTGTCTCTCCCTCCCCTCCCCTTCTGCTTCGACTGCTCATGTCGTGATTCTAATTTTTCTTCTACAGCGGCCTCGCCCGGACCTTCGGCAGGGCTGCCTTTGCCCGACCGACCCCTGTGGCTCSKCGCGCTTTCGAGCCTCTTCGTTCCAATGCTCTTCCTGCTCTCACTGCTCGATTTGCAAGCACAGATGCCAGCCTCGTTGGAAAGATTCACCAGGTCATCGGTGCCGTCGTCGACGGTATGTAACACGTTTTCCTACGCTTTCTACCCGGAGTCTTGGCATTGGCATTGGCGCTGGCAAGCTGCGTTGCTCAGCATGAGGAAAATCTTTTCCACGACCATCACCAATTGAATTCTATCGCCAAAGCCATCGAATTGGTTGCTAGGGACAATTTCTGATTCGAGATAATAGTGAAATTCGACTCCGAGTCTCTTCCTCCCATTCTTAACGCCCTTGAGACCGAGAACAACGGCCAGAAGCTTGTGCTCGAGGTGGCTGTAAGTTAAGCTGCATCAGCTGAGTGATGAGATTATGATACTGACTCTAATAGCAACACTTGGGTGAAAATGTCGTTCGTACTATTGCTATGGATGGTATGTTTGATCATCACAAACACACACGCGTCATCTAACATATCCAGGTACCGAGGGTCTTACCCGTGGTGCTTCCTGCAAGGACACTGGTTCCCCCATCAGTATCCCCGTCGGCCCTGGTACGCTCGGTCGTATCATGAACGTCACTGGTGATCCCATTGACGAGCGTGGTCCCATCAAGGCTACCAAGTTCGCTCCTATCCACACCGAACCCCCCAGCTTCGCTGAGCAGTCCACCTCCGCCGAGGTCTTGGTTACTGGTATCAAGGTCGTCGATCTTCTCGCCCCCTACGCTCGTGGTGGAAAGATTGGTCTCTTTGGTGGTGCCGGTGTCGGAAAGACTGTCTTTATCCAGGAGTTGATTGTACGTCTTACCTCGCCTTTTATGTGTCGACTAAGCTAATTATAGTAGAACAACATTGCCAAGGCTCACGGTGGTTACTCTGTCTTCACTGGTGTCGGCGAGCGTACTCGTGAGGGTAACGATTTGTACCACGAAATGCAGGAAACTGGTGTCATTCAGCTCGAGGGTGAATCCAAGGTCGCCCTCGTGTTCGGTCAGATGAACGAGCCCCCCGGTGCCCGTGCCCGTGTTGCTCTTACTGGTTTGACCATTGCCGAGTACTTCCGTGACGAGGAGGGCCAGGACGTGCTTCTCTTTATTGACAACATTTTCCGTTTCACTCAGGCCGGTTCTGAGGTGTCTGCCCTTTTGGGTCGTATCCCCTCTGCCGTCGGTTACCAGCCCACCCTTGCCGTCGACATGGGTGTCATGCAGGAGCGTATTACCACCACCACCAAGGGTTCTATCACTTCTGTCCAGGCCGTCTACGTGCCCGCTGACGATTTGACTGATCCTGCCCCTGCCACCACCTTCGCTCACTTGGACGCCACCACTGTCTTGTCTCGTGGTATCTCTGAGTTGGGTATCTACCCTGCTGTCGACCCTCTCGACTCCAAGTCTCGTATGTTGGACCCCCGTGTCGTCGGTGAGGACCACTACAACACCGCCTCCCGTGTCCAACAGATGCTCCAGGAGTACAAGTCTCTCCAGGATATTATTGCCATTTTGGGTATGGACGAATTGTCCGAAGCCGACAAGCTTACCGTCGAGCGTGCCCGTAAGTTGCAGCGTTTCTTGTCGCAGCCTTTCACCGTCGCCCAGGTCTTCACTGGTATCGAGGGTAAGCTCGTCGACTTGAAGGACACTATCCGCAGTTTCAAGGCCATCATCAATGGTGAAGGTGACGACCTTCCTGAGGCTGCTTTCTACATGGTTGGCGACTTTGAGTCTGCCCGTGCCAAGGGTGAGAAGATCTTGGCTGAACTCGAGGGTTCTTCATAAAGAGATGTAATATCAAATACCGCTTAACCAACTGTCTGTTTCATTTGTCACTTGCATATTGTCTCCGCTTTCTTTTAGCGCGTGTGTATATTACCCGTATAAAAGAAATGGATAAAATGTTCTTTATACATATGTTAACGTAATGATGAATACCATTGCTGTGTACCTAGTATATGTGGACGTAGATGATTGTTGGATGTAACAGATTGTCACCAGTCCCAAATAGGAATGTCGTGCCATGCATGACTAGTCGATGCTATATTACCTCTAGTTCCCCTGATTTCGATTTGAAAATACTCACTTTGAGATTTATTCCAATCGAGAAAAAATGTCCGAAGCAATCCCTCAGAACGAGCTTGTTACTGACAGTGGCCTCAAGGTACTAATCACAGGAGGCGCCGGCTGCATCGGTTTCGCAACCATCAAATCCCTGCTAACGCATCACCCAAACGCGTCTATCCACATCCTCGACCTCACAATCCCATCTCTAGATGCGTTCCCATTCTCAATTCTTTCAGAAAAGAAAGATCAATTACACTTCCACAAATCAGACATCACATCCTCTGCCTCTCTCTCCGCAATCTTCAACGCCGTAAGGCCTCGAGTAGTAATCCATACGGCATCCGTAATCCCCTCAGCAGCTCGCAAACGACAATTGAGTAATGAAGGGTTATGGAAAGTCAATGTCGAAGGGACTAGAAATGTGTTGACTGTCGCCGAGAAGATGGCAGAAGTGGAAGCGTTGGTGTACACGAGTTCGTGCGATGCAGTGAAACCAGATAGTTGGATGGGGTTTGTGAATGCGACTGAGACAGAGACTGCGTCTTTGAGAGATACGGACGTGGAAGGGTGGGATAGTGAGTATGCAAGAACCAAGGTTAGCCCTTCTCCCCCCCTTTACTTCTAAGCTTTTGCTAAAGATGAGAAGGCAGCGGCAGAATCACTCGTTTTATCCACAGATTTGAGGATAAAGACATGTGCAATCCGCACGCACGGCGTTGTGGGAACGTTGGATCAGAACCTTTTCCCCTTGGTAGCTACCAGTCCACGCAAAATTTCACTTGGTTCGGGCAGAAATTTGTATGATTTTTCGTCTGCTGATAACGTCGGAATGGCGCATGTGTTGGCTTTAAACAATCTTCTCGGCTTGGACTCTGCAACTGGTCATGATAAAGGTGATGTGGGTGGAGAAAGTGCGAATAGACGCGCCTTTTTCGTAACAGATGGCAACCCCAAACCATTTCGCGAATTGCAAGAAATGATCTGGCGCGTCATTGATGACGAGCCCGAAGGCAAATATGGGAAATATACGGTAATTCCGGTGTGGCTGTTCAAAGCAATCCTCAGAGTCGCAGGATTATTCGGTAAAACGGCGATTACGCCGCAGGAGATTGGAGATGCGGTTTCTGTCAGATATTATGATATTGGTGAGGCGAGGAGGGTGTTAGGGTATAAGCCGGAGCAGAACAAAAAGCTTGAGGAGTCGATGAGGGATGCGTGTGAGTGGTGGAAGATGAGCTCTGCGTTGGCGTCAAAGAGATCGACGAAAGGGGGGATGAAGTGATGTATGTAGGTGATGTATGATAAAAGAATACATAAGGTCGGGAAAGAGATGTCATCAGCAATGTTGGGGTGATTAATTTTTATCAATGTATTCTTCCACTCCTTTCCTCTAAGAAATCCTTCCATTCCTCCCTACTAAACACAGGCTTATTGTACGTTAACGCCACCAATCCTCCAGACTGCTGCACGACTTCCTCGCGGATCCGATCCAATCTATCCCATGGGTAGATTTCAGATTCTCGCCCCCAACCCATATCCTCCGGCGTAAATTGGATGCGAATCTCTTGCAGACAGTGTCTATCTCTCCTAGAGATTGCTACCTGCGCAAACACTTTCAACCACTCTTCTTCTTGTGCTCCAAAATCCGTCCAAAATTCACGGAATCCGTCGCGTTCTGCAGTGAAGTCCCATACAAAGACGCGCAATTTCGGCGCCAGCAGTGACTCCGCTTCGGCTTTGGCCAGACTCAAATCGAGAGGCTTACTCCAGAGCCATCGAGAGAGATGGAGATGTTTCAGACTAGTGAATTGTACAGCATTGAAATCAAGCTGACCCTCCGGTGGTCTCTGAAGCGATAGTTCATTAATCATGATGTATCTAAGGCTGGTCTTGTGAGCCTGCAACCACCTTTGGACCATGGACAGGTCGATGCGATAGTTGTCGTTATTCCAGCATTTGTAGAAACGGAACTCGGTGAGTTCTTTAGGCCAAGAAATTATTCGGGCGACCATTTGGGACGTTTCGTCGCGTATATCAAGAGTCAAACTTGTAAATGGGGCTGTCCGTTCCTTGATAATGTCGATATCATATCAGCATCAACAAACATCGAAGTGCTTGAGAGAAATCGAATATACCTTGTTCATAACCAGGGACTCGGTACTTCTAGAAAGGCCCCAGATCTGCAATTCCTTCAATGAAGGAATAGCGATGTTCGAGACCAGATCGCTTCCTCGACAGCCATGACCCCACGGAGCCATACAGCGCAGTAGCTCGAGATTCCTCATATGGTGATTCACTAACCTGATCAATGCCCACAAACTTTGATGAGATGTGAGCTCACTGTCATCGCTGCCTCCACTGAGGATGCTGCCGCCATCCTGCTGTTTCTCAGGTGCAAGTGACCCCCAAATAGAAAGATAGCGAACATTACTCAACCACCTCAATAAATCACTGACCATCTCATAATGATCCCTCGACATACGATTCATAACAAGCTGAAGTCTCCGACAACTCGTCCGAAGCTCAGGCTCATCTCGAAATCGTTTATGGACAGCTGGGAGCACTAACTTTCTGTTCGGAAGATAATAATTTTGGATGAAAATAGACTCAAAGATGAGAGGACGCGAAATGTGATTGAAGTGGGAACAGGTAAGGCAGATGTTTAGTACTGTGGAGGGTAGTTTGTAGTCCCATAGTCTGCCAATGCGAGAGTAGGGAGTGGCATGACTGGCGGAGGAGAGGATTTGATGTAGGATTTCGTCGGGAAGGCGGAGGATTGGTGGGAGTTCCATGTCCTGATTTTCGAACAGCGGATATTCCTTCGCTATTGCTATTTAAGAAAAAAATCAAACGGAAGAGTCATTTAGAAGCACGACACTTGATGGTCGCTGCATTTGGAATCAAGTCGAATAACTCGGAATGATAGGGATTCTGGGCCATTCATTGATGCAGGCCAATTTAGCGCCGCACTCGACAACACTAGCTGTGTCGATTTTTCAGCCTCAGAAATAAATCACCCATTCCAACTTTCATCATGTCAATTCGACTCGTAAAGTCTGGACAGACATCATCGGCTCTACCTGCATCCACGCAAATGATGAATATCACCATCCGGCCCAGAATCTACCGAACCCTAACAGTGTCAGCAAACAGACGCATTGATCACTAGGCATCATAATTCCCAAACCAAACAAACGACCTTATCGCATTTTAGCTCGTCGAGTCATGCGCTATGATGCCATCGCAATGCTTTATATCGAGGGCCCGACTTACCACTTAGGTTTCGTGAGCCTACCGAGCATTTATATCAATCTCCGAGCTTGAGCTTTAGGCTGCTAAATAAATCATGCATTTCAATTGAGCCAATGGTAATCTTACTGGATATAATTCAATATAGAAAATAGGTAGAATAATTATTTGAGGTGATTTATTGGCTGTTTGCTCTCTTTATTGGAGGTGATGATGTGAGGGTAGGCATCCGCATTTCTTGTCAGCAGTCTGATATTCTCGGCCTTGATATCCAGAAGGAAGAAAACAAGCACTCTTTAGATCAGAAAGATTGATATATAAACGTCCACGGAGACTCCATGGAAAGAGAGGAGAAAATGGTAAAAACCAAAGACTACAATCATCATTACCATCCCCTCATAGCCACAGACAGTCTCAATGTCCAGACTCGAAAGTAAACTCCTCAGCTACTCCCTACAATGCACCTCTCACACCCACACCCACACTCTCACACAAGAGAAATACTCGTCTCCATCAACCGCGACCCCCTCATCTGCGAGCCCGAAACCAAAACCAAAGACTCCGCGAACCTCAACCGCGCCCGCAGTCTCAGCAGCATCAGCAGCACCGACACCAAGTCCTCGAACTCGAAGACACGCATACGCAGATGCAAAATCGCTCTTAGCTCTCTGACAGACTCAAATCTGAAACGCAGCGTCGTCACAAACAGCACACTCGCGACTCTACCAAGCGTGAAATGGAGTCACATCACAGATTCCACACTAACAAACATCCTAAGCCTCAAACGCGCAAATCTGGATTCTGCGACGGTCTCGAATGTAGTCTCCATCCGCCGCGCGACGATCATTGCGTCTACAATCTCGGACGCGATCACAATCAAGAAAGCAACTGCTCAAAACAGTTTGCTGCGAAGAGTGCCGCTGCTGGAGCGGTCCACAGTCAAGAATTGTGTTGTGAGTGATTGCATTATTTTCAAGACTGACTTTGATGGCATGGTGCTTGAGAATGGGATTTGGAAGGGGGGTCGTTTGGTGGGGAGGGTTGATCGGGGAAAGGAGGTTGTCGTTAGGGCTATGGAGGAGGATGGGTTTTCCGATGAGCGGGTTGGGAAACGTGATGATATAAATGAGAAGGAAAGGGCGAGGGATATTAATGATTCGTTGATGAAGGATGATAAGGACTACGAGGATGAGGAGGTACTGCCGCTTTACAAGTTATGATTTGACAGCCATGCTAAGCTGTATGATATTTGAGTTCAGGGTTGATGGAATAATGCACGTTTCAAATCTTATTAAACTTTCTTTGTTCTTTTCCGATAACTTCCTACCTGGATATTTCCAAAGACTTGCGCCTTTACGAGTGATATCAGTCCTATATTCCTCCCTTTCCGAATGACTGATCGATATATAAGTTCCACTTTTCCTCCTCGAATGACATGCAACGTACATACACACCAGACGTCTTGCATGTCACAGCTCTAACTAAATCTAGCTCACCTGTCTAATTCCTCAAGGCATATCCGGAAGCCAAATGAACGACCGGGATACCGAATTAAGCATTCCTTGGACTATGAACCCCCACAGAATTTATCCTGATCAGCTCCAAATCGGCTAAATTCGCCATTTTGGAGGATATCATTGGACACTTGGAAGCGTTTCAGTAGGGCGTAGAAGATGTGATTGGACGGGGGTTCCGGGATCTGTTGTTTTAGACTATTAATGAGTTAGCGGTGGTTTGGGCGGAGAATTTCCTATATGGGGACCGTCTCCCCCGCAAGTTTGATCCCCAGATTCGCCGGCTGGATTGGATTATGCTCGGGGTCATATGACATCGTGACTGGTTTGAATGCCTTGAGCAATGTCGATTAATAGATAAGGCTATTCCCCTAGATACGTGTACGATGTAGTACTACGGACTTCATCCTATAAATCGTGAATCGATGGATGTTTCACCCGAATTCCGATCCACTCAACCAAGCAAAGCAATACCGCCTCATTCAAATCCCGAAGTACTGCTAGAGCTCTGGTCCTGAGAAGGTAATGCTCAGGTAAGCTAGGCAAGCTCAGTCAGTTAMCCAGCCATAAAGGTGGTAAGCTCACAAATGAGGAAAGTCTACACAGCACATCCCCCACGCAATGTGGCCCTTCTCCAGCCGTTTTGACCAGTAGCAATGTCCTGGTGTCATATAATACCCCGCGTTTTGACCTTCTACCCACTTTGTATGGAGTAGCAGGGTCTAAGCTTGATTGTCGAATCTGGGGGCTGAACAATGAACTTGGTCATCTCCAGCTACCCTGGTCCTTGCGCTCTATATCGGAAAACATTATCAGGTAATCCATGGACGGCAATTGTGTAATCCACGTGCTCTCCCCCACGCTACTTGTCGAAAGGCAAGTATATAAACCACATGGATCGGCTTKACAAGTAATTATTTCCTTTTTCAAGGTTCCAGAGCTGCGCTCACCTCTTTTCTCTTTCATCCTTAGATAGCGCTGTGGAGTTATTGATTTCTCAACATGGCTGGCGAAGAAGGCATCATCCACGACCATGATGCGATGGGGGAGAAAATTGAAATGTCGCACGAGGAAATCGTCCACCTCACCGAGCTGACACCGGAAGAGAAAATAGTCGAGAAAAAACTGCGACGCCTTATCGATTCCATCATCCTCCCTTTTGTCATCACCGTGTATCTCATGAATTATATTGATCGGTAAGCCAAAGCAAGAAGCCTGTATAATAGTCAAATCTGACCTGATAGAAACAACTATGCCTCTGCCAAATTGCAAGGTCTCATGACCTCGTTACACATGAACGCCAACCAATACCAGACCGGTCTGTCCATCCTATTCGTTGGATACATCTTGATGCAAGTCCCGTCCAACTTGGCCCTCAACTATGCGGGTCGACCATCGCTATACATCGGTTTTTTCGTTGTTGTCTGGGGTTTGGTTTCTGCTCTGACCAGCCAAGTCAAGAGCTATGGCGCGATTGTCGCATGTCGTTTCGTCCTCGGTGTAGTCGAGGCTCCATTCTTTGCGGGTGTCTTGTTCTATCTTTCAAGTTGGTATACCAAGAAGGAACTCGCTCTTCGCATGAGTATTTTCTACTCTGGTTCTCTCCTCAGTGGTGCCTTTGGAAATCTCATCGCAGCCGGTATCCTCTCAGGTCTCGCGGGGGCCCGAGGAATGGCAGCCTGGCAATGGTTGTACATCATTGAAGGCTCAGTCACCATATTCATCGGCATCCTCATCATGTTGTTCCTTCCTGACTTCCCCGAAACCTGGAAGCTTCTTAGCCCTGAGATGAAGGCTGTCGCCATGAAACGTCTTGCCATTGATGCCTCGGAAGCCGACGCTGACGAAGCTGGTGGCATGAGCCAATGGCGTGGTGCAAAGCTCGCTTTCACCGATAAACGCACCTACCTGTTCGCCATCGCATACATGTGTATCGCCGCCGCGACTGGTTTCCAGTACTTCTTCCCCACCCTCACCAAGACTCTGGGCTACAGCAATATCGTCTCTCTGTTGCTTGTTGCGCCACCCTACGTATTCATGGTTGGCTACTCCATCCTTCACAACCATTTGTCGGACAAATACCAAATGCGATTCGTCGCGTTCATAATTCCTGTCCCAATCTCCATCGTTGGATTCATCATCTTCATGACAACATCCAGCTTCGGCCCCCGTTATCTGTCGCTGTTTTTGATGAACTTTGCATTCTGCATGATCGGCACCTTATTCGGATGGATTGGTTCTACCATTGCTCGTCCCAAGGCAAAGCGTGCTGCTGCATATGCCTTTATCAATTCCATTGCTAATTCGGCCAGTATCTGGACTCCTTACACCTATCGCGATCAGGATGCGCCTCACTATCGCCCTGCACTCGGTATCTGTATTGCCATGCTGGGAGTAGCTTTTATAATTGGTGTGATCTTGTATTTTGATCTCAGGGCGGAGAACAAGCGACTTGAGCGTCTGGAGAATGAAGACGGTATCTTGACTGAACGCGACATGCGACGATTGCAGAAGACCGCTGAAGTGGAAGGAATTGACATTGCGGCTGCTCGTCGGCTGCAGAAGGGATTCCGTTATGTTCTGTAATGTGTCTGAATATGTTTGGCCCAGTGCCCACTAGTGATATCAGCTTGTGCCTGTCCCAATGAATGATTTATGATTGATCTTTGAAATTCTCGTAGTATCATGAGTAGAAGCGATAAACTGAGTTCGAAGATGTTTGAGGAAACAGCAGCATGGTGGGAGCCTCAGGCAGATGAAAAAACATCGAAAGAGGAAGGAGCCATCCACCCACAACGACTTCCTCTTGGCTTCTTTTTTCTCCTCCTCATGAATCGCGTCACTCAGACTGACAAGTCATAAACACATATTCTCGTCAATGCTCAGTTCGTCACGCGATTTCTCACCATCATCTCGATCGTGCAATCGAAAGCCAATCCTATTCTGCGGGGCTTAAATTGCGGCTGGTCCTCGGCCAAGAATCGGGCAGGTCAGTACAATCTAGTCTACGTTCTAGTATTCCAGTTCTTGTATTCATACAGGCTTGATCATGATTGCTTCGTCAACTGCGTATCTCAATTCGTGCCTCATGTTTTTGTAGTTATCCTACTTGCCGTTGTACTCCTTCAAGGCATCATCCCGAAGCTAAAACCACTAGCAGTCATGGACAGACGGCGAGACGGCAGAGAGTGCAGTAGCTTGTCATCTCAGTATCCTCCTCCCTCAATCTAAATGGCTCGCTTGCGTCAGAATTTTCAAATACAGAACAGCATCTCCGTTCTCGACGCCAATGCAAGGAGTTTCTCCATATCAGGCCAATCAAAATTTCAAGCCGTCGAGCCGTTGAGCTAATGCAGCGATAGCGCTGGTAAGCACAGGCAAAAACGGAGACAGCCCCATCGTCTGGTAGGGTCACAATGTGACGGACAAATTCAGGCGGACGGCCATCCAAACTCACGGCCATGATACATGAATCAACAAATATCGCAATATATGATAGACCGATTTTTATATCTTAAGACCGACGTGATATTGTGATACATGTGTGACGAATCGGCGATGGCATTTCTATGCTAGTTACTGGCCACTCGACTTTCCAATGAAGCGCTCTTTGACTCCTCCTCAGTGGGGCGTTCAAGCGATCGACTACAACGAGGCTAGCTGAACCAGGCCCCCATGTTTCCGGATGCTCCCTTATGAGATAATTGGTGATAACTGACGGCCTATACCGCAGTCCGCCGGATGCCTGGTGCCAATAGGTAGGAGCTGTGTTCTAGCCTGGAAGCTAAATAATAAAACAAGATCGCTTCCTGGCCACCGCTCCTACCGAGCGAGCACCTCCGAGATCCAACAATCTCAGACTACCAATTCCCACGCTCCTGTTCGTGGAGTCCCCGACAAACAATGTCTTAATTTACTCAGCACCTGGCACTTTCTGGGGCTTTAGGGCTTAAAAGTCGTGTTTAAGCATAGATCGACCGATCTCCAGGGGAACTCAGGGCCCCAACCGCAGGGACGGTAACCCTCCCCGGTCGCTAGGTACTCGCCGCGATGGCGGACCTAGGCCGTGGAGAGGGAGAGAAATCCAAGGGCAAGAAGACTGTTGTCCGCCAGTCGCGCTCTTGTCGTGTGTGTCGTTTGCGAAAAGTCAAGGTTGGTTTTCTTCTTTTACCTATATTTTCATTCTGCGAAACAATCGTCATGTTCGAACTCTTGACAAAAGGGGAAAGCAATAACCGGGCGGCTTGATGATCCGTTAGGTGCGGCTATTGAATACATGAAGCTGACCAAGTTTTCGTGAAAGTGTGATCGAGTCAAGCCATGTCATGCTTGCTGTGCCCATGGTCATCCTTCAAAATGTGTCTACGATATCGGACCTGATGATGACGAGACACAGCCAATCGCTCAGGCGGAAGAGATTCAGAATCTGCGGAACGAGATCAAGGAGTTACGGGCGAGAGTTAACCAGCAGGGTAAGTTACAGCGTTGAGCAGGATTAGTGACATTGGCTGATGAGAGACAGGCGGACAAGAAGCGCGTACTCGCAAACTAGCCGAACTCGAAAGACTTTTCCAAGCAATTCGCTCAGAACCAATCGACGTGGTTGATGATCTAGTTGGTAGTATCCGAGCCAACCGTCAAGATCGTCGCTCGAAAGCTGTCGTGAAACGAGGTGAGAGACTAGATTATCTATTGGAAATGACATGCTGATGGCATCTAGAAAACTTGCCTCTGCGGATGCTTACTCCTTCCAGCTTTGACGGCAAGGACGACGAAAGTGAAACCCTGGAAGGATGGCATCTAGTTCGCTCAAGGCAGCCAAACTCAGGGTTCAGCGACTCGCACAGTAGTAGCAGCGGCAGCAGTAGTACCGAGAGCATCACTGTTGATGAAGATTGGGGCGGTCCTTTATCTCGATTTGCACCGCAGAAACCGATGCTGGATCTGTTCATACAACGATTCGTTGACGCCTTCAGTCCCGAAGTAGACGCCAGCTCTGGACACGCAGGAGCATTGCGAGCTGGTGCCGAAATTCGAATGTTTTCTCCATTGATATCAAGTGCTTATGATGCTGTATCGTTGACATTCTTTGGCCGAAGTGTCAAAGATCCTCGAATTGAAGCGGCTGGAATAAAATTGTACCCCAAGGTTTTGCGGTCGTTACAAGAAGCATTACTGGACCCAGAAAAAAGTCGCTCGGAAGCGACACTGGTTACTGTCACGCTTCTTTTAGCTTTTGAAAGCATCGAAAGAACATCAGATGCAGGTGTTGTAGCACACGTCAGAGGAGCTGCACAATTGATACAGCACCGAGGACCAGAGAACCATGTTCAAGGTGTTGAGCATCTATTATTCACAGAGCTACGGCCGTATTGGGTTGGTTCATACCTCTTACCAAATAATATTATCGCTTACACTTACTAGGTTGGAGTTTCACTCGTCGATCGAAAACCGAGTTTCATGGACACTGATGCTTGGAAGAATATCCCATGGTCCGCGGGGACGACTACGAAAGATTTACTCCACTACCTCATCGATCTTGTCGTTGAAATCCCAGCATTACTGGGAGAACATGACGACCTCGTTGCAGCTCAGGAGTCACAGTTACTAGGAAAAGGCGAATATCGCGCCAAACAGGCGCGGCTATGGAATGCCGTGAGCGATCTGACAGATCGATTTGCGCAGTGGAAGAGAAAATACGTCGATGATTATCCCACAGGTCCACCGAAGGAGATGAAGATACCACCATCGCCTACTGACCCATTCCCGGTATTCCGGTGTCGTGACCTGCGCACAATGAGTATCATAGAACCGCCACCACTCGTCTACCCAGATCTGAGACTACTACAAACAATGTGCTTTTACTACGCAACCAGACTGATAATATCCAGTATTGACGACCGGCCAGAAGGCGCTGTCAGCATGCCGGAAAGATACCATTTCGCATGTGGAATTGCACGCAGTTTGGAGGATTACCTCCGTCGCGCGCCGGGAAACATGATCAATCGACTTGCGTTCCCGACGAGAGTTGCATGGGAGGCGTTTCCGCCTGGTGGTCCAGAGCGTGATTTTATGGGTCAGGTGTTTAATCTTGTTGAGAAGAGGCACTCGTTGAGGTTATGGGGGAGTTTTATGCCGGAGTTGAGTGCGAGGGCTGGTTCGCCTCCGTGATCCATCTATGCATTGATGGGATTTGTATGACTGATTGATGATTATGAGAGGATGATAATGATGACGACGATGACTATGTCAGATGGATTTAAGACATTACTACATAGAGGTGATTTGAATGGTACGAAAATGTCCAGCACGAGGAGTTGAGATCTGAATGAGCCATGAGCCATGTGCCATGAGAGTCATGCATGTAAGGTGGATCTCACTACGATACCTAGTCAAAGAGACTTACGACCTCTTATCCTGCCGGAAATTTTAACTACTCTGCAAATTTACGACTCAGGGAGCTAAGCCACTTCGTCATCAGAGGCATGAATGTAAGAGATCATATTCTCAAATGTCGATTCACAAATTTCTGCCTATATGACTGACTCATAAAAAGACTACCGTATGTCAAATCAGCATCCATACCAAGGTACCAACAAATATTAATGACTGACACTGATAGACCCAAAAAGGTCGCACAGAATCTTCGGTAATCCGTTAGAATCTACGTAAAAACCTCGGCTTGGAGGGAGTCCGATCGAGGAAGAATCTCAAACATCCCAAGCCCAAGCCCAAGGACCCAGGCCTAATGAAGGATTGGTGTCCTAGCGTTGACAAGCTCCATGACAGGTGGGCCGATTAAGCCTCATCTGCTCTAGTATGTAGTGCTACGGGAGAAGATTCAGAAGAGTCCAAATGGCGGCCGAATCTACCCAATAACTTCACAAATGTAAATCCGAAAACCACGAGTCTGAACAGATTAATTGATCGGTGCCATTATTGGTAAATGTGACAGGGCTCGGACCTTTCAAAATCAATACTGATCGACTCAATCGATCTTTCTCTGCTCCAAGTGTTGGGTGGCTGGCGACGATCCGTCTCCCCCGGGCTGATTTATTGGGACGCTAAACAAGCTAGACTGAACTAAAGCTCCTCTAAATCCTTGCAAAGTTCACAGCCCGCGGCCTGGTTAGTGCTAAAGCTGGTTTTGGTAGCTTGGCGGACGGAGATGTGATGATGGATCTTATTTTGTTTTTCGGTTTTTCCTACAAGATTGACAGCAGCCTTGTTTGGGTATGCTTGACCACTGACCAGACGTGAATCCTGTTCTGTACTTTTTCGTTCTTTTTTCTTCTCGATTAATCAATCTTTCTGGTGTTCGATTCTTTCGCTCTTTATATACCCATCGACGCGTACATCCCTTCATTCTCTTTTGAAAATACCTACCTAATACCTAATTCCTAATACCGACCACTTTCATTACAATCTCATTATTTGCATATACTCACAAACAACATATAAACGCCACAATGCGCTCTCTATCCCTCCTCCCTCTCCTCGCAACAGCAATCTCAGCAACCCTCACCCCCGACCCCAGCAACGATTACGGCTGCACCTCTGTCCACAACCCTGTCATAACCCTCCACGGCCTCGGCGCGACCTACTACGAAGACATCAACTATCTTGGCGACTGGCTCAAAACTCAGGGCTTCTGCGTTTACCGCGCCACCTACGGCGCATACCCCGATTTCCCGCTCGTGGGTGGATTCTTGCCTATCAATGAGAGCGCCGTCGAAATCGCAGATTTTATAAAGGATGTGGCCTCGAGTACCGGCAGCAATAAAATAGATCTCGTGGGACATTCGGAGGGCGCGCTTCAGTCGCTGTATGTCCCCAAATTCGAGTCCGGCATTTCGGGACTGGTGCAACGGATTGTGGCTATCGCGCCGCCGACGCACGGCACGAATTTTGCGGATTTGATCACTTTGGCCGAGGATCTAGGGATCGACGGGCTTGTGCAGGAAGTTCTTAATACATTCGGTTGCGATGCGTGTAACGATCTGGTTGATGGCGGTGCGGCCATTAGCCGGTTGAATGATGGTAACCCCATTGTGCAGCCGGGTAATGATGTGACCATTATCATTTCGAAGCATGACGAGCTCGTGACGCCGACGTCGACTTCGGTGGTTGATGAGGCGGGAGTCAGGAATGAGTATGTCCAGGATTATTGTGCCCTGGACCCCGTGGGACATATCGGGGAGGCATACGACTTAAATGTGTGGAATATGGTCAAGAATGCGTTGACGGATGTGACGGCGCATAACTTTATTTGTGTGTTTGGTAGCCCTGGTAAATAGATAGTCCTGTACATAGGAGATCAATCCATCTGTAATATATTACTCTGTGTGTGATATGTATTTTGATATTTAGAAACCCTCACATTTAGACGGATGCGTAAGATAACGATTCCCACCCTGCACAAAATCCGTCACGCCTTTAATGACATTCTCGTAGTAATACTGTCCATGCATAGGAGTTCCCAATATCTTTCCTGTGCTCTCGCTTTCCGCCTGCCCAGTGGCAGTAGCTATGTTAGCTTTCTGCGCAACTAGCCATTTCTCATCAACCGTTCCAAGAAACACATCAACCTCGTCTGGATCGGCCTCTGTCCTCCACAACAGCGAGCTTCCGCAATGTAGACAGAAACCGCGTAGACAAGTTTCTGAAGAACGATACTCTTTATACATTGGGTACGTCGATAGATCTGGGCTTATTTGCTTCGTGGATAGAGTCAGGAATTGAGGAAAAAGACTCGCTGTCCATTTTCGACACATGGTGCACTGGCAGGATGCTGACTATTGAATTGTTAGCTAGCACTCGACGCCGAACGGGTAAGAGAAATGGAAAGGTACCTTTGGTGGCCAGGGATGGTCTTTGTTGAAATGAATTGTGTACTGGATGCTTCCGCATAAACAGCCGCCGGTTATTTCGGAGATGTTGCTATCGACGTTGGCTGTCATTTTTATCGTGGATCCAATTTCAGGAAGAGTAGGGCAAAGAAAGACAAAGTCTAGAAAGTCCAGGAGATAGGATGACGCATAGATGTCTGGGATAGAGCGGGGGAACAGGAGGGGCAGGTGTCCTAATCAATTTAAGCTGTGGAACAGAAATCTAAGCCACGCAGATCGTTGTTATGATGAAGCTGTCTAGTACAGGTAGGAACAGGGCTTTGCTGTTGGATATATTGTTGAAGCCTCAAGCGTACCTGGATATATTAAATGTCGAGCCACAAGTGGTATGTGATGCTGCAAAAAGACGACGAATGACCGCCCCACTTCTCCATTCTAAAATTTAGCGCAGCACACTATCTTTTTATATTACCGTATTCGACTAGTACAAATTTACAATAGTAAAGCGGTGGAGACTTCGTGCCGCCTGCCGTTTACTGTCGGTCTGTCTTCAAGTCTTGAGTTCAATCAGTATTCTGATCTCTACGACGTCCATTGTTCCTGATCTTATTTCCATCATCTGAACCCATGAATTGCTAAGTCTATCAGGTGTGCGTGGGATCTCCGGGTTATTGGCTCGAGAGAACTTTCATTGTTCGCTTGTTCTTGCTCTGATACCGCTGGCTTGGTCTCAACGGTTTCTTAAAAGCCATCATGCAAGATGATCAACAATCGAGTTGCTATCCCTTATGGGTAAGTCATAAACTCTAGTCAATTGACTTAAAATAAATGTTTTGCTGACGTTTATAGAACTCCGCTGATGCATCCTTCTCACGATGTGCTCTGCCGTACATTGCATCTGTCCCAGCACTTGTAATCGTGTTCATTGCGATCAAGTACCTGCTCGGCAGTCGCTATCTATACAGATGGCGGCCAAGATGGACTCAGCCATTTGTTGTAGAAGAGGAAAATACGACAGATGAGTTTCCGGTCGCACGTCAACGGCCTTCACTCAAGGCCTGGGCTCTTTTTGTACTTACCGTCATTGGTCTCGGCGCTGAGATTGTGCAGCTTGCGAAGATACCTTTCTTTGGCAACGTTATGCTCACAGTGGCCTGGGTGGGTCTGCCAATTCCTGATGATATATTTCAACGTACTGATATCGGTAGTGTCTTGCCGCTATTGTACTAGCTACTAAAAGACCACGAACAGCCCCTACAGCATTACTCATATTCTATGCATTGGCTTTTCTAGTACAATATCCTGTCTTCAACGCTGGCGGCAACGGCTCTCTTTTAAGTCTCATTGTACATGAATCAGTCATCGCAGCTGCAGTGCTATCAATCATCATCATTCTATCAATGCCAACTCGAGATCCTACTTTACCAAAAGAAGGCATCGGTAGAGTAGGCGGAACATCATCAGACGACCTGCGTAGTCCCGAGGATGACCTGACCTTGTGGCAATTCTTCACCATCTCATGGATGTCACCTCTTATTTCCGTCGGCCGGAAACGGAAGATAAATGAGGACGATGTTTGGCTTCTAGGATTCGAGTTTCAGCATAGAAGGCTACACGAAAAGTTTCGGCAGCTTCGGGGATCTGTTTTGAGACGCTTACTGCGAGCTAATGGGATCGACATATTTATTCTTAGCAGTATCTCCCTTGTACAGATGGCTTGCAGTAAGTCTGTTTCCACAACGATAGAGGCGTGGATGCTAATCTACAATAGATTTTTCTTCGCCCCTTCTCCTGCAGCAACTCCTGAAAGTGTTGTCTGACGAAATCAGTGACAAAAGAGTAGCCATGGTTTACGCAGCTATCATGTTGCTCATACGGCTGCTGTCTGCGCAAATCCAAGTGCTGAACCTCTGGTATGGTCGAAGATGTTACGAGCGAAGTAGAGGAGAAATGGTCATGATGGTTTATGAGAAAGCGTTGTCACGGAAGAATACATTCGGCCAGAAAGTGTCGACCAAAGAAGAACCAGAGAATGGCACCGCAAGAAATGGGCATGCAAATGGAAACAGCGAGGGAGAGCAAAGCAAAAAGAACAGAAAACTCTGCGGTCTAATTCCGTGGAAGAGCAAAGACCAGAAAAAAGAAGTCGAAAAAGAAACCGCATCCATGGGCAAGATTTTCAACCTCCTTCGAGGCGATGTGTACGAAGTATCACAGCGGTTTTGGGAAATCAGTGAACTCATCGATAAGCCCATCGGTCTCGTCATTGCTGTTGTACTTGTCTGGGACCTGTTTGGACCTTCATGCTTCTTGGGCGTACTAACCGTTGTCTTCTCTCAAGTCATCAACGCCTTCATCACTCGCTATGTTCTGCGATGGGGGCGGATCCGCCGAGCCGTGACGGATGCTCGATTGCAGATTTCGTCGCAATTTGTGGAAGCACTTCGCCATCTTCGCTGGTATGGATGGCAAAACCACTGGCTTCGGCAGGTCATGGAAGCTCGTGACAAGGAGTTGAAAATACAGATTATTACGAGCTTGTTGCAGATTGCGATTGCGTTCATTGAGGTTTTTAGCAGTGGAGTGTTTCCTGTGGCTGCTTTGTACGGTTATACGATACTCGCAGGTCGACCCTTGAGTATTGATGTCATCTTTCCAGCGCTCCAGCTCTTTACTATGTTGGAAGAGCGGTTGCAAGAGATTCCATCCTTGATCACAATGTTTATCAATGCTTCTATTGCGATGGGTAGAATCGAGGACTTTATGGAAGAGCCGAACAAGGAGACAAAGACTGGGGAGACGGTGTCGGAATCTTCACCAATCATGCTGGAAGACTGTTCGTTTGCTTGGCCTGGAAAGCATGATTCAGTCTTATCAGATGTCAGTCTGACTATTCCGCAAGGCTTGACGGTCGTCTGTGGCGTGGTGGGTGCTGGAAAGTCTGCACTATTGCAAGCTCTACTTGGCGAACTCGATGAACTGAAAGGCGTTTCTCATCTGCCGAACGAAATGGTCGGATACTGTGCCCAAACACCATGGCTGCAGAGTATGAGCATTCGCGACAATATCCTATTTTCGTCACCATACAACGAGCAAAGGTACAAGCGTGTCCTCGAGGCCTGCGCCTTGGTGCCCGATCTAGCCAACTTTGCGCATGGTGACTTGTCGTTTATAGGCGAGAATGGCATCGGATTGTCCGGCGGACAAAAGGCGCGAGTGGCTCTTGCAAGAGCAGTTTACAGCACAGCTAGGGTTCTACTTCTGGATGATCCGTTGTCTGCGCTTGACCACAATACAGCCGAATCCATCGTACGCAAATGTCTGCTCGGACCATTGATGCAAGATCGTACCATTGTACTCGTTACACACCGTGTGTCCCTGGTGCAATCCCATGCTGACCAGATCGTGGAAGTCGCCGGAGGCAAGGTTCGAAGCGTTGGAAAGCAGGATATTTCCGCCGTCCGGGATGTCTACGAGGATGATACACAACATGCGGACAATGAGCAGACGGAGGATGAAGTCTCGGCGGTAGTTGCAGATAAATTCATCGAAGAAGAACATCGAGCAGACTGGGGTGTGCAGACTCGCGTGTACTGGGCTTATATCAAAGCCGGAGACCTCAAATGGTGGGCACTTCTTGTCATAACCATTACGCTTCACCGCGGCCTCGCTATCCTGCAGTCCTGGTTCCTCAAGGAATGGGGTGAAGCGTACAGTCAATTTATGGTCGTGCCCAGTTATACGGACCTGAGAGCAAAATGGAGTGATCAGTGGGCAATAATGGGAGGTGTCCCGGCTGTTGCCAGCCAGAACAATGTCAGCATGCGCAGTTGGCCACTCGACCGTGACCATATCCCTTCTCCAGCTGACGATGTTCGTCCTTGGTTGGCTCTATATTTTGGATTTGCCGTTGTTCGAGCTGTGATTATGCTCATAGCACGATTATTGATGCTAGCGATTGTTTACTGTGCTGGAAGAACCATGTTCAAAGAAGTCATGCAACGCGTCAGCCGCGCCACTTTCCGATTCTTTGACGTGACCCCGGTCGGCCGCTTGATGAATCGTCTGACGTCTGATATCGGTACGGTCGACCGCAACATCAGTCTTCAATTTACAGGAATAGCATTCCAGATAATCATTTGGGTCTCTTCGATTATCGTCATTGCTTCAGTGACTCCTGTTTTTCTTGTTTTTGCAATGATACTGACAGCCTGCTTTGTGATCATATTCTTATGGTTTCTACCACTTTCGCAAAGTTTGCGCAGATTAGAAATGGTGTCTTTGAGTCCACTGCTCTCTAATTTCGGCGAGTTGCTGCATGGATTGACTACTGTGCGCGCTTTTCACGCCGAGGTACGTTTCCAAGACCGCGTTATCCAGGTCGTGGATAAGTTTCAAGGCATGGATCACTTCTACTGGTCCCTTCAGAGCTGGTTGTCGTATCGCTTCGAAGCATTGTCAAGTATCTCCACCTTTTTACTGACTGCCTTGGCACTGTACACGGATGTTTCAGCCGGCATGGTCGCTTTCCTCTTGGTGACAGCCAACAACTTCGTCAGCGCGACCCATGCTCTATGTCGACAATACGGTCAACTTCAAATGGACTTTGTCTCCGTGGAACGTATCGACGAATTACGCCACGTTGAAATTGAGCCGGAAGGTGAAATCGATCCACCAGCCTACTGGCCGCGGTTCGGAAGCGACATCATCTTTGACAACGTCACAATCCGCTACGCACCGCATCTCGAGCCATCTTTGAATGATATATCAGCCACCATCCCTGGCGGTTCCACGGCCGCAATAATTGGACGCACAGGCAGCGGAAAATCAACTCTAGCGTTGAGCTTACTAGGCGTCCTACAACCAGACAAGGGGCAAATCCTCATCGACAACATCGACATCAGCAAAGTCAACAAACAATCCCTACGCACACGCATCACATTCGTCGCCCAGGACCCGATACTGTTTCCAGGCAGCATCAGAAAAAACCTCGACCCAACCGATGAATTCTCAGACAACGAATGCGCCGAGGCCCTACAACGCATCTGCGCGCGTCACGGCTGGACACTAGACTTCCAAATTGAAGCCGGAGGCCGCAACCTGAGTCAGGGACAACGACAGCTCATTGGTCTGACGCGAGCGGCGTTGAGGCGTAGCCCTATTGTGATATTGGACGAGGCGACGGCATCAATTGATCATGAGACGTCCCTGGAAATTCAAAAGATAATTCGTGAGGAGATGAGGGAGAGTACGGTGATTACGATTGCCCATCGGTTGGAGGCGATTAGTGATGCGGATTATTCTGTTGTGTTGGATAAGGGCAGGATTGAGAGGGAGGGGCGGGKTTAATTGTTTATGCTATGGAGAAAATACGATTTTTGGGTATATGACATGGTGTGATATTGTGAGTTTAGAGAGTCATGATGGACCTTTTAGGCCCTACCGAACCATATGAGGCTCGGTTGATTTTGACCCGGAACGATCCTAAGTGCTAGCTAGGGTAGATAGGCTTGGAGTCTGGTCAGCCTAATCTCTAGAAGATCAGATTTAATGGTCGAGTCTAACAGAGCCAGGAGACATCTCCTCGTAAGTTAAGATGGCCGCATTCCAAGGCTTAACTCGTAGACCTCCTCCCGCTTCTTGTCAGACCCTAAAATTCTATGAAGTCAAAGGGATATGGTATCGACTGATGCGTACGTATCTCAAGAAGACGAACACGTCATTCGCACCACGTACAACATTCGCAACTTCTTAACTAGACTCTAGGTAATCAGTACACACCTGTACACATCGTCGCAATCCCCGAGTCCTCTAAACCCCCGAAGTCATGAGACCACCTTACCCCAATCTTTTGTCTTACTGACCTCACGATCTCGGTACGTTGTCGATCATTTGATCTCCAACTGAGCGGATCGGATCTCCAGATCGCTCGGGCAATAATTATCTCTGTTCATGTTGCTTTTCTGTCAAGTGTCAAACGACAGGTGGAGCAAATGCGTGGGTCTGAGCTTTTTTGTGCTTATTTGAACAAGTCGATGTAGATGTACATTTGTGAAGTATACCGGGAGTAAGATGGCACGACGAACGCGGTCGGTAGGGATGATTTACTGTGGACGATTGAGGTATAGATAGAAGATGCTGTTGAGGTATTGATTTTGGTCTTTTTGGACCTTCGAAATTGGTCTATCTCTGATCATCAAATTGACAAAAAAAAAATGCAGTATTAGCCGGTATGGTCGAAGATCCCAGTTCGTATGTTGACCTTATGGTCAACGGTTCTATCGGTGAATAACATTTCATATGAGACATTGCCAGGGACCTGACCTGATTATACCACTTACCTGATAAGTATCTGTTGAAAATGATCCACGGCTATCCAAAGTTGCAAATTGAAGACGGGGTGTCTAGCCTCTATCTCTTAAACCATCCTTGCACGAAAAGCCCGGTATAGGCCCGAATACGCGAAATCAAAGATCATCCAACAGCCACCTCTTTACATGATAGGCCACCTTCAAATAAAGATAGTGCCCACACCCGAGTCTTGTACGAGGCACATTAAAGGCTTGTACGTACATAATACATGGAGGGGCTGATTTCGCCCCCCACCTCGCATACTTGACTACTGCGCTCATCTTTGGGACAATCTAGAATTGCCGAAGGTACTTGACTATTTAAAAAGAAGTAGATGTCTCCGAGCTGATCACTTAGGATCCGGATCGAGATTACAAGGTTGTTTAAGGAGTAGATTGATTAGATGCAACGCCAATGTTGATCATTGCTATTGAACCAATCCGATGTTGAAGAGTACATTAAAGTGTTCCAAGGTTGGTCATAATTCGGCCCCAGGAACTAACATTGAACTAACATCTTAATTAGATATAGGTGAAACTAAGCTTCATTATTAGTGATGTAACGATTCTAATCAGCTCATCTCCGTTTCCATGGAAATTCAAAAAGTTTATTGGTGAGTGCCGTGGTTGATTCATTAGTTCCAACATGAACTGGAGACACAAAAGAGGTCACTGCATGGTCACTTACGTGGTGGATATGCAATGTAGCAATGCGATGACGGATCATGAGACGTTCGTCCAAAGGACTCGACTGCCCAGGTAGAGTACAGGTACATTCATCGTTGTATCGAGGCGGGGKAGATTTTTCCTGCTGTATAAGTACGAAGTTGGTTTCGCTCGTGAGAGAGAAAGGGACTTCCGAGTCATGATTGACATATTTAAGACTCTATAGAAATTCATATCCAAATTTTTCTGGTTGAAAGAAAAGCGACCAGAAACAAAAGAGTACAGGAGATCATGACGTCGCTTTTCGTTGCATTGTTAGCCCTAGCCCGGCTTGCGGCCAGTAAAGCCGTATTTGCACATTACATGGTAAATTCCTTTATCTGATCAAACAATGTTTCCTCAGTTAAACAAGAGTTTTAGGTAGGATCAATGACTTCCACCGAAGCATCTCAAGACATCACCGACGCCATCGCCGCCGGCTTCGACGGCTTCGCACTCAACACCCACACCATCAGCAGCACAGACACCTGGAACACCGATGCAATCAACTTCCTCCTCGATGCCGCCTCGGGTACATCATTCAAGTTGTTTCTCTCGTTTGACATGTCCTGGGGCCTCGACGTCTCCTCCCTCGGCTCATTTCTGACGCAATTTAGCAATCATTCACAATACTACACCACCTCCGACGGGCGTCCATGGGTCAGCACCTACTCCGGTGGCTCTTCGGTCAGTAACGATCAATGGAATAGCGAATTTATCCAACCCCTCGTTGCGCAGGGCGTGACGCCGTACTTTGTGCCTGATTTCGATGATTGGTCTGGTTACCCCACGGGATTCTTTGATGCTTTTCCAGTGCTGGATGGAGCATTCAGTTGGGAGAGTGCGTGGCCTGGTGCGGGTACCGTAGCGGCGAATGTGAGTGACGGTGTTGATGAGAGTCTGATTGAGCAGGCGCATGCCGTTGGGAAGGTCTATATGATGCGTACGTTCCCCTGCAATACATCCCCTGATTTTTGTGCAGTCAAGCTTATAGGAAGAAAGCACTGTCAACCTTTCAATTCAAATACCTCGGCTCAGGCTCTGACTGGTACCGCATCGGCGAAACAAACCTACCGGAACGCATCGCCCAGATCTTGAGCCTACAGCCCGATTTCGTGGAAGTCATAACCTGGAACGATGCCGGCGAATCGCACTATGTCGGCAACTTTTGGCCTGAGCAGATTGCCGGCACAAGCGAAGGGGATTATGCGAATGGTTATGATCATACCGGCTGGCAGCAGGTTATTACACCGTTTATAAATGCCTATAAAAATGGAGCCACGAGTGTTGAACAGATCACGACTCAAAGTGGCTCTCCCGAAGGAGCGATATGGTATAGAACACTGTTGACGAGCGCGAGTTGCGCGAGTACGATTACGAATTACCAACAGGCTGAAGACGCCATCAATTTCGCTGTAATTTTGCCCGCGTCCGACACTGCTTATACCATTGAGGTGTACAGTAATGACGCATTGATTGGCACCTTCTCAGGTGTGGAGGGACTCAATTATGAGTCTGTGCCCGGTTTGCAGGCTGGTAGCGGGCAGAGTATTCGTGTCTTGGATGGCAGTGGGAATGTGGTGAAGACGGCGAATGGGACGAAGGATGTGTTGAGTGAGAGCTCGGATTCGTCGATGTGCAATTGGAATTATGAAGTTGTTGGGTTGTCATAGATATACACACGTATACCTAGTTACCTAGTTAGATATGTACGTATGGATGGGTAGATAGACTAATTGATTGATTGCAATTTAATCCTTCGGTCAGCTCCCCGACGCAGTCTCACTCAGCGGTTGCTCACTTGGTTCTTATAAATAATAAGAGAGAAGAAATAAAGTATACGTTTTCCGACGATCCTCGCGCGCTGCTCTAGACATCTGGTGGGAACCATCTAGCCCGATATGGAGACAGCCATTACTGATGTTATGACAAGATGGGTGCAAGCGGGGTGAGACGATAGTCCAACCTGCTACCAATTTGAAAGGTCTCGGTCAGTAGTAAACAATGCATGTAGAATGATAATATGTTGATAAAAGGAAACAACGGGAGCGATAGAAGTAAAATCAGTAATAATGACCATCCTTCGGAAAAATAAGTCATACAAAGCAATGCCATCACCACTTGACGCGGACAGGTGTCTAGAAATCTAAAGGTATTGACTACCTGTAGAAAGGGAGGTTCGACTCTTTGGACAGCGCTAGAAAACTAGTCGTGAAACGTGTAACAGACATAAAGTGCACCACAAATTGGCTACAGGAAATGAGGACCAATTCTAGTGTCATTTTAGACCGAGGTTCTAGAAATCAATATTATCTATGATCTACACCGGTAATTTCGTTAGTACGTTTTCTTTACAGAAGTTATTTGCCAATCAATTTCTGCCAGTCATATTTGGTAATTTGCTTAATAGTCTTATATTTAGTGTGACCACTTCCAGCCTCAACTACAGCTTGACACCTAGCCTGCATGGATTCTATCAAATCCTTGAGAAAATGCTCCGGTAAAACATGCCAAGAAGCGCGTACAACCTCACGCGATTGAAGATATTGAGAATGAGGTTTTTGTCGATTGAGGCGAATGTATCCATTAATAGCAGGAGCTATCCTCTCGCAATAGCTCTGAGATCCGATAGGGAGAGCTCCGTTCCTTTTCCCAAAATAGGCATGGGCCTTTATATCCCCATGAACCAAATCCTTTGTCCACGTTTCCGGGATGGGGATTGTAGAATCTAGCTCTTCGCCAGCTTTTCTGGTGACGCAGATTCTCGTATGAAAGCCTGATGTAAATCCATGTCTTATCAGTCCAAAGGATTCGATTCCATAACTCAATTGACCAATCAACATGCTCAAGAGCCAATGCTACACGTACACGTTTATGTTCATCTGTTAAAGGAGGCTTCTGTGAAGCTTTCCCACGCGTATATCCTCGTTTTCTAAGCGCTCGAGCTAATGCCGTAGTTCCAACTGGAAGATCAAGCTCACGTATTACCTTAGCATAAGGCATACAGCGCGTACGTTCTGAGGAAGTAATCCATTCAATGATAGAATCAACTTCAGCTTCAGATAGCTTGGAAGCGGCTCCACGAGGCTTTTTTGGGGTCGCTTGCTGGCTTTGGCATGTATATTGAACCTGACGGTGGCTAATTTTAAGCTGTTGAGCGATTTGAACGTACGTAAATCCAGCGTCTCGGAGCGCTAGTACTCGTATTCGATTATCCCTATCAAGCCTTAGAGAATATTGCTTTGATTGGGGGGTATTAGGGGGCTCCGGGGTGGCCATTTCTAATGTGCATAATCTAAACAATCGGATATGGGATGCGCGAGGTTTATTGTTTAAAAGGCGATGAGCGCGGTTTGGAGTGGGCCTCACGACCACGACCAAAAATGTACTAACAAAGTTACCGGGGTCAGCCAGAGTAGATTTTGCCCTGCAATCAATGTAAGTACCGCGCAATCGGCGCATTTTGACCATACAATCTTTTCCCTCACCACGGCAAACACTACGAACTGGCCCCCAATCTTAGGTCCCTCCTGAAGAACAAAACGATCTTCATGTGTAATCTACTAACCCTATATAGTACATAAAAGGAGTAATTATACATGATTGATACTACCTACCCTAAGATTGCGTGCATATCAGACTCAATAGAAGGACCACCCAAATAAACGAGTCATGTCGTAAGTGTACTTAGTCAATATCAATTTCTGAAGATTGCGCTTCAGTAGATAGGCTTCCTTGTATCGAAACTTTCATTTGAGTCGTGAATCCTGCGCGGCAAGCCATGCTTATTTCCTGAAGGAACCATCAATAATGCAGGAGAACTATTATGTTAGATCTTGTCGATCAGTTGATTAGACTTAAGTTTTAGACCGGTGTCAAGCTAGTGGGTAGGTTCAAGATGTTCTTATCTAGTGCTTTGCACCTTTTTTTTTTTTTTTTTTTTTTTTTAAWTTTCAACCTGTTAAATATCAAGTTCTTTCAGACAACTTTCAATTCGGAGGCACATCTATGACCACAAGCTACCTTATTATGACCCTTCAAAATTGAGAATTGAAACGATTATACTGGAACCGACTTTACCAAATTTTCGTGTGAACACTGTGAATATACCTACACATTGACCACGCCTATCTCACTGTCCCCGAACCGCAATACTCTAATCCGTGCAAGGATTCAAAAACAATTGAAATTCAGCTAGAATTGTCCATCAGGATGAGTCGTGTATGGAGTTTCCCTCGCACCCCTCCAATATGATGACGTGTCCTTCATCACTAGTCATTCCTAAACATTTCAACTCCACTACTCGACCTTATAGTCTCCGCAAAACTGACCACACCGAAAAAAGTAGCTACCGGCTAACTCCAAACATATATAGTACGGCGAAACATGCTGGATGGAAATACCCGTGACAAACGCCAAACGCGCAATTCGATTCTATCGGGACGTGTTTCAATGGGACATCGACGACGAAGGCTACGATCAGCAGGTTGAAGGTGTTGAGCGGGTCCATTTCTTCAGCAAGGGCAATTTCCGGGGAAGTTTCCAATTGGTTTCTGAGGAACAGTTTTTTAATATGAGTGAGGCGTTTGCTGGCGCTCTTTCGGGGGAGAGTAACGGGGGTAGGAAAGAGCAGCAACGGCGAGGACCACTACTAGGTGTGATGAGTACGTTTGCGGTTGAAGATATGGATGAGACGTTGGAGAAGATCGTGGATCGTGGTGGGAGGGTATTCCAGTACGTCATCTCCGTCCTTTTCTGGACCATATTCGCGCAGCGTGACTGATAAGACTTCGCATATAGAGACAAACAGATTCTCGGAAGAGGGATGGGCTCCATTGCTAGGTTTGTTGATACAGAGGGAAATGTTTTTTCTTTATTCTCATATCATATTTGGGATTCTGAATGAGAAAGCACGCGATGAAAGTCCACGCATTGCAGGACTGATTCAAAATCAACACCTTTACGCGCCACGACCTTTGTATTATATTTTTAATTTCTTGGAAGTTCCATCGAGGATTTATCAATTGCTCATTCGAATTGATACCCAGAATCAATTTATATTTTACAATGCTGCAAATGCGTGGACGGGGTTTAAACCTAGATTACACTACGAATTTTCTGACTGAATCCAGCAGGAAAGTACTGAGTGGCTGCGGACAGATATCTATTTATCAAAAGCCACAAACAACAAGAGGTTAGAGTCGCACGCCTCTTTGCAAATGAGACAGGGGTCACAATATTCAAGTAGGGTTAGGGTTGATCACAAAGCATTAGTCATGCGCGGTGATTATTAAAGTGCGCCAAAAGTGGCTTAGCGCCTGATACTGGTGTCTCCAAAAGACAATTTAATTTTCTTCATATTTGTAGCATGAAGATCGGAACTCATTTGTAAGACGCCTTACAAATGATATTCTCGCGCCCTAGGATTGACAGCTTGTCCAATATCTCCCGTCAATCTCCTCCAATTTGATGGATGAACTTCTCTTTTCTCGATGAACTATTAACCACATGAATTTTTCCTTCTTCTCTCGTTGACCTGTGAAACGGATGCAAGACAATGGAACCACGCAATCCGCCGCCTGATAATGAAATGGGTGGTACTGAAATCGCCCAGCCACCCAGGTATTCGGGCCCTATAACGGGTGTGCAGCCGGCCGTACAGCCCTTTGCCGGTCGTATCGGTGGCAATCAGGCGCTGGTACTAGACCGGAATGATCCCAAGAATTCGGATTACCTAAAGGCAGTGCCGGACGCGGCACCGTTCATGAGAATATCTGAAGCGTTGGATGTGCGCGGTTTTCTTGACTTGAATCTCTGGAAGTTTGCTGTCGTCGAGGGCGTAGGTAAGTGGCCCTTAGAAATAAACTTGGTATTAATTCCGAGCTTATTTTGAGTACAGCCTCATTTTTGCTCATCTTCATCACCGGCTGGATTGCCATCCAGCCCAAACCAAGCTCGTCATCATCAGTATCAACAAACACAAGTTCCGCGGGAGTCTTCGGAACCACAACCTTCTTAGGCCCTCTGGTCGGCGGAATCACGAATTGGCTGTTCCTCACTTTGTTCATCTACTGTTTCGCACCCATTAGTGGTGGCCACATCAACCCCACCATCACACTGGCTACCTTCTTTGCACGCCTTATCTCTTTTCCGCGTATGGTTCTGTATCTCATTGGGCAAACAGCCGGTGGTGCACTCGCAGGTCTAGTGCTCAAAGACGCCTACGGATCATCGGACTTTGCGGCTGGCGGTTGTCTTGTCGAGACAAATCTGGTTGAGGTTCGACAGGCATTCGTGTTGGAGTTTATGTGCACTCTGACTTTGATCTTTATTGCGTTTGGGGTAGCACTGAATCCGAGGCAGGAGAGAATTTATGGTCCGGCGTTGGCTCCGTGGCTTGTAGGTTTGACTTTAGGTCTGTTGAGCTGGGGATCGGCGTATGAGAAACCTGGGTATGCTGGTGCTAGTATGAATCCTGCTCGTTGTTTTGGTATATACGTTGGCAGTGGGTTCCCTGGATATCATTGGATACACTGGGTAAGAGCTTCAAATTCAGGTTTACAGACATGTTACGTTAATCAAACATGGACTAACATGTGTTGATGTAGGTTGGGGTTATCTGCGCCACTTTAGCACATGGCGTATTCTACCAATTACTACCACCTTGGATTTCTGAGAAGGCGAAGTAAATTTATAGCGTCATGAGTGCTTTTGAAAAGAATTGTTGGGTTTGAGCGCCGTGAAGATGAACATCTAGTAAATGTTTTAATACTCTTCCTTCTAGATATAATTAACAATTAATCATACATTTGCAATCTATTTCAGCATATCCTCTTACTATACCACAGTCTCCGGATCTTTTTTGACATCTTCCTTTTTGATACCATACTCTGTGTCCAGCTCATTCCTCAAGGGAACCTCCTTCTCAATAAAGACCATCAAAAACCCAAGGGCAACAAATGCAATACCCACTTGCCACATTCTCTTCAAGCTATCCGAAAAGACCGAAATGACCTGAGCCCTTACAACTGGATCGGTTATCGAATCGACAAACTCTTTCGTGGCATGCTCATATGCCTGCCCACCAGTGAGCAAAGAGACAACACTTGGGTCTTGAATCCGGGCCGACAACTGGGTAGTTCTAGCATTAAAGATTGTAGAAGGAATCGTGACACCCCACGTCATGCCAAAACTTCGTAGAAAAGTCCAAGCTCCGGTCACGCTTCCGGTATCCGCGTCGGTCAACTCCGCTTGCACCATTGGAAGCAAAGTGGGTACGATAAGGCCGAGGCCAACAGCCATTATCATCTGGAAGAGTACCCATGCTGCAGTGGAAGAGTTCTCATCCAGTAGCGAGAATAGACCGAATGATACCGCCATGAATGCAAATCCAATAAAGTGAATTGGCTTGTATCGTCCGACTCGCTGCAAGAGAACTCCAGCAATCATGGCACCTGGTATGACCGTGAAAATGGTAGGCAATAGGTCAATTCCTGAGCGTTCAGGGCTTGCACCGAGAACGGACTGGAAATATATCGGCAGGAAGAAAAGTGGTATCATAAAGCTAATAGCATGGAGAAAGGTGAGGAAAAACGCTATGAGCGACGTCCGGTTCTGAAACAGATGAAGTGGCATGATGGGATCAACAGCGAATTTTTCATAAATCAGGAAGCATCCCAGGCCAACAAAACCCAGAACAAGAGGGAGTATCACCTGGACCGAGGACCAAGAGTAGGTCGCGCCGGCCCAGGCTAGAGCAAGTAAGCTGGATATTGCAGAGCCTACGAATATGACGCTGCCACCCAGATCCAGTCTCTTTAGCTTCTGGATGATTGTCATTTCCTTTTCGTATTCCACTTGCAAGAAAAAGACCAATGCGGTCAATGCGAGGCCGCCTATCGGAATATTGAGATAGAATACCCATCTCCAAGTAGTTTTTTGCACAATGAGTCCTCCAAATAGCGGTCCAAGTCCAGAGCTAAACAGATTGGTACCCATGACGATACCGAGATAGAAACCTCGTTCTCGCAGAGGTGCAATATCACAAACAATAATCTCTGTCAGGGTCATTGTCCCCGCTGCTCCAATACCCTGTATAACTCTACCTACGATCAACATCTCGATACTGGTGGCGCCACCGCATAATCCGCTTCCCAGTGTGTAGAGGGCCGTTGCGATTAGCATGGGATATCGTCTGCCGAATACGTTGGCGAACTGGCCGTATATGGGCATTAGTGCAGTCCTATTCACAACCTGTCAGTCTATTAATCTCAGTCAGTAAAATTATCAACTTACGTTGCCAATAAATACGCGTTGGCGACCCATAGATACTTGTCCGCGCCATTCAGATCGGCGATGATTGTCGGCAAGGCAGTTGTAACAATAGTGGCCTCAAGGGCTGTGAGATTACCGGCAATGGACAATGTTGCAATAATGCCCCAGAATCTGAAGCTTTTCTTGGATGGTGATTGATTGGCGACGGGCATCTTGTCGCTGTTCTTATCTATTGAGCGTGTCGCAGGACCATCCGTATCTTGTTCATTGGACATCTTGAAGATTTTCCACAAGGAAAGGATAGGAAGTTACCGGTATTATATATTGTTTGAATAGTCGGTAGTCGAAGTCAAGGAAAAAGAACGAAAGCTGAATCTGTGTGTCCCGATTTGAAACAGTGTATAAGTATACACCAGTATTGAGGGTGTGGCTGTCTGATGAATTGTGAATTTGGTCTCTATACAGATCTAGCAGGTAGATACACTTTATACCACCTTCATAGAGCTATTTGCATTCATATGAGTCTTTTCCATACGAATTAGGGCATATACTTCGGATACTTCTCTGACCTTTGGTTGGCTAGTCGGAGACGATTCGGAGATCGGCCCCACTCAACTTAATCCGGCTTAGTTCATCGCCGAATCTCTTCAGGCGACCTGAGCATCTCCAACAACAAATCCTCTATAATCCTATATCTTCATCCAGTCGGACGTATAGAATATGTATGGTGGCAAGAGATCAGCTTGTGACCGATGTCGAGACCAGAAACTGCGCTGCCGTCGCGAAAATGGCGTCGCATGTGTTCGATGCGTTCGTGCCGGAGCGACTTGCATCACAAGCAATGCGAAGCCAACGGGACGACCGTTACGAAAGCCCCTCTACGATCATATAGAGCACTCTCACTTATGGATGCCTACGCCACAGAAGACTCTTGATAATCGGTATCCAGGGATGGCGCCAGATGCCAACCGGCAGAATGTATTCCTTTCAGCAACATCGCCGAAGATAGACATGCCGCAAACCGGACTAGATTCTGCAATGCAAATTCAGCCTCAGTCCTGGGATTCAATGATGCCAGACATGCCGACGGACAGCTTCTCTACGACGATGGACGATTTGTTCTCCTTCATAGGTCCACCGTCATGTGGATCAAATGTCGACGATCTACTACAGGGCTTTCTCGACCAGTCCACGGCTTCATGTACCCCTGAAAGTTATCCTCTGACACCGCGAGACTCAACTCAGCAAAGTCCTGGGGAAGAGAAGAGTGTCCCGAGTTCAGAGTCTGCATACCACAAAGATCCACTGCTCGCATTGTCTAAGTTGAATCATTTCCTCATCGAGTGCCATTTCATTCTACAGAACCAGTCTTGCCCGCCGCCGTGGCGAGTATCAATGGCCGATCCAAACCTAGCAAGAGAATCAAAACTCGATAAAAACCCAGTCGGTACGCTGTTGCGAAGTACTGCCGAATTTATTGACATTGTCATAACATGGACAAAGACTATGTCTGACCAAGCGACAGACTGCGAGAAAAGAAAAGACAGCTTGAACTTTTATCATTTTCAACCCGCAACATACACGCTCAACAAGCCTACTATTTTGATGATGATAACGACTTATATATTGTTCGTTCGCATGTTCGACGTGCTATACTCCCGTCTGATCGTCGCTCTTCAAGAATTTCCGAACGAAGTTGCAAAAGTCAGTTTTGAGCCTGGTTTCCAACTTGCCGGCTTTTCTCTGCCACAAGGACTGTTGTATTTGAAAATCAGCGTACAAGCCTTTGAACATCAGCTCGAACGCATCGAGAGCTCGTTGGGCTTGCCGGCGGAATATAGAGTTTTCCATTCGGAAAGGCAACATGATTCGTCTGGTGTTTTTGATAATGCGAAATATCAGTCTTTACTGAAAGCAGTCATGATGGAGAAACTTGAAGATGATGATGAAGATGATGAAAATTCAGAGCAAGACAGTCAGGGCGACGTCTTTCGGCTACGAAAGAAAGTGACCAAAATGAAGGAACTTTTGCAGAGATTGTGATGCATACTCTGCTCCTGTTTGACCTTACTTTGAGACAATATTCTAGCTGTCACACGAACTCCATCTATCAAGATATCCAGGTTTCTGACTATTGATATGCATCGGATAGTAGTGTGTCACCTGTGTCTTGATAGATGCACCAATCAAGCAATAGAGTTTATCCGAGATGCCAGGCAACAATACGACCGCGACACCAGGTAGCACATCCTTATCGCTTGTCTAGGCCCGATAGTCATACAAAAGCTATGCCCAACCGATCGAAAGTCAAAAGCCAAAGACACGCATGACATGACTAATTTTGATCAAGGCCTTAGCGCATGATGGCTATCTCTGCGCCGGAGACGTCACTCCAGGTCTGAACACACAGGAAAACAAGGATGGTGTTCTACATGTAATAGCAGCACATGGCCAATCAACAGAGTCATTCGGTCGAAGGTTCTGGGAAAGTCAATGCCTCCAAGCTCAAAATCTGAACTCAATTCGCCGAACAACATGCTCTTGCGTCACCCACATTCTCGACATGCATTGTCTGACAATCTGGATAGCGCCGCTTACGACGGTTCGCAGTATGTCCGACCAAGAACTAGAATCAAGGAACAGTCAACCATCACGTCCAGACTTCCCAGGACTCAAGCCTTTGTTGGGATGCAGGAAACCTTGAATCCGATCATGTTTTACCCCTCTTGCCCGCAAACTTTCAAGGTCAACGACTGCCTCTTCGTGCGAAAGAAAAGGCCATTGTTACATTGATTTAACTATGTAGTCTGCAAGTACAAAGCCTGCTTGAGTAAAAGCCAAACAGCCACTGAAAGTACGCAACAAAGCTTATATTTGAAGCATGTACATCATACTTTCGTGGCTTCTCATCAACTTTAAATATCCACTTGAACATTCGCAAAAAAAAAAAAAAAACGTTCATTGCTGTATCTTCCATTGAATTCAGAAATTCACCCCCATCATACAGTAAAAAGTCTTCAGGTTACACCCTTAATGACTGCCCACAGATGAAAAATATGACATACACACACCCGCCGTCCCATGGAACCTGCCCAAAATTCTCCGACTGACCCAGAAAAATGAACCCCACGTTACCTCCTCTACCTGCATAGCAGGTAACTAAACTGCTTACTACTTACCAATCCAAGGTCTCAGACATGCCACTCGGGAAATTAAACCATGTCATCATCGCTGTCATCTTTAATTTCCGCTGCTTGTCCGCTTCTTGTCCATCGTAGACTAAGACCCCTCTATGGAGTATGTGGAACTGGTATCCATTCTGATGCTTTTCTCGTTTTCTAGCGTGTGATGATCGATCGATCGATTGAGTCTGTGTAAGTATCGGTGTACATACTACCTACGAAGTACGTACGGAGTACATAGGGCTAGACTTCCGTGTGGTTGACCGTTGTGGCGATATGTACTCAGTAGTATGTAGTTATGTGGGATAAACTTCCGATGCATCTATGCATTTTTGTCCAATTTTGATCGATGATGTTTGTTGAATGTGGACATTTTCGAGTGAGACATCTTCGAATGTGATATGAGTATGCATAAATATACATGGGTACATCCATGTATAGAAAGAAGCAAGACCCGGGATCAGGGAATAGCATCTACAATACCTGTTGGCGCATATGTCCCAATACCATTGGCATGGATCAGGCCATCTACAAGCCTCCAAATCCAAGTCGTGCCTCTACGACGATTTACCCCATTAAACATATTGTGCATATGTAGGTATACATGGATACATATGTATGTCTCGAACTTGAACTGACCATGTCGTAGAGACTTTTGACTTGACAGGTCACACCGACCACTGGCCATCAAGCAATCCTATGCTAGAATCCGACCGGATCAAGCCGACACTCGCAGGAGAATTCGTATTGCCTACCCAGGGTTAGCACTATAGCAGCGACCAGGCTTTCGAGACATTTTGTGGGTCTTGTGTTGATTCCTTGTTGACTTCAGAGTTCAGAGTTGTGACTTGTCACGTTGTCGGGTCGTCGGCTTCGCGGGAGTGGACGTTTCCATTCCTGCTTTTCTCGCTTCATACTACGAGTAATTGCGCGTACTTTCTTCCAACTTGTAAATGTAAGTGGATCAACAAACAGAAAACATCTCTCTCGAACTTAATTTAGCCATACCCTCCATCCGAACCGGGTGTTTAATCTAAAAGTAAGGGTCTGGAAATGGCTAGCTGCATCATGATGTCTCAGTCACCACTTTATCGGTACCCCACCGGACATTCCTGTCTGGAGTGTAGAATACATACTACGTATGTGTACATCGCTGTGCAGTGGACCGTTACAAAACTCAATAGTGCCGGCGCCACAGTCCGTTCGGCTACGCGGGATTGTCGTGTTGTGGCTGACCCTGACGGCTTGATGCCTGTCTGTTCAACTGTGTACTACGTAGTACTACGAGTATTGTACAAAGTAGTTAGCTATTATAAAATGTAGGAAGATTGATTGAAGTCCTGGAATGAATAATGAACTGGTGTTATAGTTCTTTTGCAACTTGCTTCCTGTTGTTTCGGATATATGTGTGATTACATGTTCATATTCCAAAATTTAAGAGTATGACTGGACAATACCATACCGTCAATTACGTACCGCAACGTGGCTGAAATAGTGTTCTCGGTCCGTCGGATAAAACCAAAAATGAGCCAGCTAACCAATCAGGTACTGGGTCCCGCAGTGCAGGACTTGGCTCCAGCGCTTAATTTATTTGACGTCCTGCTATTGGCCAACTCCTTTTCGTGCCCCTGTGTTTCAGACGTTGTGCATCCGCCGGGTCCCATTGGATTTTCGCTGATCTGTAGCCGCTACGTATGTCCTCTGTACTGCGTAGTATGTTACTGTACATAGTACATCCTGTGTCAAAAATAGGATCAAGATCTTCAGCGTTGGCGCTCACTGGGCGTCAAGCTTCGTCCAGTCTGAAGTCGAGATGTGTTTATGCTTTCTCTTCTACAAGCTACAACTAGGTGTTTTGTTTCAACTCAAGCTTAGCGTTCGCACGTTCTCAGGAACCGATCGTGGTGTTCGGATCCTGAAACGAGACTAGGCGAGGATGACATGGGAAGGCGTTGCACAGCCATGATCCGGAGACATCGGACTTTTACAGAGTAGTTGCGTTGTAACATCGGTCAGCGCTCAGCAGAGATATCCGGTGTATTCGTAAAGATTATGAAGGAGTCTGGAGGACTGTAGTGACGTGGTATCAACCTCAGCGTACAACTCCTCTTGACAACTTGAGGTACTCCGAAAGTCTTATGACGCGTGTAGCTGTCAACCAACATACTCGGTAGGACTCGTCACTCTGTCGGTCATCTCAGACATGCATCCAGCGCCATCTACAGGGCCTGGGTAGAATTAATGATGCTTTGGGTCTTGCTGAAAGTCCGAGACCTGACCATCAAATGACAACCACGTTGTTGTAGGTCAGCGGGGCGACCTGGACCATGGACATGGAGTAGGCAGAACTTGTTTCGAGACGGCACTCGACTGTCCAATGCCCGTGCAGGGCGAGCGACTGTGGGTTGCTGGTGAAACGAATCAAATCGTTCGGTATTCACTGCTACTACTATGTATGTATGTATTCGTACGACAGAGTAAGAGAGATCCAGAAACAGATCGGACCGGCAAATGCCAGAAAGAAGGCCGCCGTTTGTTTGCGTCCCAAAAAGGAAGCAGCGACCACGGCTGCCCCACTGTCTGTCCCAAAAAGGCAAGCGCGGTTCGATGTGGCAGGCGCTAGGGACGCTCCTGCCAGACCGCCTTCTGATTGGCCAGCGGTATGCGCGACCCTGCTATTCATAGAGTCTCCCTCAACCAACAACATCCCCTGCTTCTACTTCAAGCAAACATTCACCTACTCAAATATGAAGAGAGTACGGAGTCGAGTCGAGGAAATCGGTGACTCGATGGCCGTACGACGGGCCTATTTTGGTCTGAGAAGGACGTAACTTGGGAGGTGTTAGCGCCCTCCGTTGATCATCGACTCCATTGGCGCCATGCTGTGTGGATCAGCCACAGTTTCCAATATGGAGACTACCCTGACGAGAGCTAGACTATCCTTACGTGCTGTATTTAGTTAGCATGGATACAAGCATGAATGCAGACGCAATGCAGTCCTCTCGTCCGTCCCTGCTTCTGCCCTTATAATACGTTTATGCGCTCACTCCTCTGAGTCCTCCCCACTCTCTTTCCTCTCATCCTGTCATTCACTCTTTGTTTCTGTACCACCGTCGCTCATTCCTACTTTCCTCAAGCTTATATATTCTGTTCTTGTTTCTCCCTTCCTGGTTGGGTTCTCATCCACAGAGTAGGCGTTTCGAGGAAGACTTTCGTTACTTTCCCCTCGAACTACGCGGCTCTTGATACCTGCCGATCACTCGCTTGCCCAAGGCTTGTCTGTCGTTATAATCCCTTGAAGAACCTCTTTCACAAAGGTCGAACTGTCAAGGACTGTACAACTCAAGCTTAATCATAATGAAGGTGTCTTCGATCTTCGTGCTCCTGGCGAGCACTGCCCTTGCCGGCAGACCACAAACCACTCCATGTGATGATGACAAGACTACTTCAATTCCTCAACCTCAGAGCACAGGCTGGGGAGACCACACTGAGACTTGGGTTTCTCCAAGCCCGAGTCTGAGTGTACAGCCTCACTCTCAGTGGCCCAGCTCTGAGGCCTGGCAGCCATCTACCGAAGGCTCCGGCCATCCCACGACTACTCCCTGCGAGAGCAACACGGTCGTTCCTGTGACCTCACCTGCTGGAGCTCCTTCGTCTACCGGTCTCAGCTCCCAGCCTTGGATTCCTACCACAATCGCTTCTTCTGCTCCTGCTACTGATGTTACCACCAAGACTTCTACCTACACCACCACAACCTGCCCTGGTAAGTTACTTGCTGCTATCATTTCGTATTATGCTAACCTGATTAGTTGGCACAACTACTATCACTTCCGGCTCCAGCACCATCACAGCGCTCACCACTGGAACCACCACTGTTGTTGTGACAGATGTCATTACATGCACAAAGGAGGTCTGCCAGCCACACACTGTGACCATCACTCCCGTCACCACGGTCTCGTCCGAGGTCTTCTCTACTGTTACTCGTACCTACACCACAACCACATGTCCTGGTATGTATAATCTTGAAGTGTATATTTTATGGCTCTAACATTGGCTAGTCGGCACGACCACCATTACATCTGGCTCCAGCACCATCACCTCGCTCACTACTGGCACCAGCACTATTACCGTCACCGACACTGTGACTTGCCACACTGGTAGCTGCGCTCCTCACACTACGCCATCTGCTACCGTCACCCTTCCAAGTGTTGCTATCACTTCCGTCACTGGAACTACCATTGTTACCGGCGTTGTCTCATCTAGCTCGCCAGCTGTACCGGTCATCTCTAGCACTGTTGTACCTTTCTCTTCCGCTCCTACTGGTGTTTCACCTACTACCGCTACCGTGGGAACTAGCACACCTGCAGTCCCTGGTGTCTCTAGCACTCCTGGAGTTCCCGGAATTTCTTCCTCTGTTCCTGTTGTGCCTGTATCTTCTGTCCCCACCGAAGTTTCGCCCACGACCATCGGTACTAGCACCCCTGGAGCACCTGGTGTCTCTTCTTCCGTTCCGGTTATTCCTAGCGGCCCCAGCAGCGTGCCTCACCGTCCCAGCACTACACCATGCACCACTGGCTCCGTGCCTGTGGTTTCTGTTGGATCTTCCTCAGTTCCTGTCATCAGCTCTGCTGCACCTACAACGACTGCTTCGGAAGTTATCACTACTAAGACGATCACTTTCACAACCACCACCTGCCCCGTTGGAACCACCACAATCACCTCCGGCAGCAGCACTATTACCTCCGTTACCACTGGAACTAGCAGCATTACCGTTACCCAGACTGTGACCTGCACCAAAGAGGTCTGCCATCCCCACACTTCTACTCCCACCAGCGTCGGACCTACTGTCCCTGTTGTTACTGGATCTGGCACTCCAGCCCCTAGCTCGGTCGGAGCTACCACTGTTGCTCCTTCTGGCCCTGCAACTACCCCTGTGACCACTAAGACTATTACTTTTGTTACTACTACCTGCCCTGTGGGAACCACCACAATCACCTCTGGTTCCAGCACCATCACCTCCGTCACCACCGGAACGAGCAGCATCACTGTCACCCAGACCGTCACTTGCACTGAGGAGGTTTGCCAGCCACACACTGCTACTTCTACCGCTCCTGGTGAGACAACTGTCCCAGTCACGATTCCAGTCACTGGTACCCCAGTTCCTTCCTCTGTGGGTCCTACTTCAGTCACGCCTTCTGAGTCTGCTCCTGGATCCGGTACTGTTCCCGTCGTGAGCGAAACTGGTACACCTGTTCCTAGCTCCGCTGGACCTACTACCGTTGGACCAACTACTGTCGGACCAACTTCGGTGGTCCCTACTACCGTCGCTCCTTCTGGACCAGCCTCCGAGTCTATCACCACCAAGACCATCACCTTCATCACAACAACCTGCCCAGGTAAGTATCTAAAAGATGCCTATTTGCCATTGATAGTGCTAATTAAGTATAGTTGGCACCACTACTATTACCTCTGGATCTAGCACTATTACTTCTGTTACTACTGGAACCAGCAGCATCACCGTTACGCAGACTGTGACCTGCACCAAGGAGGTCTGCCAGCCACACACCACTGGTGTACCCACGACTGTTGTCCCCACCACCGTCGCTCCCACGACTGTTGTACCTGAGACTACTGTCCCTGGCGAGACCACCGTTCCTGGCGAGACCACCGTGCCCGCTGGAACTACTGTCCCTGCTGAGACCACCGTGCCTGCTGAGACCACTGTCCCTGCTGAGACTACTGTCCCTGCCGGTACGAGCGTTCCTGCTGAAACCAGCATTCCTGTTTCAACCATTACCGTCAGCCCCATCCCGGTGCCTTCTTCTGCAGGCGCTACTGGTACTTCCTCTGCCCCCGAGTCCGTGGTTACCAAGACTCTGACCTATACCACTACTACCTGCCCTGGTATGTATCTCACTCGATCAAAGCCTATAATTGCTAACATAACATAGTTGGAACTACAACCTTCACTTCTGGGTCTAGCACCATTACTGCTGTTACCACTGGCACCAGCAGCATCACTGTTACCCAAACAGTGACCTGCACCAAGGACGTTTGCAAGCCTCACACCTCGGTCGCTCCCACAACAGCAGTTGCAACAGTTACTCCTACCCCAGTTGTTGTCACAATCACTTACACCACAACCACCTGTCCTGTGACCTATGTCCCCACTACTAGCGGAACTTCCACCTTCAGCATTCCCGTGACCGGCACAAGCACCATTGTTGTCACTGCAGTGACCACCTCTACTCCTGCGGTGGTTGTACCTAGCACGACAACTGTCCCTATTGTCCCTGCTGGCGAAACCACTGTTCCTGCCGGTGAGACCAGCACTGTTGTGCCAGTTCCTGTTGGCGAATCCACCACTGTGGTCCCAGCTCCAGCTCCTTCCTCCGTCTCCCCCGAAGGTACCACTATTGTCCCTCCGGCTGTTGGAATCACCACCACTGTTCCCGCTCCCGCTGGCTCCACCAAGCCCGCTTCTTCTCCATCGTTCACACCTTCTCCCTCTTCCAAGGTTGTCTCAACTCCAGGCTCATCCACCCACACATCCACCAGCCCTCTCTATACCGGTGCCGCCCCAGCCGTCAAGATTGGTTCAGCCGGTGTTTTTGCTGGTGCCATCGCCATCTTGGCTCTGATTTAAAGCCACCTCTCTTTCTCTGTTCAAAAAATGTTGCATTGCTTCTCTTCATTTGTTTTTGATTCCTCTCTTTAGAGGTAGCGATTGATTACGCTATTGTCTAATATCTATTCTTCCCTTCTGATCATGACAGCCTGGTTTCATATGCAAACTCCTGTTCAGAGTCCCCTCTTTTTGGCGATCTTATCAGATCGAAAATTTGTTACCTTCCGTAACTTGTACAGTCTCTAGAGTTCCAATCTCGTTTTATATATCTATGATTTGATTATGTGTTTGTATGCATATATGAGATTTGATATTTCATGTTGTTCTCAGTCGTCATATAGCTCTATAATCTACTCTAAAGTTCTAGACGACAGCCTACAATTGGAATTCCACATCAATCTCGCGAAAAAATCATCGGAAAAATGACTAATGGAACATTCTGCCCAAATCAGGGATATAGTTTAGCATCCAAGAGGTCAGTCCTCAATCTATCAAGCAATCATCCTAATACGCCCAGACTTAATCCAGTATTGCAAAAGCGCCGAATCGGACTCCGAAATACAAAGAGGCTGAAACAGAAAATATTAAGGATTTTTCCTTGCATGGATGCATATCTGATGACTGGAGCGCACCAATCAACGATGCGCTCGCTGGGATGCATAGCTTTCAACTGAAACGTAATGCGAAGAGCTCGGCGCTTATTTTGGTATTCGAGGTAAACTATGTAAATGACTTACAACTACGCAGCTTAAAACTCGATTAGAATTTCCCTCCAGAAATGAGGCTGGAAGGAAGTGCATTGTGTAAAGTTGTAGCTAACTAGTAACATGAGTGGTTACGATTAAGCGTTGTGCCCTAATTGCCTATCATTTAGCGCGATGTCTAATTCTATACCAATACAACAGAAAGCGAGATCTTGAACATACGTAACGCGTTAGCGAAATAGTAGTAGATCTGTAATAAGAGTTATCGCCAGATATTGGCTTATGCCACCATTGCAGTACTAGATGTGCGGCGTAGTACCTGCTTTCCATAAAACCGATATTAGGTTGTGAAGTAGGCCAGTCATGTCAGTTTTAAGAATTACACACACAATAATGGGCTTGGCGGTCGTGTCAGGGTCTGCGGCTCGTTAATCAGACGAAGTTTTTCTCATCCTTATGTTGTCATCCCAAGACGAACACAGCTTTCTTCAATATCTCCACGAAAATCCCGCAGCAGCAGCTAAAATGAGCAATCACTATTCCTTGAAGGCCGGAAAGCCGTTGTCTTGGAGCCGGGATTGGGACGGTCTCCAAGTCGTGCATGATCAGAACGCGGATGGTCTCCAGGCCGTGGGCGATCAAACGGCGGATGGTCTTCAGGCGCTGTATAGGAATTCGAATCAGGGTTATCCCGGCTATAATTCGCCGTCACAGATTGGTACGAATGGAGAGAAGGGAGGGACGAGAAGAATATGCGGCTTAAGGGCGACGAGCTTTTGGCTTGTATGTGTTATTGTGATCCTTATTGTCGGTGGTGGAGTTGGTGGTGGGATAGGAGGGTGGTTGGCGAGTCGGAAATTAGAGTACGTCACGAAGAGCTTCCTCTGCATGTTCTGTTCTGATCTAATAACAGTTACTCAATAAGCAGCCAAACACCACCCAACACAGCTACTCCAACACCGACGAGCACAAAAACCATCTCAACAACAACATCGACGACATCAGTCTCCACCCCTGCCAGCACATCGACCTCTATATCAACAGATATCTGCCCCAGCGCCAACGGCACAACTCTCACCGAAACCCTCGGCTCATTAAAATACCGTATAATATGCGACTCCGATTTCAGCGGCAGCGGAAAGATCACGCTATCTTCAATTGTGCTAGCAACATTTGATCAATGTCTAAGTTTCTGTAATACGATGAACTATTTCCAGAGCCGGACGGATGTTGGTTGCACTTATAACGTTCAAGGTACGGGCTCGCAGACACCGGGGACGTGCTGGTGTTTGGGAGGGGAGAATAAGACTATCGTGTCGGATGTGGGGAATGTTATTGCTGTGCCTATGTGATATGTAATGTATATTCATGAGATTGAGCGTTCTGTTTTAAAGAGCATCTACACCCCTGAATAATAGCTTCTAGTGTGTTTGCTGTATATCGTACTAACCTATTGTGTTGTACATATGGCTACTCGGATCGTATAGCGAGTTGACAAATACTTAATAACATAATTCTCTTCTGGTTTTGAGAAAAATTTAGTATCTCTATTCATGCCATCAGCAATCGGCCGCGGATGAACATGATTCCTTGATGGATTGGCAGGGCAAACTGAAAAGCAGGCCACCCGCGGCCGAGATTCTACTCTAATACCTTCAGACCTAAAAGCGACTGTGTCATCAGACTCTTTATTGTTTGATCTTTCGTCTATCCTACTTCAAATGGATCGAATCACTGGTAACTTCTTATTTCATCATTTCAGTTTTATCTTTCATTTTGAAGAACGGAAGCTAAGTAGCCACCGACCATTGGTTTTGCACGTAAGGAAAACCCGCTCTCAACATAACAGAGCTTTGACTAACTGTCAGATAGGATTTTACGGTCCGGAATCTGCCGCAAAAGAGAGCCTTGAATGAGAACTCAAGCAAGCCTGTCAAGAATTCGGTTTCTTTCAACTTGTCAACCATGCTGTTCCTTCCGACCTACAACAGCCTATACTTCATCAAAGTAAACAATTCTTTGACCTTCCAATGGAATTCAAAGTAAAGTATAGCAAGGGCAAGTCGCTTAAGCCTTGCTCTTTAGATCTAAATATCAGTTATCTATTACAGTGATAACTGATGGATGATAACAACAGACATCGGAGGTTTCAACCGCGGATACGAACGTCTCAGGGCTCAAAATTTCGTTTGAAAGAGGGCTTTTACCTCTGAGCAAATCTACCACTCAGCGATCCAAACGTGGTAGCAAGGAAATTTGGTCAGGGACCGAACAAATACCCAGAGGAACCAAGTGATCCTACAGAATTCCGAACTGTAGTAGACGATTACCACAGAGCTCTCACGTCGCTCGCAATGGGCATTCTGCAAATGCTTGCCCGGACCTTAGACCTAGAGGACAATGCCTTCATCGAGTTTTGCAAGCACCTTGTTGCTGTACTTCGACTCCTGTATTACCCTCCTCAGGAGCCCGATGTAACCGAGTTAGAGCGAGGTAAGCCTCTTAATTTTGGTAATGCTGTCTTCGCTGATGATATGATCCAAGTATCAGCGCTCATACAGACTTTAGCGCTGAAGCAATATTGTTACAAGACACGACCGGCGGCCTACAAGTATGGAACAAGGTTTCTTTAGAATGGATTGATGTCACTGCTATCCCAGGAGCCTATGTAGTCAACCTAGGCAACATGATGATGCGGTGGACCAACGATCGATACTTCTCTACTTTGCATCGAGTGATCAATAAGAGCGGCAAGAAGCGTTTCAGTGTACCGTTCTTCTTTTCTGGGAACCCGGGCTAATTCGCTGCTTGCCTAGCTGCGAGAATGCTAAGGAAGGAGCGAAAAACCCTCCGATTACAGTGGGAGAATGGATGGCAGGGCGATATGCGGATACTTATGGTACATTTGAGAAGAATACTATCGGTGAGCTTTGCAAGGAAACTGAAACCTAGGAAATGAAAACTTAATCAAGCTGTGGATTTGAGAACCGAGGCACTGATTGTAGTAATTACTTGTCAAAGGGTATGTGGGTACAGATAGCAGGTTACTTACAATATCTTGTTGGAACTACGTTCAAGAATATTTGGAATGTATCTATGGTGTTTTGCTCGCAAAATATAACCATGTTAAGCAATAGAAGAAGTCCGTGAACAGGTCAATAAAAAGCTGAAATGAGGCGTCAATAGCAATCTCTCTTTATCCCAGTGTTTCCATTTTCATGGATCCAATGTGCAACAAATTAGAATCTGAGTTCACTAAAAATAGGTACACTGCATGCCAAGGTCACCGTCGATTAAGTGATATTGCCGTATGTCTATTCAGGAACCCATTCGCCGGGGTAAGGACTTTAATGATTTGTACGCTTGACTATCTTTTGAGCTGAGCTTAGTGCACAAATTTATAAGCTTTTTCAAAGTTTGACACCCAGTTTTGCGGATCTGCTCGCAGATAGAACTCTATTCGGCATGAGTCGATCTACATGTCCCACCCAACACTCTGCAAAACGAGCTAAACGATCTAATGATAGCGCTACCCCATATGGACGCGTCAACTCGGAGGCCTAAGGTTCTCTAGCTTTGTTTCTTTTGTTCCCGCCTCCGCGGTTTAGACTTAGTTGTCTTTGATACTGACGTAATATGGCTAATTAGGGATGACTTTTTGCGGAGTCCTGCTGGTCTTGGTGTTGGTTTGTAGTCTTTAAAGCCAACAGAAATTGTAGTGGCGGTGCTCAATATAGTATTATTCTGTCCATTGTAAATCACTGCTTTTTCGGCGGCGCAATGCAGAAAAAAGTATTGGTCTGTTCATATGCCTCTTAGCCTCTTTTTGCGATTGTATTTAAAGAATGTCCTTCCTGACCGAATCCTAAGATAACAGACTCATTCTTGAACATTGAACTAATCCACGGAAGTACCTAGGCAATTGAAGGAAATAATATGGTTTACATTTCTCCTCTTGTCGCCTGCGTCTGCTTGGCCACTACCATCTCAGGTTACGACATTGGCCTCAAACAATATCCCCAGGAGTCCCGTGATAGCTTCAATGTTCTCAAACACGTCGGAGGCGATGGCCCTTACATACAGCGCGAATCGTACGGAATCAGCCGCGACCCTCCAGCTTCATGCTCGGTTGATCAGATTATCATGATCAAACGTCATGGCGAGCGCTATCCGGAGGTCGAAACAGGCGCAGAATTTGAGGAGCTCTTGAAAGCCCTGTATAGCACCAACATTACCTTCACAAACGAACTTGCATTCTTGAACGACTGGACCTACTTCGTTCCCGATGACTGCTATCTTGAGGCTGAGACCACTACAGGCCCGTACGCTGGTCTAGCCGATGCGTACAATCAGGGCGCTGACTACGCCAATCGTTACGGTCACCTACTTGATGGATATAATGGTTCGGTCATCCCTATATTCACGAGTGGCTACGACCGCGTCATCAACACCGCACGTAAGTTCGGCGAGGGATTCTTTGGTTACAACTATTCTACAAGTGTCGCCCTCAATGTAATATCCGAATCAGCAAATCAAGGCGCCGACAGCCTGACACCAACCTGTAACTCTGAAAAGAACCTCACAACCTGTGCTGCCCTTACGGAAAACTTCTCCATGTTTGACTTTCCTCAATTTGATCTTGCTGCAGCCCGCATAAACAACCAGACCGGACTGAACTTGACTGGGGAATATATTCTTGGCTTAATGCGTAAGTTTTACTCATTTTCGTGTTCAATTTCATCTAACTAATTTCGTACTGATAATTTAGAACTTGCTCCCTACGAGCTTAATGCCCGAGGTTCATCACCCTGGTTCAATGTGTTTACCGCTGATGAATGGGTGGCGTTTGGATATGTCAATGACCTTATCTACTACTATTGTTATGGGTATTGCTCTATTTTTTATTCTTTCCAATGGCTGTACTAATAATGCCCACCATGAATTAGTCCCGGTGATGCGAATATGCTTGCAGTTGGTGGTGTGTATGTAAACGCCAGCCTTGCCCTGCTGAATCAGAGTCCGTATGAAGCAGGCAGCATTTACCTCAACTTGTGAACTCCCTCTCGAATCCAGAACCTTTTTGTTCGTACTAACACAGATAGTGCTCACGATGACAACATCACTCCCATCATCGCGGCTCTTGGGATCCTCACTCCAAGCTCGGACCTACCGACCGATTCCATCGCGTTCGGAAACCCATGGTCAATCGGCAACATAATGCCCATGGGTGGCCACCTCACAATTGAACGACTGAGCTGCGAGGCGACTGCTGTCTCTGATAAAGGTAGCTATGTACGCCTCGTCCTCAACGAGGCCGTCGTCCCCTACCAATCCTGCCAGTCTGGCCCGGGGTTCTCCTGCCCGCTGGCAAACTACACTGAGCTAGTCAGTGCTAGTCTGCCGAATTATGTCTCCAACTGCAACATCTCGGCTTCGTATCCGCAGCACCTGGACTTTTGGTGGAATTACAACACTTCTAACGCGCTGAACTATCCCGCGGGACCGCTTGGTTGTCAGGCCACGACGACTTTGATTTAGCTTCGACACAGGTATTTGTGTACATACTAGATAGGTGCTGAGTTTAAAATGTAGTATACAAATTTGTGAATAATCTATTTTCAAGCACTATCGAATATGTCAATTGTAAAGCCCAAGATTGCAGCATCTCTGAAAAGCCAATCCACACAAGTGTTGCCATTGAACCTGGCAGAAGGCATTCCACCAGATTCCACATGTAGCAACCAGACACAATATATAGCAAACTTAAGTCTGACAAGGCATAAAATGAGTTCATGCAAGGCTGTGTAATCTATTTTCCCTTCCACTCGAACTCGAATCCAACATCTTCAGATGGCACGGTTGGCCCACTAAGCTTGCCCTTGGGCTGACAAGCCACCGTATGCTTACTTTGTTCACGAGTGCTTATGATATGAACCGCTACCGCCATGAACACGATGTACAATCAGGGCTTGAGTTCCTAGTAGTTACTGTCTGGGACGGGACGACCCCAAGGCTAGGCAGTTATACTAAAATTCATCACACTCGTCGGCATCAACAGCATCCCGTCATCACCAGCAATTGAAGAGCCATGGACAGTCACTTCCCGCGATAATGTAGAGGCGCGCGAGAACTATACGGTAACTACAGTTCTTTCTGAATGGCTTCGACAAGATTCCGAAATGAGGGGGGTTTGCATTGTATGCGTCGGATGTGGCCGGTACATACTGTGCCGCAAGCCAGATTGGACGAAACACATTGGATGGATGTGCAGTCGAATACTGATTTGTACTTGTTGTTTCCAACCATTAATTGAACTTCCTCTACACCTGATCTTTGCCGACGAACAGCTGGTAGATACATTGGGGCTCCTGTGACGCTGAGCTGGGGATCCTTCCGAAAGAAGCAGCAGTCTAAATCTGTGGCCTGGTAGTACCCAGTATATGACTGGAGAAAAAATCAAGCAGGCTATTTTTCGTAGAATGAGCTTGGGAAGTACTATTGAAATTACACGTTCTTGAAGTTTGGAACAAGACTGACATTGTTCTTCCTGTCTTCCATCACTGATGTATATATCTGATGAGGTATCTTTCAGCTCTATTTCCTCCTAGATTTTCCATTATTTGATGTTGGAGCCGCCCTGCTAACCAATCATTTCTGTCTCTACATAGTAAAAGCATGTAAAAATTATTCGCAAATGAATTAATACACGAACAATTTGCGATAGGGAATGCTATCGTACACACCAGTGGGTAAAATGAGCATGAATGACCATCTGTGCCGCATAAAGTCTGAACAAATGAGTCGTGCGGAAATGCATCGCCACCCTAACACATGGTACAAAGAAAATATCGAAGCATGAGGCTGTAGAATACACAGCCTTGCATGAATTTATTTTATGCCTTGTCAGACTGAAATTTGCTATATATTGTGTCTGGTTGTCCGGGCTAGATAGACATTTTGAATAAAATTTTACTTTCCTACCTGACCATATAACCTTAAACTCCCAGTTACTTCTATTACCCTTTTCAACCTAGTTACAGAGTCCTATTTTCATTAAAAAAATCCACAATATGCCTCACTCCATACCGAAAGACGAGAAGACAACCCGAAATTATGTGCCATTTTGGTCTGCGGATAAACTCGCCAATACCAAGGAGATCCCGACCTATCTCTTTCGCCTTACAGCCCCTGCGACAGACGGAACAACTAATGAAACTAATGTCTGCCCACCTGCACCACGAAATAAGAACTTCCTGGACCTATCAAGCTGTGATGCAGCCAATTATCTTTATCAACACCTTAAACCGGTCAATGGACATCAGGACAGTTGCAACTTCATGAGCTGGTCGAGTTCCCTTTCTTTCCTGATCCAGTACGCTTTCTATCGATCTAGAACATGGTGGACAGATCGAAATTTCAAAGATATAAAGCTTCTTGTCATTGATACCAGGAAATTGCCAAAGGGCATATTCGCCAAAGACATGGACTTGCTCGAATTTTTAAGTTCAACATGCGAATGCAAATATCATGAGGACCTCAAATACTTCACCAGATTGCGCAAAAGCAATTATTATTTCGGAGAATATCTCACTCAGGGCACTTTAAATCTCCTTGATGGGTACTGCAAACAGGTCAATTTCGGAGAAATGGTAGGTCTGGGACTATTCGACTTGTTACCAGATGTCTTGAAAGATGAGCAGAATTGGGAAAACTGGGCGAAACCCGTCAAATCATCTCGAATCCCGTTTTTCTCGAGCAATCATGATGAAACAACATTGGAAGATGAGGTTGATGTCGCCATGTCCATCGCAAAAACGCTCTTCAGAGGTCCTTGGTCACTTCCTGTTGCTGCCATGCTTCTTGGTCTTAAGCCTCGACAGAGAAATGACCCCATTATCATCAATGGTTTCATCGACAATTATGGAGGTGGGTACCCTTTGACGAATAGTAATTGACTGCATACTAATCCTCGAGTTTGATGCCAAAAAGTGGATGACATTCGAGACACTATATCACAGGGACTCATAATCGATGGCGAAAGGTTGCCTGAAGTTAACGAATATGGTTACATCCTCAGCGAAATAGCATTGAGTGTGCTAGAGATTGATGAGCTAGAATCCTCTGATACTGATGACTCTGTCGATAACGAGTCTACAGCTGTTGATGATTTGGCTTCGGTAAGTAGTACCTCATCTTAGGTAGCACGTCTTGAGTATCAGCTAACTCATGACGTCTAGGATTTGAATAATCAACTTACTTTGAATTAATGGAAGACGGGTATAGTGGGTTCTTGATGGGGGGTATAGATGAATGTTGCTTGTTTAATCATCATCGCCACATTTTATATTAGATAGTCATTTTTGTGTCTTTTTACTTAAATAGATTTCATTTGTACACATTTCAACTCATCAACTCGAGACCAAGCCCGGATTGTAATAAAAAGTATGGGACATAATCCACATTATCTCGAGTCGAATTATTTGCCTGATCTGTGATACTAAAAATATCATAACTAGTTAGTACCTCCATCTCCAAGCCGGATTCTTCCAATCCATAGCCTGCACCTCCGCAACCGACTTGCCCTCTAACACAGAATCCACATCAATCTTCTCCCTCTTTCGATTATCCCACTTCATCCACACCAACAGACCAACACTCAGCAAGAAAGTGGCACTAGCACAAGCCAAATTCAACCCATTACCAATATGGTAATTAGGGGCATCAAAGGCCAGATAACTCCATGTACTAACCAAGCCTCCGACGTTACCGAACATGACAACGGTACCAATAGCGCCGGATCGGGCAGTGTCGGAAATCACATTTGCAGATGCATTTGCATTGCAAAGTGCGCCAAATGAGAATGCGCCAGAGGCAACGAGGAAAGTAGCTCCGTAGCGAACATGAGCATTTTCAGATCCGAGGAACATGGCATAGCCGACGATCATAAGTGGAGCAGAGATAATGAAACAAATCATGCGACGATCAAACTGCCAGCTCATGAAGGGGATGAAAAGAGTGAAGAATGCACCGACGACGTATGGAGGCACGGTGTGTAATTGTTGCGAGATGACGCTGTCGTGAGGATAGATTGTCTTGATGATAGTTGGTGCGAAGACAGCTAAGCCTTGAACGGTGACGTTGTTCAATAAAAAGATCAGGGCTGTCATTAAGGTAACGGGCGAGAAGATTCCGCGGAGAACTTTTCGGCTATCGAGGGATTCAAGGACCTCAGTTACACCGACACGCTCGGACTTGAGACGTGCGATGGCGAGGTCCTTTTCGTCTTGGGTGAGCCAGCGTGCGGTGGATGGTCGATCGGTCATGGTGAAGTATCCGATGATGGCAAGTCCACATGTGATGACGCCTTCGATGGCAAAGATCATGCGCCATGTGTGCAGACTCCCGACAGATTCGAGCTTGAGGATGGCTGATGCAAGCAGACCTCCAAAGGCGCCTGCCAGAGGAGCCATGACGATATAGCATGATAGCCGGAAGGCAAGTTCACTGCGTCTATACCATCTGGACATGTAATATGCAATGCCGGGCAGTAGACCTGCTTCAAACATACCAAGCAAGAATCTAACTCCAGACGCGGCATGTATATTATTGACAAAAGCAGTTCCGAGACTGCTAATACCGAACCCCAGGGTCAATGCCGGAATGAATTTGCCCGGGCCGATCCATTTGCAAGCAATGTTGGATGGGATTTCGAATATGATATAAGAAGTGAAGAAGATGGATAAGACAATGTTGTAATCATTTCCTTTCAAGCCGAGATCCTTCTCGAAACCAGCCAATCTGGCGTTCCCGATATTTGCACGATCAATGAAACAGAAGAGGTATAGCAAGGCAACTGTGGGGATGATAAAGAAATCGATTTTGCGCACAAGACGTCTTTCGGCAACGGCGTCGAATTCGACGAGAGGCTGACCGTATCTATTTTCCTTTTAGTAAATGGAATGAAAGGCACACTCATGGTGGGTAAGCTTTTCTACCTGTCAGTAGCTGCATGTCCTCTTTCAGCAGCATCATGAGCTTTGGCAATATGAAAGCTCTCAGGTTTATCCTCATGAGATGCTTCCCGCTCAGCATTAACAATATGAGTCTCCATTCTGTATATGATCGTATCTTAGTACTAGCTAATCAATGCTAATCACAAGACTCAAAGCCTTTGAGATCGATCAAAGCAAGGGAATATGCGTTCTATTTAAGCAACTTCGGCTTATCCGACGGATTTCACCAATAAGGTGGTTTGTCTTTGACGCCAGGCATATTCCTACTACATTCTTGAGATAAACTTAAACCAAACCCTCACCCCGAAATATACACCTATCCGACCGACTACAATTACCGAGTATCTAGMCCCGCCAATCATGACGATATGACTGGCGAGCTGCCAATCTTTGTTCTTGTCAGTTTCCGGGGATCAGACTCTGATTCACATCTCTTGGATTCGTGGTTTAGTGGTTCGCTCAATAGCAAACCAACGTTTGCGGGGAATGGTCTTTTCCCTATGGATTGTCSGAGCCACAACCAGAGCCCGAGAGCTCCCGTACTACATTTAAATTTCAGCTTTTTCACTTTCCCCGCTTGCATGGCGTTTCTTGGCCTTTGATCTAACCAATGAGTGATGATCGGAAGGAGTACAAGAATATTGTTCAGGCGGGACGGATTGAGTTGGCATATGAGCGTCCGGGGGACGCGGGGTATGGTCTAGGCCAATTAGCATTAACTTTGGCTGGTTGATACGGCGCACATGGCAGAATGCCGAGAGAGCCAAGGGACTCGGGATCAAAGCATTAAATAGAAATATATTAATTCTCTGCTATTTTATGGTGAAGACGGGTTCGGGTTCCTTGCTAGCTTCGACATCCTCCTGAGAGATGGCCCAAAGAAGTATAAGATGTATACTGAAGCTACTACCCCGAGCGATACAAAACCCAAAATTGCGAATGCCCATTTAGTGCTCAGGTTTTCAAACATCAAAATACCTATACAATATCAGCCCGCGAAAAAAAAGCAAAAAGTCGAACGGTGGGCCGAAAGACTATGTCCCGCGAGCTAGACATGCCGTTTCTGGCCACACCTGAAAGCCGGACAGGGGCGAAAAAAAAGGGGGGAGGGACAACATAATATGGATTTATACCCTGTAGAAAAATACACGTACCTATATGCACACATCCTGCCGCCAATAGCTGACTCGGGATAAGAAATGCGGCAATTGCACTGCCAGCCACATTCGGATAACTGTCAGTGATGTAGTTGAGTATACCCAACCAAACCAACGGATCCGCGACTCCCAGCACGCCGCCTGCGATCACGGGTGACCAGTAGGATACATTGCCACTAGAAGTGAATGCAAACCACAGCAGGGAGATGGGAAATCCCCATACGGTGATGAGGGAGAGTAGGAAGCGAGCTTCGGGGCGTGCAATGCCATTGTGCTGCAGGCGGTCCCGCTTGTAGAGGACTGTTTGGATGGGGACGAAGACGATGAACATTATTACTGCGCCGGCGACGAAGTTAAGGTATGTCATGTTTGCGGCGATGACCCTTATGAGTTAGTGGGAAAACTGCGTCCCGCAAGTTTTTTTTCTAGTGCCAATCGTTGGAAAAGAGGGGGACGTACGAGAGCTGATTATTCAGGACAAACACATCAAATACACCATACAGATAAAGAAACAGCAGTCCGTACATGTAGCCGTTGAGAAGCCCTAAACATGTAACGATGGGTTCCGTAAACAGAATCCGAAAACACATGGTACTCACAAACCGCATTTCCTTGAATACAGCTATCCTAGTCTCTGCAAACTCTTTTTGCCGTTGGCCAGTCTCTAGGTGTGACCTCTGTGCTTTGGAGTTCCGCATTGCTCGAGAAATCACTATTCGAGGTAGTGTCTCTGGCAGAACGACCAATATCAATACGAAAAATCCGGCAAAGATGACACTATCAGACATATAGTCAGTATAGCATGGTTCTAGCTATTCATCAAATGGCTTACTTGATCCAGAAAATCCAATCCAATCCCATATTAGGATTATTCATAATCCACACCCCAACCGCTCCACCCAAACTCGACCCCGAAGTCGAAGATACAATGAACAGCGCCAACGGCTGACTGGTATTATCCGCATTACCAAACAGATCAGCAATAGTACCAGCGACATTCGATATTGCCGTACTACAAGCGATACCAGACAGGAGCATGAATATAATCATCATAGGTAAATTGAGTGCGAGGGCACATCCCTGAAAACCACTCATCAGCACTTATCGAGAAAAAAAAATAGAGACACAGAGGGAATATACAATCTGACACAACCCATACAGCGCAACACTGCCGACATAAACCCATTTTCGTCCTCCAAGATCACTCAACGGACCCAAAAACACGGGTCCAGAGGCATTCCCAACTATGAACATCGACTGCCCGAAGGCAATGATTTGCGTTGAGCCGCCAAACTTTGCGTGTACCGACGTTTGAGCGCTGGTATATGTTGTCGAAAGGAGCATAATTGCGACTTGCAGGAGACAGTAGATTGTTGTGATGGACCATTTTTGCCATGATGGCCAATGGGAGGGGTGGTGTGGTGAGGCCGTGGAGATAAGGGCTAGAAGATCTAGGGGTGAGGATGTCCGCGGAGACTCTGGAACTTCGACGTCAATGGCGCTGTTCTTCATGTCGCTATGCATGTTTGAGATTGATGCAGATTGTGTGTCTGAAACCAGGAACCTTGGATAGTCAGATCTTTGTCGTCGATCGTCTCAATGGCTAGTGGGAAGAGATTGTGGCATAACTTTTGGCGACTCAACGACGAAAAATAAGCGCAAGACAAAGACGAATTCAATCGAGCTTCCTCAATAAACCACACGCTTACAATAGAGGATGATCTTTTATGGAGCATGCAAGCTATGCAGGTATGCACATTCCAAGCAAGGCTGGAGACTGATTGGATCGATACAGCATTGAAGTAATTTCCTGATCGGGCTATTTACTTTCCAGCCTCATTCCCAACAGGCTTCACTATCGCACAATCCTACTTATGCTTTACATCTTCTCTAAAGATAAATCACAAAATTTTCTTAGTCTGATCAAGTTTAACCAATAAACAATCAGGGCAAAGCACGCAGAAGAGGAACGCTGTAAGCTCACACGAACGCGATTTGGCTCATAATCGCAATTACACAGAGCACAGTTACAGATTACACCAAATTCATAAATGATCTACAGATATGTATCATGCATGAAAAAATACATGGGCCAATCAAGTAGTGTATCAAGCTCTAGCAACCTATTCGGTGAAGGTGGATGTTGCACAAGAAGCCTTGGAAGTAGATGATCGACCACGATAGGTGATTTTCCGCCAAGATGAATCACGAACTGAGTCAGTAGTAGAAATAGTACATATATACTAAATAATTCGGGAATAAGACTTTACTCAATGTGTTCAGTACAACTTAAGCTCTCTCGCTCAGATTTAACGTTACACATCTCCAACACTTAGGTATACGATAAGTGTCTAGGTAAAGACGTACTAGGTCGGAGTCGATATATGCATATCCAAATTCAGACTATTTCCCCAATAAGGCAGGTATACTGTCAACAATAGGTATAGATAAGCATTAAATCTCTCAATACTCGAGAAAAGAATAAGGTCAGCCCACAATTAGGATTTCGTCACGCCTCCATCGATGTGCACTTCCTCGACCCTCAAGTTGATATATGTAGATCCTTCGATGTTGATAATCCCAAAGCTGTGACGCCCGCATTACACCCTTTTACGGTATGACACGGAGCACATACCTACCTGTGAAGCCATATAACTCAGGCATACTGATAGAAGTATACCGTGGTACCGTGGGCGTGAAACGGATTCGGTGCTATATGTAAGTGGGTTTATGTTGAAGCTTGCAGCTATGTTATCTAAAGAATGATGTACGAAGCAGAGTCTCATACATGTATCCTTAAGTGCTATTACTATTTATGAATGATGTAGAACTGCATTGACATTGAAGAAAACAATCATAATATAGATCTAAGAATTGTCCTATAAGTTCAGTTACTGACATCATTTCATTTGAATTTATCAAGTTATTAGATTCGTCATGACCCAGTGTCAAAGTTGTAAAAGAACCTCAACAAGAGATAGTCGATAAAACCAAAATGGTTACAAAAAGAACCAAAAAATAAACCAAAACAACAGTTGAAACAAGTGAAAGTACACGTCATTTCCAGTCATCACATTCAGGGTATTCTGCCCGGACTCCAAATATATGTTTTGTGCGTATATAGATGTATATTCATGTATGTATATGAAAACAGCCGTATCGTACGAAAGTTGTTCAAATAGGATGAAAAAAAAGGGACATCAACTGGCCGGTTCAGCCCTTAATCGCACAGGCACGTCGGGTCGTTGATGTTGTTGTTGCTCTTGGTGGCGTTGCACTTGAGACCGAAGATTGTCCGCTTTCTTCCACAGTTCTTCTCCTTTCTCGTCGCAGATGGGCGATAGCCATAGTGCAGATTTGAGTATCTTCTTGACATCTGCCCAGGTCGATAGATTTGTTGCAACAGCGACTTGACTTAACATTGCAGCGAACCAGGTAACAGTTTCGGTCTTGTTGGATGCAATACCGCCAACGACTAGAGTCCAGACAAAAAGCTCAGGAACAGTTTTCCAGGCCTTTGGGAGGGATTGACTGAACAAAGCTTGCCGTAGCTGTGCGGTCAATTGAGGGAAAGGCGCCATGGCGGGAACCAGAGGGAAGATAGTGATTAGACAATATATAAGCGTAGCGATTCTGAGTGGTTCATAGGTGGGGCATGCTTCGCCCATGCCCATCTCGTCTGCGGTCGGCAGTGACAAAGCTCGGTGTTGGATCGAGTTTCGGCGATCAGCCATAATAGGCGCATCAGAGCCGGCAAAAGCACCAGCAAAGATGCCTTGCATGTATAATTCAATGACAGCGTTGTAGCTATACATATCTTTGAATAGTGTGACAAGTTCACTTGGAAGACCAAGCTCAATCATCCTGGGGAAATCGCCTCCTTTGTACATCTCCAAAAGGAATTGAATCGGTTGGGGCCAGTCGGGTTGCTGGTGTCGTCCGGCCGTTTTGATAATTGGTGTATAGGGGAAAAGTGGTTTTCGTAAAAATTTCGATGAAAACATGACCGTTGCGAGAGACATCATCTCTGCTAAACCGGCCAGCTCAATAGCGTCAAAGCCTCCGCGAATTTCGAGTAGTCGTATCAGACCCATGACATGTACCTCGTCGTAATCCAGGTACGAGTATATGTTAGCCCACTGAATATCGTTAAACGGTGATTTGTGGGTGTCACGACCAGGCGCAAAAACTGCTTCGTCGTAGCGACTATATCCCATGAGAAACACCGCCATAAGTAGCTCATCCGTCTTTTGCGCCGCCGGGTCTTGTAGTGCTTGATTAATCCTCCTTATCGATTCATTCTCTGCGGTCATAATTTGAAGCATTTTTTGCCGTCTTTGCCTCGATGGCAATCCGCTCTGCATTCGATCGAGGACAAACTCGTGACTGAGTGTACCGTATAGAAATGCAGACAGTAGAGCGGGGCTGCGTAGGGCGCTTGAAACCCATATATCGGAGATAGTCGGCCCGTTAGATTTCGAGTCTTGTGGCAGCATCTTGGTCATAACGACAGAGGCGGCTAGAATCATTAGCATGCAATATACCAATCTATAAACAAGGTCAATACTAACAGTATTTAATTGTCCGTCGAACGGTATCCTCAGGCACCTCCGTCCCGAAGACAGTCAGCATGGGTGTCTTCAGGCCATGATTAAGCGAAGCGGTCAAATCAATCGTGTCAGATGACGATTCGCGTTTGTATGGTATAAGAGAGGCGTCAGATGGGCTGGCTTCTTCTTCTTCTTTTATCACAGGTGACTCCCGAGTATCGGGCTCCGATTTCACAACGACTTCAGTAAATGCGGGCGGACTGGATAGAGGAGGGCTCTGCAGGCTTGGTCTTTCGTATGGTTTGGCTCTGGTGGGTTCCTTAGTGCCGGCCTTACGGCGCTTCCATATATAGCGACCGGCGTTGGCTCGAATGAGCGTTCGACTGGAGGAGCTCTCTGTTCGTGATGAGGGATCGACCGATATGAAATTGAACCCGGCGGGAGCGGAGTCTGAGGCAGACATTGGCGAATTAGTACGACGGGTAGATTGGGATGTTATAGCATTAGGCGTGAATGGGACAGGGTTGTCCATTTTTGGTGAGATCAGTGATACAAGGCTCGTAGGTCTAGCCGAGACGCCATCAGACTGACGCCAGCCTCTTGGGTGAGTCTTAATCAGACATCCATCCGATGGCAGGATGTTGGTGCGTATCGGGATGAGGCAGTATGCGATAGGGGACAGCGCCGTAGTAATCGTGTAGCGAGTCCGGGAATGAGGCGGGAATAAGTGTGGGCGGTTGCGACGAGATTGTCGTACTCGTATTTGATGTTGTGATAGTTCAGCTGGATTGATTTTTCTGTCCAGAAGACGCCGCTTCTCAGAGCTGGAGTCAAGACCGACTTAAGTTAGTGAGACGGAGAAGGCGGTGGAAAGTTGGACCGGGATTCGAATTTGCAGTGAGGAGCGGCGGGTGGCTTGAGACGAAACGTGGATATCTGAGATATTGTTGTGAACTGTTCGAGATGGTAATAGATATGGCTGTATGTTCAAGAGGCGGTGGGGAAGAGGTTGAAGAGAGTCAGAGGACGGTCTGGTCTGGTGGGCGTGATTGTGGACGGCCGGAGAAATGAGGGAACCCAGCGAGAGAGAAGGAGCGACCGACTGCGAGACTAGTGACTTGGGGACAATAGGAAGGAACGATGGCAGTTGGCGCCTGCCATTTGGGCCAGTCAGGGCTGCCTTTCTGCCGTACCTCGTGATCCTCACCAATCACAGCGCGCGTTGACGCCGGCTGCTCTCTAATTCCGCGTTCCGGCCGGGGACCCTGTACGAGAAGCCAATCAGAAGGCTTTATTTGTGAAGATAGTGGACTTTGTGCTTCCACTTTAGGCTTAGTGCGAAGTCACTAGTTCGTTCTAATTTTCCAGCAATCTCTTCGTCTTTCCTCCGTGCCACTTCGACTACTATGTACGTACTAGACGCTCTACCTTTCATTTGACAGATCCATTCGATTTGCTGACAGCAGATCTGAGTTAGCCTCATTTACGATCGACTCGACTACGCACTCTACTACTGCAATGCCTAGCCGGTCCGATCCGTGGGCTGATCCGTGGGCAGCAGATACGGGATCGTACAGAGATGGCGGTGGCTGCTACAGCGCTACCACGATGACGCGTTCCACGTTGTGTTCTCGAGAAACACATTGAGAGTTCCACAGTGCAAAGCAACCAGGGCTTGTAATAAGGTATATCTTAGATACTCCAGCGTGAGGCGTGACAAGTCAAACCCTAATCCCTGAGTATCCCGTACCCCTCCAAAAAATGCGTGCAAGGCCACCAATGGCTTGTATACATAGTACACTATTACTTGCAAGCATTAAACAACAATGAAGCAAGTATCATGCCTGCACTGCAAGATGATACACCTACGGCCATAGGACCTTAGTCTTATGCGGGTGTTTGACAGACTCTCTTCCAAACGAGACCAATCTTCTGGTTTCTGCACCCCTAGTGGGCTTGAGCTATGACCTTCAGCCCACCAGCACGATTGGCCGATCTGATCGCTACTATTAGTTTCTGTACCAGAGATTGGAGTGTCATAACGCTGTTAGTGCGTTTGTCTACCACATCTAAATATCACTTTGATGGCAAGGTCAAAAAGTAGCGAGGTACGCGAACCCGACGAATAGAGACGAAGAATAATGAATTGGGAGGCATTCTGCACTGCCACTCTACACCTAGGTGAAGTTATGCTTCTCAAATAATATTTTTTTTCTATTCATTTGCATCAAGAGCCATAAGTTGTGGTACCTATGTGTGAGAAAGGTAGTCCACCCTGTCCAGGTACGAGGTACAACTCTTCAACATTATGCACCACGCAGTACCACATCCACGGGTGCAATTTTTCATAATTACTACAGCAAGGCATTTCTCATTTGAAATGACAGAATAGCGATCGTGCTTCGTGGCTTGCTGAAATGATTAATTTCTCCGACTTTGGGAAACTCAAAACTCCATTGTGACCTGTCACATGCCAAGTCCGAAAGTTTGGGGGTTGTGAAATAAATTATGGCTGCACGGAATCAGAGCCAACGGATCTGAGTATTTTAAGTTGAGGCTGAAGAGACTTGGCCTGTTTTCTGGTTTTATTCGAGAGGACATGGCCATATAATAAGAGTTAAGGGATAGAAAATAATACCAAGTTATAATAGCGACGACAAATACGAATAACTTCGGGACTTGTTCCGCTGTTTTTTGTGGTGTCAACGGAATGAAGGATATCTAATTACTCTCAGCCTGTTGCACCTTGCAAGCAAGTTTTATCATAGTATATGGCGGTTTTGCAAGGGCAGATACAAGGCCGAATGGAGTCCAGCGTAATATGCCATCCTACCTACTAGCTAGCCATGATTGTCTTCAAGTCCCAAAAACTAGGTAGATCTAGAAAAAGATCAATACACGAACGCATTCAACTCAATCAATCTCACAGACTAGATGTTCACAACTTCCTCGCCATGACCCCCCTCCTCCATCTCTTTGAATCCCAACCCTTCCACTGAGCCAATTCTTCCCTCAGAATCTCAACATATTCATCCCCCATGTCCTCCGCTTCAACCTCCTCAAATCCATGTCTCCGATAAAMCCCGCCGTTCCACGGAACTTCCAGAAACGTAATCAACGTCAACCACCCATACCCTTGCTCACGCGCATATTGGGCAACAGTATCGATCAAACAGCCTGCAATACCTTGCCGCTGAAATGAGGCATGCACGGAGCACTCAGCGATATATAAATGTTTCGAGGTATTGTTTGGATTAATGCGTTTCGTTGCTAAAAATGCAACAGCACTTTCTGATCCGGAGTTGTCATCTGTGGCGATAGCAACCCATAGAAGCTGGGAGGATAAATGGGAGTAAAGTATATCAGTGGAAAGAGGTGGATCCGCTGCAATGAATGCGAGGTCTGGGATTGATTTGAAGACTCCAGATGCTGATTGTTCTATGGCTGGTAGATGTGGGATGTCGGTTGCGATTGCTGGACGGATTTTGATTTGTTTATAAAGGCTAGTTGATACTAGTATTGATGCGCGAGTTGCCTCCATGATTGTTGACTCGAGGAACGTGATTGAAAAATGGAAAGGTTGGTAAAAGTTGATGATGCCATAAGATACGTTCCCGAAGGCCGCATCCATGGATGGACTTAAGCCCTAACGGGACCCCGCAACTTTGAGGCAACTCGGAGATACGTTGATAATTATTCAATATGAATCGGATATTACCATCATATGACCTTGCTTTAGCAAACCAAGACTGATTTGTTCAAGCGGCATATTGCAAAATTGAATATCACAGAGGTGACGTAGTGAATTACTCTCACGATCTGACACAGCCTTTACATAATTCCTATTCACGTCTTATACACCCTCTCTGCCCTTTACTACTCAGGCGAAGATATGAATTTTTACTTCTCACCGTGTCTCGAAATCAGATGGTACCGTCTCCACAATCGGCCTAGTATATTTCTTCCGCGCATGCAAGATGTAATAGACAATCGATAAAAGTAAAGTAGCCACAATAATGAGAACATTGTAGTTCATGTTTTCAGCCGTGACTGGGTAATACGAGTGCCAGAAGGACCAGAAAAGAGCAAAATTCAAGTATTTGACGGAATATGCATCGATCAAAATACCCAGAATTCCTGGGATGCGCCAGGGTTCCCAGACAAAAAGTCGCCCAACATTGTCGACCGGCCCGTACAGAAAGGGATMCCCAGCCTCACCCGCCTCACCGCAAAAGAGTATCTTCGATGTTGATTGTGGTATAGAGTGCAACGAGCAAGATACCTAAGCCAAGGGCTACGTTGATAGTCATACTGGTCATTATGGAGCAAAGCACGGCAAGTGCAGCATTCTTCACCTCCTTGGACACGTGGATGGCACCATCCACCCAGTGAACAAGAAGACAAACATGAGCAGGCCGACCATGGTAGAGAGTCCCTGTGCATCCCGACCGCCCTTATTAATGAAGTAGGTCCAGATCTCACTCAAGTCGTGCTTTATACTAAACACATATCGTGGCATAAGCACACCAAAGAAGGCCAGGATATAGATACAAAGCACCGGGCATTTAAGGGTAGGCAGCAGCCGACGTTTAATTGTATTTAATACTAAAGCTAAACAGGAGCACTGCGTAGATAATTAGAAGTCCTCGTCAACTGGTAGTTTTATATGAAGGAAGTGTATTAGTTAATATCTAAATTAGCGTGCTGGTAATATAACATGTTAAGGCAACTAGAGCCTGCTAGCTTATGAATGTTATACAGCAGACCAGATATAATAGGAAACTTTAATATGAGGGAGGTACCAGCATCGCAACCTAGGAGTATTGACTAGAAGAGATGGGAGCCCTATAGTTCGTAGATCTTTACGTTCGGAGCACTAGATCTTGCAGTACTCATATGGAAGCTAGTTCACACAGTAAGGCAAAAGTATACCAGGCATCTAGCCAGGCAAGGAGGTATAGATAAATCATCCCAACAGGACCACCATTATATTACTTAGTCACTCATTGCCATATCTTACTACTAGGAGTGAAAATGTACTCAACTAATCTAATATAAAACTGGAAGATTACCTTCCCAGGTCATAAGGATGGTGGTCATAAAACTGAACATGGCTATGAAGCTACACGTTCGCTGGTCGATTTATGAGCAGATAAATATGAGATGATGTATGGTGAAAGCTACCTTGAGAATAGCCCGCTTACCTGGTCTTAAGAGCTGGGCAAGATTGCGTTCCTAACGATCCAAGAATGACTTGCCATCCATCTCGCACGTGGCTGAGATGTCGGTCTTAGTCTAGAGCTTAATTGTGTCTATGGCAAAGTTCAAAGTGTAGCAAGAAATAGTATTAAAGATGCTAGCAGAAAAGTAAGAGGAATAAGAGCAGCAAAGAGAAGAGAGACGAATCTGCAGGGAAGCAAAATGAAAAAGAGAAGATAACGTGACACTGCATCAATATGTCCTGAAGGTGCTGGGTACCACATCAAAGAGGCAGACCAGTACCTGATCATGATGGTGTTTTTTTATGTACCTACCATTAAATTCCCCATATGATGGAGAAAGAAGATACTGGTTGCCTTCTTTATTCCGGTACATCGAGGATATTCATAAGGTCCGTAGCAGAGGGTATTACCCCTTTCATCTTCCCTCTTTACTACCGGTTGTACTCACATTTGCATCTTCGATTCTACCTTTCCTTCTCCGCTCATTCTTTCGTTTTTTCTACAGTATGACCACCCCTGGCGTTCAGATCACCGCAACAAATAAATCTCCACTTATCCTCATCGTGACATGGTAACTCCTAGTTCTCGCTGCATTTGCCTACATCATGCGCTCCGTCATCAAGATATCACGCCAGGCTATACGCTTAAAACTGGATGGCTACCTTCCCACAACAGCATCAGTCTTTTGCGCCGCTCAATCTCTGGCTATTATCCTCCGAGCCACAGCCGGGTTCGGAAAACGTTTGAGTACTTTATCTGTCGACAAAGTGGACAGAAATGAGAAAGCCACCATGGCGGCGGATATTCTTTMCCCTCCCCGCCCCTCTAGCCAAATTATCCCCGTATAAACGACACAAACGAGTTATGTACGGCATTAGTCTCTTTGTTATTCTCTCTGACTTTATTTCCATCTCTATGATTCCCTTTTCCTGCTCGGTACCAGAAATATGGGATTTCGCTTTTGGCAATTGTATCAACAAGGTAGGGCAACCTAAGAAGTAACTATCCAAACAGGAATAGAAAGGAGGGGAGGAGTTCAATAGCTTTATCGGTCAAAATTATGCTTATATTGTTATGCAACAGACTGTATGATTAATCAGCTTCAATGCATACAGCATCACAACTAAGGCCACCTTAATTTTCATACCTATCTACGTTATCAGCCAGATGCAGTGGCCTATCTCGCCTAAAGTTGCTTTCTCCACTCCTTTCGTGTTACGAATATGATGAGCAAATGAACCTTCGCTGTGGCATAATATCGTGCTCCTTCCCAGAAATTAGTCAATCAAATGTCCTTTTAGATCTTCAAACAATATCAGGACCCTCCGTGCTCCTAAACGCATGTGAGATAGACACCTGGTTGTTCTTAGACTACGTACTATAAGGTTCCAAGACTCTTTTAAACTGTATATTCCTTTATACTCGACACTTATCATCGAGATGAATGCTCTCAAGACGACACAAACCGTTTATTGCCCCTCTTTGTAGTTGCGGAATGTCGCTCTCTGTCCGGCAAAAAGAAAGTCCACCAATATGAATGTGACTTTGCAAGTGCGCTCACCTTAGCGGTATGCACGTTCATTGAATAAGAAACCAAGTTATTACAGACGAGCTAGCTTTTCACAGAGATCACAAAATATTCAGCCAATCCTAACGCGCTAGGGCTTGACTATCTAGGCTAAATTCCTGGACTAATGCCTCTTACCTCGGTCATTGTTGTCTAGTATCGCTTGCCACAGCGAAGAATAGACCACTCGCAGTTCACATATGTAGAGGAAAATGGGCTGGAACGAGTTCTGAACAAGCAAGTCGATTTGGAAATTTGATGATTAATTAACATCCTGGTTATGATTGGTTTCTCTATTTTGACGTTGGCCTTGGCTCCTTGATTGTGCTTTCAAGCTTCAAACTTTAGGATCAATGGCCCCAGAATGTCCCCTCCGCATTCTGGGGTAAAAGACTAATTACAATCCATGTTCCCCACATGGTAAGCATGAAGCTGGCCACCACCAGCCATTCAGTCAGTAGCTTAGCAGTGGATTCATGAGTATTGGTCTCTTCCGGAGAATTTAACTTCCATATGCTCACATGGCGATATTCGAGCACATGGTGATTCGACTAACTAGTGCAAGTTCTGGATGCTAATAATAAACACATGGTAATCCCCCCACCCTTTAGGTCTTATAAGTACTGTCATATTTCCTACCCTTGCTCCCCCTCCTCAGTGTTTCCCTAGAGTGACAGGCGCAATAAAAAGTAAGGGAACTCAACCATCACCATGGCGTCCTCCGAGATTCACGTCGAGAAGTCCGCTGCCAGTCATGTGGAAACCACGCTCGGCAGCGGTGCCATTTACGAGGCCAAATTGGCCTCTGACGAAGAGCACTCGCAAAGCCTGTGGCAGGCATTGAGTGCAAATCGGAAAGCAGTTGCATGGTCTATGCTTATTTCACTTTCGATTATCATGGAAGGTTATGACCTCGTCTTGATTGGCAATTTCTTTGCCTATCCAGAGTTCACCAAGAAATATGGTGTCGATTACGGAGGCACTATCGGATGGCAGATTCCAGCTCGGTGGCAGTCTGCTTTGAACATGTCAAGTACAGTTGGAACAATCTTTGGTAAATTTTCCTCTTCCGTTCTTCGTTCTTGCCAATTGTTCCCCTTCAAAAGTCAAATTGAAGGCTCAGCGAACATTTTTCACAACTAACAAAAATAGGCGGCATCCTGAACGGCTATTTGACTTCAGTCGTCGGTTATCGTTGGGTCATGATCGTTTCCCTCGGCCTCCTCAACGGCTTGCTCTTCATCGTCTTCTTTGCGCCATCAAACGGAGTCCTCGTTGCAGGCGAACTCCTCTGTGGTTTAGCCTGGGGCGTCTTCGCTATTGTAGGTCCCGCTTATGCATCCGAAGTATGCCCGACCAATTTACGAGGTTATCTCACCGTATACGTCAACCTATGCTGGGCAATTGGACAGTTCATTGCTGCCGGTGTTTTGCAAGGACTGGTGGGTAGACCCGACCAGTGGTCATACCGCATTCCATTTGCGCTACAGTGGATATGGCCGCTACCTCTCATGATCGTCTGCTTCTTCGCCCCAGAATCACCATGGTACTTAGTTCGACATGATCGCCTAGAGGAAGCAAAACACTCATTACATCGTCTCGGTGGAAACAAAACAGAGGAACAAATTAATGGTCAACTGGCTATGCTGGTACATACCGCCAAGATTGAGTCTTCTTTGGAGGTAGGAACCTCATACTTTGATTGTTTCAAGGGAACCGATCTACGCCGAACCGAGATCTGCTGTCTCGCGTTTGTCGGTCAGATCATGTCGGGTAGTTCATTTGCCTATTCGCCAAGCTATTTCTTCACAACAGCTGGTATGAGTACCAGTCACGCCTATCAATTGAACCTTGGTGGCACAGCGATCGCCTTTCTGGGTACTCTTTGTTCCTGGTGGCTGATCACGCACTTTGGTCGACGAACTCTATATGTTACTGGACAGGGAATCCTCTGTGCGACTTTGTTTATTATTGGAATAATCAACGCCGCAACTAGCTCAAAAAGTGCTATTTGGGTAGAGGCCGGCTTTTGCATTTTCTGGCTCCTAGTCTATTCATTGACTGTCGGGCCAATCGCCTATGCAATCGTGGCTGAGACATCATCAATACGTTTACGCGCGTTGACAGTTTCCCTTGCTAGGGTGTCTTATCAAATCATCAACATTGTGAGCCAGGTTCTGGAACCATACTTCATGAACCCAACCGCATGGAATGCTTCAGGCAAGACGGGCTTCTTCTGGGGCGGCACTGCGCTTATCATTTTCATTTGGTCGTACTTCCGCTTACCCGAAGCTAAAGGAAGAACATATGAGGAGCTTGATATTATCTTTGCGAGGAAAGTCAGTGCGAGGAAGTTTGCGTCTCAGGAAGTGGATGCCTATGCTGCGCGAGATGTCGTCAATACAGAGAAGGAGTAGAGACGTTCCATACATCGTGATCATTGTCTGTTCAATATGCTAGGTTTGAATCGCCTGTCTCTCTTAACTGAACGGTCTATAAATCAGAAAAACTTTCCGTAGTAGTGTTTTCAATCGTCATACTTCGTATGTATGAAAACGTGCAGATCGTTGCGAAGTAAGGAACTTGGTCGATCAGTGTTATATTGCCGAAACATATCATCAGACACTTAAGTTGATTAATTTCGCAGCCGGTATAACATGTGTGATATGGTACGTGCCACAGTGATAGATCGGGCTATGTATGCAGTGGAATTAGAAGAATTGGGATATAAATTTTATTCTCCTTCTATTCAAACAATCTCACTATGAGCTGCAATAACAAAAACCGTCATCATCCGTACAAAATGGATATCCGTCGTTGCAACAAGTCATCAAACTGCAGGGCTCGGGGCATGACCAGCATTGGACTGTAGTAAGAATTCAGTTAGCCGGATTTAGTGAAGCCCCACAAGAGGCAGCCTTAAGTATCGAGATGGAAGTGATAACCAATACGATCATTAAACTCCGCGCTACCGAAACAAGAAAAGATGCAGTGAAATGAAAAAAAGTTCCGACTTGCCTGTTTCTAAAACTGACTGCTTCGCGACTCGTGGTAAGGTTTCCGGGGTAGTTTCCGAGTTTACTGAAATCCATGTCAGAGATATTGGCGAGCTCTTGGGTACTATTGGTGTAAATTTTATCAATCGAGCTTACCATAAACGATATCAGAGGCACTTGTCACTGACTGGCCGAGTAATATCAAGGCGATCAGAAAGATGAAAAGGGGACTATCGAATATTCCTCTGCTTTCCATTTTGAGAAGGCTGTCGTTTTTGGGATTGAATGAAGAATCAACTGTATTGAAATGCGCTTCGAAGCGGTATCAAACAATAAAGCTAGAAATTTCCGATGGCCTGTACAATGCAGATACTTTTAGCTAGCAACAACAGGAATCTGGACAAGAATTTCGGTTTATGAATTTGAATCAGCTAGCCTTCTCAATATTTCCTGGAAATTTTATCAATTTTCTATCCCTGTTCCGGAGTCACTAACACGGGGTCTGGCATCCGGAAATGAAGGAAAATGGCGCAAAAAATGGTATTTGACAGGCTGTAGCGTGCCACACTAAAGCTTGTTTGTGGCACGGTTCAGCCCGCAACTGCCCTGAAACAATTTAGCGGCCTGCGGATTCGTCAGCTCATGACGTTTCGTGCAATTGCGATAATCCGTTTTTTCAAGGCTGATAACATGAAAATAATAGCTGATCAGCTGCGTCAAGTAATCAATATTGTTCAAGGGCATCGTGCCCGTTTCAAGAACTTAAACCGGGCTATATAGGTCTACATCAGCATTCTTTTCTTTAATTTATTATTATCTGATATACAAGCCCTATCATGCCTGATATTTGCTTGGTACAAGAGCCACCAATTTACTGGTTGGTACACAGAGGCCCATGCAGGGTAGATTAATTGAAATTTGAAATCCTTCCCGTCTCACCCATGCTCATTGTTGATATTGTTCCGTTCGTAACCTACTTAGGCAGACATACATGCAATTAGCTGGCGATCTCTTACCACTCCAAGGTACGCTGGAATTTAGTCCGTCCGAGGGTTACAATATCTATCGTCAAATCTTCCCGAGGCGTGTGATGTTATTCCAAGAAGGATTCGGTAATTGACATAATCAACTCATCGAAACCATCGGTTTTTCTACTTTGAAGTCTGGACCGAAAGTCAAACAAGACGGTCCCCAGGCTCGGAAAGTTTCCTGTAACTAGCAGGCAATCCGCTAAGCCCCCACAGTTCGCACCACTTTCTATGAAATTGAGACCTCAGTTGACTGCAATATTAATTTCCAAATTTAGTAAGGCGAGACGTAAACGAATTCACCTGAAGTGATTGTAACTCTGCAACATGCCATGAAAGTCCAATGGTGGGCATTCACAACTGCCATTATGATCGCTATTAGAACACTGCTTCCCCATCACATTACCCTTGCAAGACAGAACATACATCACAATTGTGATTGGCTAATTTCATGCAAATAAACCCGAAACCCGATATGTTGACCAAAATTACCACCTCCGTCATGAAGTTAATGCCAGTGTGTCCACCATTCTATAGCCAACTATACAAATGTTGGTTTCGGGGCGTCATATCATTGACACCTGAAGAGAGCCTCCCAGGTACGCTACCAAATGCATCGATTTCTTGTCTTTGTCGACTGTCAACGAACAGATCTCACACGTGTTTCTCCGGTAATCACATTATAGATAGTTGTCGAAGCTATGTGTGCAAAGCCCATAACATTAGCAGGACATTCAAGAGAGAAAATGGCATCTTGGAGAACAATGGGTGATAAAATACAAAAGAACATACTTTTCATTTTGGGCTCAAGTAGAAAAACGTTACCAGTTGGGTTCCAAGCTGAATTGACCACCTCTGTTATCACTCTTCCCGTATCAAATCTGCCGTCTGGCTCGGCCAATAGCTTGGTATGCTCTTCTGATCCATGATCTCGAAAGTGCGTTTTCAGTGTTGCGTGAAGACTAAAACTACGGTAACAGATCGGACATGTGGCACGCAACGACGTAGCCATAATAATAGCTTCTTGTAAGGCGATGGCGGACTCGAAACCCTTCTTGTTCTTGAGTAACTCCATCAGAATGGCAGGATCAAAGAGATCGGGTATACGCATGTGGCAAATAGTCCAATCGTCGATATGTGCCTCTGTCAGGTTCAAGGCTTCTCGGAAAAAATTATAGAACCCGCGAGGTTCTCTGTTGCGGTTCTCACGGAGGATCTGAGAATGTCCTTCGCCGCTGTCGGAGGCGTGGCGGTATAAATCTTCCATGCGTGCGAAACCTTGATAACAGTAGAGACAGAAACAGTGCAAAGATGACTGACGAATTACCGATTTCTGAACTCGATATTTACGTTCCAAATTCTCGGAAGCGAACTGTTCAGGTTTGATTGCAAAACTCGCGCCATGGGGAAAAATGGTTCTATAGTATGTCGAGGGACTTGTCATGGTACCGTTGAAAACCATTGAACGGCGGGTTGCAGGCTCGGGAAGGKAGAAAATCAGTGGTTCTTTCTCTACTTGTTGCTATTTATCCGATTTCCAAAAGGGTATATTCTCCAACCAGTGTCACAACCAGGTACTTGGGTTACCCAAGACTAGACTTATCGAAAGCGAATTTTAGACAGTGGAGAAATAATGAAAGGTTCAGCTGAGAAAGAATAGAGGGCATCGAAAGAAGAGAAAGGTGCATGGGTCTTGGAAACACTAGTCAGCATTATATCTCTCAGCCGTCTCTTCCATCTCCCAGGTGTTTCTTGAGATCGACAAATCACGTAAGGTATTTTTCTTGTTCTTGTTTTTCTTTTTCTCCGTGTACTCGAATTTCTTTGTCCAATTTCTCGCTTACCATTGTGATAGCATGCGAGGAGCAAACAGGGATCAAAAAAATGAGCTTACCTGTTAAGCAGCGAAACAAGGCAGGAAATAGTATCCGAATCAGCGATGAAGCGAACTTGCCCCTCATTGTCCTTGCACTCTTTGGCGCGGACACGGCTCGTACTGACTAAGAGCTTCCAACGATTACTCGGTTAGTTGCCTATCGTTTTAGCCGGACGTAGTTTCCATCAAATGACCTTCAATGTGCTTTGATATCAATAGGTTTCCCGGAACCCAAGGCTATGATATCTTAGCGCAGTACTTTCTTGGAATTTGAGTTCACCGATTCCACTTTTTTCATGCGCCTAGGCTGTGATTGACAGCCCACCGTTGAATTGATTGGGTTGGTTATCTACAGGCTGCTATCTGTTGACCACTTATTTATAAGAAGCTGTTGTCACTATACGGTCACTGACTTGTATCCCAGAATGTGGCTGATCATGAACACATTGGATATCCTTCCGTTGAACCCTTACTAGCCAACTCCATGTACGATTGTACGTACAGTTCGTCATTACAATGATGAAACTTTGTATTTACTTACTAGGCACCACAACCCTAATCGTGGCTGTTCTTCTAGAAGAGTCTACATGGACGGTAATAGACTTTAAGTAGTGGACCAATGCTATTCGCTTGGCCGTTAATAATTTCCATGTTTGCCGATTGACCCACCGCGATAGATCATTCTACACCCATCATAGCCTCGTGTGTAGTGCATGCTGTGTAGTCAGATTTTGCCATCCTAGGTTTCACGGATCCCATCTCCAGTCGGTATTGCGTCGACTACCGTAGTCGCGCTTAGAAAATGACATGTCTGTTGGCGCATTGACACTTAAACAAGAATTTCTTTCCACGATCAACGATAGAACTAACAAGATCATCGCCGCATAAACAGGGAAAAGATTCTTCTAGATGTGCATAGGTGTCTCCGGAGACTCTAGCCGCTAAATCATGTCAGGATTTTGTTCACGACTAAGGATATTCACCAGACACCATACGGAAAATTGCTAAGTTAGTTATGATCGCTGTTTCATATGACCACTGTTTCATATGACCAGATGAAAAAGCTCCTCCTCGAAGAAAGTTTCTTAATGGATGGATCTATAGTGAAGGGCGCCATACTAATCCAGTTTCATCTAAACTATCCGTGCGGTCACCTGGGAGATGGATGACCCCTTACCCCGCCAGAAATTAGTTAACTCCTATTGTTGTGTTGTTCGGACTGTTGGTTCTTCAAATTGCATGTGTTACATTCTTCAATTTGTCCAGCTTCTTGTTCAGCGATAGATTCGACCCCGGAAAATAGTCAGCAATCATGCGGGGCCTGACAGACGGTCGAGATGCACTTCTCGGTATTAGCTCGGACGCGACAGATCGCCTGAGACATGCCTGGGATGGCTTTGTCGACTTTGCTATGAGAGACAACGTTCTCGAAGTCGCTATTGGCTTAATGTACATCCATTGGTACCATTAACAGTTCAGTTTTCAAGAATTGATGGTGATCTAACGCTACTAACAATGTGTTTCTCAGGATCGGTCAAGCTTTTACACAAGTCGTAACATCATTTGTCTCCGATGTTATTCTCCCCGTCATCTCCTTGCTGCCTTTTATTCACCGTAATCTCGACGAGAAATTTCATGTCCTGAAAAGAGGGCCAAATTATGATCATGCCGCGGGTTACAATACCCTTGCACAGGCGCGGGACGATGGAGCCTTAGTCATGGCTTACGGGTATGCATTCTTCTTTCCAGTATTTGACAATGATATAATAGCTAAGTCTGTATAGAGCGTTCTTGAACAACGTCATAAGCTTCCTCGGCGTCGGGATAGTCTTGTATGGACTGGCCCATTTTTATGTCCTAATTTCACACGATGGATCGATGATCAAGAGAACGGTCAAGTGTAAATACTGCAGGAAATGGATCAATCGCAAGGTAAGCCCGTTCTAATATATCTGCATCGGATTCCATCGGACTGATTGGTGTGTCTTGATTCGGACAGGCTATCCGGTGTACGAATTGCTCGAGCTGGCAGGATGGAAGGGAGGATATTGGACTCAGCCAGTGTGAAGATACCGATTAGCTGCATTTAAAATGGTTACATTCCTCTTCTTTGGCTTTTTGATGTTTTTAGATTGATATCAAGTTGATGTATAGATATCTCTTGAGCATGAGACTATGTCTTTGTGACATTTTCGAATCTGGTTACACCGACCACTAATTAACCGTCAATAGTAACATCATTTCAACCCAGACCCAAGACAATAAAACACTGATCTGAAGCCACCCTATATGCGAGATTGTCCATCCTTCAATTGGGGTGTGTCTGCAATTCTGAACACATACTTCAGAGCACTATTCTTCCCATCCTTGAGGTTCTTCAGTGCTCCCTCAACACCAGCCAATCCATTAGGCACAACCTCGAACGGATGTCCGGTGAACCAGCCGTCTTTCAACCCTTTTCCGAATAACTGACTGAAGGCAAATGCCAAGTCTGCATCACCAGGCTCTTTCTCATCGGATGCATGAGAGTTGCCAACCGACGTACGAGAATGAACTATGCCTGAAGCAAAGACACTCTTATCATACAACAACACACCAGTGTACCGTCCTCCATCCGGGTCGAGCACTTTTGCTAAGACCTGGAAACTAGGCTCCTGGGTCACAGCATCCAAGGCGTATTTGACCTTGGCCTGGCCGGCACTCTTAATAGCTTTGTTTAACTGCTCAACAAGCTGGTCTGGGCCTGGTCTGTAGTCAACGATGAGATCACCCTTGGAGCGATCAATCAATTTCTCGACGAAAGATGACCCAGAACCGGCAACCACGAAGAGTGGATGAATGTTGGCCCGTTGAGCCAGCTTAATAGCAAAGGCACCGACAGCTGTGGAGCCGCCGTAGATTATAGTGGGTGTCGGCTCTGTAGCTTTCGTAATCGGGGTTGGAAGCCTTAAGCGAGCAAAAAGGCCAAGAGCAGCTGTCAATCCGGCCAAGCTGTATAATGAAGTAAGTTTTGACGCCCTCATGATCTATGAAAATAAGACGCAGATGGCTTACGGGATGGTTGCAGCTTCTATTCGTCATTTCGTATTAGCATGATCCTCCCTCCGTTTTACCGACAGGTTTCGTAGTTCAACTTACCTTCAAAAGATGTCTGCTTCGGAAGATGAAAAGTGGTATGAGCCCACGCGACCGCATATTCCGCATAACTACCACCTGGAGTCTGCATTTCATGGAATGCGGCTACTCTATCGCCAACCTTGATGTCCAATGTGTTCAGCTGTGGCCGCCTTGCTCATCATCCGAAAAGACGCACCTTAAATTCAGTGACATTAGCTCCAACTTCATGGACAGTTCCGGCAATATCATCGCCTTGATTGATGCCTTCCGAACCCCACAAATCCGGTAATTTCCAATCTTTGGGATTACTTCCGGAGACAACCACCTTGATAACGACTTGGTCTGCATTCGGTGAAGGTATTGGCGATTGTTTCAGTTGGGCCGTAGGGCCTGCATTAATGACGGCTTCATACATGGCTGGTTGTGATTTCGATAAATGCTTCCCCGTCTAAGACTGTAAAAATAATCGGGACAGTTGATCCCTCGGAGACTGACGGTGCTCCAAAGTCGTGTATATATTCTCAAAGGCTCTGGAGAATTATTAATCAATAGACGAGCTGAATCACGCCATTTACTCGTCTAGACTCAGGAATTGGAGTAGATTAGATTGAGTATGCGGGGCGAACACTCATTCCGACGACGTCATTTTGCACGTTCCGGTTCCCCCTCAAATCCGTAGACAGCCACATAACACGTAAAGCTTGGTCTAATATATATTTACATAGGTACCTCTACGAACCATATTTTTCCTGGCTCGAATGGCCTTCATTTTTCAGCTTCCGCCGCTTTTGTGAGGGCGCTCGCGCTTTGCTCACTGTATAGATCTCAGTCTGGAATCATGCTCACTGATCTGGTCAAGATCATTATATGACAGATATTAGTGACTGTTGTCGCTCAGTGAGCACTCACTGAGCATGATCAGCTTCCTACTATATTCTAGCCACACGAGCTCGGTATAGTCATCTGTACATTCATTAAACTTTTTTTATCTAGTATATCACACAATAAAGAATCTGTAAAGACCGGTTTGAACGATAGTTCGAATGTGGGTATGAGACTACAGAACACTTGCAGTAGCGGTTACACATACAAAAGCTTCTAAGCTGTATGAACAAGACCATAAGATTATACATGAGTCATCGCATGACATTCGAGGATAGCTTGCAAAGACCTATACTCTATGAATATAGGCGCTATGACACTATTTACATCTCTATTAACCGGGCTCCGTTATTAGCTACATGTACAACGTGCATTTATCGATTGCTCATAAGCTAGCAGATTCTACTGCCAAGAGAGTTGTAGTTGCTTTATTATTGCTTAATAATATGTAACTTACGTACAAGTTTTCTCTCTCATGAAGGGTTCAAAACAAAGCTCGGGACTTACTACGAGTAGTCTTGGAAATAATAAGTGGAGAATTATCATTGAGATCGGATACTAACACTATAAATGTACACTGTAAAGACCAGCCAATAACATATGACAGAAGCATTGGACAATCCCGGCTTGCAGTTTAACGTCTGATGAAAATTTGCTCTGCTTACAGTCTAAACTTTGCTAGGGAAGGAGATCGATAAAAATCAAAACCTTAAAATATTCAATTTTACGTACAACCGCCTCTGCGTACTCTAATTTCTACCAATATGTTTAGCATTTGCCCCATAAAATAAAGTAACTATAATTTCGGCGGTATAGCACCGCAAGACTAGCCTTACCAATAGAGGTAAATCGTATATCCGTTTTGTATGAGGGCCCGCCTGTGTGAGACCTCTTTTTATATTCCAATATGGGCTTTAGAGAAATAAAGGAAACAGAAGGTTATTCAGCTGAGGCTGAGCAGGAAATTTCTTTCAATCCAACGTATCAGCAATTTTTTGGGGCCCGTAGATAAAAGCCTCAAATGTCTGAGTAAATATAAATACAGGATTGCAGCTCCTTGTCTCTCTCGGTTTTATCATTCAATCAAACTTGCTCTTTGTCCTTGCATACAATTATCTGCTGTTATACGAGTCTCGATCAGTCATCATGAAGGTCCTCGCAACTGTTTTAGGTGCACTTACCCTTACTGTTAGGGTCAGCGCTTGGTATGGATCAGTGACCAAAGGAGACGACTGCGGTTCAGGAGGTTGCAGTGGATATCTTGACCTGACTGACTACAATACTGGTTCTACCTACTGGTGTGGTTGGATCTATCCGGACTCCTCCTCAGCCTGCTCTGGTGAAGGAAATGCCTGCTCAATTACGTAAGTATTGAGATCACAACCTCGGAGACGAAATATTCCCAGGTCATATTACACGAGTTTCGCAAGCAACTAATTTGGTAATCTCATAGCTGCTACGAAACAAGCCCAGGCGGATACAACTTTCCAATTCAATACTGGAAAACGAGTGACGGATGTCAAAACATCAACTTCGAGGGCGCATTTGGTGGTGCTGGACATGGATGGTGCTGTGATTCGACAAGTTGTTCTTTGACTGCCTAGTTATGGCACATACAAAGCTACTTTTTGTTCCCCTATCTCTACTCAGGCTCGGCAATGATGAACCGATAAATTGTTGACAAACGATCATTATTAGTGATAAATATGTGATTTTCAGCATTATTGAAATTTGTGCATGCATTTGAGAAGACTTCATTTTCAAGTAGCTACTCCCCATGTTTCTCCTCAAAATACCACTCTTCTGCCAGTGGTTTAAGCACTCTATTCTTTCAATATTTGCAGCTAATAGCTGCACCCTTTCCCATGAAATTTGTGACGTGCTTTTAACGCTGTGGTTTGACAAGGACTTCCACGGAGATCGGATCTATCATTAGTCTGAGTTGAGCTATCAGATTGCTTAGGGCTAGGCAGATAGATATGTGTAACGCGCGAGACAGTCAGGGGCTGATCCCCTGCGACAAGCTGCAGAGTCTGTAACATCCTGTAGCGCTGTGTATAAACATAATAATAGGTTTGGTATACTCTTACGCCGTACGTACGACGGCTTACAGGTTGGTTACGGTGTTACATTATTTTTTTTACCCATTTTCGAGTAGTAATCTCCTGAGTCCTCATGCTACCCCGTTATCAAAGTAGGCTAGAATAGCGAGAATGATTTACAGACTGCTGATAGCGAGGTCAAGCAAATAGATAAGACGTCGAGAGACAAAGTATGTAGACTTAGATTTGGCATCATGAATATAACGCTCATAGAGAAGAAGTGGTTCATGGTGATCATATATAATATACAGCGCTATAAAGACATATAAGCGAATTGAGAAAATCAGTATGCTCAGCTTTCGAACACCGAGCATATTCAAGAGCTTATGTAAGGCTCACTGAACTGATCACGGCGCTCATGGTCATGCTCAGTTCTACTCAGTAAGCAAAGGCGGCGAGGGTGTGAGCACTAAAACGGAACAGAAATGCCGCAACGCGTCAGGAAAAATCAAGGAAGTAGGTATATCAATCCAAATACTATCATTGAGAGAATGTGTTAAAGAACACAATTGCAAGTACTTCCTTCTTCCCCTCAATTGTGTGCAGCGTTTCACTCCTGGCCGATTGTCATATACAGTGCTGCATCAGAGCCTTGCTGTATTCCGAGGTTCTCGGTTCAGTAATCCAACCAAAACTACTTGGATTTCACGGCACAGGAATCTGCACAAGTCCCCAGATAGTTTGTGTGTCCACAAACTCAGAATCCCGACCCCATCGAATGCGTCCTTTCAAACCAAGAGTCACGAGGTGACGGTGATCGCTTTCGCTTCTTTGCTTGTTTTTCTCTCTCCAACCGTTCCTTTTCTCTATTGAGGCGGATGCCAACAAATTCGAGAAAGTCGGGAGCTCCTGTAGATCGAAGTGTTTTCTCGAAAAAGAATCCCTGACTGACTTTCAACCTGATATAATCATGACTGAAGAATTGGACTGTGATTTCATACTTGTCATCCTCACTCTGCAACTCGATTTCCTCAAGACTTGAATGTTGGGGAGGACAGAATGGCTTGAAACGACAGTCCAGACTCCCATGGATGTATAGCTGGTCTTCAATCTGCCGTGTTCCTGGCTCTGACAACGGCCGGGAGTGGTTATCGTCCAGTTCAAAGAATTCAACATATGGAGACGCGTGATTCGAAGAAGAGAAGCAGTGTTGGACCCAATCAGTGGAGTATATACGAAAAAGGTTGCTGATCTTTAGGTCAAAAAGACGTAAATCCACTGGACTTTCCTTGTCCAACTTCAGGGCATCGTATTCACTCTGGACTTCCACTTCTTTACTTTTATTGAAAACGTATGCCTTTCTCTTTTCTTTCCGCAATTCGCGTTTCCGATCTTCGTGTTGCTCTTTCAATTCGTAATAATAATCCGCCTCGGATCCGTCGAACGACCTTTCGGATTCAGCATCCTCGGATCCCTCGGATTATTCATCACCATAAAGTCCACGGGACTCCTTCTCTTCTTCTTCTTCCTCCTCCTCCTCCTCCTCCTCCTCCTCCTCACTGCAAGTGCTGCCCACTTCCACGTCAGAAAGGTCTTTATCAAAGTCCGTCGAATATACGTCTCGGTCTTTGTCAAAAGTGATACCAACCACACGATAATACCATGCTGGAAATTCTCTTTTATCCCTTCCTTTTTTGTAAAATCTGGTCATGTTGATAAATTCGTTGACTCATGGCATGATTTGAGAAACCTGACCATTCAGATTGCTGTTGCGTGCTAGAATGGAGAATGCAAACAAGGCAAACAAACAAGGCAACGCGTCGACAGCATGAGCGGTCAAAAAAAAAAACCATTTACACTATCCGCCAAACATTTTAAATGGCATTCGGTGTCTAGTTCGTCTTAAGACGTCCGAAGCTCTTGCGATAGAGTCAAGAAGTAATGCACATAACGTTCTTATTTACACTAGGATAAGTGACTATTTACAGGAGGAGGTTTTCGCGATTTGATTGCCCCGAACGATCTGGTAGTTCGTCAACTACTGAGTTGCTGCAAGAGCAGCGTTAAGAGCATCCAAAGCAGCTCCCTGAGTGACCGCATTGGCCTGGTTGCTGTTGAAAGGACCAGCCCAGGCAGAGCCAACAATACATTCCGATTCGCCATTGACGTTCTGAACACTGAGGTCGTTGTTCCACAAACTCTGCGCATTGGCAGTGATGTAGTTCAACCAGTTAGATTCCGGGTCGACAAGCTGCAATTTCCTCAATCCGCGGATATAAGCGCCCTTGAACATTTCAGCGGTGGTATCGCAGCTGGCGCTCTTGTCACAGCCTTCGGTCAAGATACCGCTGCTGCTGGTCAAATCAGATCCTGAAGCAGTAGAGGCGTCTGCAAGAGCTGCTGCGGTGGCCAAGTAGGTCTGGTTGCCGGTAGCTTTGTAGAGCTCTGCTGCGGCACCGAGAATAACTCCTTGGTTGTATGTAAAGACATTGCCGTTGAGCGAGCAGCTGTCGTCCGAATTCAGTCCGTCTCTGACGATATTGTCGGATCCGACTATGCCGGAGCTGAAGAACCAGTTCCAATTTGCCTCGGCGTTAGCGAGATAACTTCCGCCGCCTGCACGGTTAGCAAGACCGGCAGCAAGTTCAGTGTATAGACCTAGGGCAAATTATTAGTATCTCAATCATAATGCGGCACAGGTATGAACCGAACCATTTGAGATGGCAGCGACGTAGGTGTGATCCTTGTCCCACCAAATGCCACCACATGGCGTTCCCAATCCTCCAACAATATCGTTATAGATAGTGATGGCCTGGTTCAAGTAGGTAGAGTCGGATGTGTAGTCATAGACATCCAAGAATGCATTTCCCCACCAACCTTCATCGTCATACCAGCCGTTGAGGAAGTTGGCGTAGTTTCCATAGCCGGGAGCTTCAGAGAGGGTCGTCGCGAAGATGTTGTTGTGAATGGAGCCGTAGTTCGGGTCAAGTTGGAAAAATGTGGCCAGAGCAGAAATGAAGTTTCCGGATTGCCACCAGAGGTCTTGTCCGAAGAGGCCGGTGTTGACTGTTCCGTAGGAGCGGAGAAGTTGGTCTCTAATCAGTAGCATCTGGTCAGCTATCTTTTCTGGGTCATGAAATGAACAATATCATCTGAACTTACGCAGTGCAGACGGCGTTCTGCTCGTAAGTTGTGGCATCCCGTTTGGACAGGAGTGTCTTCATCGAATTGGCAGCAACGAGACTGGGAGCCAGGAGGGCAATGCCCAAATGCTTGGTGTTGATATACATTATGAGATGATATCAGGTATATATAGTAAAAATGGTGATAATGAAACAATTTCGAGCCGCCCGTCGACCTATGAGTCCGAGTCGGACCTGCTCGTTTATATACGTTCAGGTACGCGCATTTACACAGACAAGTCTAATTCACAGCCAGGGGATATAATTTGAAAGAAATGCCTTTCATAGTAAAGTCAACGGTTACATGGCAGTGTATTCGGTCATTTTAGCGTGCTGCTAACCTGTGTGCTCACTGGGTAGCGTACGGGCACTATGGAGTAGAGCTGAACTATGCTACTCGTTGAAGACATTTCGTTTCATTCCTCGGGCTGAAGACCCAGTGATGATTCAAGGCTTGGTCTAGGATTCGTCCAAGGCATAGACACTGTACTAGATCCAGCCTAGTGCGCGATTAGGCTATTCCTAGCGTCCATCCCTTCAGGCAACTAGCTCAGCCTCACAATGCGACGCTGACCGCCTGAGGTTTGAGATCTGGGGTCGTGGTCCAATCAGTAGATGAACATCCGGTAGTTGTTTGGATATACATTGGACAGCAGTATGTCGACGATGTTACTGTGTTGTGCTGTCTTTGCTTCGTTTATTCATCAAAAGGTCAGATTAATTAGATCTAGTCTTGAGCAAGAGTGCCGGTCCCTGTCAAATACCCGCTAATTATTCCGTAGCCCCTAAAATTAGGTGGCAACAGGGCAGCTGATTATCTTAGAACCGCCAATTACGTAGCATCAAGCCTCGACTTTGCCCATAACTTTGGCGGTCTTCAAAGACGCTTACTACGTGATACACGCCAGGACTTCGTAAAGAGTTCCACGTGGTCACATATATAATAGCTCCTCAAAATGACTCTCATTCTTTGATTCGAAGTAGAAAACCAGATGGCAGATACTAAACACTTCGCGACGTATGCACCCTTACTTGGCGTTATTTCGGAGCCGGCTCCCTGTCGTTGTGGTTTCAGGGCTATACTACTTAGAGCAATCTATGCACAATGCACGGCCCTAAGCCAGCCATTGTTATAAAAATTCAGCCAGATTTTGCTAATTATATCTTAGCGTATCTATTTTAATAACCTTAAAGTTTCCCAAAGGAATTTGTTCGACTCCATATCCAGATTAAGGTTATATTGAACAACTTAGGTTTCAAGTGTGGCTCCTGCCGGATCCAAGGTTCATTATAGGACCTGCGTTTGATTAGTCCAGTCAGAGTACATGCCAGGTGGCGCGTTTCTTACGCTTCAAGGCACGGCGGCATGTAGGGTTTTGTGTCTTAGGTCATCCTTCTAAGGGCAATTACTTCATATTATCTAGTGATCATACCTTGTGCAGGCGTGGCAAGTGATTCAAAAGATACCAGAGGTGCCGTTGTTGAATTCACACATGCGAAACGATCAATCGCTCAAGCATGATTACAGAATGATGGTTCTTCAATCGACCCGACTCATATCTGTACGGAAACGAGTCATGGTGATCTGAAGGATTTAAAGCGCTGTGAAAATAGAGATAAGCTCTTTCTAGTACAATATTTCGATTGCAATAGAACTGATGCAGGTTCAGATCCATACCCTAAAAAGTGTTCGGTGCCATGGTCTCGACTTGCTACCTTGGTACATTTGTATCTCACGAGCCGGAAGCCGGAAGAGATCCGATTATGTGTCTTTGATACTAAATGAGCCAGCATAAGACTCTACTGACTTACATAGCTCCCGGATAGGTCATCTTTCAGGACGGCTGTCTGTGGTGACAGAGTCGAGGCCACCTCGATAGCATTTAAAATATTTTCCAGTTATACCTACCATATAAGAAAAAGCCCAGAATACGAGGACAACGTTAGTGAGGATATATTGTAGCCATGTTATGCCGCAGGCAAGCGGAGTGGGATAGAAGGAATCTGGCACACTTTCAGAAAGTCGCATAAAGTCCGTCGTCGCCCCTGGGCGAAGGTGTATCACTATCTGCGCGTCAGATCCCACTGCTATAAGCTGCTAAGTATCACGGGCAACTGCCTGCTACATCTCGACGAACTTTGGAAAGGCCCTTGTGACCGTGCCGCCGTTTCGGCCTCATCGCCAGATGAAGGAGCCCTTTCAACCTTCTTCACTCACCTTCCTTTGTAAAAAACCTTGATTTATACGTCCGTTATAGGAAATAAGTTTTACTATTGTCATAGACTAGGTCATAATATATTACAGATCGAAATCATCAAAGGACTGAGAACACGGCACCAAATGCAAAACACAGGGAAATATTTGCCCAGCAATGTCTTGAATCTGTCTAAACTAGACATAATCAAATCTGTGAATAATAATATAGCGCCATTGCCCTTTATGTCGCCTGTTGATAAAAGAACGTTGGGTAATCAACTTTGTTGAGGCAATTATATCCACCGTCAACATCTTAAATCTCCAACTTTTGGGTGGAAAATCAGAGGACAATCGGCAAACGAGTCATGAGACCGTGATCTCGTACTCTTGAAGTTGAAGAACGTATCCATGTATTTTTTTTTATGAAGGCCTTAAAGTTATGGAAAGCGGTGGTGACAAAGATAGTCAACTTGTAAGCTTGAGAAAGCAAGGCATTTTATACCTCATCTCTAATTTCCGAGACGAAGATTTCCATCAATTTATAGTCGCCAGTCGAGTCTAACAACGGGACATTTCACGGATGGATGGCTATGGTAAGATTTCTCGACCTCTGTGCAGAGTACTCCTCAGCCATTACAATGAACAGGGTGATTGATGAACCACATCTAGCAATTTGTGTAGAGTAAATAACACTGAATGGGTGGATGTGCGCTTTTTCAATGAATTTCCTGTCGCTTCGTACTGGGTTCGTCTGTATTGTCTTCTGTGGATACCTAATTGGTGATAAACCACCATTTTGTTGGATACCGACGCTTAAAACACAGGGAAACTATTGCTTTTGGTCATTGAGCAGTCATTTACTCAGTCAGGCTGCGAAGTGATGCCTGAAACAACCTCTGACCCAACCTCGTACGAAGCGACAAGGTGCTGAACCAGATATTCAGGGCTGGATTCTAATTAAACAACTTCCGATTCTATCTCCATTTTAGATCAAGGTTCTCTGACTTATTCAAGTCATGTCTTTCAGGGCAGGGGCGACAATTGCGTATGTTTGAGAACGACGGAGACCCTCCCAATGCGCATGATGGTTTCCCCAAGCCAGCTTGAGATGCCTGCCCTGTAGTCGTAGTCTCTTCCCGTTTATATCAAGTTCATCTTTGAAAAGCACAGCCATTTGCGTTTATATATATCGTCTGGGACGCATCCTCCTGATCAGCAAATTCCTTATCAAACGAGGGTTAAGAAATGATCAGAACATAAATTAGTTCCAAACCTAGAACCAAAAGCAATGTTCGCACGTAGTCATTAGATTCCACTCACGCTTTCGTTTCATAACCTGTGCGAGATATCTAGTCGCATTCTCAGCAGAGTCATCGGTCAAACCCTAAGGAAACCCTATAAAAAGTTCACTCAAGACATGAATACAAGTATACTTGTATCTTCGGATTCAAATTTGAGAGACTTAGATATGGGAATCAGCAACCTGTAATCTTCCATGGCTTAAGATTGTAGGGTCGGTCTTGAAAGTAGAAATCCGATGAAAACATGCTATATTATTTATATGCGAGCTTAATTTAAAAATATTCATATACACGCATCAATGGACACAGAGCACACTTTCATATTTCGCTCTGACGTACTATGCAAGACTTAAATGTCTCCTACACGAACATCTGCATCTGACTTTCATCGCACATAATCCGAAAAATCTACCATTCCTCTCTTTTTGCTGCAGCAGAGAAGGATCTCGCTGCACGAGTGCAATGGATTGCAACCGGCGGTTTTCGAGAAGTTGCTTCCACGACTGGTTAATCTGGATTTTGGGCGGACACAAAAGAAATTGGCCAATCAGAGAATGATATCTAAAAGAAGTATAGCTTGATCCTGACCCACACAGACAGACCCTACTGTGGACTTCTATTCGCTTGTCTGATCCAATTGTCGGCCATTCCGAACTTTCTGATTACTATTCATGGACTAGTACAGCGCCACGCTGCACAATGCACATCGCGTGGCATAGCGGAGCAAAATTCTACGACGATGCGTTTCATTGGTGGATGCATCTCAGGTCCGACTCGAGATCCGATTGGCTACCAGTCAGGAATGCATCCATTCTCATTCTTTGTCGCGAGTTGATTTGTCGGCTATCAATATCGGACTCATAGGCTATATTCAAAAGAGCATCCAGAGCGAAATCGACTCTACGTAGTATGTAGGAGGCGCTTCAAAATACATCAGTCACACAATTCATATCGTTCGCAACGCATGATTCGTCCAAACCAAGCCCTTAGCGCAAGGCAATATGCATGAAATACCGCATCAATCTCAACCGACGTCATGCCGTGAGTGGCCAACAACACCCTTGTACCTACCCCAGTCCTGTCGGTCCCTCTGAGTCTCAACAACCGAACGCCTGAACAAGGGTCTGCAGTGCATGCGTCGGGCGATGATACCGAAACGGGGAGTACTCATTCCTCGAAATGAGATTGGTTGGAATATACGCACTTTGATATTGCTTAATAACCTCGAATTTTTGTGGATGTTGGAAACGACTTGTTCATTTACTCAACGCCATTCAAGAGCCGGGCGACGGATGCAGATGCATGGATGCAGTGACGCTGCAGTTGGTGCAGCAGCTGCTACTGGCTTATTTTGTACGACGTGCTCGCGTCCTCGCATGAGTAGCTGCGAAAGGCCTGCCTGATCGAGGCATAACGAGCGAAGTGCTTGTCAAGCGACTCGACTTGGACTTCCATCCATGGCACTATCTCTTGGATACCACATCATGCAACAAAGCACACAACTCAAGTCGGATGAAATATTCATACCCCGGTCTCGCTTGTCGGCAACGATGGACGGTTTCATACCGAACAACGAAATTGCGTAGACCTTGTTGGCGAAGTCTACCAATCAACAAGCACACTGAAGATGCGGCGCAGCGATACAAAACTCATTCCTTTGTTTACACTGGCGTGGAGAGGCTGGTCATCTAAACCGACTCGCTGAATCAGATCGTTTCGGGTGTGACTTGGACGTATCCATTCGGAGACGCCGTGTTGGATACGCGTCGACGAATATCGCTTTAAGAATAGCATGAGCTGTTGGTTCTATAGTCAGCATTTGAATGAGACGAGTGAGTGAAGTCTAGCTCAGTCTACAGATGTGACCGGCAGGCTTTGATATTTCCGAGGATTCGGCGTCCCGTGATCGGCTTCTAGTCCTGGTTGATATGCATGCTGACAGGCTAGGGAAATAATAATGGTTGGCTTGCATTATCCCGGCCAGTTCATACGTACTTACGTCGTACAATCGGAAAGAGTGACTCAAACCCTGCCCCACTAGGCAATTGTATTCTTTCCATATGGCATATGCTGGTTGTGACGTGGAAGAAGCATTTACATTAAATCAGAAACAAAAGCGGTCCCTACAAAGTAAATAGACTAGCCAATGGATGATGGCCAACAATATGTTCTGGAATGAGTGGCTAGGTAGCATATGCAGGGAGTTGTTGTTGATAAATCAGTAGGCTACGAATATCGTTTCCCCAAAATTGAGCTGAAAAGATCAGATAGCTATTATTCACCAAAAGGATTTGAGTAAATAGAATATCAATAGCAGTTCAAAGCGATCGACCTACCCGTACTTGCGTGTATCCGAGCATCAAATTATGTTAATAATTCAGTCTACTTAGGTACAGAGTAAATATATGTGCGGAGTATAAACAAAGAAATTGCTCAAGTCAAAGACCCGCATTGCCGGAAAATTATTGGGTTACGTAGATCACAAAATGAGTTACTAGGGATCCCATTCGCCACACTATAGTGTTTAGTACGTAGTTTAGCTCCGCAGCCTCCACAGGACCGCAGGGAGTCCGCTATCAGAATCTGTGCTCTTACCAGTTCTAGTAAGTCGATATCCGAGGCCCAGTATTGTACGTATGTAGATTGGGTCAAGCATGGAGTAAGAGGAGAAAGGCACACCGCCACCGATTTTCGATCCTTTGGACCTTCGCTGGACTCGACTCGTTAAGAGATCAGCGAACACCTTCACTACATAGGGTTGTCATATCATATGTGATCAACGGGGTCTAAGTAATTGACCAACTACCGGATATGGCGAATCCAGACTGAATCGTTGAATTTTGCTTCCAACGGGGCGGAAATATCCGACCAGATGTCCATCAATTTCCGGATGTCTTTAAAAAAGAAAAGAGGAGTAGTGTTCCCGGGGATCGGTTTCTTCGTCCATGAGCACTTACACTGAACACCAAATCAACAGCCGAGATGCAATTCAAGTCACAATTTTGCACAGTGCAAGTACCAGGCGCCGAAAACTGGTTTATGCATGGAATAGCGGGCTCCAACAATTGCATTTGATACTTAATTGGCAATCTGAAGTTGAAGCTTTGCCATAGATGGGCAGTACTCTCCAGATACCCTGGGCAAGGATCATGGAAATAGTGAAACGAGGTACATACCGATACATCAACCATGACAAGGATGCGAGGAACGTATGTCCATGGCTTGCGCGGATGGATGTCGAGCCGAAGCCTGTTCCAGGTGTATACGCAGATTATACATATGCGGCACGGTCGCCAACACAACACCATACGCCAACCAACAGTAGCACCCAACAAGGCTTGTATAGCGTCAACTGCGGCACAATCACCAACACATCAGCTGTAGCAGTCAATCCTGTCTCCTTTACTTTTGCTGGATGATGAGTATAGTGCAGGGATTAAAACGGGCTGGATCAGGCCGATATATTCCACCATTGGACTAGTATCGTAGGCCTGAGCATCCCAGCTGATGCCTTGACATCTCAGACCATCAATGCTGAAGTCACGACATCATCATCGATCAGGATCCGAATCACCCGATGGATTGACACTTCTGAGAAAATTGTCATTGTACTCGCCGTTATTTCCGGTGAACTGGACAGGGGTAGAGTCACGTAGGTGATTTTTGTGGAGTGACTGCCCTAATCATATCATGCTATCCCTTTAGTCCTTGACAGTGTGAACTGTCGGGGCTCCTTCTAGAAATAGGTGGAATGTCCAAAATGTCATTCCAGTGTCAACGGATTTCGACTAGTGGCATCGAGCTTCGGAGCTCGTAGCACCACTATCGTGCAGCGACTAACCATATTCCGCTAAAGTGAAATTCCCTTCAAATGACTTTAAACGACAGCAAAAAGACAAGTGGCTGGTGTCGTCGCTATATACAACCGCATCGATAAAGTATGTAGAAGGCGCCCCGAATGTAGAAAGAAGTACTCAAATTTCGACCAATCACAGCCACTCTTTACAGTAATATACGCAAAAGGCAAGTACGCATCAAAGCAGGGATGATATGCATGCATCTGCCACCGTCTTTGGGCCAGCCAGCCGATATGCGCCATTAGACGAGGTATTCGGCACGCTGATTGGCTGCTACGCGAAAGAACCGAGGAAGGAAGGTACTCGTCCCAAAGCAGTATAGTCCAGATCTGCAGCGCTAAACAATCACGTACATAATGCATTTAATTTACCTATGGAAGTTACAAACGTAACTGTAATATTACCAGAAGAGTGGCGACACGGGCGTATTATCGGGTTTTCTGGAACACGGGGCTACGTTTATCCGCCCTGTGTATTGACTGAATCAGGCAAGTACTTCAACGGACTTTGCATTCAGCGAACTGCAGCAACAATGGGATGATGCTGATGCGGATGATGCAGACTGCAGCGTAAATGCAGTAGCATGTGCCGTCACAAATTCTTTCAGTTGTGTTGGTGTTGGTGTTCGTGTTTAGTTCAAGTTTGATATATTCAATCTATTCAAATTGTCAAGAGGGACTTATCGTTACTCGCAAGTTCCGGGCCATCCTTACGATACACCCGTTGGATCCTGCTCAGTCCTTTGTACAGCGAGATTGCTTTTGAGTCCGACAGGCGACAGGTAGCTTTGTACCTTACACTTCATAGGTAGTACTCCGTGTACCGAGGATACAGCAATACGCGGTTGTGTATGGCCACCGGGGAATCTCATTGTAAATTACGTATAGCGCGGTAATACCGAGGGAATACCTCGAATAGGAAAATACTTATCGACACCTGCAGCTTCCTCGTCCCACTCTCCACCCGCGACTATCAGCCAGTTTCAGGCTTTCTCTCTTTTTCGCGGTGCTACTCCCCTTTCATATCCACATTATCCATCGCTCATTACCCATTACCCATTCTTGTACATCCTACGTACTCTTTCAAAAACAAGTCGATTCTTTCTGACGTTCTTGAACCCCGGCTATTCCGTTTCGAGGTGCCACTGCAGCTGCTGCACGCCAGGGACCGATCACTCCTTCTGGATCAGAGCTGTTAATATCAATTTGCTCCAACGGACCAACGCAGCCGGACTGACAGCAAATCATCAGGCAGAGCAACTGCCTACTGAGGGACATGCCGTCGCCGCCCGCTAAGCAGGAGCTTCCCTTTATTTCACGGTACTTGCTTGTCGCCTTAGTACTTACCACTTATCACCACTGCTGCTACTAGTAGCAATCTGTTGGTGCCACAGTCTCTAGCATCTGCTCTAGTCTACGCTGCCCCGATCTGTCCTAGACTACCACCAAAAAAAGAGATCCTCGCCCAATTGCCTTTCTACGTACTCTTTCTCCGCGTTAGGACGACCTCAATGGCATTCTTCCCTCGATAATCATACTTGGACCTTATTTCTCTCTCTTCTATCCCCCTTTCATAAATGCGGAACGATCCTCCCTTCGCGATTGCTGCCAACCAAATACCAACCAATATCAACCCTCAACATACCCCTTCCGTCGATCGATTCAACAAACCCAAACAAGGGCACAGAGAAGGGAATAAAGAAGGGAATATCTAACAAAAACTTTCGAGTGATGACCGACATATAAATTGGACCCCGTCATTCCTTCCCGTATCGGCCGCTCGGGCATGCCAACCGTGATTCGACATAATAACCAACCGCCACCCTGGCAGTTCTCGGGCGTCGAGAAGGCTTTGGCCCGGATGGACCTCTGCTGGCACCTTCTTTTGCTGTAGCTCGGCCTATTGATGACCACGACGACCACGCATTGCGATACTACAACGATCGGTTCATCGAGGAGGAGACGGACAAGGGGGTTGGAGCGAGTAGGGGGTGGAATAGTCGAGAGGCAGAAGAATACATGACTTCAGTCGCAGAGAAGATACGGACTTCGAGTCGACTGGGCTGGGAACACGTTACGCCTCATGAGGGGCTGTTCGGGTTCACGGCTCCCCCCTCCTCTTCCCCTTCTAAATATATGGACGCCGAAATGGACATCCCCCTCTTCTTCCGCGTGTCTACCATGGCCGCTCTGTCGACCAGCACGCTGCTTCCGCTCGACAATGTGATGAGCTTGGAAATGGGTAAAACTGCGCCGGGGTTCGACCCGATCAACGTTCCCGATGTGGTCCGATTGCGATCCGAACAAGACTGCGATGGGGCCTTTGAATTGCTCATCTCGATCCTGCGCCAGCCAGAATTGGGTTTATATATTCGACACATCGACATTCTCAGAGACACGCAGTTTCATGGATGGTACAAGCCCACCCCGTACCAGCGATACATAACCGAAGAAGATGGGTTGCTGCTACGATTAGCTGTTCGAAACGCGGGATGGTATGGTGCAGAGGAAGAGTTGATTATCAACATGCTGCTTCAACGCCAATTCGACGTAGACTTCTCCAATGGTTTTCATTCGTATGTACCGACGCACCCAAAGAAAATTGAAGTCAACTGACTGTTATAGATCCCGTGCCCGTGGTGGTCGACATACTCGCGGCTCGCACATGATCCAATCCTTGGCAGCTCTCCTCATGTCCGTCTGTCCTAACCTAGAATCATTAAAGATACGTCCAATAGGCCGATTCATGAAAGAAGGCTATCCACCTTTACCTCTCGAGCAATTCCTGTTACGTTCCACCAGCATATTTAACTCGTTGTTTCTCCAAAGATTACGGCGCGTCGACTTGCTCCATACCGACGATGCGCTTGATAATGACCCATTATACTTTAACCGCTACGACCTATTATATCACATGTCGCTCTTCCACCAGTTACCTTCCATCGAGCACGTCTGCGTGGGGGGAATGGAGATTGACGAGAACGGCCGCGAAGACATCGCCCCGTTTTCGTCCAATCTTGACAAAATTGAGCTTCTTCATTCTGTTCTGCCGACCATGTTTCTCTGCTCAGTCATAGCATCCTCGAAAAAACTTCGACAATTCACACACTCTGTCGGTGGACGGGCCACGCAAGATACGGGCAATTGGCACATGGCCTTTCCTGCTATATTAAGGGCACTACTTATCCATCGCGAATCACTAGAATCACTCAATCTCGACACAGACGCAGACTACTCGGATGAACTCCAACGAGAGGAATTTGAAGAGTACCTCTGTGACTCACATGAAACAGAAATCGACGAAACAGACGAAGAACTACAGGCATTTATAAATCAGAAATCAGTGGTTGAACTCGTCTTTACACAAATGGGTTGTCTTCGAAATTTCACAGCTCTGCGGAGACTGAGCATCGGGGTGCGATGTCTTTTTGAAATGGCAAATGGCACCACCAGCGACTTTGCCGCCTCCAACATGCCTCTTACTGACATCCTTCCTCCGAATTTGGAGTCTCTATCCATTCGCGGCTACCAGCCTGGTTTGAACTCATACTATGACGCCCATTTACACGATCTGTTTCAAAAGTTTGTTGCTGGACAACTCGGCTCACTGAAAGAGATTAATGGTATCAGCGAATATATCCCGAACTCGGAGACCGTGCATCTTGATGATGTGGATAATAACCCGGAACTGGTGTGGATAGACGAGAGGGACGCCATTGTTTAGTCCGTCTCATGTCTCATATATACATCGATCAAAAGATCACACTCATCACACTCTTCACACTCGAACATACTTATAGCCCGATCTCACATCCGATCATGCGTCCACTCATCTCCTGGATCATATATCGATCTTACTCTTCTGGACCTCATTTTTTCTTACGACTAGATATACCCATTTTGTGTACCGAAATAGAATTGCATTGTGCATTTTCGTCTCTGCCATTTACATTGTTCCATCGATGATGACAAAATCATATTTCCCGACCTTTTCTAGCAGGATAGAACCTCATGACTCAAGTCAATGTACGATTACATACATTTGAACAATAAACAATTTATCCAACTTCATATCATCGAATTCATTAGGTAGTTCAAATAGTAGTATTATCATACAAACAAACACAACTCTATTCTTTCTCTCCATTCTCTTCTCCATTTGTCTTTTGCTTCTTGTTCTCGATCTTATCATCCTGTCGTGTATGAACCCTCTTTTGTCCATGGGGTTCATCTTCATTGCCATCACCATCATCTTCATCCTCCTCTTCGTCTGCTTGATTCGCTTCTGTGTCTTCGACGAAGTCACCATCTTCTTCCTCTTCGCCGTCATTATCAACCCCGTCTTCTTCTGCATGATCGCCATCTTCGTCCTCGCCTTCCTGTTCACCCTCTTTCTCTTTTCTCTCCGTGTCCTTGGACTTGGATGGCCTACCAGGCTTCTGTCCTTTCTTCGCAGCAGTAGAAGTCCCATTCTTCTTACCCTTCGACTCCTGCCCGCTCTCCTCCTCCTCGTCCTCCTCCTCGTCCCCTTCACCCTCAGTATCCTTACTAGCCTTCCGCCTCTCCTCCTTCGCCTTGCCCGTATTCCCCACATACTGTTTTCCCTCTTTCCCGCCTTCTTCCTTCTTCTTCTCCGTCTCCTCCTTCTCCTTTTCACTCATATTCTCCCACGCTTTTTTGGGTAGATAGCGTTTCTTCGTGCCATCATCCTCCTTTGTAGCATTCGCATCCCCTTCTTTGGTCTGCCATTCTTCTTCTGTCCACTTAGACAGGTGTTTCTGGGACTCGTCTTGCCCGGTCTCTTTATCGGTTGTGTAGGAGCCGCCACGTTTTTTGTATTCGGACGCCATCAATTGGGCCTGGTCCATAACATTAGCTGGGAGTTTCTTTGCTGTAGGAGGGCAATATGAGACGAGGAGAAGGATAGTACCTTTCGAGCAGACCATTGGCCTGGTCGGCCGCCTTTGTCAGAAGCATGGATTTCTTCTTTGACTTCGTCGCGGAGGTCAGGGTCGGTGTACTTATCGCGAGAAGGCATCTTGTGTGTTCGTATGCTCTTTCAAGGTGATTAAATTAGGCAGATTGATAGGAGCGCTGAATTGATTGACTACTATTACTGCTCGGAGGGCAAGACGTGCTTATATACTTTCCAAGGATCCATTACTTAGGTAGCATCCTCAAAGGTAGCTAAGGTTCTGAGACAGTACCACAGACGGCTCGTATGTCGTAGCCATGATGCATCATTGATGTACACTGTCCTCACAACAAGATTTTTAAATTCAAAACTTAGGTACGCAAACAGATGATTCATCGATCGCGCGACCTCCTGAGACCTGGTCAATAAATCCCTGAGCACAGATCGACACATTCCCGATCGGTACCCACGTAGATCTTTTTGCAGCTTCCTTACAGATCGACTAGTTCGTCATGCCAGGGGTAGTTAGATCACTATGTACGTACCCCAGAGTTTCTAGACCATTACTACTCTATAATAAAAGAATTAGAGGAATAGAAATCGATAGTGTGGGAGCTCGAAATAAGCTTATCCCAGCCCTATGTATGATGTCACTTCGCGGGTCGTTTTAGCGTTCTTCTCGAGTTTTCCGCATTCGGTAACTGCGGTTCTAGACTCTTGCATCGTGCATACTCTGTAAATTTATCTAGATGAAAGTCGTCGATGGTTAATGAATGGAATGGCGCCAATGACAGAAATGGCATGCATAGCGAAAGCAACGCATAGGCGGAACATACTTTGAACCAGGAAATGACGTTGTCACGCAATCAACCGACACAATCCTTTAGTATTGATTGAGGTAGTTCGTCGCTGGCGTGGCAAGCAGGTCTGCATCATAAAACCAATTGAATCTAATGACTTGGTTTCCTTGATTAAGTGATATGGAGGCTTGCTGCGCTGTTGCCCTAGATATTTTGGCCACAGAGCCGTGTTTGAAGATCCGAGTATGTTCGAAAGCTTACTGGCAGAATGAAGGTATAAGTGCTGAAATCTGTATTGGGTCATTCAACAAACCATGATGTGCTCAAGTCCCAAGCAACAAAAGCCACCATCGTGCCCCTGTCTGTCGTAACGCTGAAAGCTCCATATAGTCGTTATATATCATCAATAATAAGCCACCATCTTTGTAGAGTAGGTACACGAAAAATGCGCGTCATAGACTTGCAAATTTTTACACAGCGTCCATTATCGAGATGGAGATATTCAAAATATATTTCTAGTTACATGATACTGGTACAAACTCGGCTTACACATATTGTTTCTGCGCCAGTATGAAATTTTCATAGCATCAACTCAGCGATTCCAAATCTTAGGACACAGTCGGTACTTCTACTGGCCGGTTTTGCCGTTGACGAACATAGTTTAATGACGTTGACTTCGAAGAAGTCAATGAGCTGACATCGGCAGCCGGTGCTGTTGTTGGCCGATCGGTCCATCTATCAAACGACATTGGTCGGTGTTAAGACAATTAAGGCTTCCGATTCGTCGCGTGGCTCCGCATTAATTTTTTAGCTTAGTCTAGACCCGTCTAAGCTTTGTCACAGCCCGATAAATCTTCGGTCTATACGAGGCAATTGAGTAGGCAGCATGTAGGTGAACTAGGATATTATTTATCCTCCGAAACGATATAAAGCTGAGCTGTACCCCCAGGGTGTGAATGACAACGCGATGTAGCGTTCGACCTCTGAAAATTATTTTATCGAACCCATCCGAAGTGCCAATGCTATAGATTACACGCTTCACGCGCTTTCATATTACCAACAAGAACATTTAAATAAAATGGCATCCGGCAGTCGCTTCATCATTAAGCAAGCTGCTGTCCCAAATCTCCTGCTTGGTATCGCTGCAGCTGGAGGGGTCTACGCAGCTTACTCATATCTGCAAGGATCTACATCTTCTCAGCCTCGAAAGATGTTTGGCGGAGTTGCGGGCAGTCTCACACTTCAAGAAACGGAGAATATTAATCATAATACTAAGAGATTGCGTTTCGCATTTCCAAATGCGCAGGATGAGACTGGGCTGACGGTCGTTTGTAAGTCTTATGATATGTTATTCAGTAATGTCAACTGTCGCTAACTTACTTTAATAGCATCCGTGTTGACGTTGTCATGGCCCAAGGGAAGCCTGACACCCGCCATACGACCATATACACCAGTGAGCGATCTCTGTATGTTCAATATTTCTAAGTTAGGAAAACTCACGCTGATCAACCCACAGCAAAACCTGGCTTTATCGACCTCATGGTCAAAAAATACCCCGGCGGCAAAGTCAGCACACACCTACACTCCCTCCAACCTGGCGACTCACTCTTCTTTGCATTCGGCATCAAAGCCTATCCCTGGACCCCAAACAAACATAACCACGTAACTCTCATCGCCGGCGGTGCTGGTATCACACCACTTTACCAACTCATACAAGGAGTTTTGGATAACCCTGAAGATCGCACGAAGATGACGCTTGTTTTTGGAGTGAACACGGAGCGTGATCTCCTGCTACGAGAGGAGTTTGAGACTTACCAAAGGAAGTTTCCGGATCGTTTCGAGATTGTGTATACTGTCTCGCAGCCTGATGAAGGGTCTTCGGTCCGAAAGGGACATGTTACCAAAGAGCTCTTGAACGAGGTATTGCCTGTGCGAACAGATAAAGTATTTGTTTGCGGACCTCCTGCTATGGAGAACGCCTTGACTGGAAAAGGACGGGGAGAATTGGGCATTTTGGGAGAGCTGGGGTACAGGAAAGATCAGATTTTTAAGTTTTAATTCCTCTGTTTTTTGATCGTTGTTAGATACCCCTCTCTGTTGGCGGATATACATATTTGATGGATGTACTTGTACATATATAGGATAAACATGTTATTTAATCTACTTAGAGCGTCAATAATTTGAGATTTGAACAGACAAGTTGATAGTTCATCATAAATGACATATCCTATTAACATGATATCAAGCTCTGACAACTTGATCGCGTCATTATATATACCCATAGACTACTTTCTATAAACAAATATTATGCACAAATACCAATCAACGCCGGAAGTAGATCTCCTAGATATAAACAAGAAAAATCAAAACTCATTGTTATGATTCGTAATTCGCCCATTCTTTAGCTCCCTCACGGTCAATTCAGCCTCCTTCCCCTTACCGCTCACATCCTTCTCATTCACAACAGTAACGCGCCCTGAAGACGAAGAAGCAGACGAAGGAGAAACACCATTCAGACTTCCGGGCTTAGAAGAATCCTTAAGCTGATCACGCGTGGTCAAGAATTCTTCTCCAAATGGATAGGTAGTCGGCTTCCGCTCAACCGGCGCCATGCTAGCGAATTGCCAGAGTCTCTGCGTGAAGCCTTTACCGAGTGCTTCAATCGGAGGCGTAAGAAGTGGTAGCACCGCAAAGAGGGTACCGTAACACACAATTGCAGTAATCAATGTACATAGCCAGTAGGGATATCCCTGCGAGAACATGGAAATCATAGCCCAGGATCCGACAGACCACATAACGAAACCGTGAATCAGATAAATACTGAAAATGTGAGGGAATAGCCACTGCAGCATCTTGATGGAAAGGACCTTTTGCAATGTTGGCGAAATTTCAACGACGCCCTGCATGGTAATGGTGGTCAACAACGCATTCAGACGAGGGATAAAGTAGTCCGGATACGAGTCCGATTCAGCTTGGGCCAAAGTTCTCCCCGTTCTTGTATCTGGGTGCCATCCGTATTCAACCTGCGCGTAATTGACCCCAGTGTGTTGTGTAACCAAGTCGATACTGAAACCACCAATGGCTGTGCAGATCAGTAAAATAAGAACAGGCCAGTATATCCAGGGACGGGGCCAGAGCCATTTCTGCTTGTATTTGTAGGTGAGGTCAAGATCCGCGAGCAGAATGCCGACGTAGTAATAGCTTCCCCACGAAAGAGCGTACCAGTGCATGACTGTGCAGAACAGGTAAAAGCAAAATCTCTTCCAGGGTGTCTTGATTTGTCGGATCATGATTAAACCAAGTAGAGTCTGCCATGCACCCTGCAACTGCACAGGAATAGTCCAGAGCACACCGGTACAGTAGTTGCTTGTAATCATCGGCGCCGCATTGGGGATCAAGAAGGCAAGCTGAAGGATCTCTGAGATGAATGTTCCTGGATTCAATGGGATAGCAGTAAAAGGCCAGTCAGACCAAGTCACCGATGGCAGGTATTCAAGCCAGTTCAGTGCACCAGCATCCATGAGGAAATACTCCAAAAACGCAATTGAAGCAACGGGCGTCAATAGACGGAAAGGGCGCGCAACAATCTTTTGGGCCATGTTGTCGAGCTTTCCGGTACGGATGTAGTTCGATGTCAAGAAACGAGTGGAAATCATCAAGAAAGGTCCAATCCACAGAGGGTCAAGGAAGTACGTGGCAAAGGTCTTTCTGGCAATCACTTCACTGTGGTAATGAGGAGAGTTTCCCGGCATGATAACAGCGCCGAAGTAGGTCAGACCAAAGTGATTAACTGTAACGAGGAGGGCACTAATAGAGATAAACCCAGCCAGGTAGTCGACACGGGGTGGCTTTGCCGAAGCAGCAGCGCTAGCCGCGGCTTTGCCATCTTTGCTGGCTTCTCCAGGCTTTGTCTGTCCATCTTTCGCGGGGGGAAGTTCATCGGGCTTGACGGCTTCTTTATTTTTCTCGGAACTACTTTCGACCTGCATAACGCCGCTCGAGTATACCTCTTGACTCGGTGTGGATACATAGTCTACTATGGGCACAGCGTGTAGGGAAGGGGTCCGAGAAGCAGCGCGAGACGTAACTCGAGACGATTCGCCTTGAACAGTACCATTCAGGCTAGTAGGAAAAGCAAATGAGTTTCCGGCCATATTGGTCAATGAAGGTCGACGAGAGACAGCAGGACTTTGATATTGAGGAAGAGGCGTCTGAGCGCCTTTGTATGGAGGCAGAGTGGTGAAGGACTCATTCCGAGAGAGATCACGCTGAGCATTGTTGTGAGATGTTGGCGAACTACTTCCGGCATCGGCAGAGTCACGATTGCTATGCGAATCGCGGTCCAGGGATGGCGTTGAGCATGGCGGTGTATCAAAAGACCTGGGTTTGGGAGAATCTCGTTCATGGACGCCCAGGAAAACCATCAATTTATGCCAAGTAAATCGTCGCCAGAGTGTTTTTCCAGTAAGAACAACAAAAACGGCTGCGAAAATAATGTCAATGATGAGTGGTACCCATCTGATTTTATACGGAGGCTGATGCTGCTTCCATGGATCCAAGCTCTGAGGATCAAAATTTGAGGAGCCTCGCAAAGATACATCGTTCATGTCACATGCTTTCTGGATAGAGCATCTCTGGTCATAAGCAGCGCGGGTTGTATCGTTCCAAGTAGACGAGTTGAAGAACAGCCTCGTATATCCAACGTTTGCCAAATTCGTAAAAGTGGGCGGACCCTGGGAAGTGTACTTGTTTCCCGTAGACCAATGCTGGAACTTCAATGGTGCCGGTGTCGATGGGATACTGGAATTGACAGAAGTATTGTAACTAATTCTTAAAACATCGCCAATGTAGTAATTGAGTGAGTCGCGAGTCCAATCAACACGGTACTCCATATAATACCATGGCTTGAGACCTTCACCAGTCAGATTGGTAAAATTGGTGCCAAGCCAAGTGTTGGCGAACTGTCCTTGCATCAACATATCGACCCATGCTTGACTGCTATTGTCGGCGTTCATGACATCCAGCTGCCAGCTTTCGGTTTGGTTATGAACTAGATTCATAGAGATCACTGAACCTAGACTGTAATTGCGTGCAGGTCGAAGAGTCGAGCGGAAAGAACCAAAGAAAATGTCTTGGCGAGCAGTGCGTACACTTGAACCAACAACTAAATGCTCTTGATCGGGCGGATGACAAGAGAGCTCCAAGCTGGTGAGATTTTTAGCTGTGGCATCTTTTGTGATTTGGACATTGTCCACCGCCGCACCCATGCGGTACATGTTATTCCAACCACGGTCATAGCGATGTTCAAACTCTTCAACGACGAAGTCGGAAGGGATTGAACCGGACTCGTTGAAGTAGACGATTGTCGAATCTGTGAAATACAAGTCTGCAGTCTCGTCGTAGAAACCACAGGCACAAGTATCCACATCAGTAGTCGTAGCAGCTTGGGCAGTCTTCAACACCACGAACAGGGCGACTAAAAGMCCCCGCCATGCCGTTGGAAACATTGTGTCTTCCTGTACAATGTGTCAAGATACAGCGTGCACAGTTTGAGGTATCAAAGAAGACTGAAGAAGAAAAGAAAAAATAAAAAGAGACAGAACAGGAACGACAGGTGCCCGCTCTGATTCGTACGCTGTGTTGCTCGGAATTGTGTAAAGAAAACACTGAGCTTCCGAACTTGACAGGTTTATACGGTGGCACGAGGAGGGACTTCCGAGAATCAATCAGGAAGGTGAAGTGACAATCTTCCCGTCTATTAGAACGTAACGGACCGGTTGCCAAAACTTGCTCGTTGATCGACAGAGAGAGGAGTTCTACGGCAAACCGTGAAACGCTACGGCAGGGCGATGCTATCATAAAGTAATTAAGTCACGAATTGCAGCTTATTTTTGACAAGGAGATAGAACAAGTGGTCGGACATCGTGCCACAATTGGCCATACCCAGGGATTCTCACTTTTCTCGTTATGTCAACGCTAGTCGTTAATACTCCTAGTAACGGAGCCATACGAAGGAACAATTGATACCTTACAAGATAATTTACAAGCAGTAATTGCTTATCTTCTGGCGTACAAGTCAAAAAGAGCCGACAGTGGGCCTCTCGATCGGCACGGATCCAACTGTAACCCGCCACTTTTTTAGCACCATCGTGCCTGTAGATCACAAATCTCAGCTATAGAACAGGCAGTTTAAGTCATCAAGGCTGGCTTGGCATGGACTAGATCCTGGTCGATGTTTCCTTTTTTCAGTTTTATTCAAAATCGCGCAAGTTGGGATTTAGTGGAGAGTTGAATTAGCTGGTTCGGAGAAAAGTGCAAGCATGGTATTTTAGACTGCACCATAGATATTGCATTGCATTGCATTGCATCGCATCCTCAGTTGTATGTGGAAATTAAGAAGAAAGAAATAAAATTTTTGAATGTCGGCTACCATGGGCATTTAGTGGATACACGCGTTGATAACCAGGAACAAGAGGCGAGACTAAGACATTAGTATCCTTAAAGATGAATTATTTAGTGCGTCCCGCGGCTCGCAGGGTAACTGGCCCCATTCCGGATGGAAGTATTTCCTGTTCAGGAAAAGGGTAAAATCACGCGGAAGATGACCTATCCTAGCCCTAAAACCTGGCTGGCCTAGTCACCGATCAGATTATCAGCCAAGATAACAAGCAAATACCGATAGAACGGTGTACACGTAACACGAAAATTAGGGCTTAGCCAGTAAATGAAATATTGGAACCACGATAGAATGAGTGGATTGGTCCTCTCAATGCGTTCTAGTTTGATGTTCATCTTTACGCATTTCGGTGACTGCACAATAATAGGACCGGGTTAGGTGATAATACGAAGACCCAAAGACAGGGATATATTCAAGCTTCACTTAGATTGAGCAGATAAGCCGGTTAGTAGCGGCCCACTATCAATGAATCAGAGTCTTGTCGTACTCTTATCAATTAGCTTGGTGATGGCGATTATTGTAGAGTCTCTGTGCGTGCTACTGCACAATAATTCTTATTCGTCAGTCATGGTTTTTTTGACAAGTTCGGCGGTCTTGGATCGTCGTGCGACGTTGCATCTCAATTGGTCCTCGAAATACATCCGGCAGCGGTCTTGAAAGATTGAAACCTTGTTACTCGAGATTATGTGCAGGGTCATTGTGGGTGCGAGACTAATCCTTGGTAAAAAGCATTAGATACGTAAAACATATGTATGCTAAGGTACGTATTTGAAAAGTAGACTGTAAGATTCGACCTGGTGTAGAAAAACCTTACTTCTGTCTTTGTCTTTCCACTTCATGTTCTTTCCGGCGTACTTTCTTTATTAATTTTGGACTGTGAAACCCTCTGTTTTTGGCATTGAGCACTATCAACACCTGTAAACATGGAGAAACAGGTTGATGTTGAGGTTAATGCATTGCAGGCCCCTATTGAATCCTTGCGGTCATCTGAAAGACGCAGTAATGTTCGGAGTGGCCTGAAAAAAGTCTATCAGGATGTATCATGGGTATTCACGACTGCATCAGATGGTGTCCAAGACTGGACGCCGTTTGTGCTTGTTCTGTCTTATTTCGTCTTCTCCACCACCATTTACATGAATGCCACATCCGGCATCAACGAAATTTTCTGGTTCATCTATTTGATGACCAACACCTATATTGCAACAGCCACTGTGATCGAGTCTATTTCAGCTTTAGGGAACTTTCAAGATGCCAAAAGAGCTTTGGATAAGGTCGCTAAGAAGAATTGGGTCTTTCCTACATCAGAAAATGACTTGCCCAAGCTAGACATTATCATTGTGGCTTATTTACCAAATGAGCAAGACATCGTTATGGACCGTGTGAAATATCTATTGGAAGAGATCGTCTATCCCCGGGACAGATACCGTGTCAATCTGCTATACAACACTCCCTACGCCATCGAGCCGCTGGAATCAGAACTTTTTGCATTGGCCGACGAATATGCCAAAAACTTGCGCGTTATCAAAGTCCCCGGTTCAAAGTCCAAAGCCGACAACATAAATTACTATTGCAATGTCATACAGACCGATGCCGAAATTTCGGCAATCTTTGACTGCGATCACTATCCCCACCCATATGCACCAAAATGGGCAATGGAGCAGTTTGCCAAAGATAAAGAACTTGATATTGTCCAAGGTCGTTGCGTGGTGCTCAATGCCAACGACAACTTCCTCACTGCAATGATCGGAATTGAATTCGATAAGATTTACGCAGTCTCCCACCCAGGTCGTTCTGCAATGTTCCACTTTGGTCTTTTCTGTGGCTCAAACGGCTACTGGCGCACTTCGCTCTTGAAAGAGTTGAAAATGGACGACTCCATGCTTACAGAAGATATCGATTCCGCTCTTCGTGCATTTGGCCACGGAGCGAAAGTAATTCACGACATCAATGTCACATCCTTTGAACTCGCTCCGATCACATTCTCTGCGTTCTGGAAACAACGTCTGCGGTGGTCCCAAGGTTGGATCCAGGCTAGTATGCGTCATATTCATCTAGTGTGGAGTCGGTCGCGAGAAGGCAAACACCGTACCATGCGCCAACGCTTCGGAATCCTTTCTTTACTTTTTGTCCGAGAAATCAGTTACTATCTCATCACTCAATATCTTTGTCTTGTGTTGAGTGTTGTTATCACTGAGTTTCCCAAGAACGGCCACGATTTGTATAAACTCGTCTTTTTTCAATACCCTGTTGCTTGGTGGCTCTTCATCTTCAGGTATGGTCCTCAATTTTTCTGTATCAAATCTTCTATGACAGGAGCTAATTTTATGGTGAACAGTCTGCTTGCTTTTGTCGGCACACTCTGGGTCACATTCCACTTCCGATCTGAATTTTGCCGGTGGTACACGATCCCAATCTTTGCGGCCACATATCTTCCTCAGCTCGTACTCACTGCGATCATTGGTCTTTTTGGTCATGCACGTCAAGTAAGTAAGTACGTTAAATGGAACCCGACTCCACGCAATTGAGGTCACATTGCTGGATAAGCCGAGAATGTTATAGATGCCGCTGCTATGAGGCTATGATTTTAGTGTAGATCGTTTTAGCAAATTTAATTTTACATATATAGATATTACTGCAGGAATACATACGGACATATTAATGGTTTCATGCGAATTATGAATGCAGGGATTAGAAGGATCTTAGGCGATGAGAACACGAGAATCCATGTAACATCGGGAGCCTCAGAGATAGCAAATCCGAAGATCATCGTTATGTCCTGGTATGTGGACTTCAAAAACACAATCGCACGTGCTCCACTCTCACATGCTAATCAGATATCACGAAAAGTGGTGTCAAAAACTTTCAATAGTCCAGTCACGATGATAGCAGGGTCCTGGCGTACACCACGTATTGGGGACTCGGAGTTCTGATTTTGTATAACAGTCCGATACAATCAAAGTGGCAAAGCAAACACGCTAAAAAAAGCTTCGGCTCAAATTGCAACCAATCTTATCTTTCATGCGTACTACTGCTATGGAGTGGACTAATTGCCAAGGGCATGTCTGCGGATGTTGGTTGCAACCTTGTAGGATCAGGACCCCTGACACCCTCGTCGGGATGCCGTTCAAATAAAATCAACTGATCAAGAAAGAGTCTTAGAACCCCTTGATTCCCGCTTGCAGCCGAAAGGGTCAAAGTAAACCGCTTATTTATCTCCTTACCACAACCTATATTTTTTAAACCCTCATTAGGAAGGCGCTGTTTAATGAAACGAGCTTGTTCCCGCTGTCACATTCTTCGAGAGATGACTGATCTCCAGTGCATAAATTAATCCGACCGTTTGTGTCCAACTGATCATCATGGGTATGGACTGGCATCTGTATGAGAATCTTGACACCTGGGTAGTAGTCGGCCCAATACTATCGATTTAGTAGGGATCTTATGGCGTAAGAAGCAGATACAAAATAGGCAGGAGCTGATCAAAGCAATTCTAAAGTAGGCAAAGATCGATGAATACGCGATTGTCGAGATTGTTGAAGTCATCTACAAATCAATCTATTTGGAATTATGTTATGAAATATCGAAAATCAAGACAAATCAATAATAATGTATAAGCCGTTATAAACAAGCCTCTAATAATCAATAAACAAGAAATGTAGAACACGCCCACGTTGCTTTTGACTTTTTACTCCGTATGTTGTGTAACTTGAGCAAACAAGTCGTATGATTTGTGCGGAAATTTCATACAGACTTCGATAAGTGCAGAAGGCGCCTTGGAAACGTACTAGGCACTCCCGAACAGAAACATACGAGGATCAGAAATCAGATAAGGATTAAGGAGAAGATGAGTTGGGTAGGATGCAGAAGTGGAGCTCAATGCTGAGGTTGACTGGCGAGCCACGATGTACTGTTGCCGTCGATCAGTGAGTGGGTTTTGTTACAGTAGTGGCATCATGGCCTATCAATTTATTACATGGGCGTGCAGGGCTGCGGGCTAGCCAAGGACTTTTACGCTGCTTCAGCTGAGCAACGAGCATAGTGCTTTTTTACAGCAGAATCCACACTTCAAGTTTTCAATAATTCTTTTTTTTCGGACGTTTCTGGCGCTTCTACAAATTTCATCCTTGTTATTGCATCATGGGCCACTTGCTCGTGGATAACCGCGGCAAGACTGTGTGGGCTGGTGGATGCTGTTTCAATGCGATTAGCCCTAATTGCGTCTTCCCGCCCGTGGTACCTAGTGAGTTCGGGATACTACGCCAAGTACACTGAAGAATTGGGGCAGTCCCTAATAGCATTACCAATTAAGTTTACCATAATCAAGCCAATCATGTACAAGATCCATATCTTGGCTTTTTACATGGATGCATAGTCCCTGCTCTGATTACCGAGAAGCGATGTTATGTGACAACGAAGCCGTACGCGCATGACCACCAGATCCCTAACTGCAGTGATTTTTACCTGGTTCGGCGGGCAGTTGCTTACGGTTATAGAGTAATCATTATAGGTGGATTCCTCTTTTTGCACTAAATCTATAGAATACACGGAGGACGGACTTCCGTATTGTCTTTACATAGCCATGCCAGAGATTGACTAGATCTGGTTGGTATGGCCCGGTCTTGTTGATCTTGCAGGACGAACAAAGGACGGAGTATTAAGTAGTAGCACGAAATTTGGATCAATTGTAGGACAATGGGTTGTATCTTGTTTTGGCGGATCTTGCCCTTGTGGAGCCATTTGTTAACTTGCCTGTATCTTTTTGTTCAATTTTTTGGACAAAGACTTCTTCAAGTGCACTTCTGCATAAGCCTAAGCGTTAGACCTGCTTGGCTTTACGAGCTTATCTGCCGTCTTTTTTTCGGTGCAATCGGAATATTTGAATAGACCACTTTCTGTTACTCCCGACACCTTTTGTATTACCTCAATATCCTCAGGACACTCGACTTGAGTAGGAAACAACCTCAAGATCAGTTTAATTTATAATTCACCATGGTCGAACTCGACCTGAAGACGCTTCGAAAGCATATTGTCACACCACCAACGAAGCATGAGCAAGAGTATTTGATTGGATTCCGTGGAATACTTGTTATCCAGTCCTTCCTATGGATGTTCCTACAGACCTTTGCACCGACCACGGTGTATGCTTCAGCAAATACTCAAGGCCCTCTTGGCCAGGAGATTGTGCGAAAAGTCTTGTCAGTGCTGTTCTGGAATGAGTACTTCCTATACGGATCGATTATCTTCCTATCAGCACGTTCAATTGCAATTCCCTTCTTTCGGGATCCAACAGCACCGGTCATTGCACGTTCGCTTCTTACTCGCGCCTTACAATTATGCATTCCGGTTGCGATCTGTCTAGCAATTGTAAAGGGGTCCATGACTCCAGAAACTCTGGGCACAATTTATCAGTTCAAAACCTACAGCACGGACAATCTTTCTATGCCAATGCCAATTCAACTGCCTTCAACGTTGTCATATTGGAACTCAGTCTTCAACTTGTTCTGGACTACTCATGGGTTCCGATCACAGGCGGGCAATTATGCCTTTCCGACTCAAACGCTTTGGATGATTAATGCTGTCTACATCCAAAGTTACACGGTCTATATGATTATGGTGATTGTGCCTCATACTCGACCCAAATGGAGAGTTCAGTTTGGCATTTTGTTCGTCATCGCTGCATGGTGGTGCAACTCGTGGGCCTGGTATACGGTATCTGGACTACTCGTGTGTGATATGGTTATGCACATGGATTTCAAACAAAACGCTTTGATGGGTATACCTATCCAATTCCGCGGTCTTGTCTGGCGATCCAGCAATGGCCAGCCTCGGCGTCTTCCCACATGGGTTGTCGGCGGTTTATTGCTTGTAGGCGGACTTCTCATGCAGTACCTGTGGGCGGCTTATCGACCAGACTTGTTCTATTCCGAATGGAGAATCCATTCAAATCCTTACACTACGCCTGGTCTAGACCAAAATTACAGGCTTGACCACATCTCTGCAAGAGACGATGTATATCTTACCATCTTGGGCATCTTTACACTCTTGGAGACATATGATATTCTGCAGCGGGCTCTGCAGAACAAGTTTCTGCTGTTCCTTGGTCGTCGAGCATTGAGTAAGTGGATCTTTTCTCATTGCTTTTCATCCGATGGGACAATACTGATCTGTAATAGGTTACTTCCTGATTCAATCTATTCTTGCCTACATTGTCGGCATCCGGGTGTTCGAAAGTCTTCGAAAGCAGCATGGAATTTCCTCCGGAGGATCAGTTGTGGTGACCCTCATCACTTGCATTGTGGTCACTGTACCTGCAGCTGAGCTGTTCCATCGCCTGATTGTTGTCCCGAGTCGGTATTTCAGTCACAACTTTTACGAGTTTATCACGTCCTGAGATGTCGAGTACAAAATATTGTTATATTTTCTTAGTCTTTTGTCATGCTTTTTGGCTGCTTTTGCATTTCGCTAAGGCTTATGTATAGAATTTGAATGATCTTTGTTCGACTTGCACGATGTGTTCTAAACCCTAAATCAGTACCCACCCACTGCACACTGGATGTTGCGAAACAATATCTGTTTCGCATTACATTTTGTCATTTACACGTACTGAAAGTTACTTTTTCTAGCTTCGGATCCATTTACGAATTTGTTCATCGATCGCGATTTTGTACATACCATACAAGACAATAGTACGTAAATGTCTTTCATTCGATGCCATCCCTTCGGGCGACCATCAACTCAATTAATGTCCGACAAAACACTCGAACTAGAAACTGCACGCCAAATTAGAATTTCGAATATGGTAGTCGCATTCACAATCTTTCATCGACTGCCCCTTCAACATGTGACGAATCCAACAGTTAAGATTCGAGGACATCTTGGGTCCATCGTTGGTGATAGTGTCCCTAGTCCCTTGGAGACGCGTGGACCAGTTGTATCTCGAATAGACGAATTGACCTCATTCTAAGCCCAGGCCTTACTCGTCCGAGTCCAGTTCGAACGATAACAAAAGAACAAGGGCCTTGGCTGCAGTTTAGCTTGAAGCTAAAACGACGATCACAGACATCGGATCTTGGCTGCATTGTGTGGCTTGTACTCTGCCCGCCCATTTCTTGATTTCGATCCCTGTCTTCATTTCCTATATTCCAGGTCAGAAAACGAAGTAATTCGCCGCCGATGGTGCTGCGAGTGGATTGGTCCGGATATTACCTGTAACGTTAAAAGATCCGAGTTTTTTTTTTTCGAGTTTTTTTTTTTTTTTCGCTTACGTACGATCTCGGATCAACCTTGAATTTAAGACACATGGGCGATGCCAAGATCTATGGATACGAAATGATGGAAACTATTCATAATCAGCCCGGTCCCACTTGGGAGTTCCACAACGGACCCAGAGCCAACAGCTTCAATTGTCCAAGAATTGGATGCAGATCAATTTCCATTAGCTATCAATCATCCCGGCTCATGAGTCAATTCATCCATGGCTCTTGTCAGGCACTATAGTAGGTTTTCGGTTTCCGATACCGTAAAGTGCAGGACATGTCAGACTCAGCAAGCCACATGCGTTTTGTTCCACCTCGAGGACCCATCAAGATGCAGATTAGATTAGGGCTTGCTTCGCTGAAAGCTTAATGACAAACGTATACAGAGATGAAAACCTGATTAGATCAGGAGAGGAGCATTAATGCAGCTAAATCTCGCTTACTGGGATGAACGTCGTTCAATATTGTAGCTGCTAGTTGTTGGATGTGAAAGTTCTGAATCGTTTTCGAGACTGCAGTCGAACCGAATTATTATGTACTCTGCTGCTCTATTTCCATTAAATTTTTGTAAGTGAGCTTCCAAATCTCACGCCGGAAGACTGTATCCGACACTCCCCGTTTATTTAGAGTCCAGACTCTGGCAATGGACTGGAATAGCACATGGCCAAGTCAACGAAAACAGGTACTACCTTTTTCATGTCGTATCGATCCGAAGATGTATCCATGGGAATACAATAGCCGGTGGGCACCAACACGTGGACCCTCACCCGATGTTGATCCACTACTTATCAGGAACTAAATATCTGTAACCGCTTAATTCTTGCTTTCAATTGCTTTTTCCCCCCTCATTTTTCACCTCAATTGTTGGCTTTTTCCTTTTCCTTGGTCGGAGCATGTACGGAACATTGCTTTTTTCTCCAGCTGGCTCAGCCTGGCTGCAGCTAAAAAGGCTGAGGCAGGGGCTACGTGTACGGTGGCGATAAGATAGATCGATATGACGAACTTCCAATCTATAATAGACTCCGCGGATCGATGTATTTGAAATTTGCCTAAGACTGTGTCTTACATGTAAGTCAAAGGATGATTGATACCTGTCCATAAAGGTAAATTTCGTAACTTTGTGCACGCTAGGATTTTGCAGAAGTTCGAGTGATCGATTATAGCATAGGATTGTGTCTAGTTTGTCCCTCGAAAAAGATAGAGGCATTATCCGTACAAGTGTCAACACGATTATTAGAAGAGCGTTGTAACCTATTCCATCATGTTGAGCGTTCGAATGACGGATTTTATCATGCCTGAGGTAGCACATGTAGCACAATTTCTGCTTGAATTACCTGATTCTGGGCTAAGGATTTTTCTCTAATGAGTTTTCACTATCAAAGGGAATACCCTAGAATGAGCTTATGATTACAATGAAGAGCTGTTCTGTTGCGGGTTTTCGGTGATATGTTGGCCTAGACTAAGGCGTACTCTTGAAATTGCGTTTCCTTATATAGGTATATATAAGCGACTATATCTGAGTAGGACCCCTGGCAGAACCCTCTTCACTAGAATCAGGCTCATCAACTGATCAGTATCTCCCTCTTCCCTGTCTCTCGCCACAGAGATTCCGATTCCTCACATGAATTCCAACACTTGATAATTCGTAAGCTCCATCTTTAGGTCGGCGATTTTTTCTCTTGCCTCTTTCTGGCACGGCTCAGATTCAAGGCATCGGCGAGTGAGCACTCTATTGTTCAGAAACAATAGCCATTGCTCTGATATATCGACCACGTCGAAGTCGATACAGAAGGACGTCTTTAAAGCTTTCCTGCTGTCCAATTGTACGGATAAGATCTCGAAACACTGTTTGTCACTCAACTTCTCGCCCAATGGTTTACGGTCTCCTGCCACCATGCCAGCTTTCTTGCCAGTCCGGAGCTCCTGTGCCGCCGTTAGGTAAAAGTTACTCCATGTTGCATTCTTCGCACTGAAGCCGAGCTGTTTGTATAATGTGACAAGCAGATTGCATGCTCTAGTGTTGGGACTCTCTGGATTGGCCGGAACTGCATGCACAAGTAGGGTCGTAGCAAAGCGATAGTCTTTTCGGTCTATTAAAGTGTCTGCCTTGTCGCAAAGAACTTCGACATCCCCAAAGCACCCTACGTATCGCTGCCTTCTTCCTGTGGTGGGTATTGCCAAAAATGCTCGGGAGTCCGTCGAACCAGGTAATTTTTTTTTGGATAGATTCCCTGGACCGGTTGGTATGATCATCCTCATGCTGATCAGATCAATGATCATACCTTCCCATTATGATTCAGTGAACCATAGTATCCGCGGCAATGCCAGGCATGCTCAAGTGCGGGAGGCTGTTGCATTTGCTCCGCGATCTTGGTGCCAGTCAATCTCCGCTGGAGCTTCAGTTCCGGGGACCATCTGAAACACAATTCGAATACCATCAATGACATGCTCTTGGCCTGTTAATTGAGTAGAAAGATCTGGAGGAATGAAGCTGGCTGTCCCGACGCTCGAGCCCATCACCAAGCCTGTTCCGATCCAATCTGAGGGAGCACGAAGGAGCGCATTCCCATACATCAATGCGCCTCTTATCCTCATTGCTGGTCCAGCCAGTATGCTTTAACTCAATATAGTCTCTATGAACCCCTCCGGCGCAGAGAGAGGCACGCTGGTATCCGCATCTATGACACCTGCAGCACCTATGTAATGATCTCCGTGGGACTGCGAGTATATCATTCCGGTGACTTTCCTCCTACTGTCGCGGTGCTTCTGATGGAACTCCAAACCGGCCGCTGGACATTCACAAGAGACTGATGGATCGATCACAATAACCCCCTTTTTCCCTCCGACCAAAGCCATGTTCGACAGATCGTAGCCCCGGATTTGGTATATCCCCGGACAGATCTCGTATAGACCGTGCTTGGAATTCAGGTGGCCATGGCGCCAGAGGTGAGAATGTCTTGATCGGGGATATTTACCTTTCATAAAATTCCAAGCTCCGATGTCCCATACTACCTTCCCAGATGCATTCTTGATAATGCCGGTTTCCAGGGCTACCATAAGGTCGCGGTTTGCATCATCACTGTCTTTCCTGTTATCGAAAGAAGGTGCCACCATATTAAATCGGACTGATATATTTTCGATTAAGATTGTATATGCTCCTTAGTCGTTGAATGAGGACTACTTATATGAAGACAGAGCAAGCTGTATTCCACGCTGAGGTCGGCGAGAGTCCGAGGAGCCGGCAAACCCAAATCTGGCATGTACCGGGAAGTGCGTCTGTGCATAGAAAACCGGCCAGTGCATTAAAATCACTGGCGCCATATTGGGTCATACACAAAATCGCGAAAGTTGACTCAATGCCTTCAAAGTCGTTAGACGCAGTATCATATTGAGTGTCTGTGGGTTGTATTTGGCGAGTTGCACGGGCAGCGTCTGACTACATACTAGATCGAGTTAACTATAGGTATCGGTTTTGACCGATCTCAGCAAGTAGAAAGTCGATCACAACTGTAACTGTCAAGGTGCCGTCGGCAGAGTCGAGGTTGGATGGCTCTATACAACTTCGTCCAGTGTGGGCGTGCCTACTCATCCAATAGTTAACTGTGATTACATACTTGACTTTAGTGATAATGAAATTCGTTGATGAACACAGTCCTTAGAGAAAATTAATTTCTCTATTTGTTTTAAATAGATCAATTTTAAATTGTAAAGGAAAATACAACTAAGATGGGGGGCGCAGGTAAGTCTCGATCAACGAAATGACCCTCAAGTTCATTCGCTAATGGTGAGCATAGGGCATATCACACCACCGACCATCGAGACAGGGACTTCCCAAGAAGCCTTAACGTGTGCATATCTCTATGGCTTTCCCATCTATGCTGACGCGCTCTGCGTTGGGGCTATGCCAAATCCTGGGTCAACGTGCCATACCCGTGCAGGAATCTACACCCCAAAGAATCATGCAGTAGTTCGACCAAATTTCGACATGCTATACGCTCTATTATTTTATGACGTATCCCAAGCAGATGTAGGATTTGAGATTCCCGATTCAATGATCGATACTGGCTGTGGCCATGGTATGACATGTATGGAAATAACTTTGCCATCGTAAGTATGTTATCTAGCTTGACCTCCTGTGGATCTTCTCATGATTAACGATGTGCAGGCAGTTTTTAGGGAATTAAGCCTTAAAAATATTTACTTAGGCATACCGAGGATGAATTCTGCGTTCGCCTATCGAAAAAGGGGGGGGAGTATCGTTCATACGTGAACTCGCCGACGCCATACGGTACAATCACTGTTTGCATTAAGTTAAGGAGTTGGAGAGCTGATGAAAATAGGCATGCTCTTGAATCGAATCCTGGTAAAGCACCGGACACCAGAGGACCTCGCGATAGTTCACAGCCGGCAAGACCAGATGCTCTTCATGCTCAAGGCACGAAAATACGGTCCGGATCATACACGGAGATTCCTCCGTTGGATCTGCAAATCTTATCTAATCTATCAGATTTCACAGATATTGAAMAAGCCGTTCTAATGTTAACAGCCGGACTTAACCTTAGTAGTGCATTCATAGATCTTCAAATAAACCCAAAAGCTTTTCCCGAGTGGATAGATCTATTGTTCAATGGACATACTGTGACGACACAACAACTATTAGAACGCAATACTGATTCACTCGGAGATCTAAAATTTAAGCCCCTTAGATCCAGGTTATTAAGATCTCAGCTAGCATCCTTAGATGAGGAAAAGCAGAAATGATTCGTCTTAAATTAAAGCTACTAGAACCGCTCGACTCGCTAAATGAATCTAAGACGGCTTTATCCGTGTATGCAATTATGACGCCCATTATAATGTTCGGGGGATACGGTTGCAAATCTCTTCTATGATGTGTGATTACATCCCCATTTCCATCCATCCTCATAGCTTCAATTTAGTAATTCCAACCACTCACAGAGATCAACTAAATAATACTTTAATATAATCTATGGTCTATAGTTTACAACAGCTTTAGTTAAACTAAACATTCTTTTCCCATCACTACCTACTTCAAAAACAGACTTCACTAGATCAACTTCCCCTGTCTCGCATTAAACATTCCAATATTCATATCAGGACATGTCTTGAACAAAACCAAAGAAAATCAGCAACTAACAATAATAGCAAACAACATACACCTCCTACCAACATGAGCTATATCCATAGCACCAAGTCCATCTTCGACTCCAGAAAAGTGAAAACAATCCAACTATTAGATAGAGTATACCAGTCCCAGCACTCCTTCTAAATCCACTTCTTTATCAAAGAAGACATCCTTGACCTCACCTCATCCATTCAAAATTCATGCTCTCTTCTAAGAAAATAATAAAAAGAATAAATCATAGAAATATAGCTTAATAAAAACACTATAACATAGCCTAAAACAGCAAATGGAGCCAGCTCACCTCCTCATACAACCTCTCCTACACCCAAACAACATTCTCAAAGACTACAAAAACCCTCCTACACCGACATACTTACCTAATCTAGATAACCCCACTATGACTCTTCTACCACTTATACAGATACATGTATATAGCATACCCGATTACTCATTATCCACTCTACATTTACACTTCTAAGTGCCCAATTTCTCCAGGCTTATATATAATTATGCTTTCTTAACCAATCAGCAATTCCTCATTACCATCTACTTCATCGTTTCAGGGCTAACAGCGCGCAATGCGCGCGTCTTCCAGTATTATTCCTACACTATTCTCCATTTGCTATGGTGACTTCTTGGCACTGTTTCAGAAGAAAGAGAAGAGAGTGTTTGTTGTTACTCTGAAGGTGCAAACTACTGTATTAAAGAGCAAAGTATCTCGACCGAACTTAAGGTTATTTACATAGCAAAATTAAGTCTGATCAATCACGTGTAAAGCCATCCTACCTCGCTACTTTCTCAAAAGATGGACTGTAAGCTCAAAATTGGTGAGATTGGTACTGCTTGTTCCACATTCTATCATAGATTTTATCCAAGCATAATCTCCGGAATGATAACCACCTCTCATATCCAAAATCACAAAGACCCTGTTCCTTGAGGGCAAGGAAATACCTGAAAAGGACATAGAGATAAAATGCAAGGCGATAGAATAAAACTAAATACATGCTAAATGAGTGTGCCCTTATAGAAATGTTGAGAACATGGTCCCTGATACGTTGTTTCAAAGCGCCGATCTGAAATATCATATCACTGCTCTGCTATAGCATACCATTAATGTGTCGTACTATATCACTGATATGCTTCAATCCTAAGGCATGCCCGCATAATTCCTTGTGTTTGTCTCCTAGGAGCAAGGGTTGTGGTTTTGGTCAGAATTAAAGCCAAGGGGTGGCTGTCGCAGTTACCGGAAAGGTCTGAGTAGGAGTTGCAGTTGCCGTCTCGGTGGCAACGTTCGCAAAAAACGACGACCTCTCCACGGCGTTGAGCGAACTCAAAAACTCCGGTATGCCATCCTCAGCCGAGACATTGGATTTCTGTACTCCGCCATCAGCGTACAGGGTGGCAGGTGACGATACCACCCGTGTGTAGCTCATGTTCACTCCCATACTAATCCAAGCCAACACACCATCCTGAATGTCATCGCCAAGCTTGATGTACTCAAAGAAAGGGTCTGCCTGCCAGCCACGGGCAGCATCCATGGCAACAATCCAATCATCCTTATTGTATGTGAATTGGGCAGTGTTGGTAGTGTAGGGATATTGCCCTTCAACAGCTGCAATGAGATTCTGGTCAAAGTATAGCTGGCCGACATGCGCGGAGGTGTCTCCACGAACTGTACCGTTAGGAAACGTCTCCGGGTTGAGGTGCACATTCACATGGACATGGATAGTGCGGGGATAATAGTGGCCTGGGAAGAGTGTCGTGAATTGGACGGCACCAATATTGTCGGTAATCTGTGCGCCACGTAGGTAGGTGGCATTGATATTGGCTGGATCACCGGTGCCATTGCCATTGCCAGCTTCAACAACTCCCGAGTAGACTCCGGTTGAATTGCAACCTGGAAATGAGACTGTTAGCTAACAGAAATCTTCTTCATACGCAATCTTGTCTATGAAACAACAGGGAACAGAAAAGGGGTTTTGCATACTCCAGATTTCTATGACGGCACCCCGGACCGGGTCGCAAGTCTCGACATCAATGAATTGCAGATCCACGGTAAGAGGCACTCCTTCCTGGTCTTCGATGAGCTTAGAACGAATATATTCGCCCTCGATATCTAAATTAGCGTCAGTAAACAAAATTCTGCCCAGCAGGGAAGGCGACAAGGCACTGCTCATATCTACTTACAATAAGGGCCTTCTTCTTCTTCAGGAAAGAGCACAGCAGAGTGCTTGCCGGCAAAAATCTCGTACAAGCTCGTTGCAGGGGACAAACTCAAGTTTGCCTCGTGATCCACCCAAACAGGGTCATAACCTCGCCGTCCAAGCGCTGCATAATTAGTATTTGCCCTTAAATACAGCAGATATTCTAAGTGAGTAAACAAAGGTACTCACAGCCGAGATCCCTTTTGGACAGACTGGATGCCAGGCCAGAACGACGTTCTACAGCGCTGGCATGAATTCCGCGGGCTGCCATCTTTGCGTGACAGTGGTCCAGGTTTGAAACTCCCGTGGCGAGTGCCCTACGGGCTTCCCGCAATTTTTCGCTGGCGTCGCCGCCAGGATGCGCTGAGACTGCACTGCTCACGAGGAACAGAGTAAGGGAATCGAATAATTTCATTGTGGGATCGTTTTGAGACACTCCTTTGTAGGCAGATTGAGAAGGCTAGATAGGTTTTGAGATTATTTTCTAGATGATGTGAAAAATCATCCTGTCGTTTCAGCAGCGCCGTGGTTCAATTCATATATCCGCTTGACCTCTCTAACGTTTAGTGCTCGGATTTCAGCAACTGCCGAAAAATGCATCCGTCCAGTGTACACTGAAAGTCTGAAGAAGATTTATAGATGACGCTATACACAGTAGAATAGAGTAGGTAGTACTTTCAAGACTAGTTTGAAGAAACCAATTACTAAATCTCGACCTGTGGTACGTGGAATCTAAAGCTTGTATCCACCCGTGGCCTACGAAGATCCTGGTGATTTCCATAGTACGTTTTTACCCTGGCGTAAATACAAGCCATATAAAACTGCGTACAGAACTTTACCAGGAGGGCCTACTCTAATAAGTAAAGTCTCTATGATATGAAGGATATCAATAGCAAGTCATTGGCTTAAAAAGTACGGCACTATAACACAATCCCTGCTTGACAGTAAAATAAAAAACGTACTATTGTCAACCGTAGGTTGTACCTGGTAGGCGTGACAAAATTCGCAATCGACTAGTAAGTTGTTTTGAGACATTTTATATGTACGCCACGCTGTATTGGCTAAAGGCTTATTATAATATAGCGCATATAGATATTTACATTTCTATATCTTATTAATGAGCCGATTTATGGGCTATTTTATAACCCAATTCATGCGCCGATTCGCGAGATAATGTGTGAGCCAATCTGCGAATCCGTTTACGCGCTCTTGGGCGAGTTCGCGAGTCAATTTGCAAGCCAAGTCGTGAGCTAGAGGTACGGGCGCTTGTACGGGACCGGGTGTTTATACGTGTGTGACAACTTCGGGCCGAGTGAGCTAGAGGTACGGGCGCTTGTACGGGAACGGGTGTTTACACGTGTGTGACAACTTACGGGCCGAATGAGCTAGCCCTGCAAATGGATGACGCTCCAGCGTGCTTCCGATACCTCGCCGGCGGGGTAGAAATGGCGCCCCAACGCAGTAGGCAGGAGTGGGGGCCGGGGGGAGGGGGGGGGTCCCGTGACGAAGCCTTTGGAGTGATTCCCCCTATTGTAGAGCTCGGTGGTAGTAGCAAATACTCAAAAGAGAACCTTGAGGACTAAGTAAAAACGTAATTGATATAAAGGTTTAGGCTAAAACATGCCGTAATATGGTTAGTTGGATTTCAAGATTAATACCGCCTCTCTTGGTGAATTTTAGTATGCATTAGTGTTGGTCCTTAAATCCGTCCAATTGCTCGCGTCATAGATACTCCCACTTTTCAGCTTCTGAGTACTCCGGAGATTAGATTAGTTTATGGTACGTACGTCGTAGCTTATCTTGAGGCAGCTTAAATTGCTTGACGATGAACGAGCCGGACCGCACAAGATTCGACGGGCCATAAAACTGCCGTGCAGAATAGCAGACTGGTAATATCCGAGTGCTTTACCGGTAGTCCTTACTACTTTGTCCTTACCAGAGTCCAGAGGAATACTGTACACCAACTACTCCATAGTAACGTGCCTGTTCCCATTCGTTCGTCATGAATTACGCAAGAAGAGACGTGAGTTCATATTAATTGATTCAATCTGGCCAGTCCAAGTCCATTCTCAGACGCGGAATGGACAATGATCGGTGGCAACTGAGTGAAACTACAGTATATAATGAACAATGGGGTCGAGTTTATTCCGCAACATCTACAGTTTTAGATTTAAAAATCTAATAAGAATCTCAATATCTGATGATGGGCAAATTCTTAGTGATTTTTGTAGCCGCCTATGCTGGATTCACTACAGCAGATACCCATTATCTGCTCTCGGGCTTCTTTAGTGGAACGAGCATAGCTGCCCTCGAGTTTGACGACGCGAAGTTGTCACTGAATCTTATTAACGATATCACTATCAATGCCAACTCCTCAAAATGGATTTCCCTTGATGTAATTTTGATACATATCAATTTTGACCGTATGGTGCTAATGAGATTACATAGGAGAGCAAAGAGAATCTATATGTGGGAGCCCCTGGTTACTTTCAGAGCTATAGTATCACGTCAGGGCTTGAGCTCGATTACCAGAGCAGTGCTAGCCTGCCCTCAAATTGTATGTCGCAAGACATTCCAACATGACTCTAGTCTGTATACAAATGTGCTGATTTTCCACATTAGGTTCGAACGCAAACTACATCGTTGCCGCCATAAAAGAACCACATGCCGTTTTTGGAGCCCCTTTCAATCTAGGCTGTTCTGCTCTTGCTATCTCTGTGGATGCTGCTGGAAGCTTACAGTCATCATTTGCAAACATCACCTACGATAACCGTGCCGGCGTGCATGGTCTAGCGCTGAGCCCTCAGGCCGATTTCATCTACTCAGCTGATGATACGGGTAATGCGGTCTGGGTCCATTCCTACAATCAGCCATCCGCGGTTATCAAGGAAGTGCAACGAATTTCTGCGCCTGATGGTTCTGATCCAAGACACATAGCTGTGCATCCAGCTGGCTTATTCGTCTATGTCGTATACGAAAAATCGAATGAGTTAGCTATTTACACTCGGAATAAATCCACGGGGAGGTTGGTTAATACCAATGTAACTTACTCTCTTATACCATCATGTAAGCTGATCTCTGTGTCGCTCATTCTTTCTACACATCTAATGAACCGAAATTTGGCAGCCTTTTCCAACTATTCTTCGTATTATGGCGATGAGGTTGCGTTCTCAATTCCGGGAGAAAAAAGCTTGCCTCCCAGATATCTTATTTGTAGCACAAGGTCACTTGGAACGACACCTGGCTATGTTACAGCTTTTGCTCTGGATCCTCTTGCAGGAAACATTACTTCACAGCTGTTTGTGCTACCCACCACTGGCACCGGAGGACAAGCAAATGCTGTCTCTCCAGCTAGTTTCAGTGAGGAACATTTTGCTACAACTGATACTTCTTCCAATTTCATCGAAGTCTGGAAGATTGAGTCAAACAAGACATCAACGTCAGCCTTTGCTGCTGCACACGTGGACTTGGATTCAGCACCTGCCAACGCAGTGTGGTATACTTAGATTCTGGAATATATAACCTGCAGAATGTGTGGAAGAAACTGTCTGAATAGCCCTCCTACGAATCACCCTACGCCGTAGGTGTACGCTGTTGATTCGTACTGCGTGCGAATTGGGATTACTATTACACCTAGCGCGTACACGACAACTCCCTACTTTACAACTTCGTCTCTCACTTAATTTTCCTGAAAAAGATATCCAATCCAAAGATATTGAATAACAGCATATATATACTGTGGTCCGCTTCTTCGCTAAGGCTGACAAATCGGATGCCCACCAACCAATTGTTTTTATTTATGCTTAGAATGCCTTCCTAGCAACATCTCTACCACATCAAGGCTTCTTCTTTCGTCATCAGGATGATCTATTCGCATCATCTTTTCGCTTCCGAGTAGGCGGTTCGGGGAATGGTGTTATGGAGTGACTCTGTTTGAGCGAACCATCTAGGAGCTACTGCGCAACAGTTGGGGGAGAATTTGACAATTTCGAAGTCTCTTCGTTTTGTCTAACCTCACATGTCACTAACTGCATTAGCACAGAGATGGGAGCAAACTATAATCGACAGGTTGGGTATATATTGTTATATAGGAATCAAGCATCGCAATATACCGACTGCATTAAACGCCCGGGAAAGCAGTGGCGAGAAACTGCGAGTCAAGTTCACTCAGCAAACTGTTCCAATCCAGATTATCAACGTCCATGGCATCGAACGTATCCCAATCAAACGTAGTCATATCCGGATTACTAGCGTGAGCCGGAAGGTCAATGGGATTCTCAGCAAGACCAAAATTCTCCACGACTGTTGTCGATGTATTACCAGGCTTCGAATTCGAAAATCGAGGAAGCGACAGCCTGTACTTCTGCACAATGCTATCCAATGACTCGAGAAGATTTGCCGTAAATGGTGAATGAGTTCTCGCTTCTTCAAGAATGCCACATGCCTCTATCAACTCAGCCTTTCGTTTGGGATCACACTGCCCGCGGTCATTGTGGAAGCACATGTCCAGCAGAAACGCAATACTGGCTATATACACAGCCTGCAGAACGCCAGAGATTCGAAACCGTGCATGCACAAATCGCACTGATTCGCGCTCAAGTAGTTTTTCGGTTCGTATGGTTTGCCGAGCAGCTTCTAGACAGGATTCTCTTGAGTAATTGTATTGAGAATTGGATGAGGCTTTTGCTAGATACGGAAGATGTAGTTTGCATCGATGAGAATGAACCAATGAGTGGATGATGTATCTTTGCACAATAATGCCGGCTGTGAGCGGTGGCTGAGACGGGGCTTCTGCGGCTTCGAGCTTGAAAAAGGGTGGAATTTCTGCTAAAAATTTCAGAAACTGGGCATCGACTGCAATGATCTCGGCATGATCTGATGTGTCGCGTGCTGTGGCGCCAAGGGGCATTCGATCGACTAGTTCGCGACACATTTCACCGAGGCGAATGCGCTGTAGAAAGTATGACATTTCCGTTGGTTCGGATAGAGGTTTGTCGATATTTTTCATCCCGTCGTAGAGGTCCTCGTCGTTCACATTCCATGGTCTGCGTGTAGCCATATGTCGCAAATGAATGGAGTATGCTCCTTCTTGGGGACCGGCGTAGCGGGATAGCATCCTTGAGAAAGTTCCACATCAACAAAAAAGCATCAAAAAAAATGAGAAATAAAGGCCTACCAATCGGTTGCACATAGATACCACCATATCCTTCTCCCTATTTCCTCCGTTATAGTCCCTACTTTAGGGGCATGATCACTCGTAGCATAATTCGGATGATCCAAACGATGAAGACCAACCTCTCGCGCCATACAAATAGCTTGACTAACCATAGACGTATATCGTAGGGTCATACCTTCTAAATTTACTAACATGAAGAACGCAATAACTATTGCCTGTACAGCCTCAAAGGACCGAATTGAAGACCGACGACAATGGTCTAGCAAATCGAGACAAGCTCTTACCCACATGGTCGACTGGGAATGAGCTAATTCAACATTTGGATACATAGCTTCCTCCATGTCATGAAAGGTCCAGGCGTACGAAGCACTTCCGAACATACTCATGAGTAGTGCCACTTGGCCAGGCGATACGGGTTGGTCTTGGGCAAGTTTGTCGTAGATATCATCTATAAGGGAGCGTGTGGTAGGTGTGTGGATTACATGGTGAATAAATGTTACGTCTCGCACGTATTTGTTGAATAGTTTCCTGGCTTCTTCGCGCAAGGGCAGCCATACACATCTAACCGGCTCTTGAAACGAGGCTGATCGCCCTGAGCTAGGCCAGAGATAAGTCGGCGATTGTGGAATGTGCTTGATGGAACATATTCTAAAGCAGACGTTGATGGGAGATATCGATGCCTATTCCCCGATCATTAGTAAGTTCATCAGAGAGTACGAATGAAGGAATGAACGTACAAACCAATTTTCATTGAACGAAACCTTCTTGAGAATATCCGCCTCAATTCTAGACGGAAGACCCTCAGTAGCCGGCGGAATAAACGTCGTTAGTGCTGAATTCTGCCATGGTCGATGTGCGGGTGGAGCACGAGCAGTGATGACAGGATCACTGTGCTTCAGCACAATCTCTTCAAGCCGTAGAAGACGAGCCGTAAGCTCTGCATTAGATCCATTCGGTACGAGTGCCTGTGCAGTAGGCCGACTGCCCGGAAGTTCCACGGAGCTTGTAGGATACAAGGTGCATTGTACGTCTCGGGTTTGACAGTTTGTACACGGCGACTTGCGGTCACAGCGCAGTTTTCTCGAACGGCAGAAGTGGCAGCTGACGGGTCGTCTTCGGTCTGATCTGGGGGTAATACTGGGTTTACCCATGATACACTCTGTGTCTGATGAATCTCAGTAAAATGGTGAGAACGGAAAATAAATGTTTTATGACTTAGAATTTACGAGCTGATGAGATACGAAGTTTAATCCAATCAGAGTGCGTAAAGTCCGCGGACATTTTGACCAATCAGACTCGATAACCCTTGTCACTTCAATTTATGAGCAAAGGTACGCAATCATTCAAGGCAGCAAATAGCGTTTAGCGAGGCCAATAATACTCAAAGGGACTGTTCTCTCTAAAATAATTTATGTTCATGACTCCTCAAATAGCGCAGCGAGTGCGAGTTGAAGATATTCAACGTTGCCTTGATGAGTTCAGATTGACCAATCATAGTGCGTGTAGTCCGCGGATCTCCGGCTCAAAATGGCTCCAGCAATAAGTATAAGTAGAGCAGAATTCCAGAAGAATCCCAGCAGAATCTTGATCGTGTTCAAGCTTCAAATTCTTCAGAAAATAGCAAACAGTAGTCTCCAAGATCTTTCATTTGTTGTATATCAGCATATACCTAAGTATCTTCCACCCCTTCGTCATACACCGGTACGCGGTTTGATTATCAGGCACATCAACATGGATAGTGTCGTATTGCAGATCAAAGAAGTTGTCGGCAAGGCTGATGCGACAGCCAAAGACAGGATGCTGGATATCCTGGAGAATCTTATCTTGGAGCTTCGAGATCCAATGGATGTCCTCTATAACACGTATGGAGCGGTATGTTACATTCAAGCTGTTAAAGTTTGCCATTCATTAATGTCATGTTTGAACACAATTCAGGCAATTCAAATGCCCATGGCCAAAGTCGGTGCAGACATCGGTGTCTTTCGAAAGTTGGCCGAGTTGCAGCCCGCATCTTCACGGACAGTTGATCAACTTGTTGGTGAGACAGGGGCTGATGCCGAATTGCTAGGTGAGTGATTTGTACTGTGATCTGCCATATTCGGTAGGTCGATGCTAAAATTTCTCCCAGAACGGCTTCTTCGGTATCTTGCTTCTATAAATTATATCCAGGAGGTTGGCCTGGATGAATATACCGCCAACAAGTTTACGCATATGCTAGCCAATCCTGTGCTGGAAGCTTCTTTGACTCATGGGTGAGTATTTTTTTTAATCTATACTTTAAGTGAATTCTGGAGGAGACAGGTAATAACTTTCTCAGAGTCGGCAACATGAATCCTGCAATCAACGCTGCCCCAGCATTCCTCAAAGAAATAGGCTACAAAAATGTTAACGACAGCTCCAACACCCCTTTCCAAAAAGCCTTCAACACGAACCTCAAAGCATTCGACTACATATCTCAAAGCCCCGAGATGTTTGGCTCTCTACAAGTCGTCATGACCGCATTTGAGTCAACCAACTGGGTTGAGGGTTTTAACATTTTCCAAGATGAAGTCAATGCCCTGTCTACACAGCCCTCCACACCTAAGAGACAGTTTCTAGTCGACGTCGGCGGTGGCCACGGCCACCAATGCGTCCAACTCCTCCAGAAATATCCTTCTCTCCACGGCAGATTAACCCTCGAAGACCTCCCTGAAGCCGTCGAAAAGGCTCCCCGCAAAGAAGGAATCTCATACATAGCACAAGACTTTTTCAAACCGCAAGTCTGCCACGGCGCAAAATTTTATTACATGCGCCGTATTATGCATGACTGGCCGGAAAATGAATGCGTGAAGATTCTGAGACAGTTAGTTGATGTATTTGCCGACGATTCGAGGATATTGTTGGATGAGGTTGTGCTTCCGGATACGGGTGCGCACTGGCAAGCGACGATGGCGGATTTGTCCATGATGGTTGTTTTTGCGGGCGCGGAGAGGACTAGACGAGCATGGAATAGGCTTGTGGCGAAGGCCGGTTTGAAGATAAGCCATGCGCATACCTATGATGCGAAGAGGGGGTATTCAGTTATTGTTCTGGAGAAGCTGTAGATTGATTTGCACGGGCGGTGGTCGAAGATATGTATATTCTCTACTCCTATGACTAGGTCTCCAGTAAATAGATACACAGATACACAAACTATCTACTTCAAGCTTTAACTGTATGCCAAATAGACAATCAGTACATAGCACACCCTCCACTAGCAGCAATGACCTGCCCAGTAACCCATCTACTCTCCTCACTCGCCAACCAAGCAACGATCTGCGCAATGTCATCCAAAGACCCAACCCTATTTTCGACCGGCGTATTTGCTTTTTGTTTCTCAATAACCTCCAGCGGCAGACTCTGTAGCATATCACTAGGCACAGGTCCCGGATTGACCGCATTCACGGTATGTTTCGCGCCTCCCAATTCCCATGCCCAGCAGCGCGTCATTCCTTCAATCGCAGTCTTCGAAGAGCAGTATACAGACATACCAGGGAACCCTTGACGGCCCCCAATGGAACCAATGTTGATAATACGTCCCGGTGATCGGAGATACGGTATAACTTCCTTGAGCATGAGCAAAGGAGCGCGAACATTCACGTTGTAGACAAAGTCAAAGTCTTCGGCAGCTGTATCGATTACAGACCCCATCCGTTCGACCCCGGCATTGTTCACAAGAATGTCAATATCCGAACCAAATTGACGAATGGTTTCTGCCACGATAAATTTGGGTGCGGACACGTCGCTGAGATCTTTTCGGATTGCGATGGCTGTGCTACTGTTTCCGAGGGCTTTGATTTGGTTGACGACTTCTTGTGCTTTGGCGTCGCTTTTCGGCTGGCTGTATGTTATTGCTACCTATATCATATATGAGTCTTGTCGGCTTTTACATTGAGAGGAAAAGAGCAATATACCTTGGCACCTCTCTGTGCTAGCTCTATGGCTATACCAGCTCCGATACCTCGAGATCCCCCAGTAACTATGGCGACTTTGCCTGCGAGGTATTGAGGCTTAGGTTTTTCTGCGGACGACATTGTATCTAGCTCTTGATTCGCAAGGTCCTGAATACATGTATCTTGAATGTGTTGGCAAACACAGAAGAGGCGTCCATGCCTGAGGCTTTATATGTCTAGGTATTCGTGCCACTACCCTTCCCAGTACCGGATATAATGTAAATTAAATGCCTTGACGATATATCTGTAGCTCCATTAGAAGCGCAAGAGTACAGTCTGCGTGACGAATACGGAGCGGTGTTAGCGGGGACTATGCTAGGGCATGGATTTAGTGCTCAGAAGCGTCTGGTGAATCTACGTACGTCCTCAAGTAATACCTATAGAAGACTGACACCCACTTTCTAATTGAAATCCGGGAGAAGAGTCTTCTTTCAAGAAGTTTTTCAGGAAACCGCGCAGATTATTTTCCATGCATTATGAAGTTGAGTCCGTCTTAACACCGAAAGAAGTGCTCGGAGGTAGAACGGATATAGTAAGTAGTAGAAAGAACTGTACATCAATTATGATAAATTAAACTTTACGCTTCGCTGCACTCCAAGATGTGGGGTTTTCTAGAGCCGGATGTATGGCTTTTTTTACAAGACGTGACGTGTGTATACAACGGAGTTAGCGGGAGTTGACGTGATGGCTTCAACTACCAGTGTGGGGGACGTCAGCGGGATAATAACTAGTCAACGTCCGGATAACCAGGTTGTTGTCTTCTATGTCCGAAATAAAAAGGGGCAAGCTCGTGATCCTATGCGTTAGACCCAGAACATGTTACTCTAGTTCAACAGCGAAATCCGGTTGGTTCATCGAGGACCGTGATGAGCTTTCGTCCGAGCATCGCTATCTCACCATTTTCATACGAAACAATGTTCGTGGGAAGGATTGGAACTTGGAGTTGAACACTTCCACTTTTCCTCAGTCAGTCCACCTTGCTTACTTCTGGGGACTGAAACATTGATAAGATGTCGTGTGTTTGGTAATCCTTTGTCGATCATATTTACTAGCATTTCACACGACCATATAAGCAGTGAACACTAATCCATGTCGAGATCGGGATTTCGTTTCATCTCGTGGGGCTCGGGTCTGTTACAGTACTTCAATTATGTGCAAGTGACAGAGTATACGAAAATACAAGTTGTCCCTTGTATTCCTTCTGCATATTAGCCCGGTTATATACTCAAGAGTTTTGAGCTTCTGCCTTCAATTCGGCCCAGGACCTAATTCTATCGCCGATTGAAGCCGATTTTGCATTGTTTGCTGATAGAAATTTGACGTTATCGCCAAGTCCTCCGTATTGAAATCTTTGCCATCTTCATATGGAACCAACACAGATCCGACCCGTATTTACCAGTACGCAGGCGTCGAGGCCCAATCTTGGCTGGCGATGTCGATATTTGACAAGAGGAACATAGTAAACGTAAAATCTCATGAGCCTAGCGATCTGGTGGTATACCGGGCTTCTGGGTCTTGCCATAGTATCCAAGGCATACCTTGACGTTTGGAGATGGGCGAAACATGACATTTGCCGAGAGAAGCTTGCTTTTCCGGTTTGATGTCGAAGCGAGCGAACTAATTTTGTCCATGGAGCTTGCGCTCGCCGTTGCAGAAGATCTTTCTACCGCGTATGGCTTCGTTCTTCGAGGAAGGGGAAAATCGCGTTTCGTTGGTTGTATTAGTAGGTGCTGCAGCGGTTGCTGAAGCAGGCAGTGGAGCGAGTGCAACAGGAGAAGGTAGCGACGAAGGATCTAATCCAGGCCGGTGAGTAGTCACCGTGCCGTAGACTAGTACGAGATCAATGAGATGTCGAAAGTCGGCTAGTGTGATATCCTCAATGGTCTGGTTCAGTAGCATCCTGTGCGCAGTTTTAGGATCATAATATCCAACTGCAGGAGACCCGGAAGACTTGACGGAGGCCGCGATACTGCTACTGGGGTGTTGGGCTATCCGTGAGATAGTGGTCTCGGTAAACTAATGTGACACAATACCCATGGTTCTCATTAGCCCACGCCGCAAAACCATGGCCGAGCCTTCGACGTAAAATTTTGTTATCCTCAATTTTCTGTTGACCGACAAGAGTGAGCTGTTAGCTCCAACCCACGAATAGTCAGGTAAGATTTAGGTATAATCGTCATCCGTCGCGATGGTTTATTGTTCGATATGAGGAAGAAAAATTCCTGTCCGTTGTCGTAATTTATTCAAACAAATAGAGAAGGGACTTTCCAGCAATCGTTGGCTATTTGTAGAGCAACCCAGGACATAGAATCACGTCGAGTGTAGCTGGGCAATCAGAGAAGACCTTACTATTTCCTCACTCAAAAATCGTATTAGGAGAATCCCTCCTCATTTGAGAACGGAGTAGATAAATCAGCTTACTTTAACCTTGTTCTGAGCTCGCCGTGATAACACAAAATCTTCTGAGCTCCCTCGCATTGTGAATCTGCATCATCTTCGTCGCACGGCCACCATAGAAATTGAGATTTCAGAATTCCTTCCCCCTAGACAATGATATGTTTAGGTGACGAATGTTAAATAAAAAAGTCGTGATACCGAATTATCACGTATCCAAGTACGATTCAAGGGTGGAAATATGATAATTGACGAATCGCAAGTCATTGTCTAGGAGTTCAATTCATTCATGCTCTCCGTCGGTCACGGGGATCAACCGAAGCCCTATATATACGAACTATAGAATTGAACTATCTACAGAACATAGCGGAAGCTCTCATTTTCCCGATCGGTCACATTGAGGAGTTCCATTTGCAGCTGCTGATCAACTGTCATTGAATCCGGTGATCCATACACCCTGTCCCTTCGCTTGTTTTCCCAGGAATAATAGACGTACAGACCTATAAGCGAGCAAATACCTAGACACTGACCAGCAATAGCGGATCGCATACCGGTCTACAAATATTAGCATTTTCCTTCCACGGCACGAGAAAAGAGGGGGACGAACCTCATAAGTAGGCTCCTCAGAAGCCAAATAAAACTGTGGTCCAACTATATTGCCAATACAATATGCAATAAACAACATCGCGCTAACGGTACTCTTCTTCGTCATACCGCCCACATTCGAAGTAATCAAACTGAGCGACAGAGGGATATTAGCTGCAAAGACTGCTCCGAGACAGAGACCGGTCATTTTAGCGACTCGGGCGTCTTCACTCAGTTTATAGACAAGTAGGTATCCGACCATGGCGATGAGGCAGTTGATGATCATCATGATGATACGTGTTGATTTCACGTAGGTCGCGATGCCGGAGGTTATGAGGAGGAAGATGAGTTGGGCGGCACCGGAGGGCATAGAGATGAGGAGGGTCTTGAAGGTGGAGTAGCCGAAGCCTTGGGCGATGATGGCGGAGAACTAAGTATATTAGTATTTTTGTATTCACTGAAGAACGAACGTGGAAATACAACTCACGGTGGTGATTCCGCCATTACACAAATTCACACAGAAAGTATAAGCGACCAGGAACCATGCTTGGGGATCTTTCAACGCAAGCAAGACTTGCTTTGTATGAAACTTTCCTTCATCCAAGAAACCAGTCTTGTTTTCCAACGTCCGTTGAATAGCGATTGCTCGTTCGTGCTTCTTCAAAAACAAGGCATTGGCCGGGGAGTCAGGAAGGAACATATAAAGAACGATGGCGTAGGCCGAAGTCACCGCCCCGAGAATCAAAAAGATCAATTGCCAGGACATAAGATTCGACGAGTGGATGTGACCAATTCCGAAGCCAACGACACCACCGATCGAGTTTGCGATACAGTTTCCGATCCACCAGGCTGCTTGTCTGTGGTTCGTTATTGTTAAATCTGTGTCAAGAACTGAATGACGTGGGTGGTAGACATACCTGAGTGGCTGCTCTTCTCTCTTATAAAACATACCAGTGAGCAAGGCAAACCCTGGGGCAATGGCAGCTTCACCAACGCCAAGGAAGAATCTCGCAGCCATCAAGCCACTGAAGTTCTTGCATGCCGCATGGCACATAAGTACACCTCCCCAGATGAATCTATCAATCGTTAATTCCATCTCCATACTTTTATTAGCTATGGCCGGAGAGAACATACACCGAAACAGCCAGATATTTTCCCAACGGCAACCGGACAATCAGGTACGATGTCGGCCAACTCCAGACCAGGTAGCCAAAATAAAATATAGCGGATGCCCACGAATATTGCATTCCATGGAGGTGCTACATCAGAACAACAAGCAATTAGAATATGTTTTGTCCATACTCAGGGGGGAAGAAAATGATTGCCATACCAAGTCGGCACGAATATTAAACAAAGTAGCCTGACTCAAAGCCAGTTTGTCCATATATTGTAGCATATAACAGAAGCCCATGAGTGGGATCATACTATGCTCACACGACCTGTTAGCAGACCCGATCTTGTATCAACAAGTAGCACTAACTGACATGAAATCAATCTTCATCAGAATTTTTCGTTCCAACTGTGGCGAGGTTTCGACCTCCAGGATCTGACCTAGGTCAATATCCCTGCCAGTATTCCCCATGTCATCAACAACCATGGCTTTGAGGTCCGATATCTGCCTCGTCGCAGACTGTTCGGCGTGTGTCTTCTCCATGTTGAATTTGACTTCACACCCGGAAAGTTTCTATCAAGACAAAAAGGGGGATACGAATCATGAATATAGTAATAGCGGTTTAATGGGAGACGGAATCGATAATCGCAAGGATACCATCATGAAATATATACAATAATCAGTATACTCCTCAGACGATCAACTACCGAATGTCCAAGGCATTCGTATCTGGCTATCTCAACTTTCATGTCTATACAAAGTTCTTTCCAGATAAACTCACGCCAATCAGCGTTACCCATTTATCTCCTTTATCGAAGCGTTATCTTGCCCCCCGCTATGGCCCCACTACGTCGGCAATTGTATGTGTATCATTGGTCTATCGGCAGTTTTCATGCACATCGGCAATTAGACGCTTGGCCGTTTCGTGGGGTAGATAAGATCTATGAGGAATTGTTGGAGAAATGCTTCATTTGTTTGGTGATAGTAGGGTTGACTGTATGGCAAGTGTCACGAGGAGAGATACGGTATATTGGGTAGTGGATTTGGAAGTGTTGTCAGGGATGATAAGAATAACTTGGTAGTGGGTATTAGGCGAGGATGCCTCGGTTGTTTTGACAAGGCTTATCTATATAAGATGGCTTTGTGCAGGTTATCATACCATCTTCTTTGATGCCCCCTGCTATTATTGTTATCAACTGGCTTTGAAAGATAAATCAGCTACTACCTAGCCAAAATGCCTTCCGCGATAACTACCGAGATCGACATCAATGAGGTAAAGGCAGTTGTCGATGCTGCCATTGAAGAGCTCCAAGCGCAATTGCGAGAAGTCAATAGACAAGTATTTCTCCAAAAGGCAGTGAATAATTCGATATTGAAGCTGACAACGTTTTCAGATCTGGTCCAACCCCGAGCTCGCATATAAAGAGCATCACGCCCACGACACAATCTGCAACTTCCTCGAGTCTCAAGGCTTCCAAGTAACTCGCCATGCCTTTGGCTTAGACACCGCTTTTGAAGCGCGTAGCAGCAGCGGTGGCGCCGAAGAAGGCCCTCTTATTAATTTCAATGCCGAATATGATGCTTTACCAGATATTGGCCACGCCTGTGGCCATAATCTGATTGCCACAAGTAGTATCGCTGCATTTTTGGGTTTGTCAGCTGCACTGAAAAAGTTTGGTATTCCGGGACGAACACAGCTTCTCGGAACACCGGCCGAAGAAAATGGTGGTGGGAAAGCCCAGTTGATTGATAACGGGGCTTATAAGGGTGTTGATATCTCGCTAATGGCGTGAGTTATATTCCTACAGAAATTAGTAACGTGTCAACTAATAGAGTCAATGAAGTCACGGAGGCCCATCATTAATGGGTGATGGTGTTGCAGGCACACTTTTCAACGCCCGCAAGCAGATCCAGGTCGAATTCACTGGCAAGAATGCGCACGCTGGCGGTAATCCGTGGGAGGGCATCAATGCCCTCGACGCACTGATTGCAGCATACAACAATGTGGCCGTGCTACGACAACAGATTCTACCCGAGGAACGTATTCACTGCGCGTTCCTGGACACGCCCAAAGTTGCAAATGTCATCCCTTCGTTCACAAAGGCGTACTGGCAAGTGCGCAGTCCGACTTTGAAAGGTCTGACTAAGCTTACAGCTCGCGTGCGAAATTGTATTGAAGCTGCGGCATTGGCGACGGGATGTCAAGTTAAACTGAATGAGTATGTTCCCGTATTCTTCTATACTTAGAGAATGAAAAATGCTGACGAAAATTCGTAACAACAGAGACAGTTTATATACCGATATTAAATTAAACGATACCCTCTGTGAGCGATACCAAAAAAGCATGGGCCTATATGACCGCACCATCATGAAGAAACTAGACCAAGTGATGACTGCTTCATCAGATATTGGTTCGTCTTTTGCCTTCTCTCTACAAATACACCAATGACTAACTTAGAGTAGGTAATGTGAGCTACGTCGTGCCAACTATGCACAGCATGTTCTCCATTCGCGCCGCAGAGGGCGTATATCCCCACCACCCATCTTTCGCTGAGGCTGCAGGAACGGATACTGCACACGATGAGGCTCTAATCGTTGGAAAAGGTTTGGCGTTGACTGGCTGGGAGATGTTGGTTGATGCAGGTCTTTTGCAGCAGGCGAGGGAGCAATGGAAGCATGAGATTGAGAGCGATAAATAATTGAGCTGATAGTAGACGTCGCTCACGATGCTTCCTCTCGTACCCAAGAGCTTCCGAAAAGCTCAATGCCTCCCTCGGATGGGATAAAAAATAAGGAAAAATTCAAAAATGTTCTGATAAAGCAAAGATTATATGCGACACAGTATGTAAACTTCATTATTAACAGGATGATGGTGTTGTGGGTGATCCACAGGCCAACATGTATCATGTCCAGCTACATGTATTAGGTTTACATATTTGGTCAACTAGAACGTCGGGTGTGAGAGAGACTAGAATAATCATGGCGAAATTAGAAATGTAATGTGATGGAAACATGATCTTTCGTATTTTGAATTGTCGCTCAAACCACTATAGATCGATCGTTCGATGACTCTAGATCCGGGGAAATCTCGGATGCTTGCCATGGCCCACAGTACCACGACAAAAGTGTCCGCACCCTTATCCGAGCGCTTCCCGAGAATTCACCGCCTTCTTGAAATGGTAATGAATTAGACACCTCTATAATAGTTAATACTCGATACCACGCGTTTCTGTCGGCAGAAAAATAGCGGTGTGGAAATTTCGGATATGGGGGGGTGCGGGACACTTTGTCGTACCACTGGACTAAAGTAGTTCTAGTACTAAAAAATGGCCACTGGGGTTTCGGTAGAAGCAAGCGATCATGGGCGCATTTCCATTGGAACGAATTTCATACTGTGAGAGGAGTAATTGTCTTTCGACTGTCGAATTCGAGGCTTTTCGGATGATGTCAGATGCATACCATAATCCTGTTGTCCGAAAGCCTAGAACGACGCATCAATGCAATCGATGCCTATGCAGATGGTCAAAAGCCGGTTAAAGCAGCCGACCAGCCATGATTGGCCGGCTCAATGCCAAAAGGTCCAGAGGTCGAAGGTTTCAAGGAACGGAAAATTGAAAAGCTAAGCACAGCCACTAAACTCGTCCGGTGTTAGCATCCACGCGTACCCCGCATTGGCCCCTATTGCTGATTCGTCTCGCTAGATCCGTCGCGTGATGAATGGGACCGTTGACACCGAAAGGCCACGAGGTGGCGTTGGTCTGGATGATGGTATGCGTGCCATAGCAATTTGCAGTCCGACTTACTGGTAGTCGGTCGCCACCGATGCATTTTATCCATTAGAAGGTAATTCTTCCTGTTTGAGTGGCTCCCGAACGTCCATGAACCACGGCTCCTAATGTTCTTGGAAGAAATACCTAAACCGGCGCTCTCAATGCTGTCATATTCTTTCCTCCCGAGTCTTGCGTATTGAATCCTTTCGTGCATTGACCTCAGCCTGTTCCAAAAGACAAATCAGCTGTTTTCATTCTCAGAAGTTTGTTGGGAGGCGATTGTTTAAGATTTCTCTAGCCCATATTAATTGTCGGCCGGAAATGGAGCCAACTCCGTTTTTCCTTGGACATCTGGAGCAAGTTCGGTAATTTTTCCTAGTACAAAACCACAAAACACTGCAAAAGACATATTAAAGTTTGGTGCTAAATTAGATGGCCTGAAGAATGATTTCGTATACGTACGAATAACTACTACTGCCCACTTGCTAGTGTGAGGCGAAAAGAGGAGAGAGTAATCAACCCCTCCAGGTTTCCCCAGATTATAATTACTAGTTCATTGACCCCGTTCTTGTGCGTTTGGAATTTGAGGCTTTCTTTCATTTTGCATTTGCATGAGCGAAGCAAAGAATCGTTTACTGAAGGGACTGTACAAAAGATTAGCGATATTTCGGAACGTTGGCGAGTCATAGAGTGGAGTTGCGACTAAAGAACCATTGCCGATCGAGTCTCAGCAAAACACAACAGAAAATGAAACAAAAAGGTCATTGAGATACACGACGATTCGATTTTGACTTGAATCATACAATTCAACAACACGACAACTGCGCTTCCTGATCTCATACGATATCCGATCCATCGGCAGCCATCATGCATAGTCTTTAGTACTAATACCCAACATGGGAGTGCCGGAATCAGAAAGGGTTACCCGGCCCACGCAGCCGGATGCCCTCGTGCTCGAGGCATGGGGGCAGGGACTGCTGGTTGGAGCATTGCTGGTGATGTTAGCCATTACAATCGCCAACATGCGGAGAAGAGTCCTTCTACACAAGCTGATTCTTGCTGAGGTGAGCTTTACAAAATTTGCCTGCAGAAATGTCAAAAAAGAAATTAACCGAGTATTCGTGATAGCTCTTCCTGGCCATGTTCCACGGAACATGGATCTTCACACATGAACCCGTATACGGATGGTATCTCTCCGTGACAGCGATCGGTCTAAACGTCTCCTGGAGTTTACACAACGTGATCGCATGGATGAAAAATCGACCGTTTCTATCTGACAAGGTGTCGCGATTTTACATTATCACTGTCATCCTGGTGCAGCCATACTGGGTTCTGGAAATATATGCGAATTTCACCTATTTCAACAACATCAACCAGATTTTCATCAAGACTAGGCCTCTTGAGCCTCTTTTCCGGTATGAAAATTGTTCTCGTGATTGTGATAAGAGAAGGTTATGTGCTGATGATTATTAAGTGATCCGTGGTGGTTATTCACAACCTGCTCGTTATTCTACGTTATAAAAAAACAATACGATTTCAGTCTCTTCGAACTCATCAAAGTGAGCCCACGATTTGGCGTTATGCTGTTGTCCATGTGCCTATCACTGGCATTTACGGTGTTCGACATCTTGAGTGTTACCGGGGTGTTTTCCTCTGCTCTTCCGACGGGTGTTGAGCCTTTCTGGAAGGTAATACCTCTACAAACGAAGTCTATATTCTAATATTCTTGCTAATCATATCGGACTGGATAGTTATCGTTTATCTTCAAATGTCTCTGCGACACCGTGATTCTCGACGACTTCAAAACCGCTCTCGACCGCATGCATGTCTACTGGCTACGCAGAATGGACCCGAATCTCGACATCGGGCCATCCTCTGAATATACCTTTTCATCTAATAATCCACTCTCTTTTCAGGACGGAAGACGGAAATCATCATTGCGAGACATTGAATCTCAGGCAGGAACATTAGGGCCATCAATCACAAATCCGGCTGCGAATTATGCAACTCAGCCTAACGCAAAATCGCCAGATGTTAGCGCCACAGAGAAAAAGCAGCGGTCGGGGTCCTTTGTGCATCTTAATTATGTCAAGACTCCTGAACCGACGAGGCAATCGCACATTTCTTAATAGTCGTGCACAGAGAAAGCCTTTACCGGCATCGTCGGTTCGACCCATTGCCGGCATGAACTATAATTAATTTGATGACTTCATCATGTATATATTGATGTTTGAATTAGCGACTTGCGCATGGCTGGTTTTCTAAGATGTTACGAGATGAACATACCCATTGCATTCGCTTCTTATGAGGTACCTTATCACCCGTGCGTGGACGTATCTAGGTGTGATCTTCTGTTAACATGCAGGAGCCTTCATCTACATGAATCATGCAGATGATAAATATTTATCCACCCATATTTAGCATCTACTCGATTAGCAATTTTGTATTTCCGTAGCCAATCACCGCCCTCATTTTCCCCTTCAATGTTGGTAGGCCCCGCTGATTAATTTATTTTGACTCCTATCAATCGCTMCCCGCCGCATACATCCGAGGCCTGAGCGAGCAGCATTCTTTCTCGACGACTCTCATCCTCCCTTTTTTCAAGCACTAACCAACACTTCGTATTGAAGAAGTCCAACGCCGTTGCGCCGTTGGGGCCATATGATTATGCAGTAATGTCCGGCAGAAACGCTCCGCGATCGAAAAACGGTGAGTACACGGCATACAAAGAAGGTCGAAGTCCCCACATGAAAAATTAATATTAATGACACGACCCGCGCCTATATAGGTTGCCAGACATGTCGCCAACGCAAAGTCAAATGCGACGAAAACCGGCCAGTATGCAATCGCTGCGACCGGTTAAGTATAAGCTGTGAATGGGGTTTCAGCAGCAAACATACACAGTCGGGCAAAAGTCTGCAGCTTCGACACGCTCAGTCCGCGGCGAGAAGCCGGCAGTGGTATTTAGCATATCTCCGGCGGAATTATGGCGCACAGTCAACGTCGTCGTCGTGGACGACGAAGGAGCTTATGGGCAGAGGAGGAGGAGGAGCGTGTAGTACTACGACCACGACCACGATTACGACTACGCCCTGGCCCTGGAATGATGGATTGCAGAACATGTTAGGAGTCTCCACGCCTACCGTTCCTATCATGGAGCTATTGACCCCCCCGCATCACGATCTTAGGGCCATGGAATTGAGTAGTCCTGAGATGACTTGCGCCAATGCGCTTACCATGACGGCTGCAGATCAGAACTATTTTCGATATTTTCCGTCATCTTCTGTCGTTTTCTATTATATGAAGTCCTGGGAATGGAGCAGTCTTGGATTTCTCTACAAGGGTCCCGCAGCGACCAACAAGATTATAATGCGAATGATGCTCGCCATCGCCGCAAATGATATGCATCGCCAGGGTTACTTCTCCTCTGCAGCAGAGAAAGAGTCAGCGAGACGACGCGCTCAGTACCACTACGAACTCGCAGTACAAGAGTTCCGGCAATATCTCGAAGAACACGGGAGCGCCAATATCGGGCTGGGCAAAGCCGGACGAGTTTTGGAGTCTGGGTCCGAGATGATATTCTCCATCATGTTTCTCATGATTACATATGAGTGGTACTTTGGGCACTCCGTGAAACATTTTCAGATGCACATAGAAGGGGTACGATGTCTGCTCAAAGCACATCCAGAGATATTTGTGACGAGAAATATTGCGGATACGATATTGATGACGGGGATGAGGCCGGACAATGGGATGTCGTTTATTCCGTCGCAACTTCTTCTTTGGATATTGTAGGTTACACTTCTGTTTCTGTCCGAGATCGGCATCCTAGTTGAGTATGACTAACTCTAGGAACAGGTACATGGAGATTGCAGGCCATCCTCGGGGCCTTACCGGTTCTTTGTACAACACATTGATAGAATCCGGACACTCGGCGCTACATCCGGATTACTTGCATCAATGCGCGCGCATTTGGGGTCGCTGCCTCTGGGCAGAGGAGTATCCGGACCAACAGATCCTAGACGACATGGAAAACCACCGAGCTCTAGAACTTCTTCATCACGCCATTATAATATGGAACAAGATATGGCAGCTTGCCTTGGGAAATAGCGATGACTCTTCAATGACTCCGGAGAAATTGTATGCCGAAATAATGCGAATTCGAGAGGTAAACATCCTATCCCGCTTCCGAGCACAACGGGGCGATACACTGACACAATTGATAAATAGCTATACAGCGACATGTTCATAACCGCCAAATTCACCTCCTCCCTCTCCGCCCACCGCGCCCTATACACTATTTACTTCGCCGTCTGCACCTTCGAAGCCCAAATCCTCTACCACCGACGCATCTTCCACTCCAAATCCCGGTCGCCAAACAATGTCCAACGCCAAGCCGTCGCCAACATTTTGGATTTACTCTACAAACAATACTCTGTCGAACCAAAACTTCTTCAACGCATGCCCTGGTCAATATTCATGGTGATGATTGAGACTGAGGACCCGATTCATCGTGACTGGGCGGAGCAGCGACTGCGAGAAGTGAGGCACTTGCATGAGGGGAACGCACATATCAACGCAGTATTGGATGCATTTGTGGAAAGGCAGAGGATGAATCCGGGCGACATGGTGGATTTGTTTGAAATTTTGCAGATGCAGTACAGGAGGTTTAATGGGTCAGGTGTTAGGATGTTTTAGATACCAGGTTCTTTTGACTATACTTTTAATTATTCATCTTAAGCGATGAATGAGACACCATCATACAACGGATTCATTCCTTTTGGATGGGATTACAACACTTTAGAGGGGCGTGCGAGTCATGTCATCTGTACATCCCCATGGGGTCGTCTCCGAGCGGATATCGGCAAGGTCTCCGATCCCACCGAGGGCTTCTCTCCGACACATTCATAAACCATGCAGAAGTCTATAGAGCATGGAGTATACTATCGTCTCCGGAATATAGAGTGTGTAATGAATTGTGACGAGCGATAGTTCAGGAACGTGAATGTTGTGATTACCTCCGAAATCTCTTACGCGAATCATCAATATTATGATATTAGCGACATGCAAACTCACCTGTAGATCACATTCAGATTCAAATTGTCAAGTGGCATCATCTATCTGTTGAAAATCGTTTTTGAAGCTCGAGAAAGTATATAGTTGAGGACCATAGCATACATCACATCTTTCGCGGTATATTTGACTCTGAAAAAACCAGACCACATTAAAGGTAAACGCTAGCAGATTTTTCGGTGCGGTAGGACAGGGTCTTGGTTTAATCTTGAGTAGACGAGTCATATTGAAGGTTAGTAGGATTATTATGGAATTCTCCCCATTTGTCAGGCAACTTAGGCAGAGCATGATTTAGCGATCGTGTGCATCCGCTGTCAAGAATAAATGTACACATTCGATCAAGATCTGATGTGTTGATCTATTCGTTACGATCTTAAGGCTGGCAGGAAGCGCAACCGCTGAAATGGACTTTTCTTCTGTTGTCCGAGTAGACTGCTCCGGTTATGATTTGGCGGGATATTGGAAAGTGCGTTGTTGTTGATTGATCTCATCGCATCCCTATTTACTATATATTTGCAGAGATTCCCGTTTGAATGTCACCTTCCCGGCTCCATCAAGGCTGAGCTTGCTCATACAGACTTGATCCTTTTTTATAGGTTTTCTTGAGATCGAGCCCTAACTTTCAGTTTTCCAGGTTATCTGATTTTGAAGCACAAAACAAATGTCAACGACAAATTATATGATCATTGGTAGCCAATAATTGCTTAAAAACGCTCCTATGTCCGTATAATCACCGTAGTCCCTCACAGTATAAAGGCTTTCACGCAGAATCTTAATTTGATCTATATTACCTTGCAACTACGTAGATATCATCTTGAAGGTAGGTAGATAATACATGCAATCGTCGTTTCGTGATTGTTTGTTCTTTGTCTTCTAGGGTAGGAAACTGCGAGATATTCGACTTTCAGGCCTTTTTTATGAACTGATCAATCGTCCCGTAGAACATCCATGATGCCTCCGACCTGAACCCGAAAGCGAATAAATATACAAGCAGTGAGGTATATATATAAAGCACTCTTAATAGATATACCTAAACCCTGTCCTCGCCAAATCCCTCCTCTCACGCTCCTTGACACTCAAACTAGGAGCGAGCGTAAAATCGCCTTCCCGCTCAACCTTGTCTAGTTTCTTATTCTCGCGAACAAGAATAAATCGCATCGTGATAGCGCAAGCCATACACACAACGCCTACCCCGGCAATGGTGGCACCGCCAAAGACGTATTGCGGTGCGGCGCTTGAAGGATACAGATAACTGCCATAGATGTTTGAGGTGTTTCCGATCATGTTGACCAGTGCTGTGATTGCGGCACGTTTACCGAGAGGTCGGGGGAAGGTGTTGGGAACCCAGGTAAGTATAATCATGCTAGGAGGCAGTTAGCGTTGATATTCACTAGATAGCAAATGAAAGGGAGCGTACAATGCAGGCTGAGCACCCATAGCCATGAAAAACATTCCGAGGAAACGAGGACCTCGTAAATGGATAGAAATGAGCATAATGTTTCCAGCGATCGTCAAAGCCATTGAGGCACACAGATGAAAGCATCGCTCATTTGTTCGCGAGGCAGACCACATGACCAATAGATTGAGTAGAAATGTAGCCACCCAAACAGGAGCTGTAAGCAACAGTGTCTCAATGTTGCCATAGCCCAACGTGTTGACAACACTAGGAAAGAAAAACGTGACAGTCTGCGAGAGCAAAACGCAATGCTGCATGAGCACAAAGATCCATGTCCGGTAATCGGTAACTGCGAGTTTGGCAACATGCAGTAGGCCCTTGTTACTATCGTCCTCATCGGCGGAGCTTTCTCCAATGTCGTTTGCAATACGCCATTGAGCGTATGCACGTTCCTCTTCGCATAGCCAATTGGTTGTATGAGGAAAGTTGGGAAGAATGAAGTAGGCGAGAACAGCAACGCAAACTGTCATTAGTGCTTCGATGATGAATAGCCATCGCCATGCGGCAAGACCGCGGTAACCGTCCATGTCTTTGAGGACCCCGGCAGCAATCAGGCCACCAAACATGTTAGCCAAAGCCGGACCAGCATAGAAGAACGCAAATCGCTTCGAGAGTTCAGCACGCGTGTACCAAGTTGATAGCATATAAACTGCTCCGGGAAAGTAAGGCGCTTCAGCGAAACCAAGAAGGAATCGCACAGCGAGCAGTCCACCGAAGTTTTGGGCTGCGGCTTGACAACCACTAATTACACCCCAGATAACCATCACTGTGGGTAGATAGATTGCGGGTTTGACGCGAGTGAAAAGCAAGTTGGAAGGGAGTTGCATGAGTAGATATCCGACGAAGAGGATTGAGGTGGCGGTGTTGAATTGGGTGCCATGGAGACCCAAGTCTTGTTGTAAATTACCCAGTCGAGCTTGGGCCAGGTTACTGCACAGCACCAGTTGATGTTAGACATAAGATCCTCCGGCAGCATATTGGTGTACAAACCTTCTGTCAAGATAGCTCACTAGGAACATGTATGATAACAAGGGCAGCATGCGAAAGTCAATCTTCCGAAGTAATTTCTTGTTGTACTCCGCATGCCACTCCTCCGACTTGCCGTTGAATGCCCATGGATCATCCTGTGCCATATACTCAAGCGTCGAGATGTCCTTCTTAACATCGAGAGAGTCTCGCTTTTCTTCGTATTGCGACATGGTTACTAATACTCACTTGGCGGTACAGTCGGTAAGTCGATATGTGAGTACGTACTGCGACCCGAGAACCGCGACTGGTCATTCTAGCAACTTTATAGATCTTTTCTCACCGAGAAAAACATTGGACGTGCCCTTTATGTCACCCGGCAATCAAATTCTGTGGGGAATCTGGGGTTCCCACAATCTCATCTGCATTCGGCCAATGACCAAGTCGCTGGTGCGTGATTGTACTAAACGTCGGAGAGAAATGCGACATAGGAGCCCTAACTGACACCTTGCTATTCAACATCGTTTCCGATCCAATTATAATCACCCAGAAAAACAATAGGCACCTTGTGCCGCGGTATACCAGTGTATGCATGCTCTGATAAATCCGCGAGCTCTGGGATCTTAGATATAGGCTACCTTGAAATCAGGTGTTGATCAAGATCTCCGATGAAAGGTACGAGGAATAAACCAGGAACAACTAGTCGGATAGCATGCCGTGAACTAGGAGTTCTTAGCCAGACATATTGTAATAACTAGCTTGCCACCAAAGCCGACGTGTATGAAAGCCCTAAACTTGAATGATGTGAGATGTTGAGGCAGATAAGCGAAAATAATCAGACACGCTTCTCAAGACACACATTACATGCAGTCACTATACGAAGAATCCATTGAAAGCTACGAGTATATTCAGTATTTCCATGACGAATATCTGTGAAACGTAATATACATTCTTTCCAGATCATCGTACGACACAGCAAGACCGCAAGACGAATCATTGAGCGTATTTTATTCCTTGCCACAATGTCTCCGACTAGTAACATAATCTATAGCTAGTCTTTATCTTTACTGACATTGAATTGAGTCCCGGCCGATCCGGAAACGATTGATGAAGTATTAATCCTCCCAAATCTACCCTAGTGTTGCTGGTGATTTCTACCAGCTAGTCAGATTAGTATATAGGCGTCGAAAAAATACGTGAATTTCAAGGCTTTCCTCACTATTGCTACATGGGATGGGAAGATTGATGCTATAAGACTCATCCGGGAGGAGAACATATAAAAACGTGTTTTTTGACGGTACTTAGCAAGAATAATGGTCGTCCATGACAACATGGAATTACTCATAAGAAAGTCTGTCCGATCTGTGACACCCGTTTAGCATCGATTAGTCGGCCCCAAGAACATGGCCGGGCCCATATTGCTGTCAATATGAGCAAGCGCGAGCACCGAGCAGAGCCAGTGGAGCCAGTGGGGCTTGCTATGCACGTTATGGCTATCATTAAGATGAAATGGCTGAACGACGGTGTGCTAATGGCTTTGGTAACAGGATTAGATGGTTCCAGATAATATAACGTGAAGACAAGGCGCACAGGTGGTAACCCGTATTCCGACATATACCTCGATGCAGTCAGGATTTACTAATCAAGTCCTCACCATTCGTCTTTTTAGATTGAAGATCGGAAGCGCTTATTAAAATTGTCGCATTTTGTGTAATCCTAAGGCTTAAAAGCAGGGAATGCCAACATTAACTAGTAAATACCATACTATGGGAGTCATTGGCACAGAGTAAAGTTCAAAGAACCAATAGAGTATTATCAATAGCAAACAAAAAACGAGATCATAGCACAAGTGGCCTTATATACGCCAAATGCTTCGACTAAGGCTCCATTTAGGCGAGCGAAAATCAATCAGATAAGATTAGATTAGATCCTCAAATGCGCGTTCGTTCGCCATATTCTCTAAAAGTGGGACGCATTCGGCTCAGGAATACATTGAGAGACTTCTTTTGCAGCAGGTACAAGTGCATAGATGCTATTAGACTCATAATCTTGGGCTTTATTGAAAATATCTGGCAAATCCTCGTCCGCATCATTCGACCTACTCACACCGTCGCATTGTCATTTAAATTGAAGCTTGCGCGTGAGTCACGGTCAAAATTTGTCCAGTCATACAAGTTGACTCAGGACAGTCTACGGGTAGTACATATATGTTTGTATGTATGTAGAAAAATCTGTACTTTCTTCAGGTAGTCAATCATATGTAGTTTCTCAATCACAGTCTCAATACCTCCTCGTTAAAAAACTATCTACGAATTCCCACAACAAGCGCATTTTCCTTTACAAAAGTTTCTCTGCCGCCTAGTCAAGAACTTCGTGAGAATGATTACTTTGAAGTTGCTCGCCCTTTCTTCACTCCTGACATGCAGCTGGGGTTTTGAATCATTCATGGTGCGGTCACTTCAACAATGTGAAAACATGGAACCTGGCACACATTTCTACTGCGATTGTCTCGGATCATGTGGTATGGCATTGATTAAATCGTCCTCTGTCATTTGAACATAGCTTACTCAAAAGGGAAAGAATACACGATTCAAGTATCCGAGCTAGGGGGATACTGTGTTTTTCCAGATTTCACTTCCTCGCTCAATTACTGCCTGAAATGCGCGTTGACTTACAACATTTGGCAGGAGTATGGCGACCAAGTCGCCGCTGCTGCCAGTGCTTGTGGTGACAACGGAACACCAAGTCCATCCTTAGCACCTCCTCCAAATGTTTCCTTTGGAAGTACGACAGCTAGCATTGCAGTGATAGCGACAACTTCGAGTACCGTATCTTCCACGAGTACCCAGTCACACGCGGCGACTACCAACAGGACATCTGGTGTAGTATCGAGTACTACAAGTACTGTAAGTGCTTATTAGGACTCTAAATTGCAAGAAAGCTATCTTACACTAATCTCAATCATTAGCGTTCCGTAATTCCGTCAACGTCTGCCGCACCATCACAAGTCACTGGAGCTGCGGGAAGTTCAAAGGAGAAGAGCAATTGGTATCTAGTGATCGGTCTTATAATGATTGGACTCCTGTAGCTAAAGATGTATGTAATACATACACGTTTAATGATTATTGGGTTCTTGTACTAGGTAGGCACTTGAGATTCGGGGTTGCGACAATTGTATTTCGTTATCGAAATATAAACTCCTCAACTATAGTTGTGATATGCATTCGTATATGCCACAAATCCGTTGACAAAATTTAATCCGTACACTTCTCCAAAGCTGTCGGGTAATGAAGAGTACATCGCAGGTTTAACAATCATATGTCGATTAGACAAAAACCACATGACCAAAGAATGGGGTCATATGGAAGCTGGCCTGGCTAGTAGGGCTCCAAGCACCCAATGTTTGGTTGGGATAGGTATCCGGCGAAGTAATTGTACGGAAAAAGTTCATACGCCACGAAGACCCCTTGAGCACATCCACATCAAACAATGCTAGGGGAATCTGCACGGTTGAAGTCCAAGTCTGCGCCTCCTTGTTCAAAGTTGTTGATGCCGAGAACCCGTCAGTGGCCGGATCAGATACAAAGAAATGATCGAATGGAGCGCCTGTGGCGCGGACTTTGGAGGGGTTGAAGACAACGGCTTGATAAGTGACGTTGTTAGGGTTGACCTCAAATTCGAGGTATGTTGTTGGATCGTTTGTGCCATGGTAGATGAAGGCTTCCATTACTTCGTATTCCCAGATATCACCGTTGGTTATCTGGCTGGCGTTGAAGTAGTAGTTTGTTTCGTTGTACGCCTCAAATTTGATTTGGAGGGACGTCGCGTTGTAGCATAGCGATGCTGTAGTAAGTGGAAAAGGCGTGCGGTCCGGATCGGACTCATTGATAGTGGCCACGCCGTAGTGAGGGCATTCTGGTACTTTGAGAGATGGTAGACCAGTGTTGCTTGCCGAAGCAGCAACAGCTACGACAGGGATAGCCAGAATGCTAAGTGGCTGGAAACGCATATTGAACCGGAGGGCATACTACTCGCTACCAATGTGACTACGAAACAATCTAAACAGTGAGGACATACTTCCATTTTTATACTCATGGATCCTTAGCTATGTTTCAAAACATTTCCTAGCGAGTTCAACAATAATATAGGACCGTTCCATCAACGTCGTATTTCGATAGCAACTAGCGTCCCATGCCAACAACACGACTCTTGCAATGGGAATCGCGCCAACAAAAAGCCCGGGGAAGCTTATACCAATGCATAATTAGCGACGGCTCAGCTCTGACCATTGAGCGTTCACAAACGACCGTGACGAGGCTTAGCTTTGGGGCCAGACGAGAGCCAAGACTGCTAGTCTCAATTGACAGCGATGAGGTTACTTTGAATACTCGTGTCTAGGTAACTATATTTGAGGTCTTTAAATCCCAGCCATATGACCTGTAGATTCGTAAAGTAAATCATGCAGATGTCTGTTCTTCGTTCAGTTTAGTGAGTTGTCGAGATTGATCATGCCGTGACTTAAATTGATCTAGACCTTTCCATCCCGGACAAGAGATTAGCTGTTGGTCAGCTCGACAAGCAAAGATAACGAATAGAAATGACTCGAGAACAGATAAGCGCCCAGCTATGTTACATTGTGCCAACGATTTAATTGCCTTATCCGATGTTTAGATTTGTTCAAAACAAAGGAGAGGCTTTAGTACTAGTCTCTGGACGATTCGTGAGATGCTTCAGAACTGCTAAAAAACGCCATTCCTTTGAGTTTCTTCTTCGAAATTCAAAGAATCAATAATGCGCCGACCGTAATCACCATTAGTTGAGATCGATTTTATCCTAGCGATAGAAGGTAGTCTTATAGGCATGGTTCGAGATAACACACATTGATCACTTGATGTACCATTCTGGCCATATACCATGTAAATTATTTAGCAAGTTCATAAAACTTCAGACGAAGCCATTGAATCAACTTAAAGAGAAACACGATACTCGTATAAACCATGGAATCAATCATATAGCTGTCTTCGCTTCCATCACCTTAATATGGCTAGCGTCTACAGCTCTCTTCTTATTAGACCCCTCTATGATCTTATTTGTAGCCGCATTTGCGACTTCATTCGCTTTTTCTTTTCCTTCGAACACTGCTTCAATTAGCCTTCTGTCAATCTGGAACCGAAAGAACGAAAGATCATTCACAACGAAAGCTCTTCCAAAGTCCTTCCGGCCGTTTCCGGAACAAAGAAGAAAATAAAAAGTATGTCGAATTCAAGCTGCAATACACGATTAGCTATTTCCAGGTAATTCGTGCCAGTCCGATGGGTTTCACATATGTCGCAAAGAACACTGCGCCGCGGCCGTAGAATCAGAACCGAGCGATGCCTGAGAACGGCTCATGTAGGGGAATGTTTCGGCGAGATATGCTACAGACAGTCGTTGATTGAGAAACAGAAGAGTACTTATTGCACATCAGAGTATCATATCCAGTGTCATAAGCCGGTGAGTGGGCAAAATTGATGAAAATGGTCAGTATGGCCGCAGCATGAGTCTTTGTGTCCATGAACCTTTCCATAGAGATCGTCCACGTTATAGACTGTTTATAGGCTACACGCACTCAAGAGATATGTTTTTCTTCTTCTGAATCGTGGAGCCAGAAGAGCAGCTGTTTTTCCGGTGACTAGACCCGATGCCGATGTTGATGGACCTGACTACGCTGTGTGTGAAGCCGATAAGTTTCAGATGTCGCTAAGGTAGTACCTATTTGATGTCCCCTACTTAATTGATTCTTATATATTCTCTAGGTGTAGGGTCAACTATTTATACGCCAACAGATGTATGCTAGCCGGTAAATAAATGATTCTATACCCGATAGTCTGTCCGCAAAATCAGATGGACGACGGGTGGACTGATGGTCGCAACAGGACATAACAAATAACTTGCGAGTAATTGCCCAGCGCCTTCGTAATCTTAGAAAGGAAAATTATAACTAGCATGATATGTACATTCTCATCAACCTGGGAATAATCCACCGTTCTAAGGGACGCCTATCCTAATCATAAATCTAGTCAACAATGTCACAAAACAGATTCATTTAGCCCTAAACCCCTGCCTGATGCAATCTTAAAGTCACTGGATCACCAGGACAAGAGGTCAGTGAAACACCATACCGGATTTCTTTCTCGCTGTCCACATCCTCAATTTTGTCAAATCTCTGCAGCAATCTCACCACCACATAACTGGCCCTCATCAGAGCAAACTGCTGCCCAATACATGTTCTGGGCCCCCCGTTGAAAGGAATATACTCCCAGGCTACCTTCCGGCCAATCCATCGGTCCGGGTTGAAGATTTCGGCATCCTCACCCCAAATATCCTTTCTACGCTGTAGGACGTAGGTGCTGTACATGACTGTACGGCCCTTAGGGACGTAGATTGGAGAAGAACCGTCTTTCCCGCCGCCACGAGGGAGTGTGGTATCCGTCGTGGCGCACCGGCGGTTGAAGGGCACGACTGGATAAAGACGAAGAGTTTCATTGAGAAAATGCTGAAGATACTGGCATGATTTCAAAGACGCAAAATCCATGTCTCGTGGCTGATGATAAGTACCGAATTGCTCCAGGATGTCAGTTCGAAGTCTCGCAAACATGTGAGGTTGTCGTGCAAGAAGGAGGATTGTCCAACTTAGCAGCGAGGCTGTTGTATCCCGGCCAGCCAAGAGGACATTTAGAGATTCATCACGCAATTTGATCGGATCCTTTGTGCTATCAGTCAAAGCATCAAGGAATATGTATTGCGATGTGTCCTTTTCGATGCTCTCTTTCTCCTGCTGCTGTGCCTGTTTCAGAGCAGAGTACACATAACGGTCAACAAAAGCGTGTACAATATTGATACACTTCTTGAACTCTCTATTGTAGATGAGCCAATATAGCCTCTCAAACCGCAGGCGCTCTGCAAGATACCACATGCACCGATCAAACCCGTATAGAAAAGTATCATCGGAGGCCTGTCCCGCCTCTTTTTGCAAAGCTGCAATCTGGCTGTCACAGCTTCTACCGAAGAGAAATTCCGTAGCCGAGTCAAGAGTAAGACGAAAGAAGATTGCTTGAATATTCACTGCGGATGACCAGCCATCATGTAGTATTGGAATCATGCGAAGTGCATTATCGACATGTCGTTCTTCTCTGTCGAGATTGCTCATTTGATCTCGGGTGAATTGAGGCCGTAGCAGGGATCGGGAAAAATGCCAACTTTCGCCATCGGTAGTGAACTAGGTCGAGTCAGTCAAGAATTGCTTCAACTGAATAGGCGCTACTCACAATTCCATGACCAACAACAGGATGAGCGACGTTACGACGCATATCACCCAAGCCAAAATCTTTGAACTGAGTTGCTAGCATAGTCTGGATGTTTTTGGGATCTGCGGTGAACAGGTTCTCCCGACCAGCCTGGCGCATGCGAAAGGTAGAAACATATCTGCCATACTGGTTGGATAGAAACGCAATACGCCTCTCTGCCAGTCGTGGTAGAAGCTTATTTTTTGCCGCGTCAAGTGTCTCGAAGAGGGTGGAAATACCGAAAGGGTCCTGGCCGGCATAAAAAGGGGTTTGTTCGCAGCCTAAGCTACGAGCTTTCCGAGCATGACGCCAGGCATAATAGACAAAAGAAATCACGCGCCCAACGGCCGCGAATACTATAAAAACAGCGATAAACTGGCTTTTCATGCCAAGATTTTCAAACCTTGTAGCACTAGTTAGGGGGTAATCCTGATACACTTTTGACTCATACATCGCATGAGACGCCACGGGGTAGAAAGTTTTAGTCGAAAGAGGAAGTGGAAAAAAATCACGAATAATAATGATATTATCTGGACATCTTCAACCTTATGAACGACTAAATTTCGCCTCCAAGAGCACTTAAATCGGCCCCTGCTAGTAGGTTTGTCAGCCTTCATGTGTTATCGGCACATTCACGTAGCCAAGCCATTGATAGCCCTCACATATGCGCGATAATGACATTTCTATATTTATCAGTTGTCTTAGGCTCCGTATTTGTCGCTGGTAAATAATGAGTCCATGATGTATGCTAGATAGGATGACGGGACGCCTAAAGGGCTTGCCGACTCCATCGGCTACTTTTTTATCCCCAATTATTGTGGCGGCTGCGTGTTTCTTATTCCGGTACCAATCGGCGCCTATTACTTCAGCCTGAATATTGATTTTCTCGGCCCGTATATCGTGTTGATGTGATTGCTGAATAGATTGCATTAGCACGGCGGCTATAGTGTTATGTATCGAGAGTTGGCGGGCAAGACATCCCATATTCCATGGGGTCCATAAAGAACAAATAGGTGTAAAAGAACAGATATCCTCATACCTAGATATACTGAAGCCTTTTGGAAGCGAAAACTGATTTTTCAAACACCAATACCCATCTGCTAAAGTCGTTTCTGTCATGTCTTCGAGCAAAAATGAGAGCTTATCATCGTCAGCGGGTCATCCTCGCAGCAAGATCCCGGACTGGAGATGGAAGGGGACACTCGCAGTACTCGTTTTGACTACGATCATTAACGGTCAGTCAGAATAATCTATCATATTACTCGACTCATTCCAATCCATCATTCTGACAAAAACCATTTTTTAGGATATGATGTAAGCAACGTGGCCAACATCCAGCCTTCTCTTTACACTGCCTTCGGCAACATTACACTTTTGCCGTGGATCAGTCTGTCCTTTAGCCTCGCCGTATTTGCCGTCCTATCACTCTCCAGGAAGATTTTATACTGCTTCGATATGAAATGGATTTATATCGTTAGTGTTGTGATTTTTATGGTTGGTGCTGCTGTGGCTGGCTCAGCCTCCMATTTCCCAGCAGTGATTGTTGGACGAATCATCATGGGTGTCGGTGGTGCTATTGTTTATCAAAGGTTTGTTACCATCTATACCTATTGAAATTGAAGGAGCTCATCGCAAAATAGTAACTTGACATTTGTCGCGGTTTTTGCCACTCCGGATGAGACTCCTCGTCTATTCGGGCTTCTGAGTGCCTTCTGGGCCATTGGTCTCGTTATTGGAGGCCCTATTGGATCTGCTCTTGCATCAAACAAGTACACTACCTGGCGGTGGGCTTTTTACATGAACCTCCCTTGGGCGGGCCTCAGTCTTGCAGCAGCCATTATCTGTCTCCCGTTCAAATATCTTGGGCCAGATATTCCGATGATCTCCCGGTTGAAGGCGATCGACCCCCTCGGCATTGCATTCAATATGGCAGTTCCAGTTCTATTCGCTTTGGTACTGGAGTTCTCCGGCCCTGTGTGGGATTGGAGCTCTGGTGCGTCTATCGCTGTCTGGGTGATTTTCGGTGTACTCCTAGTTGGATGGATCGTCCAACAAGCTTGGTGCATTGGTACGACTCCTGAACAACGCGCCATCCCCGTTCATCTGCTCAATCGGATCGACTTACTTCCGTTATGGATCGCATCTGGCTGTGCAGGTGCATCGTACGCCGTCACACTCTACTACACGCCCCTCTACTTTGCATTTTGTCGCGGCCTTAGCGTGATACAGCAAACTATTCGTATCCTCCCATTCGTTCTCGTCTTTATTGCCGTTGTTATTCTCGTTGGAGGGTCGCTCCCAATCTTTGGCCGTTACAACTTGATCTATATCTTTGCCGGCATTGCAACCATCGCAGGAGCCGGTGCCATGGCTAGTATACTTAGTCCTGGTGTCTCTGAATCTCAGGTTCTTGGCCTAGAAGCACTTATTGGCATTGGACTTGGCTGTTCGTTTCAGCATGGAGTGGGTATATCCAACGTGATAAACAAGAACCCACGCGACCGCATTGACAGCGCGATTATCTTCAACATGGCGCAGATGGGCGGCATTGCAATTGCCCTGGCAGTTGCGGGCTCGATCTACCAGAATGTTGGGTACAACTTACTGACAGAGGCTCTTGGAAACAGAGGGTATTCGGAAAAGGACTTGCGAGAGGCGCTCGCTGGAGTATCGTCGGCAGTGTGGCAGTCCAATAACCCAGAGGTTCTTGCACGTGGAATTGACGTGGTAGCGACTGTGATCGGACGTGAGTTTTATCTGCTCGTGGCCAGTGGTGCAGTCTGTCTCATTTGCGGGTTGGTCATGAAGTGGGAGCGATTGGACTATGGCAGAAATAAGACCGAAGAATTTGAGGCATGAATGCCTTGCAGGATAACCCTTCAGCTCCGGTTATGAATTGCAATTCGGACTTAATCTTCAATGATCCGCTGTGTCCTTACAATAATATTTACTGTGCATCACCATTCACCTATTGAATGAAAAAGCCGTATCTGGATAGAAACGAGGAATATGTATCAATCCAATGGTCATGTATTGATTCTGAATGATCAATGTGCAGAAATAATACTTCCCGTATTAATACAGCCGGCCAAATTAGTGAGCCCCGCTAGGAAGACAGATTTCATCGTAGCTTGTCCAGGCCATTTAACTTTCTTACATCTCTCAGGTAACCATAAGCTCGCGAGACAGGCTGCAAAGCATCGGATCAGGGAATACTTATTTAAGTATAATCACTAGATTATGGCCTCTCTAGACAGATTACCAAGCGAATTACTCGACATTATCCTGCTATATACGAGCCCCGCCTGCCAGCGCAAATTGTTGTACACATGCCGCCGTCTGCACCAAATTGTTCAGCCGCAAATATATCGCAAGATTAACCTCACTCTACGCCCCGAAGATGTACAAGATCACAACGCAGTTATCGTACAGCTTTTTCGCACCGTAAGCACGAGTCCCTGGCTAGCGGATCACGTGCAAGAGCTTGAAATTTTTGGTTCCAAGCCACTGATCTTGTCGACTCAACTGTCCAGAGCTCAGGCACAGTCATTCTTGCACAAGATCAGGTTTTCGATTGGCTTATATATGCACTTATCGAATCGGCTAATGAAAGGTGATACTGATGCTATCATCGCTGCATTGATTTTTCATCTAAGCAATCTAAGAGTGCTTCGACTAGGATTTGATCTATGGTCGGACTCCCGGTATCTCAGCATAACTTTTCCCACAATACCACATCTTGAAGAAATCGAACTATCAAGCTCCATTATGGCCACTTCTCCTTCTTCAAAGCATGAGAGGGACCACTGGGATAACCTGGACCTGTTAGATAAGACGCTGATATTCAAAACTGGCAACGGACCACTATACTATGACCCGAGACAATTCGAGTATATTTTTTTCATGTCAAGCATCAAAAAGGTCAAACTCATGATCCCCGAGCCTAAAAATGAATGGTTTTCACGACGTTACAACAATCAGCCAGAGTCATATTCAAAGTTGACTCATCTCTGCCTGCAGGAAAGCGAGTTGACGCCATCATCTTTGAGTCACCTCCTGCGCTTGACTCCCAGTCTCCGCGAATTGAAGTACGACCATTTGATCAACATCAATCAAGGGGGCGAGAGTATGCGGTACTTCCAATGTGCTGATATGGATACGGCTCTCCAGCCGGTGCTGCCATGCTTAGAGCGCCTATGTATCAATGTTGATTTCTTCACCGCTGAAGCCGTTGATTTGGGCTGGGGTTATTACTGGGGCATCCGAGGCACATTGACGTGCCTTGCCAAGTGTTCATGTCTGGCTTATCTCGAGATACCAATTGTACTTCTTCTAGGTTGGACACCCCTCACCATAGGTGGAGACAATCAGCTTGCCGCCGTCTTGCCACTATCCCTCAGACATCTAACACTTACAACTGCTTTCGAAATTTTTGAGTGCAACGAGTGGACACGAACAAGACTATATCGCTGTGTTGGTGATTATGTTCAAACTATCACAGCTTCCGCTAGTTTGCATGTGCCCAAGTATCTAGAAAAAATCACTCTCAAATGCTATCATACCGGACTTGATCCGGACCACGAACTTGTCTTGTCTAGATTGAAGGATATCTGCGTTGAAGGTGATATAGGCCTAGATATTCGTGAATATAAATTGTGATTAAGTCAAAGGATGGCTTTTATTTGCATATCTATCATATATCAATTCTTTTATAATTTTTATATATACTAAATACATTAGTAATGTTTGATTAGTATTTTATAGCTACCGGCTATGCAAATCTTCTTGGTATATTTAAAAAGAAACCCTTTAACAATGTGAGAAATATACTATCTTTAACTACCTGTGCCTGAACATAACAACTATTAAAATACTATATTAGATCACTATCTATGTTACAGACCAATTACGTAAATCTATCAGCTATGAATTAGGTCCTATGTACCAGGTCAAAATCCTTCTACCTCACGTTCTTAAGCATTTCGAAAAGTGAAGTCGCGATCCCGACAACTAACCCAACGAGCAGAGTGGATATTTCATTATATTGCATGATAATTTGTCTGATACAATATCTTCGACTTAGTTAACAGATTCAAAAAGCTTTTCCCCAGGTGAATCATGTAGTATATCGATCCAAAGAAAGGACTTGAGGATGAGTCTTAGCTGCGGCCAAGCGCAAACCTCATTTATGCCCATCTGCTCTCTTAGGCTGGACTGGATCCATGGAGAGTTATCTGTATCAGAGGCGAAAATGGAAATTTTACCAATCATGAGAAGCCACAGAGAAACCAGAGAATTGCCCCACGGCCAACTGTAGATGGCCTCAAAGTAAGTCCTGTAGTTCTCATACAGATAGCCATTCGGAAGGTGAATTCCCCGTCGCTCTAAGAACGAATGTGAACAAAATGCAAGCATACCAAGACGAATCCCTTCATTGATTGGTCTGGTTGAACGATTCATCCTGAGAAGCGCGTACATCACTGAACCCATAGTATTTAATAGTATTTGATCGCTGAGCTTAATATGCTTCTCCGCCACTGAGTTAATTAGAGAACAGAAGTTGCTCAGTGCGTTCCATATCTCGGCTAGTTTCTCATCCAGACAAGGAATGGGCGGAGAAGATGACTTGATATTTGGTAGATACACGATAGATTGTAAAGACTGGTTAAAGGAAAAGATCGGTTGTGTTCCTTTGTGGACTGCTATGCTGATGTCACATCTGAACATGATAAGCCATTAATCCCAAGTATGATAATCCTGAATAAATGAACAAAGGCTAGGATTTCTACTAACCTTAATAATTCGGTCAGGAGTTTGGGAGTATCTTGGAAAGCAGCAATGCCTCCTCGTAGAGTTATAATCTTGTAAAGACCTTGCAAGTGTTGTTCAGCGGTAATATGCTCACCCCTTAAATGTGCAATGTGCGCCAGAGTCAAGACGATCAGTATTGTGGTATCAGAAATGGGTGTGTATCCATCCGTAATGCAAAGTCTATCGCGAAGGAGCTGAATCGTCTTCAACAGTTGCCTTAATGACCCTTTCCTAGAGCGACCCAAAAACATATCCATATATGCCTGAGCTCCGAATATTACAGCATTGAGATAGGCAGTATCGTATGACAACGGATCGAACATCGATCGCTCTTTTATTTCAAAATCAAAGCATTTCACCAAGGGAAAGAACATCTGTTTCGAAGCGAATGTGACTTCGAAAGTCAGCATTGATATTTTCTCAACACAGCTAGCAGTACATCTGGTAGATATCTTAGGGTGGAGTCACTCACACTTCAAAACTTCCCATAGCGTAGAGGGGTCTACAGAATCGGCAAACTGTAGTAAAGATAACTCCGAACCAAGCTTATCGGGGACTGCAGAAGCAGCCTCCAAATGAACATCCCTCTTGGGCTTTCGTCTACTATGCAAGATTTTCCCGCGATTTTTCCCCAACATGCAATGGCTCCTGATCAGCTTACGCATTACAGGATCCGCTTTGTTCATGCTAGTGGAATTGACGAATGGCATTCCTATCGCGGGCGCAGCCATGTTCCAATCAGGTTTGGTAGGCTCTGTTCGATTAAATGAGACAGACCTTGACTCACCGGGGTGGCTAAGTGAACAATGTGAAATGTGTAGAATCTTCAAAACTATGGACGAAATTGTCATCGACCGCCTTGCCGGAGGAGAAATTTTAGCGTGATTGAGATTGTTTTCCGCTTGAGGAATAGCCCAAAGTTTTGAAGCCGACTGTCCAATCGCCTCTCGCACACCCTTGCGATAGTTGTATAGATCCTTTCTTGTATCCTTTCTTGAAGGCATTAGTTGAACTGACCGGATTTTTGATCCCAATTCGGAGCAAGTACGACCAGACTCCCTAGGTATATAAGTAGCGACATTCCCCTCTCAGTCTGTCTTTTCAACATATTCTTTTGCCATAAGCTCTCGAGTACAATACCAAACTGTAACTTCCTATCGTGATATCGACATGGCTGCTCTTAAGGTTATAGTCTTCGGACCTTCTGGAGCCGTTGGATCGGCCACTGCTCGCACCGCTCACGAACTTGGAGCAAAGGTGGTACTGGCAATGCGGAACACCAAAAAGCCTATTCCAGGCCTTGATGAGGCAACAATCGAAGACAGTTTCGAGAGAGTCCAAGCCGATCTGCATCACCCCGATAGTGTCCACGATGCTGTCTCTAGCACTCAAGCAACCCGGGCGTTTCTTTATATCGCCCACCGCTCATCCGACAACATGAAGTCTACCTTTCAGGCACTCAAGTCTGCTGGTATCGACCTGGTGGTATTGCTCAGCAGCTTTACCATCCAAGGTGAACCGGAGGATGTGCAACCCAGTGAGGTCATACCATACCTACACGCCCAAGTCGAGATCAGTTTGAAAGAAGTATTTGGACCAGGCAGATACGTCACGGCTAGACCAGGTTCATTTGCCAGTAACACCATTCAGTACAAGGCGGGAATCGAGAGTGGGCTAGTCAAGATTTTTGCACCAGAATCTACATTTGATTGTATTGCTCAAGAAGACATTGGGAGAGCATGTGGCACAGTTCTTGCCAAAGGACCGCTCGACGGAAACACGGCCATGTATCTATACGGGCCACAGTTGATCTCCCAGGCAGACTGTGTCAAGACACTCGCAAAGGTATTAGGCAAGAGTCCTACTATTGAAACGATGGACAGAGAGGAAGCATACAAGACTTTCACAGAACAGCGTCAGTGGCCTATTCCTCTCGCGGAATACATGATCAAGCAATTGGGGATTGTAGACCCTGCACGCAGTCTGGTTAGTGGCTATCCAGTTGGCGCGGAGCAGCTGTCGAGTATCGAGAGATACACTGGTAAGAAAGCAATGACCTTTGAGGAATGGGCCGAACGGAACAAGCAAATGTTTATTTCTTGATAGCTTTAGTTAAAATGAAATAAATATTAGGCTTTGTAACACTTCCAAGCTCCAACATCACTCGCTTTTTGAAAGCGTGTCAAATGAAACCATTTAAAAGCCCAAATCGGTGGCATGAGAACCGGCTTGTTTGTGATCTGGGACCGATTTAAAGGCAACTATGATTTCTACTTCTGTTCAGCCGGTCGCTCGTTTCTGCCAATTCTTTCTACTCAGCCACTGGTACGTAACGCTAGAGATCTGGTGGGCTTCTTAAGCTCCCACGCAGCCCCACAACTTGCGAAATTGTACGGCGGAGTATCCTCTTTTGTGGTCGGTCGCTCATTTTCCGTCAACACCATCTGCTGTTTCTGAGTGCTAACAACCTGCGAAGAACGACCGCGTAGAAACCCTTCCAATAGGAAAATCCATTCGCTGCTCGACCGAATTGAAGCTGACGCTCCTACTTCCGACCTCCTCACGATCATCCATGGGCCGTTCGCTACATTCAGCGCTTCGCCCAACGAGTCGATTTCAACCTCAACACCATGCGTAACCGATACAATCCCCGAAAAATGCTCCGGAATATCGACGGATCACCGCTCTGCATCGCTGGGTACGGCTTGCGACAAAACAAAGTACGAGTTTGGTGATGGGGAGAGACGGAGTGACGAGACACAGCTACCGGCAACGTCTAATTCCTTTATGCTCTCTTGAGCAGTCCTGGCAACTCAACCGATGTCTCAGCATCTCGATTGCCAGTTGAGGTGGAGTACCTCCTAAATAAATTAATACCCGACAATGTCGATCTCATCAACGCCGTGCCGACGCCAAAGGGTCGTGGAAGACAGGGCAAGTACCGCGCGCCATCCAGGGCTGTGGAGAGATTGCCTTTCTAGGCAGGACCTCGCATGCACGCAACGCACTGCTGCAGGCCCTGCTCGCCATCAGTATATAAAACCTGAAAACCATGTGCACAACCGCTGGACAGACTTCGCATGCGTCAGGCTGGCGACAGGTGGGCACTTCAGCAGACCAACCGGTCGCTTACTTACCTGAATTGTGCCTACATTCAGACTGCCAAATATAAGAGAGAGGCAAATATAAAGAGGTCTTAGCAGCGRGGCGAGCCGTGATCACTCGCGAGGGTACTTTCATATCACCAACTTCTTTACTTTGTTTTTGATATGATACGATGGTCTGACAAATCGTTTCTATTAGGTTTGTTCCGCAGACACCACCTCCTTTGAATGGCACCTCCAGGATACCGAAGACTTCAAAAATGTCGCTCAATGTAAACCCGGTCGCCGCTGCTCGAGAAAAGCACAAGCCCTACACCGTGAATAAATACGTGTATATATCCGCGCATCATACGGGAAATGATGTGTCTATGGTTTATGTCCTTATGTGTTTCTTCCTTGGGTCCCTGCTCCAAGGGAATTACGGTATGGCTCTAGAAGTCGGGTCTCGCGTCATCAATTGATGGTTCGACTTGGATCTATGGCATTCCCTTGCCGTGACTTGTTCTGGCGAGGAAAACTTCTGAGCTCATCCGCCGTAAGACGACCTTTGCGCAACCGTATCTAGGCTTGATTGCTCCTGGCGTGTTTCTGGTCGTGTGTGGTGACCTCGGAATTTAGGTTCTCAAGTGGCCAGTGGACCGTATGTTAGGTAACATTGATAAGCTTCCCATTACCGAGGCTTCCAAAACGCTTATCATTCACCAAACTCGTGCCTTTCACCAGGCCATGATCATCTACTTCTCTAGAACTGTGTGCGGCGTTCACCGACGGTACCTTGAGTCCTATGCCGAAAGTATTATAAACCACCTTGAGCCTGTCGACCGTATAAAAACCAAGCTAAACACGCGGCGAGCTGTATGTCATGGCCTGGTTTATTGGCGCTGCTGGAGCCGTAGTTAAGGAGCTGTAGAACGTTGCCTGCAATGGTTTCGCTCGCTCCGTTTCTATAATTTTGGCGCGTACGATAAAGCAATTGAGGTGATCTTGGAGGTCTTGGAGCATGACACGAGACTTGTCCCTGTCTGCGTCTGGCCAAAAGTTGTCGATGCCAAAGATATGAAGCCTATGCTGATGTAATCAGCCATCACTATCTGAGTAAATGACGAATATCACCTAGCAGTGTTCGAGATGTCCTGCGTGTTGTTTAGACGTAATATCTGCTTGACTAGCGTAATTTGCATGGAGTTTTCTGACTAGCTGGATATATCCAAACATTGTTTACATATACATGTTGACCTCACGGCTTAGTTTTTACGTAGTAGATGACCCAAAATTTGGGTCATCTTAGGGCTATCTGACTTTAGCCGGCACGTGGTGAACGGTAGGCTGAAATAAGCCGCATGAACCACCAGGAAATTCGGTTTTCTTCCCAACACGCATCTTTCTCCCTTATCAAATAGGCTGTCACACTAAGACGACTGAATAATCATGCAGACAGAATCGGAGCATGTACTTTCGCCAAAAGAGAATCCCCAGCAACGTGCATACACAACCAACTATAGGGGCCGCGTTCGCAGTGGATGCCTCACCTGCCGTTCAAGGAAAGTGAAATGTGATGAATCACGGCCAACATGCGATAATTGCATCAGAGTGAAGCGACGTTGTGTATATAAGGCGAGGAAGATCGATCATAATCATCACATCTCAGCTCAAGAGCCAGGAAATCATTGTTCTACTGAGTCGGCACAGACAGATCCCGAACATGGTAGACACATTTCAAGTCCACCGTCAGTTGAGGAGCAGGAATATTCCGCGATAATATCACAACATGACAGTAACGACGTTTCTGATGAGCATTGCACGATATCACATAATCCGTTTCAGTATCCCGACCCCTTAATTCTGGATGTCACCACACGGCTCCGAAACGCCATCCATGGATATGATACTTCTGAGCGACAGAGTCAAAACGCAGCTGGTTGCCTTGTATCCGACAAACATACTTCTCCTGCCACATTAATCTCCCGCGATATCGAATTGACCACAACGATGGACATTCTGGCTACCCAGGAAGTTCTTTCCGAACCATCTTTTACCTTCTTTCTCGAGGAAGTGGAATGTCCATGGGTCACACCGTATGATGGCGCCAACTGGAGACGTATAAAACATGTCATGATCGAGATGGGAAAGTCTGATGAAGTCATCGCTTCTGCTATCGTAGCGGTTGCAGTGTTGTACAAAGGGCAGTTATATGGCTTACCGTTATCCAAGGCCTTGTCTATCTACCATACTTCGAAAGCCGGATATGAGAAAGTTTTGAACGACGATAGCAATAGCACAGACAATAGCGACGGATACGAGAGGGTGTTGGTAACCACACTCCTACTGTGTTTGTTTGAATTCATCAATTACGAAATGATCCCTAGTCTGAAGGAATTAGCCGAGCCATTCATGGACAAATTGGAGGCCTGGAAACAATCACCATCGTTTCAACAAACTGAAGTTTCGGCCAAAATAATTACATGGCTTAAACTACTATATGTGACCACAATGCGAGGAGGTGGTATGGGAATCATCCCTGAAAATGTATTCAGAGCATTCCCAGACTACGCCCACAGCGCAGGATCTCCTGCCCTTGACCCGAACCCAGACGCTTCAGACCATTTATACGACTTATTAAGTGCACCAATATTTGATTTCTACTTTCAGCTCCAAATGTTATCCGGCGAAATCGCGAAAGAAACTCACTACCACCGGTCACGCACTACAGGTATGGATCAGGAGGATGTAATTCAAGCAATAGCCAATATCAAATCACGACTTTATAATCTTTGGGAAAATCGTCCATCTATTCAGCAACAATCGCCCAAAGATCTACGGTCTTGTGTTGCCCCCAGGATCGCCGGTCCTATTATAGGGCTCATGGGAGTTTGTGCCGCAGCATACTATACAGAAATAGTAGAGATTGATCGCGTGCTTGGTGATCCCGTGAGCAAATCTGAGGACTCGCGAGAAGCAAGACATCAGATTCGAATGATTATTGAAGGGAACGATATCGATGGGGTTGATTGGAATACATATGACCACAATGGCCGACTGAACTCAGGGTTTTTACGGCCACTGTTTCTTTACGCTATTGAGTGTATGGACCGCGACGAGAATGAATGGGCAGTAGAAAAGATCAGCCAAATCAGAAATCAGATCTGTCGAAGCCAGTTCTTTGCCATGTTTGGCAAGGCGCTTTCTGATGCTCAGTTGCGCAAGGAGAGGCGTGTTACTTCGAAGTATTTTTGCATTTGGTATTTCGGGGTTGCGCCTCCTTTCATGTAGTTTGCCAGATCATGTAATCTACATCGTCTATGTCAAGTTTAGACTTATCATTACAACAAGATGACTATACATACGACATCCTAGTCTCCGATCATTATGACCTCCTCCTGACTTCTCACTATCTATCAAGGTCTTTTCGGCCTCAATAGAAATCAAACACTCTTCTCCACATCAACAGCAACATTAACAACCTCAACGAAATCAACTTTAGTCCTGCCAAAATGCCTTTCGGGCACTCTCTTCTCAAACAACAAATCAATCTCCGCTGTAGTCCGATCTGCCGTCTCAGGAACATACATCCAGGCAAAAATGATACAAAGCAGACATCCACCAGCCCAAAAGAACCCAGTCTTGGCAGACCAATTCCAAGCCGTTGGGTTCAACATATAAGGCGTCAAGACACCAGCAATAATGGTAGTAACCACATACGCCCATCGAGCCAAGACGACGGATTTGCTGCGAAGTAGAGCGGACGGGATTTCGGCGCAGAGGGTGTTGGTGAGTGGGCCGACAGAGCCGTAGTAGACGAACGAAGAGATGACGAGTAGAGAGCCGATGCCCCATGCATAAGCCGGGGTGGGAGATTGCGCTTGAGGAACGCCAAGAGCGCCAACGAGGATCATGATGATAAAGAGGATGATGAGACCGCCGAGATAGGCTGTTCTACGGCCACAGAGGGGGATAAGAGCCCACTAAAGAATTGTCAGCGGAAATAATGCAGATTAAGAGAGAAAGATAACTTACAGAGCCGAAACCACCTACGATAGCCAAGGCAAAACCAACAATGGACATGTTGAAGGCCTGGGTAGTTGGCAAACCAGCCTGCTCAAAGAAGTACGTCGAATAACCACGGATCGGATTTCCGTTGAATGTCTGAACGCAATAGATGCCGATGACAATGAGCGTTCTGCGAAGATTGGGTCCTTCAAAACAGGCGCGATACGAGGTACTTGCATCGATGAGGCGCTCGTGCTCGGTTGTGACTACCATCATGGCAATGTTCTTGTCAATGTCAAAATTGACGTTTGTCGGGGATGTAAGACGTTTGACTACTGCTTTTGCTTCTTCAAGACGACCTTTGCGAACGAGCCACCATGGTGATTCGGGTGCGAAACAGAGGAGGGGAATTAGTATGAGGGGCCAGAACCATCTATATTCAGGTCAGAATTATCAATCAGAAGTGAAGAAAGGTGGACTTACTGTATGGCAAATGGGATGCGATAGGCCCAATGATTGTTCATGCTTAAGACACCTCGTAGAACACCGGTAGCGGTGATTTGACCGAATGCCTGTACAGTCAGAAGGGTTCGTTTTTGGATGTCGATGAAACACATACCCAGCAGGAATTGACATAATTGATTAGATAATCGCGAAGACACAATGGCGAAACCTCCAGGGCATAAATGACAGGTGTGGTCAAAAAGAGGCCAAGAGGAATTCCTATCAAAGGATTAGATCCATCACTGAACTGCCTACATGTAACCAAACTTACCGAAAAGAATCTGAGCCACCTCCAAAACAGCAAGACTCGGCGCAAAGAATTGCATGAAAATAAGTGCAATAATAGTCGTCAACCCCGTTATCATAGTCTTCCGAAACCCAAACCGCTCAACAAGATGCCCCGACATCAACAACCCTAGCAATTGTCCAATTGCTGACGAATTGCTCAATCCAGCCTGCCATGCCGCCGTAATCTGATACGTGTCTCCCTTAACATGCTCCCCATAGGCCTTCTGGAAGGCTGGCTGAGCAAAGAGCGTTCCGATCAACTTTGTGTCGTAGCCTTCCATGATGATGGCAGTGGACATGACGAAGCTCCAAAATACACCATTCTGATAGAGACGCAAGGCTGCGAAGAAACCGAGTTCTTGCTCTTGGTTTGTGCCATCTTGAGCGTTGGCGAATTCGTCGACTAATCTGGCGGTTGCTGCCGTGGGCTGTTTTTCTATGGTTGGTTGACTCATTTTAAAAAAAAACAAGAGGCAGCGATCTGAGATTATTTTTGACCAGAATTTATCGTCGGAATTCTGATTCACTCTGGTTTCTTCATCATGGTCCTCACAGCGACTATCATAGTCTTTATAGTTGTTGTCATTATAAAGGCCAAATATGCGCCGTCAACCAAACACAGCTACAATATTGAAATGAACTCGACGTGATACCAAAGTCTCTCCACAAATTACTCGACGTTAAGCTTTTTGGCTGTTTGGAAACCACTTAAGATGTTGATTCCTCCGGCGCGTGCCAAATCCCTGGGATGCCGTTTGTCGAGCTGATGGAGAAGACCCATAGCCAAGCCCTAAGTCTGCTTATCTCCAGCCGAGCTTATCTCGTGCCGATAGCACGTAGCGAGCTAGAGTCGCAACCATGACTGATCGAGAAGTTGGGAAGAAAAGAGAGAACAAATTGAGCTTGCTATTGGAATAGTTACCACTGTCTAGTTTCTAATAGCAAGCCAGCAGTTGTGCCGAACAAGTGTTGGGAAGTACTGGAAGACGCGTTACTGTTGGGGCTATTCGATATTCCCGCCTACAGAGGTGGGCCGTTTGGGCACGTTGTGAGTGAATTTGGAACGTGGGTACTACGATTGTAGAAACTATATTCTCAAAGGCCGATTCGTCTTTTTAGAGATTGAGTGTGAAAACACTTCAAATGATTTAATAACTACATTCCTCGAATGCGATACATATGTTCTAATCACAATATTTCGACTATGCACTCTCACCTAGATAAAAAAGTCTCGAAAACCAATGCATATCCTCAAAAGTACAAAACTCGACCGCGCCCAAATCGAACTCCGACACAATCTGCGGCAGAACCCCTTGCAACAATTCATTCAAATCCCTCCTATCGTCCCCCTCAATATGCCTCAAAAAATAACAAACGCTCATATGCCACTCATAGGTTTCATGATTCGGCGCCCTAAATCCCATAGTATCCGCAAGTCTGTCCCGCAGCCTCCTTATCCGCCTTTCTTCTTCCGGACTGGCACCTTCGAGAATCAAGCCAATCCCTACTGTGGCCGCATAATCGAACCCGCGAAGACGCATGTGATATGGCGGCGCGAGACCTTCGTCTGTAAGCCTTAAACCGAACTGTCGTAGACTCTTTGATAGTTCTTTGGTGCATTGGTCGAGAGGTTGTTTCAGTTTGTCAGCTGGCCACATCCCTGGTTCGCATTCTTGTTCGCGAATACCGTCAAAGACGGTCATGTGCCATGTTGCCGGTGGTAGTAAGTGAATCTTCTGGGAGAGCGTGGAATGGGATTTCAGGGCATCGTGAAGGGCCCACAGGCCTGGTAGGACAGGTGAGTTTGGGGGCACATGGCAGAGAGTGGTGTTGCCGGGGTATCGTTGTACGACGCCTTCTGGAGAGAATTTATAGGGGACTCCGATGGGGTATTCCAGGCGTTCGGGGGTTGTGATGATGGTAGTTGTTGTTGAGGTGGTCGCCATGTCGAGCTTTCTATTCAGAAAAAATCAAGAGAGCGATACAAGAGAGCGATACAGTTAGAAACAAGAAGATCAGCTTGCAAAACAAGAACTGGAGTAAATTTAAATGAGTTTATATAACGCCACGCCATGATACTCCCACTGGATAAGCTTCGAATCTTAATGACTGGACATTCGGCAAGAGATAAGCTCGCTTATAGATAAGACATTGAGTATGCGATGCTTTCATCTCAGCTGGTCGAGCTTCAGATCGAGAAATACCTCAACCTATTGACACCAATCATATCAAGCCATACTATATATTTCTTTTAGGCTGCTTAGTTCCTCTATGTCAAGGTGGGATGTGTTGAAGGAGAAAAAGAGCAAGTGTCCATATCTACTCTGCAAGTTAGAATGCCATGCGCCTTTTTCTACTCTGATTTGCAAATTTCAAGACGACTAAAGAAAAATGGCGGACATTGACCTGCATAGCATATGTGCGAATCTTATTCAAATCGCAAAACTAGGTGGGAAAATCGTTGTATCAGCAAAGCCAGACTCATCAACAATCTCGAACAAGAAAAACAGTCCGTATTTTATGAACTTTAAACAGAAGATACATAGCTAACATCTCACAGCCGCCGACATAGTCACACAAACCGACAGCACCGTTGAGAAGTTCATATTCGACCATCTCACAACTCAATATCCCACATTCGCCTTCATCGGCGAAGAAACCTACAAAGCCGGCGTACCCCTAACTCCCCAGCCAACATTCATCGTAGACCCCATCGACGGAACATCCAACTTTGTGCATTCCTTCCCAGCGGTATGCATTTCAATCGGTCTCGTCATTGACAAACAACCCGCCGTCGGCGTCGTCTACAACCCCTTCCGAGACGAGCTATGGTATGCAATAAAAGGGAACGGAGCATTTACCCAACAAGGCTTTAACGCAGAAGTGAGAAGACTTCCAATAACCACACCCCTACCTCTCCACGGGTTAGGCCCGGCCTGCATCGGCATAGAATGGGGTAGCGACCGCGAAGGTCCCAACTTTGAGTTGAATCTCAAAGTCTTCACGGCCCTCGCTCGTACAGCAGCCACAGGCGGCAAATTTGTCAATTCCCTTCGCTGTACAGGGTCCGCGGCTATAACGATTTGCAGAGTTGCCGCGGGCCAGCAAGATGCATTTTGGGAATGCGGTTCTTGGGCTTGGGATGTTGCTGCTGCATGGTGCGTGTTGGCTGAGGCGGGTGGTGTGATGGTTGATGGGCATCCTGGGGTATGGAACCCGCCGGTTGATAATAGGAGATATCTTGCGGTCAGGCCGGCGATGGAGGGGCAGAGAGAGTTTGTGGAGGAGTTCTGGGAGGTTATTGGTGAGGACCGGTCTACGTATGGACCTCCGGAGTAGGTGGCTCGTTTTCTGTTCTTTACGATTCTGAACAGAATTGAACGGTTGTATCTTATATAATCGAAAACATGTCTTAGAGCATCATATTTTCTCTATAGTGAACGAAAAACAAGAAGAAAAATGTACTATTCTATATGTATATCTACAAACTGGAAGACAAAGCGTGTTTTGATATGAAACAATGTCTATGACGCTCTTAACAATGGACCATTTTTAAAGGCTGGAATAACCTTAAATTCCAATGTTGGCGGAATATGATCCTGATTCCAATATGTCGTCGCATGTCGGAACCAATGTGCATATGTTCCAGGAACATCGTCTGAGCCAGGATTCGCTCGCCATAGAGATCCCAGCGTAGACTTGAACACTCGCAAGATTAATCCATGGGCTAGTTTGAATCCAAAACTTCTCTGTAGACAGCCTTCTACAACCTCTCTGGCTTCCTTTTGTTGCGCACTTTCGGGCTCACCGGGTTTCGGAAGTGAGAGTGACATCAAATCGAATGCCTTTTGACCATCCCAGTTTGTGAATTCGTTTATCAGCTGAGAACCCTCCATAAATTCAATTCCGTAGACATGATCTGCCACATATTGAGGTCCATTCCATCCATCCTCCTCGTCGATAAGTCCCATCACCATAGTCAACACCTGCCCTTGAATGATATAATCCGTCAACAAACGACTAACGTCCTCCGGACCGATGACCTTATCATCTTCGATGATAGTAGAACCAATGCGCATCAATGGCACCTCTTTCAACAACGGACTACTGTGCATCCCCTCTGTACTCGTCTTCCCGCCATCCGCGGCCCATAACTCAAGAAGAAGCCGATGACACCTTGCAAATAGCGGGTTATTCCGATTGGAAGCAAGAAAGTAATTTGTCAAACTACGATCGGCCACACCTCCAGCATTATACGAAACGACCTCAAACTGCGACTCGGGGTTGCCGATAGTCTCGTCCCAGAGACGATTCAAATCTCCGATTTGGATCAACCCTACATCCGCATAAACGCCGCCGTATTTGAGTAGCAGCGGCCATCGCACGAGATCAGAGGTATGTTGAGGCGCATAATCCCCACCAATCGTACCATCCACAAACGCGCGAGGAAAAGTCCCCGGATCCGAAATGTCCAGAAAATTGGCAACGTTGAGTGGCGATGAAGGCTGTCGGTCAAGGACACGCACTATCCAGCCATTTTTTGACAAACGTCGGTGCCACGCACGCACATTGCGTTGTGTGTATGGATGCATGTTCTTGTAGCCGCTGTGCCAGAAGAACCATATATTTTTCTCATTGGTGACTGTTTTGGGGTTGAGAAGATCTTGATCGACTTCCTCATCGGGTCGAAGATCGAGTAGATGGTCGGGTATTTTGTGCAACCCTGCTGGAATGGGATATGATGGATCCATGCTGTGTAATAGGTGGGTGTTTGATATGTCAAGTGGTACAAGCGGCATCAATGGGGCACTGCTGGTAGTTTGTGAGTGAACGGCTAGCGATAATCGGTCTATAAAGAAGTTGAGTCTTCTGTTTCTATTGACAATAAGGACATGGAACACTGAGTGGATTGGCTCTTTTATATTGTCAACTTGAGCCTGAGGCTATCTCAGGATCAAAATCGACAGTGGATCCCCATTGTAGAGAGAAGATCTAATGAGCGCGTCTCATTGGCTAGTATTTGAGCTTAGAAAGAATGACTCATGATGACAGACAATGATTGGCTTTTAGATCCATTCTCTAGTCCAAGAACAGTAAGCATTAACAGCTCCTTTCCATATACGGACTAGATTTGGATATCTTCAACCTGATTGGCTGATATTGGATTCATACATCTCTTACCCTTAGAGAAGTCGTAGTGGCCTATGTGTAAATTTGTGGCTTTGAGTGAGCCAGAAAGCTGCGATAAATTCCTACCTGTACAAGTTCAACGGGATGACTGTCGCGGGAAGCAGTACATAGGTAATTATACAAACTTGATTTTGATGTAAGCGTGGTTAAGGTGCAGAAATGATACGGACTATCATATATCGTTATGATAGCCTGGATGATATTGGTAAAAGGGTGTGAAAATACCATCAATTCATAGGAAATATCCTCTAATATCAACTCAGACAGAGTGGAATATCGAATTAGCTATTTCCAATTCGAAAGTAGAAGAATTCGCAACATTTGTAAAGCTACAAGCAAATCCCTAGTATGACGCTCCAAGACTGACTGAATGGAATACAACATCAACACACAGGACGCGCCAACAACCATGAATTGACTAAAATTAGGTGAGACTCGCTTGCCAATCGAGTGCTTGGTCTAGATGGACGTGGCTTATCTTCGGCACTCTCGCGTACGAGAGCTGACTGATCATTGTCTCTCATACACGGAATTTAAAAGGAGGATTTAAATCGATTAGGCGACAAATTCGCAAGTTTTTATACTTTTATACGTATATTAGTTACAGAAGACTCAAGCATTGATGACGGGGATATTCCGCTCCATATAACCACTCCAAGTTGGCAGACTTCGCTTCCAAGGTGTATCAGACGACAGCTGTAGATCCTCAATAGCACTCGCATACTTGATTAGAGTCGCTTCTGAGAATGCAGTACCCATGAGAGCAAGTCCATACGGCATTTTTGATACCTTGTTGATTCCAGCGGGTAAGGTAACTACTGGATAACCTGCCTGGGCTGCGATTTCGTACGTAGGACCGAAGTCAGGAGGCACCAGAAGAGCAGTTAGATTGTGGCCGTTGTAATTTAACGCTGCGTCGATACCATCTTCTCGACTGGTGCGTTGGCAGTAGGTCAATGCTTGCCAGTAAGTTTCATTCATGACACCTTTAGTTGCCAGGGACGCGAGGAACCCGTCTTGGCCAGATGCAAAAGCCGGGTTCACACCAGGAATACCACCCTCGGTTCCGGCGTTATCGTCGTTGTACTTTACTATGTCTTCGAGCGACCGTATGTTGGTGTTTTCCAGCTCGGAAAGGTAAGTCTTGATGTTATTGTAGAAGTCCACCTTCACATACGTGTACTCTGACTGATTGGGATATCCACGCTGAGCTCCATAATCCCAGTTCCACCCCTGGGGATCGACGATATCTTTGTAGTATGGAAGTTCTGTCCCATTAATAATGTTGGCCCCTGCAGAACGAATAAGGTCCAAAAGCTCAAGCAGCTGGGCGTTTTGCGCTGGATCGTTGTACTGCCAAAATGACAGCCACGGAAGCCCAAACACAGCACCTTTAAGTGCCGATTTGTCCTTCAAGAATTGGGAGTATCCTCCTTTGGGTGTCTTGCCTTTCTGAGCTAGTGTATAGTTGTCGCGCTGGTCGATTCCATATATTGCATCCAACACATATGTGGCATCGCGTACTGTTTTCCCGAAGGCGCCTACAGAATCCTGGTGGATTGACTCCGGAATAACACCCGCCCGAGATGTGAGACCGACGGTAGGTTTGATACCGACAATTGCGCATCTCTCAGCGGGGTTGATGACTATATACGTTAGCTTATCAACGATAGACAAGTCCAACGGTATAGGCTCACCGCTGCCATCAGTCTCAGTTCCTAAAGCAAAAGGTACTTGATTGGAGCTGACAGTAACGCCAGAGCCTGTACTACTTCCGCCAGGATTAACAGTAAAGTTGTATGGATTTCGACACTGTCCACCGCGCCCCGAGTAGCCCTCGGAGTAGTCATTGGAACGCATATCTGCCCATTCACTGAGGGCAGCCTTACCTAGAAGCACCGCACCAGCTTCCCGTAGGCGATACACGACATGAGCATCTCGTGGAACTACAGATCCCACTAGGGCCCAACTACCAGCTGTGGTCTCCATTTTGTCTTTGCTGGCAATATTGTCCTTGACCACAAAGGGGATACCATGTAGCGGTCCTCGAACCGTTCCATTCTGGCGTTCCGCGTCCAAAGCTACCGCAATATTCATTGCATCAGGGTTGAATTGTAGGATAGCACTTGCGATTTTTTTCATTTTAGTAAAGAAAACCTGGGTTGTTCTGAAGGTATAATTCAAGAACTCACTTCAAATAGGGCTGCACTTGGTAAATTCGTTCATAGTAGCACTTGAGTAATTGAACACTGGTCAAGTTGCCCGAATTGAATGCGGCTTGAATATCATCAATAGTGGCTTCTTCCAGCTTGAAACCATTACACAAGCGCATTGGAAATAGATCGGTGCCATTGACGCCAATCTTGGGAAAATCGTACGGATAAGGTTGATTGTCAATTTGCTGGGTTACCAGAGTATCATTTTTAGGGCCATTTGACGCGCTGGATAGACCTATCAGCCCCGACGCAGCAATGGCAGTGGTCAACACGCGTGATCGCAACTGCATAATATAAAAACCCTTTGTAAAAATTCCCAGTGACTGAAACAACCTCGCACAGACGATATTAATTGAAGCTAGTCAGCGTCAGAGATAAGAGAAACAACACGCACGAAGTAGTTTATTCCTGGCTGCAAGGGACTCGGAAGCGATCGGAAAATAAATACGAGCCTTTTGATGCCCTGGCAGATGAGGGGAAGGTAGCATACTAGCACCGTCTGACTGCGCCCACATTCAATGTTTATAAACGAAGATTTGAAGATACCTAGGTAGATTAATGCTTAAAGAATATTGCAGACGCTAATTGACTAGTCTAGGTACACAATGTACTCAGATCTCCGTTCTAGATTTCTTTGCATTCTGGAGAACTGGATTAGTTGAAATACGAAAAGGCCGATTATCGCATGGAATATATGAAGACCCAATTTCGATTCGGGATCAATTATTTTAACCCGTGCCTCCAGGGCAGAAGGATCACACAAGATCCGCTCATTTGAACCTAGGACCGTCATGTTCTCATGTCGACTATTCTCTCAGATATAGCATCTGCCTGGCCCAGGCGGTCGGCCAGCTTCCGTCGGGCTTGAGCTTAGACTATCTCACCAAATCACGAGATCGATCTGCCAAAATCGCTATAATCTGTGTCGGCTCCTTGACTGTCGTGGTCGTCATTGCTAGGTGCTACGCCAGAGTGTTTATGGTCAAAAGCTTTGGATTGAATGACATGTTAGCCGTGTTCACCATAGTACGGTTGCTCTTGACTTGCCCGGAAGTTGGAACAAGATTATTAATCCTCCTTCATTCGCAGCTCTTTTTTATCGCAATAGTTGCACTATGTATAGTTTTAATCGATCTGGGCAGTAGCCAGCGCATTGACTACATTCAGTTCGTCCTAAGTCCTGCACAGGTCAGTCAGACTGAGGTACTCGACTTTGTCATGCATATTTTTTATACAGTCGCTCTGTTTGTGTGTCGTCTGTCGGTCCCGTGTTCTTTCACTGTCTTACGTCGCATCACTCCAAAATATCTGTGGCTATCAGAGTCGGTGCTGTTTTTCTTATAATTGCCTATCCAGCACATTTCTTCTTCTCGTCTTCCATCGTGTTTCCGTTACTGGTCTCTGCCCGTATGCACGGTTCTCTATTTCGCCCTCTTTGAATCTTGTTTAGTATAGTGCCAGGGGCGTCTAGGAGATGCAGAAACATTATAGACACAAATATCTGGGAGCTTTCTTGAATCACTTTCTGTTCCGATGTGAGAAAAAGAATGGTAAATGCAAACTTGTCATTTCCGTAAATTTATCTAGTACCACCATCTAAAATCAGGGTTGGCAGGACCCTCCCTCAACCTTTCTGTTGGGACATCCTGAGCCCTCAGGGTGACGCCTTGCTTCACATTCCGTCGCTTATTGTCAATAATCATCCAGGCACCTAGTATCAATGTCAAGACAAAGCCAGTTCCTCCAAAAGCAGCAGTTGTGATGAGAGCCGGTATGTATTTTGGTGCATCCTGACTCCGGAAGATATTTGAACTGACCACACCCATCAAATTAGCCAGAGGGACACCAATGCTTGTCAAAGCAACGCGTTTCCTTTCACTCGCGATATTGTTGTTGTACCAAACATCTAGCAAAACAGACGGTGCTGATGTGCCCCTTAAATGCGCGTCAGTATAAAACTCCAGGACCTCGTAGATGGTGAGAGATTGATCTCGCTTACCAGGTCATCATAAAGGAAGCAAAATATGCAAGATTAATATCATGCTCGACATCAATGGCGACATAAATAATGAATCCAACAAATGTGAAGAGAAACCCCAATGCAACGAATGGAAATCTCCACCGGGTCCTGTCACTGAGAAATGCCAAGATCAGAAGCATAACAGCTCCCGATACGTTAGGGGCAACTGTGTAGAGATTTGTCTTGACAGTGCTGTATCCTAGTCGATTGATGATTTGCGGCAAGAAAAGCTGAACAGATTGTAATGGAACACCCAAGCAGACCTCGATACTCAGAATCACCCAAGTTGTAGGATGTTTGAAGATGGTGAATGCCTCGCGCACATCAAACTTCTCATTGACGATAGAAGAACTATCAAGTCGCATTCTTTCGTACGCGAGTGCTTTCTCTGGTGCGGTGAGAAAGCTGGCCTCCGATGCAGACCTCGGCAAATACCAGACTGCGAAGATGGCGACGACGATAGTACCCGCGCCTTCTATGAGGAAAAGGTAGCGCCATGAGGCCAGTGCACCGGACTGAATGTGAAAAACACCAAAAGCAAGCAGGCCTGAAAAGGCAGAAGCAATACTCTGGGCTGCGTAGAAAATTGCAAGGCGCCTTGCTAATTCTCCTCGACGATAAAACCTGTTTCCCACGCCGTCGTTCTTTAGTATTCTGGAATTGAGCCTGCAGATTAGGAATCCTTACGTGGTCAGATAATATATTACGAGAGGGAAGAAAGCGCTCTCTGACATGCCCAAGAACCATCGAATCGCGAGAAGGCCTCCGAAGTTGTAGACTGCGACGACAAGGAGCGTGCAGACACCAAAGCACAACATCATGCAAGGCAAAACACGGTTAGGACCATACATCTTTCCCAGAATTCCAAGAAATGGGGCCGTCAAGACATATGGAATGAAGAAGATGCTCAATATCAGGTTGTACTGGTTGCCGTGTAGATGGAGGGTTTCTATACAAAGCAACGCGTGTTAATCACTAAACATCAGCTCTACGGAGAGCCCAGTCCACGTACTTTCCAAACCTGCAGTCTTAGCGTTCCCAAGGTTTGATTTATCCAGACTGTTGAAGAGATACATGACCGCTAATACAGGGAGAATGCGGAGGTCGAACTTCCAGACAATACTCCGTTCAGCCTGAGGGTCTATGGACTCGCCGACCTCTGAACTCTGCACAATAGTCTTCGCCTCATCGTACAACGGTGGTTTCCCCAAGGCCTGTTCAGAAGCTTCGGTGGTCAACATTTTCGGCGATGGCTAAGAATGCTGGTCTGGCCGCGGCGTGGTCGGAGTGATGTTGAGCTCAAATAAGATCGACCGCGAGCCCTCGCTGTATATTATATACCGACATTCTCCCGCGTCCTGAATGTTGATAGGATAAGGGCTCGTGTAGACTGACCTGTGCGTCGTTGTCTGTCGCGATCTTATCAGAACACATATCTCCGACACCGGCCGGGTGGATCTACGCTGTATGGGAGAATCATAAAATTTGTCACTCGGATAGCGCAAAACTTTATCAGCCAAGACATTCTTTTTCCGACATCCAGTAAACGCCTGGTCAGCTTTTGTCAGGAACACAGTGCTACTGCACTCGCTTTCTTGTCTGTTTATTAGAGAGACCCATCCGGAGCTATAATTATGTGTGCCCGATACTGTAATTTCCAGCATGGTGGCTGGCGTTTAATGGATCGACACCCGGAGAAAGTCACGCTTGACATTCTGGTTGGTCAGAGATAACGTTTGGCCCATACAGCCTTGGAAATTCCCTGTCAATTCTCAAGCACTTCGAGAGACACTGATTTTATCAGACACACGCTGCTGTTTTCAACTCCAATTCTGGCTGATGCGGAGCTCCGTCCAATTGCGGCTTATCTCACCTCCATACTATTCTCTGTGTTTGTTTGTGGGTGCATGCATCCTTATCGAAAAAGAATTTGGTTAACAATACATCCCTCTATTAATTAAAGTTAAAGTTACATAAGATTGTTCGCAAAAGGGGCTTGGACCGCTTAGAGTGCGATTAGGCGCGAGGCGAAGTCGTTTTCTCAAGCTAAGATACCCACAGAATAATAGATTAGATTCCCCGAAATTGGCTTTTTCAATACCCCGTAAAGCTTGGTTCCTCCGTTAGTTTTAATTTACATACCTTATCGGTAAAAATTGTCACTTTTTTTTAAGTTATTACGTAGTATAAGCTCAGCTTATCCACCGCATTTAGATGGAAAGTTGCCATAGTAGAGATTTGTCTCGCGCACCTTTAATTAAGGCTTATGTATAACTTTGGTCAATATCATGAATGAAGATATTATATTATAACTATGACACTTGATATTTACGGTCAATAAGATGATTCTCGCTTCCATGAGCTTAGCATAATTTACGTATCAGGTCATCGATGAGAGTCTTAATTATTAACAGCGGCAAGGCATCATCGACAATTCTTTCTAGCAAAGGTGCCGTAAATACTATGCTCATAGTCCTGATTAGATTTATATCCTTCGAAGAGTGCGGTCGTAAAGAGTTTTTTTATTAAGAAAGCAAAAAGATGAAGAACAGCAGAGATTACACCCAAGGCGAATACACTAACAAATCAATTAGCAGTTTCATGAGCCTTAGAAGTACTATCCTCCAGAAGAAATCCGGGTCAATGGAATTAATTGCCAATAGTTTTCCACACGCAGGATAGCATTGATGAGCTCCATATACACCAATGTTAAACGAGATGCTTCCATAGGACAGGATGGCTTACGAGTTAGATATAGCATTACATGATTGTGACGGTGGCCAATCCTTTGCATTCGATGCTTACTAGGTGCGCCTATCTACGAAGAATAACCAGCATGAAGAAGGAAAGAAGAAGAAAGATAGCACTCCTCTGCGCGCAGCTCCTTTAAATGATCCTTTGCATGTATAGAGCTTCCCAATACAGTACCGCTCAAGGCGCAAGCCCTATCTCGAGATAATGGGGAAAGGCTCATAAGGTGACACGGTACGGAAACCTCCGTTCCATAGCTGTTGAGGTGTCAAGCCGCAGGGCTGGCTGTCACAGGGATCTTCCTCTATTTGACCTTTATTTGAACCGTAATTCTCCCATGGCTTTTAGTACTCCTCATACTAGCCCGTTATCAAAGCAGTCTAGAATCGCTAAGATAGTTTAGCGACTGCTATTAATATAAGGTCAAGCAGATAGATAAGACGTCAAGAGACAAAGTATATGAATTTAGATTTTTAACAGTGTGAATAGGATACACATAGAGAGGACATAGTTTCGTGGTAATATCTACATAGTAGTAGGAAGTGCTATAAGATCTCCTCTATTGTTGTTCTCCACCACTCGCAAAATTGCTAAATTAGTTTAGACTAGAATAAGGATTGCGATTTATTAAAGACAGTGTCTTTTCAGAGTTCAAAAAGATGGTAGTATGGGGCATAAAGCTAATTTGCGATATTGCAACAAGGATAATAACAGATCCAATCCCGAACCTAATGATGATTTGTAAAAATAGTCTATGTTTCTGTCAATGTAGCAAAGTACTGTACTCAAAAGTCGTAGGTAGCTTGTACCGAAAGGGATGATTGGATTAGGAAATGTCACAATGCGAAGCCCATCCATAAGTTGATTTTCGCATGCAGTCGCTGCACATACAGAGTTACGGTCATTCAGCACTAACTTACATTAATTTGAGACGTATGACGCTACATTTTAAGCCAATGATAATGTATAAGTATTTTTCAGCTTAAGCAGGCTAGTGGGCCTACCTTCCTGGCCTTTTACCCTTCTGGTGCCTAACAGTTGTGCGCGCATGAATCCGAGGATTATATGGCGCAATATTCTTCTACTAGAGCGGAGACTTATTTACTTCTGATGTTTTCCTTTAGCACTTTTACACTTCCTATTTAGGCAAGACTGCTAAAATTTACGCGAATGAGGGTCGCAGAGGGTTAGTGAGGCTGACCCTCTAGAAACCCTGCGAGAGTTGAGGGTCGGGTGAGAACGCAGACTGCAAGATAGCAATTTACGAGTCGGGCAGCAACAGGGTAGAGCCTTCTACGCCGGTATGTATTATAAGTAAAATCATTTCGGTTTTAGCTGGAGTTGCATCGCAAAGAATACAATTGGCCCTTCTCTGAGGCAACGGACAGTGTCCGAGTTCTGATAGAATGGTTCATTGTTGCCGGGGCGAAATTTGTTCTCTTACCAACCATAAGCAACAGCCCAATTATCTCCTCGTTTCCAGTTGTCGACGCTGCTACCAGTGCTGTTTGGCCAAGACATTGCTTGCGGACGTCAACACCGGTTATGAGTAGACGCCTGATAACCTCCATATTGCCCATGGCTGCCGCTATTGCTAATAAGGCCTGACTATATTTGTTGTACAGGAAATAAAAGAAATGGGTACATGTTTGCATGAAGGAGCCAGTATTTCTACTTCTAGGCAATCCGTTACTGTATATACAGCAGTTATTCCTCTGGCAATTCAAGTAGCATCTTAGCCAGAACAAGGGGATAAGTAGGGTAATGGGGGATTAGTGAAAGAGTACAGAGTATATTACAGGTTAGATACCTTCACCGCAATTTTCTTTTTGTTTCTACTGAAGGATACAAGCTGGTAATATTACGAAGTAGAATAACAGTGATAGATGCAAACATCTAATTCGCTGGTATTATTACAACCAGATAAAGAGGGGCTGAAGAAAGCTCCAGCCTTGCTTCAAATAAACGAACAAGGCACAGTGCAAGGCAGAGTGCAAGGCACCCCTCATGGCTTAGTATCTTGCAACATCCTTCAGCATTTGTTCGAGAGCCGCAAAGAAACAATATATCGTTAAACTTTCCTATTATCTCTCAAGTCAGCAATTTCTGCACATCAAAAAAAAGCAGTGAAAAAAAGGGAACCTGTGCTAAGTTATTGGCCAAATGGCTGAAGCTATAACTGTGCTGGGTGTAGCTGCTGCAGCTATCCAATTTGCAGAGATAGGCTATAAGGTTATCTCCAAATGCAGTTTTCTTGTTAAAAAAAGCCGAGAATATCCGGAATACCTTCGAAGAACACACATTCAAGTGCAACATCTCATGTATCTGGCAAAAGTGGCTGCAGCGAATATAGATACGTCTGAAGTTGTTATACCCTCTGAATTATTGTGTGCCACCAGTGAGCACCAACAAACCCAATGTGTGACAAATCACTCGGAACCTCTTGCGGCGACGCCCTTTCAACTGGAGAATATCTGGAAGGATTGTTCTCATCAAGCTGAGATTATTGACAAAGCCCTTCAGAGTATGATGCAAGAGATTGAAGGTAGAGGGATATTTGGAAAATGGAAGAAGCTTCGATTACACGAGAAACTATACAGCATTGAAAAAGCTCTTACTGAATTAGAGAGATCCAAGACGACACTGGGATTATGGCTAGGTAACGAGTCCTTGTGTCAGATAGGATATATGCATCACAATTTAGCGATATTGCATAATGCAATTATGCAGTCCCGTAAGCGATCTTCAATTTCACTCGGATTACTTATTCTGACTACCATCAAGAGAGACCTTTATCTCATACGTTCGAAGAATATCACGAGAATGCCGAGGATACAGTCTTAACTACTATTCAGGTAGCACCAGCAGCCAAGACTTCAAATGTCAAGACATATGACAAACACAGCATTTATACTGATTCCGTAAGTTTTCTTTCGTATCGATGAGTGATAAAGCTAAGTAGCCTATAAAGCAGAGAAATAGTGGGGATACGACGCATAGCATGGCCATGCGATATTCAACAAACCAAGAATGGAGTTTAAGCAAAGCAAAATATTCCCCTTCAGGCCAAAGAAGACAGTATATCGATGCTTCTAATGGATTGTACTCTAATGTCACGAAGACTGAATGGATCAAAATGCTCACTCTCGCAGGCAACACTATTATTTTTCAACTTAGAAGCCAGACCAAACGGTCTTTCATGGCAGCTGACGAAGATGACAAAAATATGGATTTGAATATTTACCTACGATTACGGATAGCCTGGCTTTTTGACTTGGTAGAATTGAACTTTTCGCTTCAGCAATATCCAGGTGCTCCGTCAATACAATTTTCGCTAAGGACTCAGACACGACTTAAGCGCTTACCGCTACATGGTTTCTTCATGGATATTTACAGTCGAAGATCACGAAGAAGTCAACTACTACAAGGGAAAAAAGTCCCTTCTGAAGAGGAGCAACTTCGTTTGGCTTCTATCGCACGAAATTTATTGCTGCAAAGTCTTTATGCTGGGGACGTTGCTCCGAATTATATCGATGCACAAGGGCAAACGCTGCTTCATGTATGGCCATAAAGGAGAATCCTTAACAATTATTATGACTAACTTTAATAGCTTCAAGCTAAATTATACACCTCGGGATATGAAACTCTTCTCATAGAGATGATCAAGTTCCTCATATCAATACACGTCGATACTGAAGTGGTCGATGATAATTTTAGGTAAGTCTTAATTGTATACCCGCTTTGAAATGGATATTTAACATTTTCACAGAACTGCACAGAATATACTGTGTGATAAACTTTTGTACTTTCACAGAAATCGGTATACTATCTCACCCACTTTTGCCCATGAAGCTCGGCTACCATGGACTGGCTTTTCGAAGGAAAGGCGCATGAGCGCTCTAGAAATCCTTCAATGTATCTGGGATTGGCCAGAAGCAATACTAGGTGAGTTAGATTCATTTTGTGACGTCACTTCGTGAAATAAACTCGCTTTACGTGGCCTGTACCCGCTGTATCTAATAAATTCACTACGCAGATACAGAATATGAGCATATATGCGATATTGTCCTACGAAAGTCCCTAGACGATCTCCAACTTTTACGAGGTCAGAAGGATCTAGGTTCAGCGCAGAGAGGTGAATCAATTCCTCCCCTACATTTTGCAGTCGCAGCCTCATGGCCTGCAGGAATTGAACTTTTGATTTCTAAGGGCTACTCGGCATTTCAAGTAGATGGGAATGGAAATTACCCTATCGATATTGCGCTTGATGTTGGATGTATTCCTGCTGTCGAGACACTTTTGAAAGGTGACTGTCTGGCATTTCTTGCCCCCAATACGCGAGACGGGGATATAGCTCTGCCTCAGGCATTTCAAAAGGTATCAGAAAGTGATGATACGAGACTTCATGATCTTATCATTGAATGTTTATTGCGGCATAAATTCCTTTTACCAAGATTATTGCCATATCACGACTTAGCGACAATGAGCTGGGCTGATAATATCAAATTTGCACAAAAGCTCTTTATTGCTGGTTTCCAGGATATTGAAGCTTACAATAACTCTGGATATACACCATTAATGGTTGCTTGCAACAAAGGGAATATAAGGATGGCATCATTTTTATTGCAGCACGGGGCTGACCCCTATACATGCCATAAACATGTCGGTCTAAGAGCAGGTCACTTTCTCTGCTATAATGGAAGAAATACCTTCTTTGATACTGGCTATGTGAGAGGATATGGGTTTAGATATAAAGATGATGAGAAACAGCTTCTTGAAGCTGCATTCGATACTTCAATCGATGTAGAATCCAGTTGTCGCTGCTCTCCGGATGGGTTCAGTCCCATCACGTCTTTATTCCAACGAATAAGTTGTCTCGAGAGCATTTATGACGTAAAAGAGAGCTTTCAGAGATTGATTTGCCGTCTTGACTCTTCGCCCGCCGATAGAAAGAGATATTGGCGTGCCTTTATTGTGAGCGAAGCATTTGATCGCCTTGGAATGACTCATACATGCATCAAGCTACACTCCGCAGATCGACTCTTTCCTGATTGCAGCAGAATTGAGATCGAAGATGAGGAAGTAGAATATTTCTTTAGGCTGGAAGAAATAGTTGCTCGATTTGATCTATTTTCAGAGAGATTTGGGGATGATCTCTCTAAATGTGTGGACGAGTTTTTCGACGACCTTGACGGCGATCTTCGACCAAAGGGACCATTCGCAATTGGACCGACATGGACCGATACAGATCCTGACTGTCTTGGTCCGGGAGAACTATTATTTGTAGATTATTTTGAATCCTCCCGAGGGCAGGAGATGAGATATGGTTATAAGGAAATCACCAAAGAGGACGCAATATTACGCTGGTTATTCCCATGACAAATGGTTTCCTGGCGGGCCTTGCTGAGATTGAATTGAACGAATGCGAAGTACTTGAACGATCAAACGTTAAAATGGCGAAGAGGCAGGCTGCTTTTATAATTAACTGGTGTGCTGCCAACGATTACATACCATCATGTCTAAGATTTAGTCTGGGAATGTGCCAACAAGCCAAAGGAATCGGAGAAATCCGAGGTTCGAGCTTGCTGTTGACTCTCTCACCGTTGATTCCTTGTCGATTGTTCTCTGCGCCATTCTGTCGAACTATTTCAAGAATGATTTTATCTCCGCAGCAATGATTGTAGACCAAGACAGAAGTATCGATTTGGGGATATTAGGCGGTACTAAGTACCAACAAAGACGTAAAAAAACTAACGCCGAGACGACAAGGTGGGTATCAAATACTTCTCCCAGGCAAGCACGGATCGCTATCACTGTGACTGCAGTCAATCAGCACTGAACCATTTTGATTACGACCACAGCCACTGGTCGAGAAATGGCCGCTACCTACGCATGAAACGAGCCACCTACGACCTCGTATAAAGTTGACTATTTCGAAACTTCACGGATGGGCAAAAAGCACAGAATGGGCCCTTCGAGGGAGCCGCCACGAAGGCCCACGAGCAGGGCGGAGTCGGAGATTAGCTGAGCTGAGTAGGACGCGAGCATGAGGGAGTTGTAAGGGAGTCAACGTGAGCATCACGGAAGCTGACCTCTTGGCGAGGGAGTAGAGCGCCGGGAGACTTGGCCGAAACGGGAACTGTCAATCGCTGCATTTTCGGAGACAGCTACCTAGTCGTATCTGGTATATGCACAGCCTCTGAAATATTCTCTTGGTCGATTTCAAGCAAGAGATCATGCACAATGCCACGCATACAAGGCTATGGATTATCTTCATTAATAAACGCCTGTTTCCCAATCTGGCAGGCCTCCTCGAGCAATGGGCCTAAAAGGGCCTAGTGGATGGGGGGTACCGATCAGTCAGGAGTATCGTCCAATGGTTGGCTAAGTTTAATTCAGCCACATGGGGCCAAAGCCTCAATCTACAGCGAATTAAATTATGTGAAATCGCAACGGTGGAGACTGCAAGGTTTAAGCTCGAGAAATGGACCAAATCGGGAAACTGGCCTGTCTTCAGGTGCAGGCGAAATGTACGCGGCAGTGCTGTATTGTCTTGAAGAATAGGTAGTATATAAAGATGGAAAATATCCTGCCAGGAGTTGAGCCTCATCCATCTCAATTCCAACATCGCTCATTCTAATCTTCTTGTCTGGTGCTACACCCTATCACACTTTACTTTGACAATGAGTTCACATAAATCGACTGGCGAGCAGAACGGATATTATCCGACTGCTCCACAACAATCGGGAATATACCAGTATCAGGATATGACATACCCCCAGCGACCTACTCATCAGCCTGCTTATCCTTCACGACCACCACAATCAAACAATCCCTACTATGCTTATACACCTACGGCTCCTTCAAGACTATCTGGTTCTGGATATCCAATAAGCACGCCACAACACTATGATACAAACCATTACTATCCGCAACAAGCCACCCAGCACCACCAAGCATATCCCCACTCGTCAGCGGCATATCAGTATCCGCCCGATTCATCGAGATTCAACAATACAGATTATCATCAATCCACGTCAAACATTCCCAATCATGCCCCTCCTGCGTATGACAGCCTGTCCAGTCCGGACGAGGGCTCTCTAGAGCAAGCAGAACCTGTCACATCCGAGCAAGTCCACGATGCAGAAGCGTTCGTCGACGAAGAGACCCTCGGATGGATTCCATCGCAAAAATATTCCCGTCAACAACAACTGAGGCGTTTAGAGGTTCGTTCCCTTATACATCCGCACTAGATTTGATCATCTATATGGAGGGTGCTGACGAACTCCAGAAACCAGTAGTCATTCCCCGCATCGACGTCGCCAGCCGCCTCAAACCCACCCTTCCTTTCCTTCGCGCCTACAGCCCCATCCTCGCCACACACGATATCCACGAACAAGACTTTCTAGCCTTCATCGACAATCTCAACGTCGCCCAAGCCGGTTCTCCAGTCTTCGCAGCCATCGATGCCGCAGGGCAAGGCATCGGATTTGTGCCCTGGCATTGGGCCGCTCTGACCGGTGCGGGAATCCAAATCGCCGCCGGCGTAGGCTCATCCGCCGTATCCATTGTAAGGACAAAACGATTTCTCGCAATCGCAAATGAGAAATATTTCGCTCCCCGGGGGTTGAAAGCTTCGTTGAAAAAGGATGATGACTTGGTAAACTGCTTATTCTCTGATCCGGGAAGTGCGCAGGCGAGAGAATACAGAAAGAAATTACTTGCGCCCGTCGATATGGAGAGTGGGCAAATGGAATTGCGGCAACGGAAAATGGCTGTATTACAGCCACATATCGCCCCGTTGACAGAGCACGTGCTCCCGTCTGAAAAGCAGGGCAATGTTCTGGATAGGATAGCGGCGAGAGGATTGGAGAAGAAGACTAAAAAGATGGAGAAAAAGCTTGCGAAGAGACAACAAAAAGCTGAGAAGAAGCAAGCAAAGATTGAACAGTTGCGTGAGCGGGGTATGCTAGCTGATGATGGGTATCATGCGCGGAGGGTGGTTTATGACGATAACGCGAGCTCAAGTTCATCGGACTCGGATTCGTCGGACGATGAGATGAAGAAAATGGATAGTAGGCTTCAGAAGATGAGACTGGATACAGACATGAGTGATAAGAAGCGTGCCAAGCTTCAAGCCAAGATCGATGAGGATCGGTACAAGTACCAGAAAAAGTACCAGAAAAAGTACGAGAAACAAGTCGCAAAGGCCGATCGACGAGCTGACAAGGCGAATGAGAAAGCTGAGAAGAATGTCAAGAGGATGGAGTATATCGTCATTGAAAACCTTTGATTTGGGTGTTCTGCAGGCGGACAAAAAGTCATGTAGCAACAATACGTGCTGGATTGGTCCTTGAAGCTGGTTGAAGATTGAGCAAATACTTTGCAGTTGCCCATCTCCCACTTTTGCCGTCTTGGATTTGCTGTAATACGTCCTGGATCCAAAGACCGATCGATGGCTCCTTGCATCCGACAGCAGCATACGCCATACGCAGCGGATATAATATAAAAAAGCTGCCGGCACCTTGTCGCATGCTCTGCAAATGGTACTCGACACTGCGGCAGATATCAATACCAGACGCGTGCGTCTTGTCAAAATTGACTGGAGGATGGGCCGACAACGTCGGAAATGCACTCATTGCTATTATACTTTGCGCAAGATTGAGAAGCAATATTATCGTACCGTGATACAAATTTATCGTGTTAGCGTGATAGAGGGTTTTGTATTCTAACACCGTTGTCCAAGCTTGCACCTGTGTGTTGCCATCTCTCATTATAGGAATAAGCGGTGTTGATGCCGGCGCGGGCATCTCGTGGCAGTAGTCCGGATTTTCGAGTTCCCATTGCTCGTTCCATTGTTGCAGGCTGTCTAGGAGATCTGTAATCTTTCCGATAAGATTGGTTAAATCGTTGATTTGATTGACCGTTGTTGAGCTTTGGGCAACGATACGGTCTTTTTCCACGAACAAACCTGGACAATCGGCGAGATGATCAATAAGTCGCTGCATGGCCGTTTTTCTTCCAGGATATGTGCTCCATGGTAAAACTTTCCATCCTGGTTCGGAGAGGACCGTATTTCGTCTTAGAAATAGAGAAGAGAATATGATCGAAGGGCGAGAATTCTCGAATATTCTGAGTGCCGGGAGTGAAGTGAATGATTCTGGACCCCGTAGAGCATACAGCTTTTCTAGACCGACTGTATGGCTAAGCCACCCGTCTTGATGATCTGATATAAGAAACTAAATATAACAAGTCAGTCCGTAATTGCATATACTAATAATTGACAGGGGTGAAACATGCCTCAAATAAAGACATTGTCGCGATCGACTCCAGTAGATCCAGCGACCTATACCGCGATGGATCCCCAAGTGCCCCGTGCACATATTCCAACGATTGTCCATACTGATGAAATCCACGACTCACTAACCGATTCTCTTTGTGCTCAATTCCAAAGAAAGTCGTCGACAGCGCCAAAAACGCCTTGTTCTTTTCCGCTCGATCATCGGATTCCGCCTCATCTTTCGGACTAGCAACTTCATCCGAGTTGAGCCCACCAAAGAGCTTTGAGCGGGTGTATTGGATGAATACATCATTCAAATTGAGTGGCATGGGTGTAGATAATAAATTTGTCACGAACGTAAAATCCTGTACTTTATTATGTGGGAAAGAGCGAGGAATAAGTTCCATCGGCTCCTGAACATCTGCAATATTCGGAGTTGTCCCCGGCGAAGCATTGGCGGAAGATGAGATGTTGTGTCGTTTCTGACCATCGAATTGGATGAAGGTAATGTCGGGGTACCCACTGCACTCCAGATTTGCTTTGATGCATCGTAGACAGTGCGGTCTTTTCTCATCTAGACAAATCACTTAGTCAATGGGATAAGGTCTCGAAAAGTGGTAGCCTACCGCATTTGACTCGTCGGCGACGGCATTGCCCGCATGCTTTGGATCGTCCCCCTACACCGACCATATTTGTTGCTATGATAGACGCTTTGAAACACACTGCGCGACAAAAAAAACGCGAATAATGCAGTTACAAATTAGAATAATTGGAGTTGAAGATTGAAGAAATTACGCTGACGTCGCAACTCGGATCGGCGCCGAGGCCAACAAACCTTATTCCTGATTTTGTTGTGATTGGTTCACTTGGATTAATCCATTCTGCCAATCAGAGTGTGTAAAATAACAATATTAAATGGCATTGACGCGCAAGCGCACACTACTCCCATTGAATGTTAATTATATTAGTTAAATTATAGGAATAGGTGGTTATAATTACTACACATTCCGGTTCGTCATGAGTCACAATCCGGGAGCATTCCGGACCTCAGGAGTACTCGCGAATGGCTCATAGCCAAGGATTGGTTCATGATATATATATGTTTTGGGTAGTGTCGCGCTCTTCAAGTCAACCACTGATCAAACATGATCCCGAAATCCATGTTTTCTAACTGAACTCCATCACCTATGAAATCCATTGCAATATCGTCCTGGTTCCATGACGGAGCCCAGTTATCAACATTCGAATTGCGCAGGTTGCCATTTCCTGATCCCGAGCTCGATTCAATGACCTCATCAATAACAGTCCTGAAATACTTGGATGCACGCTTAAAGAGAGCATCGCTGCCATTCCTCGGCCTCTCCACAGAGTCGAGATGAGATATGAAGACGCACAGGTTGCGGATGATTTCTGATCGTGGTGTGGTGTAATCGACTGGGATGCCCGATCGAACTTCCGATCGAAGGGTGTCAATCAGAACGCTGGCAGCTGGGAAGCCATATAATTGCATCTTACATGAGACGATTAGCTCGTGGTCTTTCGTTCCTCCACTCCGTTGTACTAAACTTACCGACACAATCAGATCCAGATATATATCCTTCATATTACCACCTTTTCGAGCAAGCAATAAAACCGTCGAAATTAATTGAGAGCTCACAGAGAGTAGTGGTGTATTCGCGGCATGATACTGTCGAACGAGAAGTCTCTGAATGAGAAAGTCATTGTACAGATGTGCAAGATATCCCAAGATGAGCATGTAAACTGTCAACACATTGCTATGATCTGTCCATATGTTTGGTGTAAAGCGGAGGTATGCTGGATGTGAATCCCACATCTCTTTGCTGCGGCGTGAAATGTCTCTTCATCGTCCTATTAGTATATGAAGTAGGCGATTTGAAGGAATGTGACAAACCTCAATTGTTCGGCTGTCTTAGTATTGGATGGCATCAACGAGATATCCAAGATCTCCTCGCGGAACAATGCATTTGAAAATCGTAGTCGAAGCCACACAGCAGACTGGAAGCCCGGCTTGAGACCCCAGCCCTGTTCATCGACGTTTTCCATGGCTTGAGCAAAAACTTCATTGGAAGCACCAAATATCTGATCGTCAATGCATAAAGGAAGACCGCAATCTGAGTGTTTCAAAGGAAGTCGCGGAGGGCGGCCCAAGAAAGTTGCAATGTTCTTGTCGATTCGATACGATGCGGCGAATAGACGTTTTCGCATCTGGCATAGAAATGGTGGAATGTCGGCCGACTTTTTGGTGTCTCTGTGAACTCCAAGAGCGAAAATTCTGGTTGAGAGCTCTCCTAGTTGACTCCACATAATCTCGTCTGCATAAATTTTACCATGTTAGAATAATCCCATTATAAATCGGCAATTAAGATACTTACTTGAGGCACCTTGAATCATGTCGGTCAAAGCCATATTTTCATATACCAGCCACAGCAGCAGGTCGTTTGTGGGCGTCAACATCTTGCACACTTGAAGTATAGTGTCACTTGCCGAATACATTTTCTGAGCAAACTGAGTTCGCGTTTGAGGTTCCCCACGAAGTGTGTATGCACCGGATCCCATTCCATATTGCGTGCTGCGTCCTGCTTGTGAGATTATAATTCCAAGTATTTCAAGGCGGCAATTAGCGCCAATATACAACTTGTGGAAGTCGCATCCTTGGGTCGAAGGTGGTATCTGGAAGGCTTTAGACGTATTATCAATAATCTGCGACGCCAATCGAGATACTCTGCCCGGGAGATACTCTCCAAATAGTTTTGCAATCGATGGCAATGCATTTTGTACAAATGGTGCTGGTATAACTGGAGATGGACTGAGGTTATATAAGTCTGAGACGAGTCTCTCCAGAAACGAAAAGTCTTCAAATAGCATTAACATCTGTGAGATTTTTTCGAACCAATATGGATGCAGCTGATTCGGCTCGTCAACTCCTGTAACCGAGGGATCGATGCCAACGCCGTCAGAGAAGCCATTATTAGCCACGAACTCAGCCGCAAAACTAGTCGGACCAAGATACCCCAGCGGCAGCGGCGAAGTTATCTCTGGACTCTGCTGATGCTGTAGCTCTCTACTCGAAGGGGTGCTTAATACTTCGATACGACCGGATATTTCTGGATGTCGCTCTACGGAAGGAGAAGGGGACAGCAATCTTCGCCGCGTAAGCGGTGCAGGATGGTAGAAACAGCCATTCGTGGTCCGGCGTCGTTGGCAGCGTGTACAGACTGGTAGTTTATGGTCGCATTTGACTTTGTCACGTCGACATGGCTCGCAACTGGCGGGCATGCCATTGCGGCGGCGTGACGAGCTCCTCTTACATGTTAGCCTGCCTCTACTAAGAGCAGAGTATTGAATATACCAACATCGTGTTAACACCAAAAAGTTATTGTTTGCGAAATGTGATTTGACGTATTTTGAGGTTGTAATGAGGATGATGCGACAACCTTGGAAAATGCGGTAGGTAGCTGAGCTCCGAAAACCAGTCCGAATTCCGAAACTTACCCCGAGCTCCATATGTCCTTAACCCTAAGTCCAAGTGGCGGAATACCAATGATTGGTCTCTTCCATCTGGAAGAGCGAATTACTAACACTACCATATGGACAGATAGTAAAATGATACCTGCTATTTACTTGTTTGTTTGTTTTTTATTTTTTACCTTTACCATTCTATGTCTTGCAGCTCATGTGAGATGGTCAACTTCTTGAATTATCCATTCCATAGGTATCCTTGTTGAAAGATTAAATATACAAGAACATACATTGTCTGCAGTAAAACCGAGCCAGATCAATGTTCATCAAAGACGAAAGACTATCGCACTCATCGCCATTTGTGACCCTGCAATTGAATAATGATAGTTGGAATAACGCTGACGGCAACCATCAAAGCTACACCAATTCCAGCGCTTCCATTGAACCCGACATTCTCAAACATTTGAGGGAACCTATTTTGGCGACGATATTAGTATTTTATGAATTCACGCAGAGTATGTACAAGACGACTTACCAGAATGGTCCAATGAAACCCCAAGTCTGCCTGACAAAGGTAATAAAGACGCCTACGCTCGCAGCCTCAAGACGATAACAGTCAACGGCATAAGTAATCAGCACAGTGGTAACAACTTGGTTACCAGCAGCACCAATAGCTGCGCCGATCAAAGGGGTCACGTTCCATGAATCAGAAGCTTTCCCAAGCTGCACACTAAACACGATGAACCCAACAATCGAAAGCGCATAACCAACATGAGCGAGCCAAAGACGGTATTCGGGAGCGACGAGGACTTCTTCACCGGAGATACCGCCATCTTCTGTATTCTCGGCATTAGCAATACCGGATTTGCGGGCTTGCTGTTGACGGCGTCGTGACATCCATTTATCGGACATGAAGCCGCCGATCTGCTCGCCAATAAGCGATCCGATGATGATGCTGATCATTTGAAGACCATTCTGCTCGGTGTTGAAGTTGAAAAGTACGGGGAACAACTGGGGAATTTCGATAGTCGGGACGATACCAGTCCACAAGAAGACCATGGAGTAGGCGGCAGCAGGGAGGAAAATACATGGGTGAACCACGAGGGTGAGTGGATGGTAGAAGTCGCTAAATTTGAGAGGAGTGGGATCAATGCGTCGGAACTTGAACTGGCTAACCTTTACTGCTGGTGATGCAGTGCCGTTGTCGGTATAGTTTGCGTCGCGGATATAGCGGGTTTCGTGTCCGAGAAAGAAATAAAGGATGAATTGCACGCCGTTGGTCTGTAAGAAATTAGTCAAGAGTATGTGCAGTTGCCTTAAGGAAATAAACATACAATGGCAAGGATGTAGTAAATCCATCGGTACCCAACACGCATAGCCACGAACCCCATTATTAAAGGAGCAACTGGTACTCCTAGGGTAATCATGACGGTCCAAATTCCCATATACCTAGCGCGCTCTTTCTTGAAGAAAGTTTCCGTAACGATTCCACTACCAATAGCAGCAGCAGGGCAGATGAAGAAAGCAGTGATGGCTCTACACAAACCCATTGTACCGAATGAGTAGCTGTTGGCGCATCCGATGTTGCCAACCAGAGAACAGATCAGGGACAACAAGAAGATGGGACGACGACCGAAGCGATCGGCAAGAGGACGCCAGAAGAGCGGTGCTCCACCGATGATTGCGATTACGAGTGAAGTCAAGTAACTGGCGCGCTGGACGCTAACACCAAGGTCGGCGGCGATGTCGACGAAGGCCGCCATGATTGCCGCGGCTGTGAAAGTCGCCATCATGGCATGGAATGCGATCATTATCAGGTTGACGACTTTCTGATTCCAGTACGTTAGTTTCTCCAAGATTATGCCATGGAGGCTGTATCGAACTAATGGTAACATACCTTCCATTTTGGCCAATTGTATGGATCGGCATCAGTCATGTCTGGTAGAGGATCAAGCTCAACCGTCCCATGTCGACTTATAAGATAGTCGCGATATTCGGGGGATAAGTCATTCTCTCCATCATGCTTGATATCCTCATGTTCATTGAAGTGACTCTTGTCGGTCGACATCTTGGGCCAAATTCACTTGAAAGTGCTATTATACTGGACACAACACGCAGTAGTATTTGACGTAAGAGATGCGCGGGTGCTAGTAGGAAGCAGGACAGAAAATAGTCGCGACTTGACACTGGCACTTTATAGACCGTTAATTCTGGAACAGATAAGTCAACTAGAGTCTCTAGTCACAGCGAGTCTACAGCACGGGGCAACCCCAAATCTAAATCGATAACTCCGCATCCCCCTTTGTCCAATGCAGCCTAGCATCTCTAGGATGACAGAAGAAAATGCAAGGATTGTGTGGAGGAGCGGAAATGAGATTTGGACGGAGTGGGACTAAGCGTCTGTTGAGGCCGTCTTGCAACGACAAGGACAAGCATCAGCGGATGTGATTTTAACCGCCCCCTGACTGTGCCAGCACATCGCAGCTACATGTGAAGCGGTCCAAGGGAACTAGACAATCAAGCTTGGTTGTTAATCGTTAAGTCCGTGGTTAGCTCGAAAGCCCTGTCCGGGCACTGTTTCACATGACGGGCTGATTGGCCAAATCATACTAGATTGACTAAGTTATTCTTGGCTGCGTAATAGTTAGATAACTCCCCAGTTATGTAGTAACATAGTCTTACTCTGGTTCAAAAGTCTATTTTTTGGGCGTTTGGTACTCGTCAGCTCGTGGATAAGTTAATTTCCGGCGTGAGGAGGACGTTCACAAACGTTCTGATCTTCAATATGCCATTTCGATGCACCAATTCGGTGCTTGCAAGAACGCTTTCGTCTCTAATTTCATATCTTTCCATCCGATGTATATTGATCTGTGTCTATGTCACAAATTATTAAAGGAATAGGTGATCCTGTATTAGACAGCCGGGAGACGTGGAAGAAGACACTCCTAAAGAGACAGCTCTCCTGTGGATCTTCCAGACCCACCCCCGCAAGAATCTTTATCCCCCGCAAATGGAGAGCTTCCCCAGATTGACAGAGATCCATTCTATGTTAAAGAACCAAAAACGAGGATATTGCTTGTTGATAGGGATTGCGTAATAAGATTTTGAGGACAATATTGATCGATTTGTTAATCTTCTAGAGAAATTGACACAGATCTGGGGCCCGAGCGCCGAGCCTAGTGCCTTTCAGTCACCGTCTGGGCGAGGCAAATGTTGAGGTCCTGTAAGTATTCACGGGATATTAATTGGGGAGGTGGGAAAAGCATCTATGATCACTGGGAAATATTTCCTAAAGTGAGAGTCGAGAAGGGTTATTTAAATAAAATTTTGAATTTTGGAAGCACGCAACAAATACCTTGCCACCTCGTATCAATACTCTAAATCCAACGCAGTTTTGTATTGAGTGAGTCTTGATGCTCTAATCCCATCGAAATTTCTGATTAAATTACATGAAGAATATTTAATCCCACAGTGGATGATGCTTCTTTCCTATAATCTTCCAATGCATCTCACTCACAGGTACCTCTAAGGTGCTCGGAGGTCGACGAATATTTCCAGTAAGCTCTATGCTTAACGTAATTTCATCTCGCCTTTAAATAAACGCTTCGAAATCAATACACTTTTTTTTAACAGAAAAGTCCGGAAAGGGTCTTTCTTGAGTCTCAACCCAAGAATATGTCGTCATGGTCGTATCTGCATTATAAGAAACTGCTTGAGAATATCACTACAATGCCGCAGATGAATCCAAAACATCTCAGAATGATCCTGTTGTGGAATCGTTTCTGGTCCATATCCTTCCATGTGATGTCTCTCCCCGTCAAAAAAATAGTCCTTGAAGGCTTCGGTGCGAATAGCGTTGTAGCAATGCTGTACGTGAAAAGCATCAAGTCCTCCCATGTAAGCTTCAGGACCAAGTCCAAATGTCTCATCCGGCAGTCTGACAGCCCTTTCTGGGTCTTTGTCCATTGCAATGACTTGTTCACGTTTCAACATGAAGACTCGCTGAACCTCATAATCTTGCCAGAGATCATCCGTAGTTGGGCCAGGTTCCCGTCGTCCGAGTAATTGATCCTCGACGTTCGTAGCGGGAATTAAAGATGCAGAGATTTAGTTCTGATATTTCGCGTCCACATACAACATTTCAGTACATCTTCGAGGTTTCTTACGATGCCTGTTCTACCACGTCTAGAGGATAGAAAATTTCGGTAAACATGTTGACCCCAACAGACATGCACACTTGACCAGAAAGACGATATTTTAGTCCTTTAAGATGAAATACTTTGTATGTCATAGAATTGGCGGAAAAGAGACCCAGGTCGACTCAATAACTTGCCTGGTGAATCATACTCAACAATCCTACCATCATCAACGACAGCTATCATGTCGAAATCCGTAAAGCTTTTTACGCGATGCGCAACTGCTATAATCGTGCAATGTGAAAACTCGTTACGTATTACTCTCTGCATGAGCTCATCCGTCCTTTTGTCAACGTTGCTAGTAGCTTCATCCAAGAGTAGCATATTGCGTTTCATAAGAATGGCGCGAGCAAGACACATTAATTGTTTTTGACCTGCTGATAGAGTGATATCTTCTATCTTTGCATCCAAACCACCACTACAGGACTCGACTTGATCACGCAGCTGAACCCTTTCTAGAGCTTCCAGAATCATCGAATCATTAAATATTGCCGTTGGATCAGCGACAGTAGAGAATCCTATAAGATTCTCGCGGACAGATCTGCTCGATAGCAGTACTGGCTCCTGCGGAATAACTGTGACCCTGTTACGCACGACCTCCCTTGGACACGTTAATAGGTCCAAGGCGTCAATTGTCAGCTGTCCAGTTTGTACCTCGATCATGCGCAGAATGGCCAAGATCAAAGAGCTTTTACCACTCCCAGTACGGCCACATATTCCTAACTTGGTCCGAGATTCGACTGTGAGGGAAATATTTCGAAGTACCGGCTGAGCAGTAAATGCGTATCCAGCAGAGACATTTTTAAACACCAAGCGCCCGTCAGATGGCCATGTAGAAGGGGGATATTGACTTTCGCTCGGTAGATCCTCAGAAGGGACAGTGTTTTGAAAGTCCCGGATACGAGTTATAGCACCAATACTGGTCTCCATCGAAGTCCAAAAATTCACCAATTCAGCCAGCTGTTGGCTAAATGTGACAAGAGAAATGAGAGATACGCCAATGGAACCAATATTTTGAACGAATACGGCTAGGAGGCAGAGTATGATAGCCMCTCCAGCCACAAGCAAGTCCAAGACCAGGATCAACCACCTTTGGACAACAAATAGGGTGAAAAATGGTCGTTGGGACGTTTGAAGTAACTTCTGGTGTTCCTCTTGAAAGTGCTGTTCCCACCCAAAGGCCCTGATGGTAATGAGCCCACTGATAGTCTCTGTGAAATGGGTATAAAGCGGAGATTTGGTCTCCAAATCAAGTTGACGCAATTGTCGCGAAGTGCGAAGGTAGAACTTCTGGATCACGTAAACCACGAATCCGGCAACAGGAATGAATGAAGCGAGGTACTTTGCTCCGACTGATATAAAGATGGCACTCATCAGGCATTGCACGAAATTATTGGTAGTTTTGAGAAAGTCCGCAGGTAGAGATCGGTCTACCAAGGCCATGTCTTGACTGAATCGATTTAGTGTAATACCATTATCGGTGGAGGTCAAAAACCACAACGGGGCATTTTTGATTTTGGTAACTAGGTACTCATGCAACCGACTTGAGGTTTTGGGTACGATGCGACAAAAAACGAGCCACATGCACAATGCCCACAGAGCGGATCCGACGGTTGCCAGCATGGCATACACGGAGATGTACATTACCAGGTGTCCGAACGGATAGTGTGCGTTGGCTTCTGCCCACCATTGTACCCATAGATCTATTCTCAGTTAGTATATATTAGACACTTGTATTGAAATATGCAGGATCAACTTGCTAGGAAATTGAGAGCAGAAAGCTCCGATTACAAGGCACATGAAGTAGACAAGCATATTTCTAGTTCCAGCGGCCTTGAGATAGTATGAATAGTTAGTCAAATCACCTAGCTTCTTGTCTACAACATCTTCAACAGCATAATTTGTGGGAAGGCTCGTGGTCTGATGATCATCAACAGGCGACCCAGTCGTAATATTGGAAGCATCAGGAGACAGTAGTTCATTAATTACCGTAAGATCGTTGCTCGTCTGATCTGCCTTGGGTCGTTCGTAGGTCAATATCTTCCCATCTTCAAGCATCAAAATTTGATCAGGGCGAATCAGATTATGAGCTCCATGTGTGACGAGGACGATAGTCACCCCATGCCGGCGTAGTAGCCCTTGCCTCCCAAAGACATGTGTAACAATATGTTCACTAGTTCTAGCGTCCAACGCGCTCAAAATATCATCAAAAAGTGCTAATTGGGTCCGGGCGTATAATGCACGGGCTATGGCAATTCTTTGACGCTGACCACCACTAATTGAGGTACCATTGCTTCCGATAATAGTCTGATGTCCTTGAGGGAGGCTTCTTATATCGTCTTCTAGAGCACATGCCCTAATGACTGTTTTATACCATTCATTGTCGTATTCGAGTGGTCCAAGAATATTGTCTCGAAGGGTCCTTTGACGAAGCCAGGAATCTGTGTCACAGTAACTGACTGTCAACGAAGCCTGCATCTGCATAAGACCCGTCGTACAGTGTAGTTCGCCCAGCATTGCTTTCAAAAGCATGCTTTTTCCTGAACCCACAGGGCCGACAACCAGTGTTAGTGACCCACGAGGAAGTTTTAGATTTATGTTTGATAGCAGAGATGTGGTCCTATTTGAACTGAAATAGGCTTGCTGAAGTAATACAACGTCTGTTGCGTCAGTAGTTGGCTGGCCTTTGTATCCTATGCTTTCCCGTGTTGTGATGTCTTGCATTTCGAATGATGTTGAGCCATTAGATCCCGTCGTTATCTCAGGCGTTATATGCGAGATGAGATGAAATCTTTCGCTCCCTCGATAATTGTGCCGTGAAGGTTTCAGAAGGTATTGCTGGATTTTCTGGAAGCTTTCAAGGACTCCAGCAACCCTCGGTGCAGAATAAACCAAGTTTGATAATGGATTGCTCGCTAAAATAATGATAGAAAGTGTCGTAAAAGTTTGTGCTTCTGTCAGGGGGTCCCGCTCCGTCCAGATTGCGATTCCAGTATAGACCCCAAGGGTGATGACAGGGGCAAGGTTCGAGGGTATGCCAGCTGCGAGCTTTTGTTAGCACGTTTTAGCAAGCACACACCTGCTGATTTGACCTCCACCAAATGGGTTATTTTACCGACTAAGTTCATCGCAACAAATGAATGTCTAAATTTCTTCTGCAAATTCAATTCTTGAACTCGAAGCTGCTGTACAGTGATGCAGATCTGCTTCGAAATACCCAGCATCTTCGCAGCTTTACTCACGTCTAACCAATTGGATGTAAAGGCAACTCTTTCACGTACTGCCTGCATCCAAGTCGTTTGTCGAGCAGGGAATGACCTTGAAATGAGACCAGTCAGATAGAATACTACCAAAGAGATTGCTGCTGGAATACCAGCGGCCCAAAGGACCTCTTTTTCCAGCAGGTAAATGGCAACGCCCAACTCAATTGGACTTGCCCATGTTTCGTGAGCGTTCTGAACACCTCTTGAGATGTTGTCTACTTCGGTACTCATCAGCGTCACCGCTGAAAGATCATCATTCGTGTCAGATTGTACTTCTAGCGTCTTTTCATAGATTATGGATACCACTGCACCACGCATCTGAGTTATCAAGCGAAATGTGTGATGCTCGTAAATGCCGTTGAAGACCTGAATACTCTTGTAAGTTTCATACTCATGAGAAAGCGTTGAGCAAAGCAATCACCTACCCCTTTGAGAACGAAGACGAGAGAAAATGCCCCTACTAATCCATATCCATCATTCTTGCTCGAGTTCTTGTCTCCGACGTAGTCGATCAATCGTGATATCAAAAAAGGTTGAGAATAGTTCAAGCCAATTAGGGTCAGTCGTGCCATGAACGAGTATACCACTGACGATTTGAAGGCGCGCAAAACGCACCATGTCAGAGTATTTTTATTCGACTTTGAGGCTGCGCAAAATATCAGCGGATAAGCTCTTCAAGAAAAACAGGGTCCACATCTGTCATCTCACATGAAATCCATAGTTTCTTCACCTTCTGATGTACTATCTCTGATGATAGAGCTTGATCGAGCCGTGGTAGGTTTTCCACTGATAGATTCTTCTTAAATCCCAGGACGAACAGTTGATTGATCCACCAGAAAAAAGAGCGACTGTATAAGCCACAGATTTCTTCAGCCCCATACTGTATTGTTCCATTGATAAAATGTGCCTGCTTTGTCCTTGTTTCAAGATAAAACCAGGCTATCTTCAGACCAATACCAACCGAGTAAATCACAGCGATAGTCGTATAGTCKGSGAGCCATAAAGTTCGCACGCGCACAACATCGAATAGTAAGGATAACGATAGAAAGAGATTAAGCAGAAACGAAGGCTGTATTGCGTAGATGTGTTCTAGGTGCGAAAGTAGTTGCAAGCCCGCACATGCTATGAACGCTACCACTGCTGATGCTATCGACGTTTCTGTTCGTGGAGCACGAGGTAATGCCCAATAAATAACCAAGAGTAGTTGGGATAATCCATATGCCATTGAGAGCAGCTACCGCGATGAATCAGTTTTGGATAAAAGAACAAACAACTTCTGGTAATACAATATGGCAGTTACATACCACCTTAAGCCAGTAAGCAGGACTCCGTGCAACCTCCTTAGTCTTATTCTTCCATAACTGTCGGTACCGCAAAGGAAGAGCTAGTAATAGCAGCACTGATGGCGCTATCGCTAATAGAGATTCTTCGAAGAGTAATGTGAAGTCAAAGTCTCCGCGGCAATGACTGACTGTAGGACCGAAATTGGTTTCTCCGCAAAATGTGATGTTTTCCATGTTCCTTGACTATATTTATATCAAAGAGCGCATTCTTGAGGATCAAATTTTATGCAGGATGAAGTTTAAAAACATGGATTTCATCTGATAAGAGGAAACAAGATGTCTAGACATGCACATGCTGCCCATCGCATATCAGGGATTAGATGCTTTCGCTCATTGAACCGGGATCTTGATTCGATCGATTTGATTTCATTTGTTCTTCTTTGTTCTTCTTTGTTCTTCGTTTTAGTGGTGCTTGCTCTAGGATTGGGTAGTCTAAGCTGGGATGCGACCAGGGCTTATCTCTGACCTATCACCATGACTCCAAATGATTTCTCGTCGTGGCGACTAGCCATAACTTCGGATTGTAGGGAAAAGCTCAAGAGTAGCTGAAATTTGATGGATTCAAATCATGAAACAGCCACACAAATCTTTCCAGCAAGCTGACATTGTCGTTATCGACGGTGGAGATTGATAGGAATGTGTAGACACGGGCGAACCGTGCCGTCTAGGCCCTGTGGGGCGGACTACATAGTAGGACGATCTAGCTCAATTTACGTCTGCTAAAGTCAGACTAAAGCCGCTTCTCGTTTTAGTCGCATTTTATGTGACATGCGACATCCATCCATTGAGCAAGTTATTTCGCTTACTCTCTGGCTTGGAATTGACCCTCCTGGGAAGGCACGTGATCATAGGAAGCGAAGTTAGGACGGCTGAGCATAGATGTATAATCTCAATTATAGTTCTCTTCTTGCCGTCCGTACATCCATACAGTCTGGCTCACCCAAGTAACTCACGATGGGTGGTAATTGTCACCAATCAGCTGACCGAGTCTTCGGTCCTACTGTATCTTGTCCATATGAATTCGATTTTACCTTGTTTTTCGAGCAAAGCATCCTCTCCATTGGTCCCTCTATTCTGTTCCTGCTGCTCGTGCCCTTGAGAATTTTGTACCTCTACAGGACAAGTATCAAGACTACCAAACTCGTCAATAATTGTCTTTGGCTCAAACTCGCGATAGCAGTATCTCTCATAGGCACTCAGATTACAATGTTGACATTATGGGCTCAAGAAAACACAGTCCGTACTGCTATTCCGTCTGCCATTCTATCTCTGCTAGCCGTGCTCCTCATCACAGTCCTATCGGCCATCGAACATAGCCGATCGGTCCGTCCATCAACCTTGATATGCGTATACCTGCTGGTTACCATCCTGCTCGACTCCGTTCAGGTTCGGACATTATTTCTACGACCATATTACTCTAATAACCTCGCGGCCATGGCTGCTACAGCCGTCGGATTAAAAACACTCCTCCTGTCGATCGAAATTCAACACAAAGGCAAATACTTAAGCCTTAAAGACCACGAACAATATCCGCCAGAGGAGTTGAGCGGCGTGTTTGCTCGGACAATCTTCTTGTGGCTCAACGAGTTGTTTTTAAGAGGCTTTCGTAAAATTTTGACATTGGATGACCTGTTCCCTACAGACAATAAATTGCATTCCAATCTGTTGATGGGTGCTTTGAAAGTACAATGGGCCAAGTGTTTGTTTCCCTGACTACCTTTGTCGAAAATGTCAAGAGTGTGTGAACAGATCAAACAATACAAAGACTTACCATGTGTCCCAGATAAATCAAGTAATTCACTTAGCATTATATATGCGACCGTGTCTTGTTTCCGGTGGACTCTTCTACAACTCATCGTCCCACGCGTATGTCTGATTGGATTCAGCTACGCGCAGACCTTCTTTATTGAGCGCGCAATTAGACTTGTTAATGAGCCAGTGACTCAAGATTCAAAGAACGATGGTTATGGATTGATTGGCGCCGCAGCACTTATATATGGCGGTATTGCGGTCTGTACAATTGAATATTCTGCTTGTTGATGGAATTTCATATTGACTAGTGAAAGATATCAACCGTACATTACCAACACCAACTTTTTCGTATGATAACCATGTTTCGTGGCGCTTTCGTTGCCCTGATCTATGACCATTGTATTACTCTTCGGGAAGGTGAATATGACGAATCAGCAGTGATTACGCATATGACTACGGATGTAGACATGATTGCCAGATCGTTAGAGCAAATGAACGAACTGTGGGCGCGTGTCCTGGAGGTTGCCATCGGAATCTGGCTTTTGGAAAGACAACTGGGAGCAATTTGTATAGCTCCAGTTCTGGTTATAATGAGTACGTACAGATCATCGTCTCTTACTCGCATTCCTACATTGAATGGTATCTGATTTTAATTTCTAGTTTGCACATCTCTGCAGACATATATGGCAACATTTATGTCAACGCGACAGAAGTTGTGGATGGGAGCGATAGAACAACGCATAAGCATAATATCTACTACGCTGAGATCTATGAAAAGCATCAAGATGCTTGGCTATTCAGACCATCTAAGTGGTTTGTTACAAGCGCGCAGGCTGCGTGAACTGGATCTTTCGAGAAAATTTCGATGGTTGATTGTGTGGCTGAACGTAGTCGGTGGGTGTGCATCAAACCTAGACATAACGCTAGCTGACTCGACTACTTTATATATCAGCTAGCCTACCGCAAATGTGCGCTTCCTTGGTGACCTTCGCAGCTTTCATCATTCGATCCCAGATTGACGGGTCCGAGCCTCTTTCGACTGCACAAGCTTTCACCTCTCTTGCCATTATCAGTCTCATCACTTCTCCGGCATTGCAACTCTTGGCATCCATTCCTGCGTTGTCAACCTCCGTGGCAGCTTTCGATCGCGTGCATCGATTCTTAACGTGCTCCTACACAGGCAGGGAGGCGGATCACAATCCCGAGATTGCGTTTTTTCAAGGCTCTGGTGTACTCCCTGCGTCAGATAGGAAAAGAGCTGATCAAGCATTCACGCCCGATATCCAAATGGATACGACCAGAGTTGATGGGCGACCGTTTTATGTTCCCTCTTTAAGTTCTGATATCGCGATTTTAACTGTGTCAGAGGCTTATGTCAGGCCAAGCCCAGCTTCAGAATTTTGTTTACAGAACATCAACGTTACGGTCAAGTCAGGAAAGATTACAATAATCACGGGCCCTGTGGGATGTGGAAAATCTGTCTTATTGAAAGCGGTAATGGGAGAAATAATCTGTGAACAGGGCTCTATATCAGTTTATGACGATGGAGGAATTGCCTTCTGCGGTCAAATCCCCTGGTTGCAAAATACGACGATTCGGAACAACATCTGCGGGTATTTAGGCCAAGACAACCCGAACTTGTATCATGAAGTCCTACATGCCTGTGCTCTCGAAGACGATCTTACCAGGATATCTAATGGGGATGAGTCGCTTGTGGGAAGCCAAGGAATTACATTAAGTGGTGGACAGAAACAGCGCATTGCATTGGCTCGTGCTCTGTACTCTAGACAACGTCTGCTCGTCCTGGATAGTGTCTTGAGTGCGGTTGATCAACACACGGAGCGAATTATACTCGAGCGGGTATTTGGTAGCAATGGACTTTGTCGAAAAGCAGGCATATCTGTGCTAATGACAGCACACTCCAGTAAGTCACAATTTTATGTCCCTTGGGCGTTGGAAGTTTATATTTTCACACAAACTTAACTTCATTTGCAAAGAAAAATATTTTGGTCTAGCCGACGAGGTCCTAGTATTGAACGCACAGGGACAGGTCGTGAAACAAGGGGCCTTTAAACCTGCGCTATCCGCAGATCAAGTAACAGAAACTGAGGAGTCGGAATTCCCCGGAATTCACGATAGTGATTCGTCTACGAAAGAAAAAGATATTACAGTTCCCAAAACACTAACCCCTGAAATCATCTCTGATATGTCTCGTCAGACTGGCGATATTGCTGTCTACTCATATTATCTCAGAGCCATTGGGTGGCGACTCGTGCTTGGGGCCTGTGTGATTATTGTGGTATATGCCTTTTCCACTAACTTTCCCCGTAAGTTCGTAGTCTCCCACTGCTGCAGACTCTGATGCTGATTGAAGGGCCTAATAGAGGTTTGGTTGGACATTTTTACCAACGATGATGGTGCACGMCCCAGCCGATTCATAGGTGTTTATGTTTTTCTGGCCGTTGCTGCTTCAGGATCCCAAGGTTTAATGATATGGTACGTCTATTTGATGTAACCTCGATATGTTCGATGTTATTAACCGTAATTCTTTCAAGGCAAATCATGATCAATATTGTTGTCAGGTCAGGGTTGACGCTGCATGGCATTCTCGTTCGTGCCGTGATGAATGCGCCGATGCATGTATTCGCGGAAGTTGATTCAGGTGTAATCTTGAATAGGTTCAGCCAAGATATGACTCTCGTCGATGCGGTTCTGCCCACTGTGACATTTGGGACACTCCTAGGTAAATGCGATATTTTGTTTCCAAATACAAGTCGATGTCACTTTTCTTAGCTAATTCTGATCATTTAGGTGCTGCACAATGCCTAGCCCAAGCGGCTTTGATATCATTAGGGTCAAGTTACATGGCGATCACCATTATTCCGACACTTATCGTTCTTTATTTTGCACAAAAGGTATATCTACGAACATCTCGACAGATCCGATTCCTTGACTTGGAAGCGAAAAGCCCTCTTTATACACATTTTGCGGAGACGTTAACCGGACTATCTACCATTCGAGGATTTGGCTGGCAGACAAAGTTCTTGGAGGAATGTCTCTGCCGACTCGATATTTCTCAGAGGCCATATTATTTACTCTTTTGTATTCAGCGATGGCTCAATGTCGTTCTAGATCTTATGGTTGCCAATTTGGCGATAATATTGACAGCGCTAGCGACGTCCTTGCGTGGTTCCACGGACGCGGGAAAGCTTGGAGTTTCTCTTACAGCTATCATGGCATTTAACCAATCTCTACAGGAGCTGGTGACCAGTTGGACTGCGATGGAGACCTCTCTAGGGGCTATTTCCCGAACTAGATCATTTCAATTGAATACTGCCAGTGAGCATCGACATGGAGAAGATTTTGTCCCTCCGTCGGAGTGGCCCTCCCGCGGTAAGATCGATGTACAAGCTGTTACCGCATCTTACGAGTAAGAAATTCTTTTTCTTTTTGAGAAGCAGCCATTTAACTCAATGATACATTCAGCGGCGTGAAGAATGTCTTGGAGAATATCAATGTCACGATCGATCCGGGAGAGAAAGTAAGAATATGTGGAAGAACTGGCAGGTAAGTGACGTCCACGATTGAAAAACAACCCTCATTGTGAATGTGGTATTAATTTACGATCAAGCGGAAAGAGTACCTTTATTTCGCTGCTACTACGACTGATTGACCACAAAGCTGGCACTATTCGGATCGATGATGTAGATATCACAACGATTCCCCGTAACGTCCTCCGCTCTCGTTTCATTTCTATCCCACAAGATCCGCTACCAGCCCTCCCAGGCTGTTCCATCCGATCAAACCTCGATCCGAATCGACATGCAACGGATGCAGTGATCTTGTCTGCCCTTGAGAGGGTCGGCCTCCATAATTTGGTTGAATCTCGTGGTGGTTTGAACGGAGAAGATTTGAGCTCACATCCATTGTCACAGGGGGAGCAGAGACTCTTCGCACTTGCAAGAGCCTTGATATCCAAGTGGACGCGGGATGCGACTACTGGCGGTCTGGGAGGGATACTAATTCTTGATGAGTTCACCGGAAACACCGATGCGGAGACCGAGCGAGCAATGCTTCAGATCATTGAAAAAGAATTTGCAGTCTACACAATCATTCAAATTACACACCAAATTGATGCGGTAAGTGAAATGTCGGAAAGGACCTTGAATCTGGTATCGGGCCGGTTAAATGAGTAAAGCGACCCAAGCCTTCGTTTTTCTGTTTCTCGATGTGTATTTAATATTCCAGGTCGTACCCTTGCCTATTTCCCCCATTTTTTCAACCTCCTGATGTCGGCCGTATTTCTGTGTAAGGGTAACATTGTGGACGAGCTGTTGAGCAGTAAATGAAGCTTATGAGGCTTAGGAGATTTCAATGATATTGACAAAATGCGGTTTCTTACTACAATCCAATGGCATGTATAATGGCGTGTAAGGCCAAACTCTTCTGCTTCACAATGACTCGTTTGGTACCAGATCAAGTAATATTACAAATATCTCTTATAAAATCCTTAAGAATTTACTTCAAACCAAGGGACCAATAAGTACAATCAAGACTTGTATCAATCGGCGTACAAGGAGCCCATATGGTGTTCTTGATGGAGCAGTCCTGTGGGTGTCGAAGGCTAAAAATGAGTGATAATTGCACGGACTTTCGTCCGTGATATCCGAACTGCACATGGATGGAAGAAGGGTACCCTCAAAGATCTAACAAGTAGCTGTTTGATGATATGTCACGCTGACGCTAAAACATGTGCATTCATAGCAAGCGAACTAGTTCTCCCTGATGACAGAGAATACTAAGTCATAGAGAAAGAACTAAGAAAGGCAAATCCAACTCTATCCTGTGGATGCTTTTAGTCTCTGTGTGAGACATTTACCTTTTTCCAATCGGTCGTTAAGCTCTTGGTAAGTAATAGTGGCTGTTATAGTAGAGACATGTTCGAGGGTTTCCTGGCCGAAACACAGTGTGACTTTTACTAGGTATGTAAATAAATAGACGAAGTTTCCATATATAGAGGGCAAAATTAAAGAGGATAACAAACCCATATCAGATTTTTTAATGCTTAGAACAAGAATACTGCAAGTACCAAAGAGTCAAGTAAATCCCGCCAATAAAACAAGTTGGTGCTTGGATATTCAACTTCAGACTAATCTATCCGGGCCCTTTATAACTCAGGAATTTGATAATATTCGATACTTGTCAGAAGGCCACCAGCCCTGATGCTATGGCCGAGGATAGCCTCATCGTATGGACGGGCACTMCCCTCCTTCACAGCCCGCCATAATGGGGCAAGACCACGCATTGATGAGCGATATGCCCGACCCCATCAATTACTTGAATCCTCTGACCCTGCCCATTCAATACCGTTTGTGGAGGTCCGAGAGTATTATCTGCGGCTCAGAGAATGGTCTGGGTGCCCATAATAGTGTCAAAGCTTGGTCACATATATCTTGGTTCTGTCTTCAAATTTGAGCGCAGCCTACCTGAGCAAGATAATCGAAGGAATGTGCCCAATGTACACGAGCCATTCTGGGATCATGTTCTGCGTGTTCCGATGAACTATTGAGAACTATGATTTCATGAAGGAGTACCAAGCAATGAAGCTGATGAAACATTAAGATCTATAATCGGTAACTAAGCGGAATGTCTAATATCATCCACCCAGCCCTGTCAAGCACTGTTCTATAAAAGCAGCTGATACCGATATATTGCAAATGGATACAACCTTCCAGCCTGCCTTTATCTCCATCTCACCGAGCAAAACCTGGTCACTCTTAGGGTTAAGGGAATAAGTTTACAACAGTTCATCACTTACCGTACCGGAGGTCTTAAAAGTCCCTATTTTATCTGTTTGTCCTGCATGTCTTAAGGTCGACACCGAGCACCAGGGTTTCATAGGCACTGAGATGTAAGGTTCTTGTTTAATTTTCTCCTTTACCTAAAGGCTAGGCTCATATTCTTTTCTTTATATTAGGTATTTATACCACGAGACGTCAGTATTCAGCCTCCCCACTCAGCACGCTTGAAAGCAGTACTCAAAAAAGACTCGAGACTGGGCGCCAAAGCCACTATCAATAGATTTGCCACAGACGATATAATTAGAACCGAGGTTACAGACGAATGCTGAAGTTCGAACACATCTGGGAATACTTCTTCGATTGCGAGAGGGGGTTGCCGACCTCGGTATATCAACGCGGGGAAAACATACAAACAAGCTCCTAGATAGCCAAATTACCAGTAAATATAACGTACATAGACGCTCGTTTTCAAATATATTACTCAAAGAAAGAGATAATCGTTCTGGGGCGAAATAAAAAGAAAAAGAGAGAGACTGTCAATAGCAAGCATATAATATGGTCAACGAAATCACATTCAACGGTAGGAATGCTGAAATGATAGTGTCTTCTCTCGCGGACCTGCTAACTTATCAAATCTATCATAGAATGGCGGGAACTAAGCTATTTGACCTTTGAATGGGCGGATAGCTATGACGCCAAGGTGCGCTATAGGCAATACCCATATCGCAATTCGAACCATTGATCGATTTCATTTGAACCAGGAATTCCATCGTATGGAAGCTATTTTGGCTCCCCGAGTAGTAGTACGTCATTATAGTCACAAAAAATGTCATTCAATTTTCGCTGACCATCATTAGCTCGACTATTCCGAACAAACTCTTGGTGTCAAATTCGACCTAACCGCCAAAGAATTCTTACAACTGTCCGACAACAAAAACCGACTTGGCGGTCTAGTTGACTGCATTCACCATGTCGGCGCCTCCAAGTTTGAGCGTACGGGCAAGGACACGATAACTGGTCATCACCAAGTCAGGGTTGAGTACAAACGTTACAGGACCATGGAGAAGAAGGAAACTGAAGTCGAGGCAAGGGGACATGGGTTGACGATGATGTTACATTATTATAAAAAGGTCGATGGAAAATGGAAACTGGCAGGTGTGAAGCCTCAGAAGCGTCTGGATGAGTTTAATTTTCCGCAGATTTTCAAGGAGCCGGAGGCCAAAGGAAAGGCAAAAATGTGATTTCTATATTTGTGTGACCGTAGCAATACTATCCCATTGGATGATCAGATAATCGCCTCAACCCTTTGTCCAGATTGAAGTCATAAGTCTTTGATGTCACATAGCTGAACATCTCATATCCATCTTTCCGATTCAATTGAATGTACATACAAAGTTGTGTAGGCAGTGCCAACATTTGCTCATTATGAATTATGTAGCTAACCCCTTGGCTTTCCAATAAGGTTCTAATAGTCGCAACCAAGTCCATCGAGTCTTGTTTCCCCAACCCTTCGCCTTCCACTCATTCAAACTCTCGGGGAAATGGTCCACACCATCTCTCACAGCGGAGTCATGTGCAATAATAGTAAAAACATCTTCCTGGCAGTCTATCTCTTGCAGATGATCTCTTGTCTTCTTTGCAAGAGGGATGTCATGACCAAAACACATATCAAACAAACTATCTGTAGTCTTTCTTCCTCTGGAGCGTTGTAATTCTTCAAAAGCGCTGCCAGGACAGAACGGTATATCACTATCAAGATTCATAGGATTCGGTGAGATTGATGAGGGCACGGGGAGGTACTCCGAAGGTCGGAAAATGCCTGGATCATGGCAGATATCTCCTCCCATGAGAATGAATGTCGGCGGGTTGATAGTTGTACGCGCAAGAGCACAAAGGTGGCCAATTGCATGCCCTGGGCTATCAAGGAAATAAAATGATCCATCACCAAAATAATCGACAGCTGGAAACTTGCCGATTTGAAAGGCATCTGGACCATCAAATCGGATTTCGCGCAGTTTCCGATCCCTGAGAATGACTGTCAGAATCATTTGGACTAGACTACGAAAATCAGCAAACGTACGCATAATCGCTCTCTCTTATGGGAGATTCTGGATTTGATGGATATCCAGGAAGCATCGCATCCGAGAAGCCTTGCCCAACTATCAACTCCGTAGTCTGGGGAAAGCTAGAAGGGTCGCCTATATGATCCCAATGCCAATGACTAGATTGTAAGACTTTATAAGCATATCTTCAATCGAATATATGTGTTGGTGCTTGATGGAACATTACCTCCATATAATTGCGTTTATTTCTTCTCTTTCTATGCCGTTTCTCTCCAAAATATCCGACACATTCTCTTTTACTTGAATATCGTAATTCGTAGTCGGTATATAATTGGAAATTTTAGGCGCGTAGTTTTGCCAGTCTTTACGGATTCCCAAATCAAACACCATTTTATGACCCGACGGATGCTCGAGAAAGAACGTCAACACCGGGCTTGGTCTCTTCTTCTCAACTCCTGGAACAGCTGGTTCCATGAATCTTTTGATTATAGCTGGTCCGAAGTTTACAGGATTGATCATTTTCACAGTCACAGCTACCTCGCCGGGAGGAATGTGTATGGAAGGTCGTTCCGACATGTTGAGTTCCTGATTTCTGCTAACTTGAAAGTGTTGCAAACATTCTTTTCTCAAGAATCAGCAGGACAAGTGAAAGTTTTCGGCTTCATTATTTTGTATCTTACATAAAGAACTAGTGTGGACAAGCAATCCACATCGGAGCTCATACCGAAGTCCTATCCAGCACGTGGCCAAAGAGTGGTTCTCGGTAATTCCATAAACAGTCACAAGCCGGTCTTGGATGTTTCCCCACGGTATCAAGTTCATGAAGTGTTACGTAGTCGTCCCCCGGGCTACCCCGGACCATACCTCAACTCCCCCACATTTGTTCCAAAATAAACTTCCTGCCATGCACCCCGTCAAACCTTCGCAAATACCATGCAAATACCGTTTTGTAACGTAATAACCGGCAAAGGTACATCAAGTTACGGACAACTGCGACCTATACTTTCTGAGTCCAGCTGTCATAGCTCTTGCATATGTTTATCGGGGTCTTCAGAAGCTATAAGCTAGATGTGAAACTATACATATAATATGCCCTTGTTATTCAGAGAATCCGACGAACTTTAGTCTGGATTACACTTACTAAAGCAATTGATTGTGGTGTCTTCTCAAAGCAACATTATTTTTTTCATCTCAGGCTGTCCAGTATGTCGGACCATATCAAACCCGAAGCTTCCCACACCGAGAGTATGGAGGTCGAAAGTGCAGGAATCAAAAAGATTGATACCATCCATGGAGACGAGGCTGTCAAAGTTCTCGCTGCCTATGAGGGTGAACAAACCTGGACCGAAGACGAGGAGAAGAAGCTCCGTACGAAAATTGATATCAGATTGCTTCCTATCCTCTGTATCAGCTATGCACTACTATACGCTGATAAGGTCTTACTTGGCCAAGCGGCAAGTTACCTCTGATCGAATTCATGATTGAGAAGTAACCGCCAAACTGACTGCTACCATGACAGGCTCTCTTTGGTATCCTCAAAGACCTTGGTCTGTCGGAGGGAAACCATTACTCAATGTCATCGTCGATATTTTATCTTGGTTTCATCTTCGGAGCTTACCCAGCTATCTACTTGGCACAGCGATATCCAATCGAGCGTGTCGCTTCTCTTGTTATCATTTTGTGGGGCACAACATTGATTCTTACACCAGCGTGCCAGGATTTCCGTGGATTGTATGCTCAGAGATTCTTCCTGGGCTTCACTGAAGCTGGTATCAGCCCGATGTTCATGATGATTGTGGTATGTCGTTTGGCACACTCGTGAGCAATACCATTGAGGTTGACTGACTTTGTATTTGCTGCTATAGGGCGGATGGTATAAGAAAGACGAGCAATCACTTCGAATGGGGTACCGACTTTTACTTCTTAATTACACTCTACACAGATACTAATTTTGTACTAGGGCCTGGTATTCCTGCACGGGATATGTCTCTATTTTCTCCCCGTTGGTCAACTGGGGCCTTGGTCACATTCAGGGAAAGCTTTCACCATGGAACTATATGTACTTCTTTGCAGGCGGCATGACAATTCTGGTACGTCTCCTTAGGTCCATATTAGACTTTCTATGAAACTGGGGTACTAAATCAGTCTTTTAGTGGGGAATCATAGTCCTCTTTCTCCTTCCTTCTGACCCCATCCGAGCCAAGGGCTTTGACGACAGACAACGCTTCATCGCGGTATCACGAATGCGAACAAACAACTCTGGAGTCCGAAATACTCACTTCAAAACTGCCCAAGCGGTGGAACTCGCGACTGATATCAAGTTTTGGTTGATGTTCTTCTTTGCTTTCACTGCTATGTTTGCCAACGCTCCCATCTCTACCTTCCAACCCCTTATCATTAAGGATCTCGGCTATAGCGGTCTCAAGTCACTGCTTATGACGATGCCGTCAGGAGCATATGCTGGAACAATGATGCTGATTACAACTTACTTGGCTTATAAATTCCCGGGATGGAGGTCATATATCATTGCTCTATGTCAAGTTATGACGATATTTGCCAGTCTGTTGCTCTGGCTTCTTCCTCGATCGGCCACTGGTGGATTGCTATTCGCCGTATACGTGCTACCTACCACCGGATCTGCGTATGCAGTTGCTATGGGATTGTTCCTGGCCAATAATGCAGGTTATACAAAGCGATCTCTCACTTCATCGATGATGTACGTTGGATATTCTCTCGGTAAGTTCTTTGGCTCGGTCAAAACCCTATGCATTCTACAATGATACTAATATTGATGCAGGAAATTTCGCTGGACCGCAAGTTTTCAGAGCACAAGATGCCCCGAGATACACTTTAGGTTTTATTGTGGTTGTAGTCACCGCTATTATTGCAGGAATCATAGTTCTCGTTTATCGCTTTGTCTGTGCCCATGAGAATCGCCGTCGAGACGCATCTGGCACAACGGAGGCGTTTGAGCATGCTTATGAGGATGATCTCACTGACAAGAAGGTAAGACAAACAGCTTATTGTTGAGGTCGAAGCGGATACTAATAAGTTCATGCAGAACCCACAATTCAGATATGTTCTATAATCATTTCTGAAATTCCAACGACGCTAAAATGCATGTCTGTCGTGTTACATCGGATTCCTATCTTCAGAAGTAGTCTACCGTTAGCTAGTGAAACTATCTATTCAAAACACTCCTTGGATATCATTTCAACCATTGCTATCCGAAATCCGCCTGATTTTTTTAACATTCTCAATATGAGAAATTTTCAGTTAATCTCTCAATTTTGAGAACTATTCTCCCTACAATATGGTACAAGCGGATGTTTCTAGACCATTGAAATACTTGAGTACGCGGAAAATTCAACCACATAAGTACCGAGATTTATTATGAACACTATTTTCATGCTTCCTACAGTCTAGCCCGCACTTTCATTTCAGATGTATCCCGTTCACGTTGCACCCATTCCTTTAGGACTTTCCTCAAGGTCTTACCACTAGTGCTTCTAGGTATTTCGTCCACGAATACTATTCCACCGCGAAGTTTCTTATGGTTCGCAACACGACTATTGAACCACTGAAGAAGAGCCTTTGTATCGTTATCAGAAATTTGATCGCTGGAAATGTCTTTTCTGACAACGTAGGCTCTTGGAACCTCGGTACCTGCATCATCCGACTGAACCCCCACGACAGCACAGTCAGCGATTTGATGATGCTCCAGTAGATATCCCTCCAACTCCGCCGGTGCCACTTGAAACCCCTTGTATTTGATAAGTTCCTTCACCCTGTCCGTAATGAATAGATTTCCTTCTTTGTCAACAAAGCCAACATCGCCGGTACGATACCAGCCATCCGTTGATAACGAGGCCTCTGTTGCCGCCGGATTGTTATGATATCCCAGAAAGACATTCGGGCCACGCACATACAATTCTCCCGTCTCTCCTTGCTGTAAGATCCGTGGTTCATTTGATCCTCCGATTGTAGAGCCAGAATTCTCGTCAGAAAGTTCACAGATCTTAGCCTCGACATTAGGTAAAAGCTGGCCCGTACTTCCAATAGGTTGATCCCATTTATCCCACGTTTGATTGAAGACTGTTGGACATGTTTCTGTCATCCCATAACCCTGTTTCAGCCTTATACCAGTGCGTTTAAAGCAAGCATTGACGAGTTCAGGGGACAATGTTGCCGCACCAGAGTTGGCCATACGAATACTCGACAAGTCGTATTTAGAAACGGCTGGGTGTTTGCATAGAAGCAACACAATTGGGGGCACAATGTACGAAAACGTTATTGATTCTTCTTGTACGATTTTGCACCATTTTTCAATGTTGAATTTCGTCAAGACGATGGTTGTTGAACCAGTGTACAGTGAGTTGATCACAGTTTTTGTCAACCCCAAAATGTGGAAAAATGGTACACAGGCTAAAACTCTGTCACCGCCAGCTCCAAGCTTAGGGAGAGGTATCCCATTGCATGTTCTAGAGCCGTCCCATGTCAAGTATTCTTGGTCCCTGGGTTGAAGCTGGCTAATATTCGAAGTTACGTTGTAATGTGAGAGCTTGACGCCTTTTGGCTTTCCAGTGGTTCCTGAGGAATAGACCAGGAATGCTAGATCTGTCTTTGGATCGATCTTCGCACCTGTACGAACAGAGCTGGAATTCACGCCATGAACATTTCTAAAATGTGGGATCTTTTCCGTCGATTTCCTTGGTTGATCAATGAGAATAATCGGAGTGCCTGTCATTTTGGCAAGGTCGAGTGCTTGCTGAACTGTTTTCAGAAGATGATATTGAGTTATGATTGCACGAGCATCATTGTCTGTTAATTGCTGGGCAAACTCTTTTGCTGTATATCCTGGGTTGGCAGGTGAGACAACCCCTCCTGCCCATAAAGCACCAAGTACGACTGCTGGCCACTCAATACTATTAGCAGCGAATACAGCGAGGACATCCCCTTTTTGCCATTTGAGTTGGGATCTGAGACCAGCTCCAAATCTTAATGCTGACTGTCTGATTTCAGCATAGGTGTAGGCTTCATTGGCTTCAGCATCTTGAAATAATTCTGCGAGCATATATTGGTAAGATATGGATCAAGATTCAAGTAAAATATGTGATGTTGGGCTACATACTGTGATTATCCGGAAACGTCCTGTTTTTTCTATCAAAGACGAATGAGAATATGTCTTTTTCCGGAAGCCTCAACGGTGGCATAGGACTGATCAATATCGCCATAGTGAACGTGGCAGATGTCCAGAACCGTGTTCAATGCTCAGGTTTCGATACTACGTTTGTTGACTAATATGCTAAACCAATATGAGACTTTAACGGGCAGCGAAAATTGCCATCAAGATCGCATCATCGCACCAATTATATGTCGTCCTTCTACCTGCATAGTCACCACTAGTCGGCTGAACTAATTTATCGTTACCGGCTTACTAAGGTAATCAAGTAGCTTTAGTTACGGTATTGCATTTCAGCTTGATCTAGCCGGAATCAAGGTAACGCATCCTTTCTAGCTGGTAGTTATCGTACATAGTTTTCCCCCGTCCCAATTTAGTAGACCGAAATGTATGCTCACAATAGATTTGCCGGGCCAATCGGCAAGAAGTAGATAGATCGTAATAAATTTCCAAATCCGGGGTAACAGTAGTTGCATAAAGTTTTGCTTTCCCAAGCTACCCCAATAGAGTTCCAAGGCAGGGCATTGCACGTGCCCATCGCCTCGAGCATACCTATACTCTGAGGCGACCTGGACTTCTTTAGAATAGCTTGGATCATCCGGTAGATATGGGCGATAAGTGCTGTTTTGCTGCATCAGATCTGGCCGTCCGCTTAGCTGTAAGATACAACGATTGATTAAAGTTCTGCGTAGCAAGCTGATTTATTTCAAGAATAACACGGAACTTCACTTGTAGTCAAATTCGGAAATTTGAAGCCTTTCAAAAAGTTATTAACAAGGAAGTATCTCATTACATAAAATCAATAATGTGTATCTGACAATCTTCTAATGTGTCTGATTCTCTATTTGACAATCCAACCCTTATCATTTCCCTTATATTCCTTCGGCTCGCGGTCCGCAACCTGAACGTACCAGGCCAAATCAGCATCCTCCCTCATTTCCCACTCAGTAAACCCATTACCCATGAATCTAAACGGGTTTCCAGAGTTATATGCAATATCATAGTGCTCAGAACGAATCTCCATAAGCATCTTTCTGAAAAGAACGGCACTACCCGCAAACAAATGTGTAACCTTGCCGTCGACAGTTCCGCGCTTGTACCACGAAGAACATGAGCCAGTCCAGACCAGTGTCTTGTGTATCTCGGCCTGATATTTGCCAAATGCATCTACAGACGCCGCTTTGGGAACCATGTATTTGATATCCTCGGTGGCAATCTTCTTGATCATTTTCATGAAGTAGTCGCCTGTCCAGTTGAGTGACTCTACAAGCGAGCCGTGACCGCAAAGACAGTTGGGTCCGGCCATGAGGAAGTAGTTGGGGAAGTCATTTGTGCCAACCGAAAGATACGAATTGGGTTCGTACTTCCATTTTTCGGCGAGATTAACTCCGTTTTGCCCGATGAGGGGGTATTGGGGGCACTTGGAAACGTCGAAGCCTGTCGCACATATCACTTCGGAGAATTATTAGTTTACGACTTGACTATAGTTGATATTGAGCATGTGTTCACTTACAGACATCACACTCATACTCTTGTCCATCTGCGGTCACTACTCCCTTCTCGGTGATTTGCGTGATGGGACTGTTCGTGAGACTGCAGTTGGGCTTAGAAAATGATTCAAGATATCCAGGCCCAGGTGTCACACGCCGACAGCCAATTTCCCATTTGGGAATAAGCTTTTCGCATAGTTCGGGATCATGGTTCAATTTTTCAGCCATTTGGGCTGTAGCGGCGCGTACAGTTTCCTGGTTGAATTCCCCTTTGATGAACTGTCCCTACCTTAGTCTTTGTGATTTATGGTCCAATTGAGCGAAAACTTACCAGACGGAATGCCTTGTTCGTGCGATGAATAATACCCTTCCGATAATCTCTATGTTCAACCGGGTCGCTGAATTTCTCCTTCTCCTCGTCAAAATATTCTGGGTTCGTGTCCACAGTATCTCGTCCAAGATGCTTCGAAGCTGGAACACGATAGTAAACCCAAGCAGGCCCCCGAATGAAATTGCGCACAGTAGTACCCGGCAATTTAGTCATCTGCGGGACGATTTGGATTCCAGATGAGCCGTTTCCGATGACCGCAATGCGCTTGTTGGAGTAGTCAAAATCATGATCCCATCTTGCTGAGTGAGTGATATGACCTTTAAATTCTTGTAGACCGGGAATCTTTGGCCAAGAGGGTTGGCTATCAGAATGTCAGCTTTCATTTTGTCTCAGTTGGGTGGTAAGTCAATGAACACCCACACTAGGTTTCCTTGACCGGAAATCAAAATATCGCAGAACTCGACTCGCTGCTTTCCCTCGTGCTCAACCGTGACTTTCCATTTGCCTTCTTCCTCCTGCCAATAGGCAGAAATGACCTTGGTATTGAGCTGCACGTCGCGATCTAGATTCCACTTCTTAGTGGTCCTCTTAATATAGTCTTGAATTGAGGCACCGCTAGAGTAGAAATGAGGCCAATCGGGATTCGGGTCGAAAGGGAAGGCCTGTAAAATAAAGAAGTCAATTAACCCACAAGCCTCATCATCAAGGGCCGAAAGCTTACGTAAATATGAGCAGGCACATCGCACTGCACACCAGGGTACGTATTCACCAACCACGTTCCTCCAATATCACTCCGGGCTTCGAAAATAGTATGTTCAACAAAATCTTGTAGTTCCGGGAATCGATGTTGAAACTTGTGCGCAATAAGCAAACCTGAAAATCCAGCTCCAATTGTGATGACCTTCAGTTTGCGCGGATTCATCGCATATTGAGGGTAGAATGGGACGTCATGCGCGTCGAAATTCTCGTCAGATTTTGTGAGAAGCTCTTCAACGTAGACTTTCTCATTTGATTTCTTTGTTTGAGGTGCCTTCCCCTGAATATGTTTGATGCTGTTTTCGAATAAAGGCGTAGGGGCCGGAGTCGGATCCAGGGTCTCGATTGAAGGAGCCATATTGCTTAATCGATATTTGCAAAGGACGTCAATTTGCGAAAAGCTATAACTCTGTTGCTGTCGCTTGTGTTGGTATCTTTGTCATTGTGGAATTACAAGCTGGACACTCTTGATCCGCTGATTACGGATTGTATATATTTTAGTAGAATACGGGAAAAAGTCCGCCAGGCAAAATACCCTGGCCTCTACAGATCCACATTCACAGGATGATCCATGCCGACTTTCCAACTGGAAGTACCAAGCCGGCTCACTTTCTTCACAATCAACATGAAGTATAGCGAGAGCACGTCCCATCATTCAATGCTATCGGTCGGTCCATCATGGGATGAGCCCCCGGCTGTAATGCGTCGGTAATCGATACCGGCTGTTTGTAAACAATACACAGTCACGTTCCGAATTATTACGTGCACAGCCGGCTCGACCGAGATAGGGCGGCTTACATTGAAGTAAGTGTAGGCGATGGACTGGTTGTTTTACCGTGAGCAGTGACCACGTGAGTATTTGGTTCGGAATGACTAGCTTGGTCCTAAATCTTGGTCCCTTTTCTAGTCACATTGGTTGGTGAAGATAGGAAGTCAGGGTGTAGTATTTTTGTGGGACACCTACTCAAAACCTCGTGTACAGCCTCGAGCACAGCGGCCTTCAAGAGCAATATGCAACGGGAAATCTGTAATTTCTCCAAAGACAGATTTTACATGTCAAAATCTATTTTATCACGTGGCTGAGTTGTGGTACGTGCTATTTTGCCCTCAGAAATTAGTGAGACCCAAGGAAGTAACTAGTTACCTTACCGCGGAGTATTTCGTAAGTACCCCACAAGTACTTCGTACCAAGACATACGTAGGTAGTAAAGTAAAACTCGCTATAACAAAAACAAAGTCTCCTTATCACGACATTCATATCAAGTCAAATATACATATAGGTATGGAGAATGGTTTAATTCAACATCTTAAAGATTCGATGTTGTTTTAGAACGCTCTGTTGCCATATGAGTCTGAATTGCACTTTGTCAGATACAGCTGTGGGAAGCTCTTACCTATAAACAGGTTCTGCTGTACTAAGTAGGACCCATTCGTCCACGCCTCCTTGGGGGGCGTACCCTCCCCCGCGCGCTAGCCTTTGATCCCCAAATTTCAATCTTGACTCGAAATTAAAAGGGAAATTGATGGGTATGAATTGAATCAGACCATCTACATGTAAGGAAACACCACAAACGTCTCAAAATCGATCATAGGAATGTCGAGCCGGAATGACGGAGGCTCAATGGGTCCAGTTTGCGGCGCATGGCTTCAAGAGAAAGAGAGCTGAGCTTGCTTGCGCTTTTTGTCATTCAAAAAAGATACGATGCGATTTACAAGTCAAACGTAATGAAGGAAATAACAGCTGTACAAACTGTTCGACTGCCGGAAGAGATTGCTGGTATGTGCGCTTGACCTCTTTTAAATCTCTATAGACGCGTTTGGCTGAGGCTTACTGGTATTATTTAGTACGCGACCGTCAAAACGAGACAAAAGACATCGAAGTAGTGGAAATCCACCCTCTCATCCACCAACACCACCAACGGATAACACCGAAAATGGCACCCTCAGCCCTTCTTCAAGAGACCCGAACCCTTTCACTAGCAGCAGTGTAGACTACAATGCGCAACCGGCCGAATCGTCTAGCAGCGCGAGACCGTATTCCGGCGCGCGCTCAAGCTTCATAGAAATTCAGAGCKCCCAACCTCCTACCACACAATGGGCAGGATTCGACAATCCTGAGATAACGGGTGATTTGGAGAAAGAAAGCTCTAGTCATAACGAGAACAACAATGTCGCAGCATTAGCCGCCTTTGAGCCCCAAGACGGCGGTCTTCCGTCCTCATCAACAAGGCAGGAAACTACGGATGGGCGTATATTTGATGCAGATATCTTCAACATCAATCAGCTCGAACGTCCAAATAATGATATCACTAATGGCCAAAGACGTGAGCCTCACGATCGCAACGTGTCTATTGGGTTTGAAGTGTCGCAAGGAGATTTACGACAAAGCTATATGGAGACATACTGGGAATATTGCTACCCATGGTGTCCGGTACTATTACGAGACACCGTACTGCAAGAGCTCACTGAATCACCGTTACTTGATAATGCGCTGGCGACCGGGGCAAGTCATCTTCGTCCGCCACTCATACCTCATCCAGGCCCAGCCGCATATTACGAACGCGCACGGAGAATATTTTATGATGACGGCGAGGAAGACTTGGTCAGATCGCTCAAAGCCGTATTGTTGTTCTACTGGTGGGCACCGAGACCGCCTCTCATGGTCCATAAGCATTCTTCATGGTGGTGGACAGCTGTTGTCATAAAACATGCGCAACAAGCCGGTTTTCATTTCCAGCCTGCTGCGGAGCTTTCAGAGGCTTATACCATACAGAAATGTATAAGGCGGCGCATATGGTGGACTGCATTTGTGGGTAACTTCTCTATACTATTTACTAACATATTTTTTAGAGCACTAACTTTTCAACAGGCGCGAGAAAGACTCACTGCAATATGCCAAGGAAAACCATGTCTCATAGACCCTGAAGACTGCAACATCCCAGAACCCTCAATCGACGACTTTCCCGAACTCGAAGACAAAACCAAAGCAGAGGTATTCGTGTACTGGGTACGACTATGCGCCATTATTGGACGAGTCGCAAAAGAGCTTTCACGATCCGCAAATTCCTCTTCAAATACTAGTCCATTTCCCGTCCATTTAGCTAGAGAGCTTATAGAATGGATTCAATCACTGCCTCCTCATCTGCAGTTACGAATAGGGTCGAATCATACATCGGATTTTCAACTCGATATCCATCAATTGCATTTACCGTATCTTGCAGTCATCGTGGTGTTGCACCTTGCAAGATCTCCGCAGTCCCTGCCAAGGGCATTMCCCCCTGCCATAATGGCCGCTACGTGTATCGCCCGTATCCTGAAAGATGTGCTGCTCAGAAGTGCCATCGGGTACATGATGCCAATCACGTGCTGGTATAGCGCTATGGCGTTTATTTGTCTGCTTCAAGCCCTAAGAACAGACCATCTCAAAGACGGAGCAAAAGCCGAGATTGAAATCCTTGTTTTAACCGTCAAGGAACTACAGAAGAAGTGGGCGACCGGCACCGTTATAAGACAGCAATTTGAACGACTACTAGAAAGAAACAAACCGCTTACCCCGGAAGACTTTCCCAATAGTCATCTCGGAAACAACAGATCAACGAGAGCTTTGCATTCCGAAGTGGATGTGTTGATGAGTGGTATTGATTGGCTGGACTATTTCCCGTTCGTGACATCTCAAACTAGCGCTGTTGCGGAGCAGCTGTTGGTTCCAACTAGCTCAAATGAGATCTTTTGGGATGAGGAATCGATCTTTTTGTGTACAGATTTCTTGCAAGGGTTGGATGATTGGGCTAGTTGCAGTGATTTTATATGAATGGGATCCCACTATAGAACCAGTTGGCGAAAGGCCTTCCAATGTCCAAATCTGGTATTGATCTTGTTACGATTCCATACAATTGCCCTTGACTGCCGAGACCGCAGAGGCTGGTGGCCATTGAGCCCTAGCCTGCTCCCAAACGCAGGGGAAGGCAAATTGATGGATATGTTAAGGGAAACCATGGCTTATGCCTACCCCGAAGACTGCAAAATCCCCGAACTATCCATCCACCATTTTCATAAACTCGAAGACAGTACTAAGGCAGAGGTAATTTTCCATTGGATCACTGGCACTGACTGTAGGCGACGTGACGTGTAGAGATTCTATCCATATGGGACTGGAGATCACTGTAATATCATGACCTGTGCGATCAATAAGGATTTGGAGTTCTCCCCTTATTTATCTGAAGTAGTTTTAATCTGGTGGCGATATCATAACTTGCCCGTTCAACAACGGATTGGTGCACTATTTATATTTATATGAATTGTATAAAACCTGATACCAATACCTCGTAGTTTTCCTTCTAGCTAGGGTCTACTGTACATGTTACCTTTTTTGTACTAAACAACGCTATATTTCTCTAGATGAAGCACCGAATTAAGCACCGAAAACACGCACCAATCGGCTATATTTTACGGAACTGCCGTTGTCAACTCCTTCTTTTTGATAGAATATCACGCTGAGTCATGTAAATAAGCAAACTATGTGGCTCATGCACGTCTTCCTCTTCCCGGAGCCTACTCAATTCGTCTCCAAAGCAACTGGAAAGTCTTTATTTTTGAAACCACTTCGTCAAGATGTGTGACTTCAGCAAATATGGAATCCCCAGCAAGGAATGGCTGGAAGTCGAACAAACACTACCACCACGACAGGACAAATCGATCGAAGAGCTTAAGACATCAAATAACGCTACTAGAGAAGCGAGAGCAAAGGAAGAAATGAAAGAGTTGCAAGACAAGGTGTCTCTAACAGACTATTCGATCCCTACCCGTGACGGATCGCACCTAGAAGCACGAATCTATCGCCCCAAAACACGACCTACGGGAGAAGTTCTACCGATTTATATGCATTTTCATGGCGGCGGATTCTTATTTGGTACACTCAGTTCTGAAGACTCAATCTGTTCTCGCATTGCGATCAATGTCGAGACTATAGTATGCAACGTCAACTATCGACACACTCCCGAACACAAATATCCGACAGCATGGAATGATGCAGAAGATGCTCTCATCTGGGTCTGCAATAATCACTCGATGTTTGATGGCGATCATCAAAAACTGGTTATTGGAGGAATATCGGCAGGAGCCTGGTTGACTGCCTCGCTTGTGCAGACGGTTCTACGAGGCGACATTACGTTGACACCTGAACCCACGATTCTCGGACAGGTTCTAATGATTCCATGCGTAGTAAGCACACCATGCTATGCGCCTATACTGGAGAAAGTATTGGATCCGAGTTTGTCATCCTATCAACAAGCCAAAGACGCACCTATTTTGAATGAGAAGACGAAGTCTCTGTTCAATAGTCTGTTACAAGTGCAAAGCCCCGACCCCAACGATCGAAAATTGAATCCCGGTCTTCTCACCGCGCACGAGGCTAGCCGTCTACCACCTACAACACTAGGTATTGCAGGAAATGACCCTTTGAGAGATGAGGGACTTTTGTATGGGAAATTCCTTGCTGAAAACGGGTAAGCCACTTTCTAATGAAGAATTTATTGCCATGTCTGACTTGTTATTCAGAGTACCAACAAACACAAACGTTTTCAAAGGCTTGCCTCACGGTTTCCGGCGTTTCGGCGATAAGCTATCAGCATGTAAAAACTGGGATTTGGTCATAGAAGATGGGATCCGCTGGGCATGGAGCAAGCCGTCGGCATCTGGAAAATTCATAATCAATGAATACTAGTCTCACATATCAATGTGTTTATCTATGACATAACTAAATGGCATACGCAAAGATAATCTCATCACATCTGAGTCAGTAATGTGTAGAATAACATCCGCTTCTCCGCAACAATTTCATCCTCCCCGCACTCCCATCCATGGGGTCCACGCCAAAGCCTTTAGCTGCTTAGCATGTGTCTCGGACATTTTCCGTATCTTCGGTTAGTCTGGATTAGGCAAGTGCCGGGTGGCACCAGAGTTTGTGCTGGTAATTGGTGTCCAAGCTTGCAATGATTTGTGGAGAAGTAGGCTTGGTATCGTCTTTTTGTACAAAAGTATCGGATACAAGTGTGCCGATATCCACGGAAGTATGGCCGACTTTCTTGCCGCGTTCCAATTAGAAGTCACAGGATGAATGCGATTGATGATTATTTATTCAGATCATACACGTGGTTTAGCTGTCCGATTTGTGAGAGAAAGACATCTCATAATTGGAAAACCAAGACTTGTTGAAGTAAACTCATAAAACCTTAAGAAAATGGCACCCTCTGTTATCGCTTTGGAGCAAGAAGCTCCATCACTCCCTCGAGAACCTCAAACAGATATCAAGATGTCTCAAATCAATCTGACGACAAAAGAATTGGGACAAAAACCCGTTCTGGATCCAAGCTACAACCTGTTGGAACAGCCAATTGGTACACGTCGTCCGATCAGGGTTATATCTCTTGGTGCTGGTTATTCCGGCCTGATGATGGGAATCATGTACAACGAACGCATGAAACACCAGAATACAGAGTTTGTGATCTACGAGCGAAATGAGGATTTGGGTGGAACCTGGTTTGAGAATAGGTCAATTGAGAATTCCTTGAGTGAGGATTATAAGTAATTAATGAGTCGCAGATATCCCGGATGCAAATGCGACATACCAGCTCATAATTACAGCTTCAGTTTTTGTCCAAATGCAGCATGGCCAAATTATTATGCAACGTCGGAACAGATTCATGCATATTTGAAAGATGTTGCTGCGAAATATGAGGTTGAGCAATACATACGCTATAAGCACTCTATCGTAGGCGCTACGTGGAAAGAAGAAAAGGGAAAGTGGGAAATTCAAGTCGAGAGACCAGATAAATCTGTTTTCACCGATGAATGTGACGTTTTTGTTAATGCGAGCGGCGTTCTGAAGTAAGTAAGACCCTTGCCATTTTCCGGCAAATAGTTACTAACATAACAAAAGTAATTGGCAATGGCCGACTATCGACGGACTGGACAAATTCCAAGGTACACTCATGCATTCGGCACGCTGGGATGATTCATACGACTTTACCGGAAAGAAAGTCGCTTGTATTGGTATTGGATCATCTGCTATTCAAATTGTGCCCAATCTCGCGAAAGGTAAGAATTTTTCGGTTGATTTCACAGAAGTAGCTTGCTAATCGTTTGGCAACAGTGGTAGGAAATATGGATTGCTATGTCCGCAGTCAAACCTGGATCAGTCCTGCACCTGGTATCAACGAACCAACCGAGAACGATCCAGAAATGGATGAAGAATATAATTTCTCGGAGAAAACTTTGGAGCTATTCAAAGACCCCGAATACTTACGAGCTTATCGTTCCGCGCTCATGGACAGACGACTCGAAAATTATAGTCGATCGCTTATCGACTCCGAAGGTCAAAAGCAAGCACAAGAAATCTTCCGCGAGTCCATGACCAAGCGTCTGGGAAATAGTGAGAAGGGTAAAAAAGCTGCTGAGCTTCTACTTCCTACTTTCCCTATCGGATGTCGTCGTATCACACCTGGCCCCGGCTTCCTGGAGGCAATTGTTCAACCTAATATTGAAATGCGGTGGGACGACATCGACTGCATTACTGAACGAGGAATCAAGACTAAGTCCGGTGAAGAATTGGACTATGATATTATTGTCTGTGCCACTGGGTTTGATACTACATTCAAGCCAGCTTTTCCACTTATTGGCCGAAATGGTGTCAATATGGCAGACAAATGGGCTACCGATCAGCCCAAGGCATATTTCAGCATGTGTGTGCCCGATTTTCCGAACTATTTCTGTAAGCTTCTCCCCTATTTTGACTGGAAACCCCATTCGGAACATTTACTGACTTAATTCATAGGCTTCGTTGGTCCGAATGCACCTCTAGCGAACGGATCTCTCATTCTCTACATCCAAGCGGTAGCAGTATACATCTACAAATGGCTCGAAAAGCTACAAACAGAAGGTATCCGTAGCTTCGAAGTTCGAGACGACGTGAATGAAGAATATAATCAACACGTCGCCAAATATCTTGAGCGCACAGTCTGGAGCGGTGGATGCAGAAGTTGGTACAAGCGTGGCACTGTTGACGGCCCAGTCATTGCGATTTACTGTGGCAGTATCATTCATATGCTTGAGGCTTTAAAGAACCCCAGGTGGGAGGATTTCCATATGGGTAAGACGCCAGAAGCAATGGTGAATAGGTTTGCCTATTTAGGTAATGGGTTTTCGTCACGGGAGGCGAAGAAGGGGTCTGTTGGGGCTACGCAGACCGTGGACTTTGATCACTTTTGGAATTTGTGCGTTCTGCCACCCATTCATGATTAGAACGTTACTGTAACATTTGTTCGCCATCATATTTCCAACATTCATATCTGTATACCCGTGTTAACACCACAAGTAATCTCAGTCAGGTGCTTAATACAGCTAAGTCCAGATGTAACCAAAACGATTTTAACGTTCTTAAGTCGCGATTTGACATCTAGAATTACATTTCATAAGGGAATGCACACCACTGTATTATACTACATGTCTAATTAGTGATGATTGAAAACTTTCTATACTTGCCAAATTTCGCAGCAACTTAGGTAGATACACATGCATACATTTCTCTTGTGTAAGCTAAGTAACACTGATCCATATGGTCAGCGTTCTGAACCATCCAATAAATTTGTTTCACCCATCCAGGTATTGGTATGCTCTCCATTGCGTCTAGATAAGATGTCGAGATACCAGATGTTGGAACACCCCTCGTTTTCTATAGGCAGGCTCCAGTGTAGACATGCCATGAATAACTTCAACGACGACCTAGAAACGAAAACTAGTCAACAAAGTTTCATTTAATACGCAAGTGAAGTGAAACAACCACGGTTAAGTTAGTTTGTATTAACTATGGACTTATGTCAGATACTTCAAATACACCTTTGTATGCTCTTGTTCTTTCGCGATTCGCCCGGGCCTGATTATGCATATTGGATATTTATCCACCCGGCTCCGGCAATGCCTCGGTATTCCTACAACCGAAATAATCTTCGAATATCCAATCGACTGAAGACTTCGGTTAGGACTATTGTAGCTACAATTGGATAATTGTGGTTGACAAATATATAGAAGTAACGCTATTGATCTATTTAACAATCACTAATACTACAACAACTTCAAGCATAATGTCCTTAGCAACGCACACAACACCACCCTCACGCTCATTAGCAGGCAAAGTCGCCATCGTCACGGGTGCAGGTTGCGCTGGAGACGGGATCGGCAACGGACGAGCCATTTCAATCCTGCTCGCACATGATGGTTGTAATGTCGTATGCGTCGACCAAAACTCCGAATGGGCACAAAGAACAGTGGAAATGATCAACTCCGAGCCTGGCTATGGAAAAGCAATAATTGCACAAGCAGATGTCACCTCTGCCTCTGACTGTGAGGCAGTTGTGAACAAGGCACTAGATACATTCGGTCGGGTAGATATACTCGTCAATAATGTTGGAGTCGGCGGTGCGCCCGGTACAGCCGTGGAAGTCGACATGGAAAATTGGGCAAAAGGATTGGAAATTAACGTTTCGAGTATGGTCTTGATGGTGAAATATGCTGTTCCGGCAATGACAAGAAATGAAGGGGAAGTCCGAGGGTCGATTGTGAATATGGGTAGTGTTGCTGGGTTGAAGGGCGGGACACCTCATTTGCTTTATCCGACGAGCAAGGGGGCGATTGTGAATATGACGAGAGCGATGGCTGCTCATCATGCGGAGGATGGGATTCGGGTGAATTGTGTCTGTCCGGGTGTATGTTTCTCTCCAAATTATTATCTTCGATTTTCCCAGCTAACTGTGATATTCAGATGCTGTATACTCCAATGATGTACGCAGGAGGAATGTCAGATGAAGCTCGAGAAGCAAGGAAAAAAAGAAGCTTGCTAGGTACAGAGGGAACAGGATGGGATGCTGCGTGCGCAGTTGTATTTCTTGCAGGACCACATGCGCGCTGGATAACTGGCGCGATTCTACCAGTAGATGCAGGTGCAACTGCTGCTGTTGGAATAGGTTTACCGAAGAGTGCCAGTGTCAATGGATCCAAAGCGGACGAAAGGTCATAATAACCAATATATTTGCCATATACATGGATAGCTATAGTAGAAGATCCCGCTCATTTCTACAGACTAATCGTCATGTAGCAAGGCTACACGCGCCTTTATTTTGCCATCACACAGAGCTTTCAATACAGTTGGAAAATCCCTGAGTCTTGCATCTTCAACCTGAGGTTGTATTGCCTTTTTGGATATCAGATTTAGCACTTCTTGGATATCTCTCTTCTGCCCGCCGTATGTGAATATAATGCTCAGTCTCTTCCTAATTCCAATCTTCATGTCAATGACATTAGTATCATCAAGTGTCCCGATACAAACCATCTTGCCTCCACGACGGACTACGATGATCTATCAGCGCTGTATCCTGCAGATAATGACAATAAGAACTTACCAATAGCCTGAGCATCCTGGAACGTCTGATCTTTACCCACAAAATCAAGAACAGTATCAATTTTTCCAGTCAAAGAATTTTCGCGCACAAAGTCCTGTACTGATTTACCAACAGGAACGATATCTGCTTCCGGGACACCAATCTTCTTTGCTTCCTCGAGCCGTTCCTGTCTAACATCGGAGATGATGACCCGGGCCCCGATATGCAGGACTACCTGAAGACCATTAAAGCCTAGTCCTCCTAGTCCAAAGAGGAAAACGATCTCTGTAGGCTTGACTTCTGCACGTCGAGTAATCGCATGATAGCCGGTTTTGACGGCGTCTGTGGCTACAGCTGCGACGGATGATGGTATATCTATTCTATAAGCGTCTATCCCTTTGACATCAGGATAGAAGAGGACTAACTATCTGGGACGAGGGTGATTGCTCGCGTGGTCAGCGCTGCATACGATGCGTAGAAACCGTCTTCACCGATTCCGGAGTGATGTGCTCGTTCACACAATCAAATAATTATGTCAGTCAATTTATTGCCTGCTTTGATATTGAATACATACTGGGCAAGATCCCGAGAACACTCGGGACAGTCATCAGAGCCACAACCCGGCACGGCAATTGTAGCCACTCTGTCGCCCTTTGCTATTCAGCTAAACACCATTAAGTCTCAATCATAAATGCCACTTACGATCTTGAAGCCTGAATCTTTTGCCTCTTCTCCTATACGGACTATAGATCCACAACCCTCATGACCCTGGTGATAACAACATATCAGCGTAGATCCCAATTTAGATGAATTCTAGTAGATGTAAGGAACTTCATACCAGAATATACTTATCCTGAAACCACGGACGCTGATTCTCATTCGTTAAGAGTGAGTGATCACTATGGCACACTTCTGGATGTCAGATTCTCCATATCTATGTGCCATTTCGAATTAGAAAGGTACCTCCTGATGCCAGTAGCTTGATCAAAACCCCATTCGCGGGCGTTTCAGGTACAGGTACCTCTTCCCAGACCTAAATACCGTCAATATACTTGCTAACATTGGTCATGAATATTGAATACTGACAGGCTCAGGATTACCTTTATGTTTCCTCCAGGCAAACATTGTCGATGGTAGAGTTGAAAGTACCATTGTAGCGACGTGACTCATGTGAATTGGGTAGACTTTTTCTGGGTGGTTTTGTCAACGATTGCGTTTTGGCTAAGGTTTTATCAGGCAGTTGCTGGGCTTCTTATTATGTGACCATTCAAGTGGGAGAGCATTTTATATTCATCCACCTTACCTGAAGTAGAATTGCCGGTCTACCTACGTACAGTTAATTCCGCGGCAACTTGAAGTCTGGTCGATCATTCATGTCTTGATATTTACTACTATTTCTTCCAAGGTAATTCTGATATAATTTGAACTAGCCATAAAATATGTAACTCAACACTAACAGTGACCTATGGATGCGAGGACTTAATATTTCCATGTATTGTTCTCACTATGAACTCAACACTTCTCGACCATCAAGACCCATCACTTCCTCTGACCTTGTCTCTGCTCGAAATCAGCATTCCATCGCACATCTAATTATTCTTTATAAATCCTCACTTTGTAGTCATCTAGCCATTTATCCTCAATAATTCTCAATTGCGTGGTTTGCTTATTGATAAAGTATTCATCCTTTGGATCAGCATAGTCCTCCTGGTTTACGTCCATGAACCCTTGCTCCGCTTTTGAGCGCGGTGTAATCATCAGCGAGCGACCTGTAGGATCGAAATCAGTATAGTTCATTCACTCGGGCTAAGTAAACCATACCATTGATAGTCTTATCACATGCAATTTTCATCATTGCACCGGCACAGTCGGCTTGCTCACCAAACTCGATTCCGTTCTCGATAAGCCATGTTTCGTATTCTTTTGTTCTGATTGCGCTTCTGATCCAGCAAGGCGCGACATAATTGATTCGAATGCCTTGCTCCCAGCTGCTTCGTCGCACTGTCTTCATGAAGCCGCGAAGACCGTGTTTGGTTGCAGTGTATTCCCAGTTACCCTAAGTGCTGTCAGCCTCAATCTGCGAGTCGAGATGATTCAATACATATATGCGAGATCAAACATACTGGAGAATCAATATACGCCACCATACTACCTGTAATGATGAAACAGCGGTCTCGTTCCGCGGTGTCAGGCTGTTTCCGGAAGTAGTGCACAGCTAATTTCCATGTATAGAATGTTCCATCCAGATTAGTCCTGACGATTTTGAGATCAGGCTTAGTGGGCGGGCCATTGGGATCTATAGATGCTTATTTAGACACGTACTATAGATTCAATGATATCAACTCACCATCCAAATTCCACAAACTATCGCCTGAACTCCTACTAATACCTGCATTCGCAATCACCACATCCACGCTATTGTGTGGGCTCTTATTCTTCGCCGTTTCAAAAAGATTGATCATATCATCCCACTCCCTTATATCGCATTTCACAAACGCAACCTTGGGCGCTTGGTTTGAATCGGTGCCATTTAGCTCTTTTTCAATTTCTGCGCCTCGAGGGTGCATATCACCGAAAGTGACGAAAGCGCCGGCGGCGACAAAGGCGCGCACCATTGCCTCACCCATACCGTTCGCGCCTCCGGTGACGATAACGGATTTGTTCCTGGCATTTCCGAGATTTGGGGGGATGGTGTGGTCAATGGGACCGTTGTAGGTGTATTTCGGGATGGGCATGTTGGATATCAAGTCAATGAATTAGGGTGATAAAATTACAGCATCTCAGATAATTATAGACGGTAGGTGAATGACGACAAAGACTTCGTATTTGCATCAAGCAAGCAGTCTATACTATTTAAATTATCATCTACAATCTCACCAAGCTAGCAATCACGGATCAAAGTCCGTGTATCAAATTGTGGGGTGAATCCGGGGAATGTTCAACGAACAATACCAATTGAATAAATACCACAGCCGGTCCAATCACGGATTTCTTCGGCGTATTCTCGAAAAGGGAAGCCGGCGCAACAACCGAGATGAGCTCTAAGAGTAAGAAATGATTGTTGATCAATACAAACTGCGATTGTGGAAATTCACTAATTCTCAAGTAAGTAAGGTTGAAGATAGTTACCGTGAATATTTTCTGTTGCTTGTTCCCTAATTGTTCCCATATGGCGAAAGACAAAATCTTGATTTCGCGTAGCCGCAACCGTATGTTAGGTTGGTCAAAACTCATGGATATATTTCGCGCGGATGTCTGTGTATAGGATCTCATTATAGGATTTCATGGGGGCACGCTGAAAAATTTCATCGGATTTTCCGGGGAAAAAAAATGAAAGGATTATGGTAGGAGAGGAGGTACACCTTCAAAGCGAGGATATACAACTTCCATTCTACCTACGTTTGGCGCTAATCAATAAGTACAAAGGGAAGGCCGTGTTGCATATGAGTTTAAATACGACCAAGTGATGATAATGATAATCACTATCGATCTAGCATTAGCTGAATATGGCCACTGTTTTAAACATGTTCATTCATGTCCACTTCAGCACCGCCTTGATAGTGCTCCCACTCTTCGTGTCCTTGATAGCTCGCTCAAAGTCTTGGATATCATAATTGACGATAAGTTTCTCTAGCGGATACTGTCCTTTATTGTGTTGGTCGATCAAATATGGGATCATCTAGTTGAGCAGTCAGTCTATATTTAGGTCAATTTGTAGGGTTGTGTGAACTGGACTTCTTTGGCAATTGACCCTCCCTGATGACATCCGACATATTCTTTACCCATAACAAGATGGCTAAAAACGTCAATAGACGCCCTCTTCCCCGGAGTAGGGGCACCAGCTGAACATGCACGACCGCATGGCCCCAGAGAATCAACCATGGTCTCAATCACTTTCAACACACCAGAACAGTCAAGTGCATAATGGACGCCACTAGGAGGAACAATTCGGCGGATCTCTTGAAGAGCATCGACCTCGGCACTGTTTACTGTACTAGTGGCCCCCAGTTGTTTCGCAAGCTCTAATCGCGAAGGCTGGATGTCGACGGCAATAATTTCTTTGGCTTTGCGGATACGTGCTGCCATTATCGCACTCAAACCGACTGATCCGACGCCAAATATTGCGACGGTACTTCCCTCCTGGACGTTGAGTGTGTTGAGTATTGATCCAGCACCAGTTTGTAAACCGCAACCCAAAGGAGCAAACAGATCAAGAGGAGTATCCTGAGGAACCTTGACAATGCATTTGCGATGCACGACAGCGAGTCTCGAAAAGGAACTCTGACCGAAGAAATGCGCCCGGAGAGCAGATCCATCATTTAGAGCGAGACCTGAGCTACCATCGTCACGTAGCCCGCCAAAGTTGAGAGGCATCATGGAGTCACAGTAAGGCGCGCGACCTGCTTTGCATTGTTTACAGTTATTGCAAAAGGCATAGCTGAGAAGCACTTTGTCGCCGACGCTAGCTTCATCTACCTCAGAGCCCATTTCTACCACTACTCCGGCGCCTAAAAGGAATTTTCAGTGATAGATTGATACAAGATTGTGAGGAAAGCTTACCTTCGTGACCAAATACGGCTGGKGTGACTGCTGGTAGAACCCCGGTTGCACATGACAAGTCGGTATCACATGACAAGTCGGTATGACACAGGCCGACAGCGTGAATCTCAACCAATACCTCATGCGACTTCAAAGCATCTACTTTGATGGGCTCTAAGGTGAAGGGGCCATTGACCTCCCTGAGTACTAGGGCGGTTGTTTCACGAGACATTCTTCGAATTGAACTAGGCTAAAAGAGAATGGAGAAAATCGAACAGACAAGGATATAGATTTCGCTCTTGCGTCTGAAACAAGGAAAATGGAATCCAAACCTTTAGAACATCGACGCAGTCGGAAATGCCCTTTTATCTTATTCCCAACCGAATCCAGTATCTCGACTCCCAACTTTTGCTTCCAAGAATGATTCATGATCTGCACTCATACCCCGCTCCATCTCTTCTTTCCTCTTCTTCTTCTTCTTCTTCTTCTATTCCAGGTAGTGAGCGTCACGCTGTAGTGCAGCTATCTAAACTGTATTCCATGTGGCTAGTTAGTGCAAAAACCCCGCGATATTGGATGTGAGTAGGCACATCGGAAGGCGTGTCGGATGAGATCCACCATAAGGGAAGACGGCTCTTGACACCGGCAAGTTAGGGGCTAGATACATGATTACGATTGGACACCGAAAACCAAATGTCCTCCCCGTATGGGTTTCCCCCGCAAACAAAAATCAATAGCTAGGCAGTGCTTTAACTGCTTTCCGCTACCGGTGCTCCTCATCCGAACGTGACTCCACGTTTACTCCACCGATCTTCTCATTATGCGCAGAGATTGGCTGCACCGCAGAATCAAGGACATCGTCATGACCCATGAAATAAACTTAGATTCGTCTGGCCGACTTCACAAGGCTTTCCCCTAACTTACTTTAGGTCTGCCTAGTCTCGATGTATTAGGTAGCTAGTCAGAGTTCTGCAGACATAATGTCGATTGAACAATTTACGAGGCAGATCCCGATGCCGAACTCTGAAGCCGAACGTGGGTATTACCCGCTGTTATGAAGAATTGGGGGTCAATATGGAGACAGAAGAGGTGCGTGCACCGTTATAAGGCGATTATTATGATTTGGAACAATTTGCTTCGGAGCAGATAAATTCCCCGCAGTCTCCAAATTTTGCGTGTACTCTTTTTTGTGTATTTGTAGCCACCCGCTTTCTTCTCATAACATTATCACACCCCTGACTACAAGCGATACCCCTTGATATCACATGATGGGCTCGATAAACCAGTCCAGCAATCCCTTGGGACCAGTTATCCCTCTCTTGCTCGATGGCAAAGAGATCAATACAGAAGTGACGTATGACGTCGTCTCACCCACAACTGGTCAAACTATTTACAAATCCTCCTCCGCCTCTGTCGAGGATGCTAAAAGAGCTGTCGAATCCGCACAAAACGCTTTCGAGTCATGGTCGCAAACCAAGCCCAGCGATCGAAGAGACATTATCCTCAGGGTCGCAGACATCTTACTCCGGGATAAAGAAATTTTGCGCACAATCGCCCGCCAAGAGACCGGAGAAGTTGACTCCATGTTCGACTTTGAGCATAATTTAGCTGTACAAGCATGTAAGGCTGTTGCAGGTTTGATCTCTGCTGTTCGTGGCTCTGTTCCGACAGTTAGCGATGAAGGCAGATCTGCTATGATCCTTCGCGAGCCTTTCGGAGTTGTTTTGTCCATCGCTCCTTGGAATGCTCCTTTTATCTTGGGTATTAGATCATGCCTTGGCCCTTTAGCGATGGGTAATACAGTCATATTCAAGGGCTCTGAGTTGAGTCCCGGTGTCTATTTCAAAATTGCGTCCATCTTCCGCGAAGCCGGGCTTCCCAACGGATGTCTCAATACTATTCTACATCGCCAACAAGATGCCGCCGAAGTCACTTCGGCACTCATTGCGTTGCCTGCTGTGCGCAAAATCAACTTTACCGGTAGCGCGCTCGTCGGTGGTATTATCGCTAGCCAAGCCGCGAAGCTTCTTAAGCCAACCCTTATGGAACTCGGTGGAAAGGCTCCTACAATTGTATGCGAAGATGCCAACCTCCAAGAAGCTGCTCTTGGTGCAACTCTTGGATCATTCCTCAATTCTGGCCAGGTTTGTATGTGCACCGAGCGTGTAATCGTGCACGCTGCTGTAGCGGACCAATTTAAAGAAATTTTCAAGCAAACCATCGATCAAATCTTCGGCACACCCGATGGCCTGACGCTAGTTAACGCACTCCCCGTAACCAAAAACAAGAAACTTCTCTCCGACGCCATTTCCAAGGGTGCCAAGGTGGTTCATGGCGACCCTAATCATACAGCCGCAATCAATACCGCTATGCGGCCCGTTGTTCTAGAAGGTATTAAGGAAGGAATGGACATGTACTACACCGAATCCTTCGGACCTACCGTGTCCCTCTTTACTGTCGAAAATGACGAAGAGGCAATTCAAATTGCGAATGATACCGAGTACGGGTTGGCAGCTTCGGTCTACACCGAGGATTTGAGACGAGCATTCAGGATTGCGAAGAGAATTCAGTCCGGTGCTGTGCATATCAATGCTATGAGTGTGCATGATGAGAGTAGTTTGCCTCATGGTGGGTTCAAGAGTAGTGGATATGGCAGATTCAATGGCATCGAAGGGCTAGAGGAGTGGGTTCAGACCAAAACTGTTACGTGGAAAGATTGATTTGGTCTAGGATTATGGAGTGGTTTGATTATATAGCTAGGTATTACATATACATACCTTATTTTTATCTATGTCAATACAGCGTTTATGAGATTCTTCCCTGGAAGCCTTCCGAGTATTGTACTCTAGCCACAATTAATACACTTCCTACTAAGGTACACCAGGTAGTGGTAGCGTTTATATACAGGAAATGGCATGTCTGATTTCAAATGCATGTACTCATGCAACGATTGATCACAAGCTACAGTTTTCGGACAATGCAGTTCACTTAGTCGGTCACGGTATTCGTTTTGATCAGTCCATTACTCTACTTTACAAGCTCGAAACCAATTCTCTATGGACTTGCGATTAGAGATACTTTTCACGTAACAACTATCCCATGATGATAGACTAGCACGAAAGTGCATCCAGGAGTTCTATGCCAGTCGCCGCGCTGATGAGCGCCTTGAGACACACTTCCCAGCATCGTTGCCTGTAGTAAACATCCCATACTTCTCTCTCTATTGGGCTCTTATTATTTTCGACCATATGATTTATTTTGGGGATGAGAACCTTGTCCGACGTTATCTCGGTACTGTGGAGGTATTCTTGATCATTTCTACCGGCATATAGATGACCGCGGCCTACTCGGACGTCTCGAGTGGGATCTGTGGCCATTTGTGGATTGGCGCAACAATAGTCTATCGTACGCGATGACCATGACTTTCGTATTTTAGCCGTAGCTCCTACGTATAGCCGTACGGATGTCATCACGTATATAAATCTACTATATTCATTGACTCTACAACGATATTCGCATTTATGTCAACTTATTGGCCGGCATGTTACTGTTACTAAGTTCCTCAGCGCGCAGCTAAGCTGAACGGGGCTATTATCAAGCAATACTTCCGGAAGGAGTTGGGATTCCTACTTGACGGCCCGGATATCGATATCCAAGAGCTTAGCCAGCACTCTCAGGTCTTTACTGTTTTTTGTGGGGCCTTAGATGGGGAGAATGCCCGTACAGCTTTACATCGAGCGCTAACTGACTCAAATTTTGTGCGTTACTCATATGCTATGATATTCTATATCTTTGGAGCTGTGCGAATAACGTGACTCTAGGATGAGCTTAAAAGGATTCTGTTCGAGACTTGGAGAGATATCGTACGATACAATCTCACCACCTGGGCCGAATTGGCGTCTCTCGCCCGTAGTGACTGCCACCTGTGGAGTGTAGTTCCTATCCATGATTTGTAGCCAAAATCGCTGGGCTGACTCCGGTGGCTCCATATTTCAAAAAGATCCGGCTGGAGCTTCGGCCAGAATTCTGGGAGAAAGTGTACGTTTCATTTTCTATAGGCAGAGAGGTCGTCATTCTTATGAAACTCGGGAAGGACTTTGTATCTTGTAGCGTCTTTCGATACTCGGGTCCATCTTTCCGGAAAAGGGCAAGTGAACAACAATCTACAATATAAAGGTAAGGAAAATACCTTTATAGATCTCGGGTTGATGTAGAGTTCGTGTGACTTGCACAACATATACGCCTATATCCAAGTATACCAAGCAGATCAATCAGAGGAATCTGTCAACTAGTTGACAAATAGTACGCTCGTTCGTAGGATCGATTCCCTTCTCCAAGGTTCATTGGAGCAAAATGGATTAGTGAAAACAATGTGTTTAGGCTAGCGAGGAGGTTAAAAGAGCTCGAACGCAGCAGTTGCCACGCCGAATCCGTATTTCGCCCGATACTGCGAACAATGATGTCAATTGACATTACCTGTCAGGTTTTGATATGATCGCATCACATACATTCCACAGTTGAGTCACAGATCAAGCTTGTTAGGAGCCGTTCCACTTTTTAGAGTAATTAGGTGAAGTTCGGTTTAAAATCGGTGTGGATACCGAGATCGGTTTCTTCCTTGAAGCGATGTGGACCACTATAATAAGCCCTGTCTTATCGTGTCTCTAAGAATCATTATGCTTGAAGCATCATCGATTTAACATTTCAAGTGATTTATAACGCTTGGCAGCATGAAATCTATGTCCATACTGGGCAATATGTGGCCCCCAACAACGCCTATCGAGCTTCTTCATCCTTTCGTCGCCGTCTCGGCCATACTAGCCTATTTGTTCGCGCGATTTATTTATAGAAAATATGCTTATCCACGATTCTTTACTCCTCTCAAACATATCCCACTTGCCACTCCAGAGCGCCCTTCGAAAAACGGTAAACAGGAGGTCACCAGCTCACGAAAATTATTATCGTCACTTAAGCACGCTGCTGCAACAGTACCCAATAACGGCCTCCTTCGGTTTTATCGAGATGATACGAATGAGCGAATTCTGGTTACTGGCGTGAAGGCGTTGAATGATATCCTCGTAACAAATGCGTCTGCATTTGTCAAGCCAGAGCCTGTCCGGCGCAGGTTGTATGCGTTTGGCGGTGATGGGTTGCTTTTATCGGAGGGCGAGACACATAAGGTATGCTTTTTCTTTCTCTCAGGCATTCATTCTACTGAGAGGTTAACTAACCCTTGCAATTGTGAATGCGCAGATTCAACGCAAAGGTCTAATGCCAGCATTCTCCTTCCGGCACATCAAAGACCTGTACCCCATCTTCTGGGCAAAGTCGCGGGATCTCGTCCAAGTCCTTGAACACGAGATATCGGAAGAAGGATCCACTAAATCAGATGTGGTTGTCATGAAAACATGGGCAACTCGAACGACCCTCGATATCCTCGGACTTGCGGGAATGGATCATGATTTCCAGTTTTTACGACATCCTAAAAGTACCCTTGTCTCGCACTATGAAAAGACACAACTGCCGCCATCTCGTGCTGAAATCTTGCTGGGATTCGTCTTATCATTGTTCAGCTCAAACTATGAAGTATTGATGACATATATACCAACGGCACGAGTGAGACGATTGAAGGAAGGCTCGAAATATATCCGACAACTCTGCCGTGACCTCATCCAAGAAAAGAGAGACAAAATGGATAACAAACCCGAGTCCCAAACAGAGGTGGACATCATCTCCGTCGCTCTGAGAAGTGGCGCATTCACAAACGAAAACCTCGTTGATCAAATGATGACTTTTCTCGCCGCAGGCCATGGAACTACATCGCATTCCCTGCAATGGGCTGTATACGCTCTCTGCAAACATCAAGATATGCAAAACCGATTGCGAGAAGAAGTACGCGACCGCCTGCCTTCCATCAGCGATCCCGAATCCGTTGTCACTGCACAAGAGCTTGATAGTCTTCCCTACCTTCACGCGTTCTGCAACGAAGTACTTCGCTTCTACCCTGCTATTCCCGCCACAGCTCGTGAATCTATACGTGACACGACAGTCGCAGGATACCAAATCCCCAAGCACACGGGCTTCATTATCCCAATGGGAATAATCAACCAAGACCCAGAGCTCTGGGGACCAACGGCCTCTACTTTCGATCCAGAACGCTGGCTGGGTGAAGGACGCGCTAATTCTGGGGGCGTTCAAAATCATCTAGGCTTTCTTACCTTTTTACACGGGCCGAGAAGTTGTATCGGTTCGGGGTTCGCGAGGGCGGAGTTGGCGTGTTTGGTCGCTGCGCTTGTGGGCAGATTTCAGATGGAACTTGAGAATCCGAATGGCAAGTTCGAATTGAATGCGCATGGAATTGGGACTTCTCCAAAGGATGGAGTGCGCACGCGGTTAAAGATTTTGGACGGGTGGTGAGGAAACTTGGCATGAAGACTGCATGTTGAAGTCAAGAATATGCATTGTAATAATTAATATTATATGCTCAGAACGTATCATTAGTTGTAATTTACAATCCCCCTTTCGAGATCTTTCTTCCAGTAGCCCATACCCAGGTGTTTTGATTCAAATGTCTTTTGAAGCTCATAGATATATATCTTTAACCACAATAAAAAGTATACTTAAATACAGGTTGAGGCATATTTAGGCAATCTAGTTATTACGAGAGACCGACAGGCATTTCGACGAAATCTGGGTTTCGAAAGTAGTAATCCAAGAAAAGGAGTGTGAACGAGGGCGGGTAAACTTTCTGCCTGAAGATCAAATGCCGGAGAAACTCATCTCATTCTTTTCTCCACTCAACCATCTTCATCCACCACACGATCTACTTACAAAGTATCAGCTCATGATGCGGGGACGGAAAGCAAATTTTGTCGCATGCGTACATTGTCGCCAGATGAAAGTAAGTCTATACCCTCACGCGGATGATAAAAACACGTCTAACAGTATTAGCTGGCATGCGACGCGCCTTCAAAATTTCCCGCAGGATGTTCAAGATGCACCAAGTCAGGCAAATTCTGTTCTGTAGATCCCACCTTCAAGCGGACCAAAAGAAGGCAGTACGTGATCATCCTCTAGAATGAAATTTTGTTTTTCCTTCTTACAAAGTCGCAGGCGCCTCCAACAGGTGGAGCAAGAGTTGCGAGAGGTCAAAGTGGCTATGCATACTCTAAAAGAACAGCCAAATGATAGCACGTCAAACAGCTCCCACACTCCCAACATGCCGTTATCAGAGTCAACAAATGGTATTTCGTTCATGAAAATAAATACGGCGATTGATGATGTCGTGGTACCGACACTGAGATCAATCGGGAGCGTTCAACTATCTGAGCCATTGATCAAGGAACTCCTCTCTGAGTGTGTAATCTAGAATTTGTACAAGCTATACAACGTCCCAACTAACATTTCCAGATACTATCGATTTTACCATTCCGTCTGCCCAATATTACCACCAGTGTCCTCGTTCATCGCACACTCCGACGAAAGTCCCTTGCTCTTCTGGACAGTCATGCTCACCGCAATGCGAGACAAACCTGGCTTAAGGCACCTCTTCTCACCTCTAATCGAAGAAGTCTCCAACATGGCATATGATTGCATTCGACCCAAGAATGCAAACTTTCATTCTGTGCAAGCTCTCCTACTACTAACATATTGGAATATCCCCTTTGAAAAAATCCCTATGGATCCATCATTTTCGTTTTCCAACATGGCAACGCAGATCTGTGTTCGCATGGGCTTGCATCGACCGGCCTTTTCGGCGGAGTTTGATCGAATCTCGGCTGTGCATGATCCGGTCAATGTTCCCAGTCGGATAGTTTGGATTTTTTGTTTTGTCAGTAACGTCAGGTGAGATCATCATTTCCAAATTAGCATATTGATGCTAATGGAGACTATATTGATCAAGTTGTCATGGCCAACTTGGAATACCTCCTACCGTCCGATTAGACCGCGGTCTATTAGATGCGCTCGCTGCAAAACCTCCCTGGCTTCCAGATACGTTGTACTGCCAATTACACATCGCTCATCATATATTGAAAATCATTACAACGCTGGGTAACCACGATTCTTCACCCACGGGTCTACTGCCAAAACCAGACTATGTCGTCCCGATGTTTGAAGCTGAGCTGCGAGTCATGGAAACCCATCTGACGCCGTATTGGACCCAAGTTGATTACATATTCTTCTGCACCTGCAAGATGGTTCTGTATATTATTGCAATCTCGGCCGTAGGCAACGAAGATAATGTCCTTGACTCGACAGGAAGCGACAAACGAAATCAATGGATCGTTCAAGGGTGCATGTGTGCCATCGCCATGATTCAAGCTACATCTACCATCCAGGAGCCACTCACCAAATTACCTACACGGATATACAAGACCCTGGCGGCCTCAGTATCTTTTCTAATTCTATTGAGGTGTTCAAAATATTATAATCTCGTCGAGGACAGTGCTACATCATCCGCTATGCGTCAAGGATGGGAATTATGCCGCGGATTCGAGATTGTCCAAAGCGACTTTATTACCCGTACGAATTACCTGATGGAGCGGCTGAGCATCTATAGTGAGACTATGAGTCCTGTGGACAAGACCGAGGAACTTTTCGCTAGCAAAGCACGAATGGGATTCAATGTGGCCCGAAGCACTGCAGTACTTGTTCATCGAGTGGTTTTAAAAAAGAACCAGGAAAATGAGACAACAGCAGACAACGGCAACAATAACGGTAGTTGCATAGGACAAGCGGCCGATTTTAATATGGACATGGCAGATTTGGATTTCTTCCTGGACTTTGATTGGGATGAGTCATTGTTGAGTCTCCCAGGACCGACGAGTTCTACGTTATCTTAAAACCTCTCAATGTTGATACGATAAACCTCAATCTGTGTGGATTTGTATCACTGAATTTTTTCACAAGTTCGGCGCAGCCGCTATATCAGGCACATGATCCCAAGCATCATCCAACCCGCCAAACCTTACAAACCGGAAGATCAATCGCTGCACCTCCATATCTGCCATCTCATAAAACTTGGCCTCTGCCGGCAATTGGTAACCAGGTTCATTTTGTCTATCGACCGAGTCCATAGCCATGTGTGCGACCGTCAGACACAGCTCCGGCCGCAGCGGGAATTCGGGCTGTCCCGCATACTCTTGCGAGACTTGCTCTACATAACGAGTCGCGCGGATGAATTTCGGAACGTGTCCATCGTCATTGTACACGACAGCACGTCGGAATACACTCTCCCAGTCACCAGGCTGTTTGGGCGTGTAATTAAATATTCGCTCAGGATACAAAGCGGGCACTTTGCAGCAGGCATAGGTAATAAGATCAGACCATCCCTTGATCTCTAGTAACCTGCACTTCATCTCGTTCGTCATCCACTTCTGCTCAATCAGCACCGACATCCAAAGAGATGAATTGACAGAATGCAAGAGAAAGAAGTCAATCATCTCCAGCTTTCGTGGCTTTTGCGCTGCTGCCGCGACGAAGAGACCTGTATTGGCCAATTCGGCGGTTTTGCGTTTTATTTGACGTGGTTTTACGCCGAATTCGGCTAGATAGGGAATCATGTTTTGTTTGGCGCGGGCTATGAGGCCGTCTCGTAATTTGTTGGGACCGTCGGTCGATCTGACGGCATGATAGATTGTTGGATCGGCGCGGAGGCGGGGATAGATCGACATGAGATTGGTGTCTGGGACGTTTTTGTTGTTTTCTCTATACTCTACGACATCTTCGATGATGCGATCGAGATATTCGGTGGTAATGGCTGCTTCAGCCAGGGCTTCGGCGAGGATGAGTGGCTGTTCAAACTCGAATGCGTATCCAACATGCATCAATCCATGCAAAACACCTATTGAACGCCATTAACAACTCGATCACACACCACAAAAAAACTCAAACTTTCAGGGACTTACCATCATAAAGCCTCGTAAGCATCCTATTTGCCCTCTCATCACCCTTGAAAACATATTCTTTCATGGCCTCCCCCATCCCTTTGGACGCAATCTCCCGCTTGAAGAAATCCAAAAAGTGAATGTAGTATGCTGGCTTGGTCATACACTTCAGAAATACCTCGGTTTCGCTCAAGTCAAACTTGAATTCGTGTGGTTTGGGGAGTACTTTTGGAAGTTGATAGGTCATATTTCTGTCCCAGGCAGCTTGTAGGTCGGCTGGTGTGGCGCCGAGGGCGTATATTGCGAGGAGGTGGTGGAGACAGTGGTCTAGACGCGAATGAGGAGACACATTCTTAACAAACTTGGAGAGGGTTTTGGGAAACAAAGGGCATACTGTGTAGTTCGCGATAGTCGAAAAAGACGTGGAATTTGTCGTGGTTTTCTATAAGGAGTTGGGACACTTTCTCTGCAGATTCTTGCGACACATTTTCCGCGTGGATGTACCCAGGGTTCGTGGTTGCTGATATTTCGACTGAGTTGACGGTTGCCATTGCTGTGGTGTTGGTGTCGCGAGTTGTGAGACGAGACTAGATCAACGTTTGACTGAAATAAAGTGGTATCAGAACATCGAATTGTAGCTAGAAATATATACAACTATTCTCACAGATACCTGTGTCTATAATCAATTTTCAGTCGTAAGATTTGAATGCCTTGACCAATCGACTTTTGTGCACGATGAACTTTCTCATGGACTATCAAACATAACTTGATTACTCTAGATCCTAGGATTGCTTGACTCGACGGACATATGAGCTGGATTGATAAGACCCCGCACTCTGCATGCTTGATCTGCAATATATTTCCGTCCATAAGCGCCTCGACTAATGCGCAACCATGACGATGTGAGCAATGAATCAGCTGTGACTAACTTCAAGCAGTAGGCCACTGAATAGAGGAGGTTGCAACCTCCACATCGCCGCACAGAAGCGGGAACTGGATCATCTGCAGCCATGCAAACCTCCCAAGCGTCCGTTAACCCCGCAAATAAAAAACCCCTAGTTAACATGATGGCTACCGATCCAATGACATTGCAGTTAGGATCAGAACGCGCGTAGTCGGCTTAATATCGACAAGTCCAGATCTCAAATCGGGTTGCGAATGATTGATGCGTGAGCTTGATCCATATATGAAACTTCCTTGGCCGGATTCATGCCTGTAAATCGTAAACCTCGGACCGAGTATACAGCCCAACAGCCAACCATTAGGTTCGTTTCCGTCTAGTCAAGTATGCATGCGCGATACAATATTTGATGATATGAGGGGTATATATATCAATATTTCACTACTTGCAGCATAAGACATTCGCTGGATTATGTCATGTCACATGTCAACTGTTGCTAGGCTTCCCTCGATGCCAACGAGTCTATAAATATAGCTCACAAGAATGTTCGCATAGTATGGACACCTCATGTTGAGGGAACCACGCGGTAACAATTTATGTTTCTTTTAAAATATTGATGTTTGATGTCAATCTCAGATTTTATACCTCGTTTTACGTTCAAATAATCCCTACAGAAGGGAACTCCATGATAGGTGTCTCGCGATCTAGACAGCTCTTGATTGCAAAATTATTCATAATTACATCATGAAGAGAGCAGACTTTCGTTTTTTCTAGCAGTAAGCAAGATATTAACCGTTCGCCTAGCATCCGAAAGCAGCGATACACGCACTGTGAATCCATGAGCAAATCAGTCTATTCATGAATGACCCGACGCCACCGTCCCAGGTGTCTTCCAAAGTGACACCTAACACGACAACTTTTCTCTCACCATCTAGCCACACCATGCCCTAATTCTACTATAAACCCAAAGAGTAAAATATCACATTCATATAGAAAGCAAAAATCAAAATCCTTCAGATGCATTATTGGTGCTCCGGGGTAGCGAGGAAGAGGGCTATCGGGTTGGCCATTCCAGGTGATGATTGACAATGGTGAACGCATTCGATTACGTATACACGTGAAGACCATTTGGAAATACACAATATTTACCACTCTAGGATCAAAATTCGGTGCATCAAAAGACTGTATTTCAATTATTCGGAGCATTGCAATTGCGCCTCGGAGATGGGTGAAATATTTTCTACTTCCGGGAGCGAGATCTTCGACTGTCGACGAACTCGGCATGAGCAATTCGAAAACTCTCATCAGGGAGATTGATGCGAGAAGTTCGTTGATAGGGACCTGGGTTTGCCGTTGAAATTGCGCCTTGATCTTGTTAATGGCTTCGCAGTACTGCATGSGAGCCATAATTTCACAACCCAGATATGAGAGATCGCGGCTTAAATACGCCAATGATACAACTAGGATGATATGAACAATAGGCGAATCGTCGCCGGAGGGTTTCTGATAAATGTCTGGTAGAAGCCGAAAGAAATCCAGCCAGGGTGTTCGCATCTTCGACATGCATCCGAAACCCTGGAAGAATCTACTGACAGCGATCTGTTGTATTGTGCATTCATTATCAATTTGCGTTCTGGGCGACCTATTGACTGACGGAGCAGAATGGCTAGAACTGCTTCGACTCGTTGTCGTATGCGATGGCAACATTTTCCGTCCACCGACCTTCGTGGCTATAGTGTTATAATGGCCTCTCCCGGATTGGACAGCTGACCTCTGTCGCCAAAGTGATGCAGTGCGCACCACAGCTTTGTCGTTTTCGCTGCGAAAGTTAGTTCCAGCGGATCTGAATATTCGCATTCATAGCCATTCTTGACGCAGCGAAGGCATTGGAGGTGTTGGTCGTCACACTGTACATTCAAGAGTCTTTGAACATTCGTATGTATCATCCACTTGTCAAAACGAATTGGAATCATACCTTTACTTTTGCGGAGCAACATTGTCGACAAGCTTTGCTTCTGCTGCTTGATGCCGCAGGGCGTCTAGTAATTCCTTGTCTTCGAAGTGTCATCTTGGGTACGGTAATTCCCAATGATTTCAGAGACACGACGTGCAAGTATTCTTATTATTGACATATCAAGATGAGTAATTGTAAACCGAGGCAGCGCGGTGCGCGTTGACATCAATATCGGTTGTATACGAACTCCGTTCCCCAATGTTGGTGGTAGGCAATAATCCCGCTCTGAAGGACAGAGCCTTGCAGGTTCGGCTTTATATTGTTTACAACTCTTTTACTCTTTCTCAGCGCCACTTCAGTGKCCTAATAGAACATAGGGTTAGTCTGTTATTATACAAAATATTCGGTATGAAAATAATTTTGTAAATACATCGCAGTCTCGGGCTACAAGTCCCTTTAATTGCTTGAATTCTCTGGCTTCACTCTCTCTGAACGACGTGATTCTTCATTGACTTAGAATTGCTAGAAGTGTCGAGAAATTTTGTCATTTGGTTGGGCCTGAACCCAGACTCTGGTAGTGTATTTATATATTCGTGGGTTGAAAATTAACCAACTGGAATCGCGCCATCTTACCTGTAAAGCGACGTTCATATAATGGCTACATGCACATAATTGCACCAAGGTATATGAATCACAGAACTCAAGTGAGCCAAAAGTGCCTATCCCCATTCACTAGAATGCTTCCTTTTTAGTTATCATCAGACCATCAAAGAGATTTCTTTAATATTGCTCGTGCTTTATAGAGAGAATTCACAATTAAAGGTGGCTGTTTCCGTGTTGCAGCCTGCCGTTCAGCCGCGCTACCAGCTACTGCGGACTGCTGGTTAGTGAAGGATAATTCAAAAGGCTGGTGAATAATTAGTGTTCAATTAAATTCACTGCATGACTTTTTTCTGGTTACAAATAGTTGAATTCCACCCAAGTTGCCCTTGTTGTAAAGAAGAGTTTAATAACAATCGAAATTGTCTATTTCTGTATCATACGCTGGCCGTCAGCCTCATTGACTACCCCCCTCTTCTTGGCGGCTAATGCGGAACATGTGGTTGGTGAAAATCAAATGACAAGGCTGGAAAATCCTTAATTCGCGCTCATGATAATCCAAAAATTTGTGCCATGATCTACCTCCGTTACAACAGCTTGCTGGCCATCCATCTTGAGGGCACACCAGACTGACCCCTTATTTACCTTGCAACTATTGCATTCGCTCGCGTTGAACTAACGACGTCAACTCAGAATGCGCCCAACCAGCCGGGATGACTTCACGATCGCGATTATCTGCGCGCTGACTCTGGAGGCGGACGCTGTTGAAGAACTTTTCGATGAAACCTACGACAGGCTGGGCCTGATCTACGAGAAACAACCTGGAGATGACAATGCATACATAAATGGAAGGATTGGGAAGCATAATGTCGTTCTATGCTACATGCCAGGAATGGGCAAAGGAAGCGCGGCCAGTGTGGCTCCAAGCCTCAAAATTAGCTACACGAGAATCCAGGTTGCGCTGATAGTTGGTATCTGCGGAGGAGCCCCATACTCAGCCAGCGAGGAAGAAATCTTTTTGGGCGATGTCATCATGAGTGATTCGGTGATTGAATATGATTTTGGCAGACAATACCCGGGCGGCTTTCAGCGAAAAACCGATGTCAGAGACACGCTTGGAAGACCAAATCGAAAAATTCGGGCACTCTTTGCAGGCCTGAAGGCGAGTCGGGCTCGTAGAGAGTTCCAAGACCAGATGTTACGGTATCTGCACACGATGCAGCAATCAGAGGCAAAATGGTGCCGGCCGGCCGTTATTGATGACATTCTCTTTGAAGCATCCTATCAACATAAGCACTATGGACCAGGCTCATCTTCCAGATGCCTTTGCTTCGATGACACCTCACCAGATGGGATTTGCGAAGAAGCATTGGAGGCAATATGCAATAGTGTAGGCTGCAATGAGAAGCAAATCCGTCGCCGCCGACATAACACAGATATAATGAAAGCGGCAATTCATATTGGGACAATCGCATCCGCTGACACGGTGATGAAATCTGGAGAGCGTCGTGATCACCTTGTAAAGACGGAGCGTGTGATTGGTTTTGAAATGGAAGGAGCAGGAGTGTGGGATAATGTGCCTTGTATTATCATCAAGGGCGTTTGTGACTACGCGGACAGTCACAAAAACAAGGCATGGCAGGCATATGCTGCAGCAACTGGGGCATCTGCTGCCAAAGCATTCTTGGAATATTGGAGGCCAGTCGCTAGAAAAGGTTAGTAATAAATTTAAAATCAAGTTCTATTTCACTAAGAATTGTGCGTAGAGAGGCAATGTCATTGGATGATTCCCTTCCAGAAGAACTTGCGATTCGTGGGTCGAGAAAAAGAAATCGCCAAACTTGACGGGCTGATTTCACCACATAACGGACCATCCAAAATCGCTATATGTGGACTTGGTGGAATTGGAAAGACCCAAATTGCGCTTGAATTAGCTTACCGCATACGAGAGAGGGACTCCAGCTGGTCTATATTCTGGATTCCATGCACCAGCCAGGAGAGTGTTGAACAAGCCTACATGAGCATCGCACAGACTGCGGGAATACAGAAAGTGAAGCCAGTAGAGGCGAAGGAGCGCGTCATGGCTTATCTCAGCCAAGAAAGTTCCGGAAAGTGGCTTCTGATTTTCGACAATGCTGATGATCAGGACATGTGGATGAAGGACAGTGAAACTGCCTCAGCACTCAAGAAATTTCTCCCTCAGAGTCCGCAAGGTCGTATTCTCTTCACTACGCGCAACCGGACGCTGGCTGTGAGACTGGCTTCTCCTCATGTGATAACAATCTCCGAACTAGATGAAGAGACCGGGTTAAAGATGCTGGAAAAATCACTGATTCATAGTGATCAGTCTGTTGACCACAGTGCTGCTGTGATCCTTCTTAACCAGCTCGCCCTACTCCCCCTAGCAATCACTCAGGCGGCGGCATATATTAATGAAAATGGGATCAGCGTCTCTACTTATGTAGCACTTCTGGAGAAACAGGAGTCACATGTTATAGAGCTGCTAAGTGAAGACTTTGAGGATGATGGACGATATGAAGCCATCCACAATCCTATAGCCACAACATGGTGGATATCATTCCAACAGATTCGACGCTTGAATATATTAGCTGCTGATTATCTATCATTCATGGCCTGCATCAACCCTCGCGACATTCCCCAGTCTCTTCTGCCCCAGCCTGCATCTGACAATGAGCGAATAAAAGCAATCGGCCTTCTTGATGCCTATTCATTCATCAGCAAACAGGCTGATGGTAACCTTTTGAGCCTTCATCGACTAGTACATCTCGCGACTCGAAACTGGTTAAGAAAGAATGGACATTTTAGCTCACAAGTAGTCAAAACTGCGGGTCATTTAGATAAAAAATTTCCAGAAAATGATCATACCAATCGAAAGCAGTGGCGAGAATATCTTCCACATAGCCTTGCTTTGATAGGTGAAGATGAATTTCAGGATAAGAGTGAAAGATTTATTGATCTGGTCTGGAAGGTGGGGAGTTGTCTCTATAAGGATGGAAGGTACAATGAAGCCGAGAAGCTGGAGGTGCAAGTCATGGAGACAAGGAAGACAGTGCTGGGAGATAAGCATCCCGATACTCTGATCAGCATAGCGAACCTAGCAGCAATTTATTGGAATCAGGGTCGGTGGAGCGAAGCTGAGAAGCTGGAGGTACAAGTCATGAAGATAAGAGAGACAGTACTAGGAGATAAGCATCCTATAACACTGATCAGCATGGCGAACCTAGCAGCAACTTACCGGAATCAGGGTCGATGGAATGACGCTGAGAAGCTAGAGGTACAAGTTATGGAGACAAGAAAGATAGTGCTAGGAGATAAGCATCCTGATACGCTGACCAGCATATCAAATCTAGCAGTAACTTACCGGAATCAGGGTCGGTGGAGCGAAGCTGAGAAGCTGGAGGTACAAGTCATGGAGATAAGAAAGATATTGCTAGGAGATAAGCATCCTGATACGCTGACCAGCATATCAAATCTGGCATCAATTTACCGGAATCAGGGTCGGTGGAGCGACGCTGAGAAGCTGGAGGTACAAGTCATGGAGATAAGAAAGATATTGCTGGGAGATGAGCATCCTAACACTCTGATCAGCATGGCGAACCTGGCATCAACTTATCGGAGTCAGGGTCGGTGGAATGACGCCGAGAAGCTGGACGTGCAAGTCATTGTGACATCTAAGGCAGTGCTGGGAGACGAGCATCCTAATACTCTGATCAGCATATCAAACCTGGCATCAACTTACCGGAATCAGGGTCGATGGAATGACGCGGAGAAGCTAGATGTGCAAGTCATGGAGACAAGGAAGACAGTACTAGGAGATGAGCATCCTAAGACTCTGATCAGCATGGCGAACCTGGCATCAACTTATCGGAATCAGGGTCGGTGGAATGACGCCGAGAAGCTGGACGTGCAAGTCATGGTGACATCCAAGGCAGTGCTGGGAGACGAGCATCCTGACACTCTGGCCAGCATGAATAACCTTGCCTATACGTGGCAATCTCAGGGAAAACTACATGATGCCCTTTCTCTAATGAAAGAATGCTCTGACCTGCAAAAAAAAGTATTAGGTCCTAATCACCCGCATTCCCTATCTTCCTCTCGTGCTCTTAAAAATTGGATGGATGAGTATAATACATTAACGGATCAAATACCGCTCACTGGAGACAAAACCCCACAGCCTCGGCAGAAAGTTTCTGCAGGATCTTCAGCAGTGGTAACTACCTTGTTAGCCTGTGAAGGTCATATCAATCTATCTTATCCTCAAAGACGATCAGCCGCTACATTATTCATTAATAATCATCCTCTCATCAATGCTGCCAGAACACCCTCGCCCGCGCCAGAAGGCCAAAACTTACAAGACGTGGATTGATTTCGTGCCGTGTTATCCTTCAACATTCGGCTAGAGAAAAGGGTGGATTGAGTTGTACTTCAAGAGTAGTTGCAACACTTAGCTTGTGTGTGCGCGTTATATATATTTGAGTATAGAAAGGAGTTTAAAGCAATATAATTGTTCAAGCACAGGAATGAAATACGAAATAGTAATGTTCCAGTCCACACTACTTAGACAAGTTCGTCAACATCAAATGAAGGAAGGCTCATTCAGGTCATACACTGTAGCATCACGAAATGGCAACAGCTTCTTATACATAGCATATGACGACTAAATCTCTATATAAATAAAACGATGCCTAGCTTTCAAAATGGCGGTACTCGTACGTCCCATACGTATCGTGAGTTACCCAAATACTAATCTAAACCAAGTAGTTTATAGGCTGCGGGGCGCTGGGAAAAAGTCGAAGAGTTGCCAACTATGTAAAGCCGCACTTGCAAGGCGCTGTACCACGAGCTTCTCTCAACGCTTTGTTTTCGAATCCATGTGGTTTCTCCTGAAATGTTGTATCGCGGGCTGTCATTAACATTAGTTGTGGCTGATCGCATTAGTGGGAAGCTTGTCAGTGCAAATGCCATTACAGTAATAACCTGAATGCCTAAATGGTGGAGGCAGCACTGTGTGTCAGCGTCCGCAGCGATCATCGGCGAAATTCGTCGGTCGGAAAATGTCTTCTTGGGTTGTAAGTGGACGGACTCAAGGTCTGGTACAATCCAACCCTGTGGGGCGTGGAGTTCTTGCAGACTCCGCAGCTCTATTGAGTTCTTAAGCTATAAAGTCAACATGTGTACTTGTCAGGGATAAGGGCACGGCGGACTTAGTACGAAGTAAGAGTTTAGGGAAGTGTCACAACAAGATTGACCATCAATCGTTCCAGAAAGGACTGAAACAAAGCCGAAGACTTTATTGAATGATCAGTCTGCTCACGGCCGATATAGACAACTTTAGACCGTATTTCTAAACGGTGACGAGATCATCGAGAACATTGAGAACATGATATTGGAATTTCAAGACGATTGATGCAAACTACAAGCAGTGGCCTACCAGTGAATGAAACACGCGGCATAGGGTCAGAATGTTATGGTTGTTATAAAGCTTGTGAATTCATAGGTCGGAAGAGTAGTTGATTGACTTGATGATAGAACCAAGTTTATCAACACCTCTACCCAATAGAAGATGTCGGCGGAGTCTGGTCGCGCCCCTGCATTGCGTTCCTCTTTGGTTCTCTGGTAGCTGAATTCGCAGTGAACCGGACGCTAACAAGCTAATAGTTCAAAGCTAATACGAACTAACATCTGTATAGACTGCTCAGTATCGGACTCTGGAGACAGCCTGTACGCGCAAAGTTCACGATATCTGTCCCCTTGGGCCTCGTACGCGATCCAATTTAGACAAATTTTCCACTGCTTTGGATGGGTATTGCGGTCAAATTGATAGCATCCTCAGCCGTGCATCGACTACTCATTAACGTAATTCACAATTGACCCGGCCAGCTCTCCCGAAAATAACTCTCTATACTGATTTCGAATCCGAATGTCTAAACCCCATAGAAATTACGTAAAAAGAGTTAATTACTAGTACGATAAGGACATCGATTTATTTTATGTCCTTTAATCCCACAACAACTGCAGCGAAACTGGCGACGTACGACGGCTTGAGAAGCTGAGAGCTCCGGCTCAGCCGGAGCGGTAGTAACAGCTTGAGACACCTCAACCTGACCTTGTACGAGCGCTTGAGCTTCTTCCCTAGCAATTTCTTGCTTTTCTTTTTCAAGCGCAGCCCGTAAATCATGATTTTCTTTCCGTAGCAGCAAAAGGGCGTTCGTAATTGTTTCGTAGGCCTCTGTCATCCGTATAATTGCTTGGTCAATCAGTGGATTTGGGCTTTCTGCACTCTGATTTATATGTCTCTTGATTGCAGTTGACTGGCGTATGAATCGACGTATACTTTGACGTGTTTGTAAGCATTCCTCGGATCGAGTCAATTTATGGCGGTCGGCACGTGTCATTTGTCGATATTGTAAACCGTTCATGCGATTTTGAAGCGTGGTGCGAGGGATCATATAGAGTCTAGCAGCTTCACGAACACTGCAAATTCTTTTGTTTTTCAAGTCGAGGAGAGCTAATTGAATACTATCCTCCATACGCTCCGATTCTAGAGAATCTTGTTTGCGAATTGGTGGCATTTTGACGCGTTGAAGTATATGAAATCGGTATAGAGAGGTTGTAGGGGTCGCGCGTGAATTACGTTAGAACACTTTACTTGAGTCGGGGGTGTTTAGAGTTTGGAGACATTAACCCCTGAACGCTAGTCCGTTTGCGGGATGTATATGGCGAGCCAATCAGAGACTGTTGAACATCCCGGATGATTTCTTTTTCTGTATTGCTGCGTTGGTAATACAAATTCCTCCGACGCCGACATTCGCTCGCTTTCATCCAACTATGCATCCGATGCAAATCCAGACGCTTTCTTTGATACTGGATCCACGAGGATTGATACCCGGACGTCTGGTTCGACGTTGTCATGATTTGATGATGTTATATTCTTGCCATGATACCGGCACAACGGTAATGGAGTCCGTGTCAGTTGAATCATGATCAGTCATCTAAACTTCTAGGCTGTTTTCGCTAAAGTGGCATGTGGATTGATTCGATTTTCGCATTATATAGACAGGTGAAGCAAATCCGACATGTCAATCAATCATATATACACGACATAATCATCAATGGCTCTTATACAAGACACTCGAGTCCAGAACATTCCCGGTTGAAGACTGAATGAAATCAATCTGCAAACTCGTTTCATTTAAGAACTTCAACGAGCTGTAGCTGTAATCATCCGCATACACAAACGCATTATACGACGGCACAGTTCCAACGGCCGACAGACCTTCAATGTTACCGGTACCACCGGCAATGATGTACATTGGTGCAGTGGGGTCGTTCATACCTTTAGGGTCAGCGGTACCATTGTACACGGGCAGAAAACGCTGGGAGTTGTGCACATGTCCGAAGATACCAACATCAACACCATATTCATAGAACAGGTCTTCGAAGGCGGCTTGGCAGGATGTGCAGGCTGAGGAACTGTCGCCGGTGGTGTACCAAGGACGATGGCCGGCGACAAGGACCCAGGGTGTGACGCTGCGGTCGACGCTGGCAAGATCAGCTGCTAAAAAGTTGAGTTGTTGGCTGGTGGTGCCGAAGGGGCCACCATCGAGACCTGCAGAACCGCCTTGGCCGTCTGGTGCGTTGGGGAAGTCGGTTTCGGTATCAATCATGACGATGTGGGCCATACCATACTCGAAGGAGTACCAGAATGGAGGGTTGGAGAGGCTCTTAGCCTTGGAAGCCAATGATTGTGCGGTAGTGTTAGTCGAGCTCGACTTGAATGCGGTGGGCATAGTCTGTCCAAATCGGTGCAAAAAGTCGGTAAAGTTTTTCTGACCCTCGGGACACAATCCAGACGTGTACGGAATCTCAGTACAGTCAGCCTCGTGATTACCAGGGCTGGCCATGTAGAGCTTCCTTCCGGCAATAGGTGCAAGTTGATCGTAGAACTGCTCGAGAATGGCCTGATAGGCATCCTTGCCATCGAGTAGATTGTGGGGCTTCTCGTACCAGTCGTCGGCATAAGCGAAGTCACCAGGGTGCAAGACGATTTCGTAGTCATCAACAGTATCTGCAAGACGGCCGATAGTGGTGTGATTCAACTCAGGTTGAATAGTGGGGATTTCATCTCTTTTGGAGGTGGTATATCCATCAGCGCCATAGACACCCAAGTCAATTACAACGTCTAGGTTGAATGGCGTCTTGTCTCCTGGCTGGCGGGGACTCAGAAAGTGGTCGACAGTTGAATTGGTGGAGACAATCTTGTAGTAGTATGTGGTTGCCGGGGTCAAGTCCGACAAGATTACCACATTCGAGTACGTGCGAGAGCTTGCGTACGTTGTGGAGTTGATGGTCGAGCAAGCTTGCGAGTTAAGATTGGAGCTGGATGTTCCATATTTAACGCAAGCCGAGGCTTGGTAGGCGTATGTGTTCCATCCAACGGAGACGGCTGTTTCAACACGCATTAATTTACTGTTTCATGTTGGGCATGTGGAAGTTACAAATCGAAAGAGAAGTGTCCTACCTCCAGGCCCATAAACTGCCAATCGCTGTTGATATGGGGTCGTTAGATCCTCCGGAATGGGAGGGTAGTTAATAAGGCCGGCATACACGCTAGGGGCAGCCAACAGCACCGCGGCCGCGCCAATGGTAGATGTAGATTTCATCTTGTAACCTACTTCCTGTCTCCGAACTGAAGAATGTCGAGCGCACGCAACAGCAAACAAAACGAGACCTAAATTATCGTGACATGAAATAGCGCTTATATATAAAGAAATTCACGTCACATGTGTCATTGGCAGCATAAACGCATAAAACTGGGCCAAAGTAGCAAACCCTGGGGCGAATTCCCATCGAAACCAATCAAGGGGCCCGGGAGCACCACGCCGTTGTTTCTGTCGATCGATCGTCGCTGCTAAGGTAGTAGCCATAGCCTAATAGATTAGACTACGGCTCGACTGGGTTAGAATCTTCCGGTCATACGGGAAAATGTATAGAATAGGAAGATATTCCTAATGCCCATGTTCAAATAATGGGCCCTATGGAAGTGCTTGATTAGCAAGACCTTGTCGCTGATTTGACAGCAAGACGCGAGAAACAGGAACGGAAAATTATTATGCATGTCAGTATAATTATTTTAATCAAAGTGTCCACTGTCTACGTACCTCAAGAGCTTAGAACTGCACCTGCTTCGTGAAGCTTCATGCAAGTCATCTACTTAGATTAAGATTGAGGTCATTCTTCACGGACCGAGTTTACCGGTCGTTGCATGTGATAATTCAAGAACTAAGCATGCTCTGCTTCTATCTTCTGGTTCGATAATTTCAATTCTTTCATCTCGACTCTGAGCATGCACTAAAACAATCATCCGTCCTAGCCTCGTCACAAATTAGTGTCGCCCCGCCATTTATGACCCTGCCACTGTACAATGAAAGTGGGGACTACACTTCCAACTACAAGAAGTGCGATAATGATGCCGTTACTCGCATACAAGCCGACTTTTTCCAGCATTTGTGGGAACCTAGTTATCGAATCAGTATACGTATCTAAGCGCATACGTGTACCGAAAGAATCGACTGCTATAACTCACCAGAAAGGACCAATAAAACCCCAAGTCTGACGCACAAAAGTAATAAAAACGCCAACACTAGCGGCCTCACTCCGGTAACAGCTGACTGCATAAGTGATATTAACGGTGGTTACAATCTGGTTTCCGACGGCGGCAATAGCGGCACCGATCAAGGGAGTAATATTCCAGTGAGCAGAAGCCTTCTCGGTTTGGATCAAGAACACCACAATGCCACAAATAGAAAGAGAGATTCCGAGATAGCTAAGCCATAGTCTATATTCCGGTGCCGGCGATATACCGCTTCGTTTCTGTCGAGCCCACATCCATCTATCAGAAAGATAGCCTCCAAATTGTTCTCCAATCACGGAGCCGATGATGATTGCCAAAGACTGAAGACCAATCTGCTGGGCATCTAGATGAAACTTTTCGGCAAATATTTGAGGAATCTCGATTGAGATAAGAATGCTGGCAAAGAGAAACACCATCGAGTAGGACAAACTGGGTATCATGACGCAAAGTCTGGCTGCGAACGACAATGGATAGATGAAGTCTCGAACGCGTAACGGAGTCGATCCGATGCGCTTGAATCGGAAGTACTGTTGCTTGAAATCTGTGTCATGGGTCGCTGAACGTTCGAAAAGCGTCTCGGAGCCAAAGAAGAACCAAAGTATCAGCTGTATGGCATTCACCTGGAGTGCATTAGCCTTTCACTTTGACAACTTTAAAGGGCATACATACTACAACTAATATCCAATAGATCCAACGATAGCCAACTTGATGCACGACGAACCCGAATATGAACGGCGCAGATGGGACACCCAACGTAACCATGAGAGCCCAAGCCCCCATGCAACGAGCATAATCTCTTTCAAAAAACATTTCACTCACTACCGCGCTCCCAATCGCTGCCGCAGGACAAATGAAGAATGCGGTGATAGCCCGACACAGGCCCATCGTGGCATAGGACGGACTCTTTGCGCAACCAATGTTKCCTACCAAACTGCAAACGAGAGAAATGAGGAAAATTGGCCGGCGACCATAACGGTCTGCAAAGGGTTTCCAGAATAGTGGTGCTCCGCCGATGATGGCGATGACAAGGGAGGTGAGATAGCTGGCTTGTTGAACGCTGACGCGCAGGTCTTGTGCTATCTCGACAAATGCGCTTTGAATTGCTGCAGCAGTGAAGGTAGCCATCATTGCGTGGAAGCTGATCAAAGCAAGGTTCAGGATTTTCTATAGAGTACGGAGTATCAGCACGGGGTTTTCTTCTTTGCCTATACCAGGAATGAAATGATATGAGTCGTTCACTTACTTTCCATGCCGGCCAGTTGAATGGATCAGCATCACTCATTGATGGCACCGGACTGAGATCCAGTGTGCCGTGACGTCTCAATAGATATTGACGATGTTCGGCAGGGAGATTGTCTTGACACGGTACATCACACGAATCCGGAAGACTGGATGCATGACCCTCTTCAATATGTTCCATCTTTGGCTTTTCCATGTTGTCAAGAGAACTGTTGTTGTTTGATCAATTTCGTGTGCTAAACAATTGAGGACTCGAAATCCAAGTCTAGGGTGGAGTTCTATGTCCTTTGACTCTGGCCTTCAGACCACAACATATAGGTACTAAAAATGCGGAGAAGCAACATCGAAGCATGCCATTCTAACCCTGTAAGAATCCGGGGTAAGCGGAATAGAATACCCTCCAAGCAAAACTCTCCCCGCACATTGACCTCAGGACTTGAAGGTGGCTAAGACCATCTATTGAGATAGCCGCGGACGGGAAGATTGATGCCGATTGGAGAACAATGTTGTTTATTACTCCGCATCGAAATCTGTCATTCTTGGGTAGATCACTTCGAGCACGCATTGCAACGGCTATGAGCATTATAGAATAATCACTAAATAATTTCAATTCCATTATCGCTCTTTTTATTTGTTGTGGTACTCTTGGGGAAAAAGCGGTGCAGCTTCTTTCGAGTCCCTTATTGAATATTATAACCCTCCCATACTACAAATTTTGTGATGCGTTTCTTGTTATCGTGATAATTGTACACTATAATCTCAAAGGTGACATGCTACAATACAAGATCATTCACACCGTGGAAGCCGAGAGTAAATATCAAGAAACGACTGATCCAGCTCGCTAAAATCATCCCTCGCGAACTGATTTAATAGTTCATCAGAAGGCCTTTGTATACTCTGTAAAAAGATCTCCGTATCCATGAAGTCTAGTGATATTGGCGGTGTAGATGATCGTGGCTCATCCCCTGTTTTTTGCATCTCTCAGTCAAGTTCTTCATTATGAAAATTCGTGGAACTCACCTAGTGTATCGAATAGGGATAAAAGCTGCTTTATGCAACATCTTGCTCTTTGTGTCACAAGACTAGACTTGCCAATATTTTTCAAAGTGTCTAGGGACTGGTCTATATCTTGCCGGATCTCGATCATTGAAGAAGCTGATACTATATCCGGCCCGTGTTTTCCAACAAGCAGGATGGCAAGGTAATGCATGGTCACGGTCAGGACTAGTAGTATGGGTCAGCGCTGTGTCTTGATTCCCCCAATGTCAGTGTCAAGAAAGAAGTTCTCTTACTTGTATAGTGGCAAGTGTACCAACAAGCAGACTTTACCATGAAAGACTCATGAGACGTGCTTATAGCATAAAATATATTCCGCAGTTCCCGCAAAGCTTCCGTGTCATCTTCAATGACCCGATGTAACGCTTGCTTGAGTCTTTCTATTTCAAATTCTCTGCTTTTGCTGGTTGTCGTAGTTAATGTAAGAAAGTGAGAAATCAACGGAAAGTTGGAAGTAATTCGAAGCCGGTGGTAGTCAATGGATAAGAGAATACGGTTTGCCACAGATTTATCCATGACTAGGAACGAATTACTCAACTCCATGGATGATATAGTCAGCCCACCAGATAAAATATCGTTAAACCATGCCTTTAATTTCCAATCGAGAGATTCCCAGGCTAGAACCAGGGATTGTGTCGGGCATATAGTCGAGGTCTCGATATTTCCGTTGTACAAGGTTTCAATTGCAGATTCGAGAAGAGAGGTGAAGCATCTAGATTTTCAACTCATTGTTAGCTTGCTCTAGTCAAATTGCTAGTTCACAGACTCACTTCTCAAAGGATGAAGAACTAATGTTGCAGTTACCAGATACACCGAGACTTTGCGGTATCATGTACGGTTGACCTTGCGTCAGCCCCATAAGTCTTCCATAGTTGTCAATAAAACACTGGCTACGATGATAGCAAAACATGCTCACCTATCGTTCCGAACGACCGCTTCCCAAAGACTAACACGTTTGTGTCGTTCTTCCGTCTCGCAGTCCATCAAAACTCGCTCCGAGTGAAGGCCAACATGAAATGCGGCTTTGACACACAATGCATGTGTGGTATAACTGGATATTGATCTCTGATGATTTTGCTTGTACGTGACCATCAACAGCAGCGTTTGCACTGGACAGACGATTGCAAAAATTGATAAGCTTCGGTACGCGACTGAAAAGTAGGACAAAAGAGATGAACTTACCCAATTCATAGCCAGGTCTTTCTAATGTACGTAAGTCTAATAGGGCCACAGCTCTGTTGTAAAATGTTTCTCGCTGCACCTTGCTCTGAGATGCACACGCATGTGCCCAGATGATGTTCAGCAAAGCCAAAAAGACTGCTCTGAACTTTGGCGGTTGCTGCATTCTTGATTTTTGATATTGATCTAGTATATCAACTTCATTGATGTATGGGAATAGGGTGCCGATGTCCCTGAAAAACGTTCCGAATAGGAACAGAGCTTCTTGTTTGGTAGGTAGAATGTACATTTCCCGTGGAGAACTCTTTTCTGGTGCTGGCCTTGAGTGATCTAATTGGTTAGAAACAACTCGGTTTGCTGAGTGTTTATCATGATTCCCACATTTAGAGCACGATTCTAATAATGAAGCGGCTCTGTTGGTAGGCATGTACAGCATTGTCGTATCGGCAAAAACTTTCGACAACAGGCGAAACATGGCATAATTTGAACTCGGCCCTGCGTAGCAATTTCATGAGAATATATTGATGGCGTGGATAGAAAATTTGCGACGCACCAAAATACCCGACTTCATTTTCTGATGTCTGCTGAAATGCATCTGTTGACAGGATGTCGACTGATATGTCTTCATCCAAAGTTGTTGATACATTAAGAGAATCTTCTTGATGCTCCGAACTCATATCGGTAAGGGATGACGCTTGCTGAAGTGATTTCGAAGAGTTTAGTAGGCTTTGTTCTAGCATCTCAACTCTTTTTCGAAGATCATTTTTATCCCTGTACAACAAAGATCAGCATGCTTGGTTACCATGCATCAGTCCAATCGTGTTGAACCTTTTCGTTAGACCATCCCGCAACCTACTGCTGAGAGGCTTGTAGGAGCATTCCAGGCATAAATCTTTACATCGAGAGCAAGTAGGTCTTGTGCCATTACACTAGTCTACTGTTAGACAGTGTCTTTCCGCTTCGATAGGATATGCGCACCTTGAGTTTTCGACGTCGACATTCGGTGCACGCCACCTCTATACGCCGCATTGTGCTCATTGTATCTGATGTAATCACTATCTTTGCAAGATGTGTGCACGAATAAGTCCATAATGATCAATAAGTTCGTCATTCTAGTATCTCTTCCCCGCATTTTTCCCCAACTTTCATGGCCCTCTCCGACCGTTACCAGCCAATCGGGTGATGGCTTCCCGACCCTTCGCGCAACTATCGGAGCCAAATCGTCTATTATCCAGCTTGTTATATTTGCGCAGTGGAGAGGCAAGAGATGCGGTATTGAGACCTGACAGCCGAGCTCGTTGACATGTAGGGGGGTTGCATAATATAGATCGAGGCGTACGCTCTCTCCTCGTGGTCTATTTTTCACTCAAGCTATCACCTTCATGTCCGAAATTAATCTTAACGATCATGGAATACATACTAGATCAGATATCCGAAATGCGCATTGTTATTGGTGGCAGCTTACTGGCCATCGCTGCCCTGGCTTACATTGTGTATCAACGATACTTGCACCCCCTCGCGAAGTATCCTGGGCCTTTCCTGGCAAGCCTCACGGACCTGTGGCAGGKGAATCAGTTCTTATCATTACAACAACCATACAATTTGACCAAACTGCACATGAAGTATGGTCCAATTGTCCGATATGGACCTGATAAACTCAGCATTACCCACGAGAGTGCGATTCCGGTCATATACCAGAAAAGTGCCAGGCTCATGCCCAAGACGGAGTTTTATGATGCGTATGGAGCTGCGCATCCCAATGTCTTTGGTATGCGAGATGAAGCTGTATGTTTGAGTAGTCTCGCGTCTGCTACTAAAATCACTCGATATAAATCGCTAACGCATTTTAGGTGCACTCCGTTCGTCGGCGACATATGTCACATAGTTTCTCCATGAGCTACATTAAAGACATGGAGAATTATCTCGATGAGAACATTCAGATACTAAAAGATAAGATCCAATCCCACATTGACCGCAATGAGATATTCGATCTTAAAAAAGTATTGCACTATTATGTGATAGATGTGCTAGGCGAGCTAGCATTTAGCCAATCTTTCGGTGTGCAACAGTCGGATGATGAATCCCTTGTGCCTCCCGTTGTCGAGCACAGCCTTCTCGCCGCAGTTACCGGTTCGTGGCCAATGATGACAATGACGTTGAAAAAGTGGCTTCCATATGTACCACATGCTGGACTCAAAAGGCTCTTTGCGGGCCGGAAAGCTTGTGCAGACCTTGCGTCGGTATCTATTGATAGGCGACTCGCTGATCTCTCTGCTGCCCAAAGCTCCGACAGCAAAGCTGAAAGAAAGGACATATTGACCAACTTGATCAAAGCCAAGGACCCCGAGACGGGAGAAAAACTTACTCCGGATGATTTGAAAACAGAAGCGTTTGGTTTCATGTAAGGGTTGCTCCATGCTAGATGTTGAACTGGAAGTCCGAGAGTCACTGAATTGCAACAGTATTGCAGGAACTCATACGACAAGTGCTACTTCGACATTGCTCTTCTATCATTTACTACACAATCCCGAGTACTTGGAAAAGTGTGTCCATGAAATTGACTCCAATTTGCCTCCCCTCAACCCCGGTGAGGCAGCTTATCCGGTTACTAGCGTTGAGACATCGCTTCCTTTCCTACGTAACTGCATGCGGGAAAACTTTCGAATCACTCCAGTATTTACCATGCCATTGGCACGTCGCGTCATGGATCCGGCGGGCGTGACTATTGAAGGGTCCCATATCCCCTACGGAGTAAGCTTTGAAATATATCATGCTCGACCTTGAGACACAGAAAGGCTGATGGTTGATTAGACATCTCTCGCGGTATGCAACCATGCATTCCACCATAATCCAGCCGTGTGGGGCAAAGACCACAACATCTTCGACCCTACGCGATGGGAAGATCCGTCCATTGCCGCAAAATCTCGTCTTTTGATGCATTTCGGTCTCGGGGGACGACAATGTATTGGCAAAACAGTAGCTACAACCAACATATACAAGCTTTTGAGTACACTCCTGAGAGAATTCGACTTTGATTTGGCGAGCGAGCAGGAGCGGGCAGATGTAGCTAAAGGGTTGTACAAGGGAAAAATTCCGGATATGTTCAGCGTTGGGATTAGTGACTTGAAGGGTCCTTTGCTGGTAACTGCTCGGAATCGATAAGGGGTTTTAGATGGATTTTGAGATTACCTGGAGTATTCTGTATTGCTTACGTTTGAAACCCCGGGTGTAGGACAATAAATCTTGCTAAATTACTTCGCCAGTATTGATTAATCTGCTTGATCTACGTTGACATTAGGTATACAACGTTCATGGGTTATGTCCGCCTACTGCCCAGTGCGTAGGTATGATTTTAATTAATATATATCACTGCCAAGTGGGTATATACCTTCGAAACAAAAAATCAGGACAGAAATGGTTTATACGTGGATTTTCGATACGTGGAAGCTGTCTCCTGAATGGTTAGATAGTGGTATGTATAGCAAACAGTGCATCTCATGTAAGGTCCGATAGCTTGTACTTTGAGTGATCAAGGCTGTTCTTCAGTTCTCATTTTCTTTGATCGACGGGGCCGTTCTAGAAATGGTTAGTTGCAGTGGCCAGGGGGGGCCTAATTGATGCCTGAAACTGAATAAACATTTCCATTGGAGGGTATGATGAGCTAGTAAACAAGCTAAACTGAGTCTAGATTAGACCGCACAGCAAGCAATGTATGATTGGCTTATAGATTTAATCAGAGTTAGTTACTATGCATGACTTACTGTAAGAAAATCAGCTGTCTTCAGCCGCATGGCGATGACTTTCTCCTGAATTTACTCCGACAGCTGTGTTCGACACTTTAATACCGCGACGTCTCTTTATCGAAGAGTCAGATCATGTCGCGCTCGAAATCTGTATCTAGTCGCCTATATTCGCGATCATGACATACTCCTTCTTTGTCCCCAGGACATACGTCCTGGCTTTACTCGCGCTTGTATACGGAGCTTGGGCCGCTGTCCTGCCCGCTCGCGACACCACGATCACCCTCCCTCCAGGCGCTACCTATGACCCTGCTACGAACGTATGGTGCACACCGACAACATGGACGGATATCGGCTCTTTCTTTCTGGGCAACTACCTTTCCCACGCGGCCACCGTCATTTCGTTTCCCGGGGAGCCTGTCAGTATAACAATTGTGAACATGATATTGGCAATCTTCGTCCCCAGCTCAGGCGCAGGTCGCGGAGTTCTGGCTGTGGTGCGACATGCCGCTTTTTATAAAAATCCGTTTCAGCAAGCCCTTCGCTCGAGAGCTTTTTGCATGGTCGTTCGTTCGCAGAAATGGAAGCCGATGGCTGGGGAGACGCTTCGTTCCATGTCGTTTTTGTCAAAGGAGCTTCGAGATGAGGATAACGACGAGTACGAAGCCTATAAGATCATGTGTACGTCGAAGGTTACTGATGGTTTATTCTGCGATGGCTAACACGTTGAAATCCGTAGCTAAAAATACAGAAAAGGTTGGGCAATACGTGGAAGAGCTGTAAGTTGAGGGACAATGGTAAATGATTTCAACTAATAAACCTGCTAATCGTTTGCTTAGAAAAGCACATCATGAACCGATCGAACTCAAGGTGGAAAGCCCGCTATGGTTGCAAGTAGGTGCTAATTCTACACGCGTCGAATTTGTCGGCCGCCATTACCAAGTCTTCGGAACATACAAACTACCGGAAGGATACCAGCTGGCCTACGTCCCTGCCAACGCTATCGTCGAACCGGTCTCTTTCTCAAGTGACAGCTCAGATCAAACTGCAGCCCCCAAATCCGAGTTTGCCCTTACATCAGCTTACAGTTTTGCGTCCGCCTTGGTATCAATCATCCAGATTATCTATGCGTTGACCGGCTTGTATCGTTCTCGAGGCAACCAAGTATCGAAATATGGATATGCGGCGTTCTCATTTACAGTCTTACCGTATGTGATCATGTCCTTTGTCAATTTGCTGGGCAATTTGGTTACTCCTCGATACTCAACTTTGTATCTTGTTCGCTCCGAGATGATGGACGAGGCTTCACGGCGCGGAGGTGAATTTCAAGGAGTTGTCGGTAATCTTGAAAGTGCGCACCTTGAGGTCGAGGATACCTTCGTGTTCTCCGCTGCTCTCAAGGAGTCAGCACAAGAGCGGTGGGAGTTTCAACTGGGCGACAAAATTTATCTCCCTGGAGAAGTGGAGCCCATGACTGCCGAGAAACATGAGCTGGCGTCAAAGTCAGATGAAGAGCGTAACGATACCGATCCCGCAACCTCTCATGACGTGAAAAAGGCATTGTCCGCTGATGAAGGGGAATTGAAAACCCCCGCACAGTCCTCTGACACTGACGAAACCAACGAAAAGCGACAGCGGAAAAAGAAAAAGTCCAAAAAGGATAAAAAACCTTTACTCGTATGCCCTAACTGCTACTACTTCAAAACCGTAAAAGCAAATCACGCCAATATTCTCAGCATCACCAACCCTAAGCAATTCCATTTCATCGGCGAGTGGCTGATACGACTTGTACGTATCTTGATCGGATCTCTACCCTTGGCTGTCATTGGAGGAATGTCGCAATTCAAAACCGGATCAAGCACGGTCGCTCAGCGAGCATGGACGATGAGTTGGTTAGCCGTCGGGATGGCTCTACCAATTCAACCTTTTCTGTCTTACATTGTGGTGCAGGATTTTACTGCATTTTTTAAAAAGGCAAGAAACGCGATGAGAAAGGGAGCGGATTCCCGCGTCAGAAAGCTTTTTTGGGATTCTTTTCTTGAGATTATATTTTATATCCTGTTTCTTGGATTGTGTGGGGCGCCTGCCATCGGTGGATTTGTGGTTGTTGCGCAGATGTTGAGAGAGTCGGCGTCGTGTGAGGTGTTATGAATGTAGTTTAAACCTCAACAACAATGGTATCATATGCCGCGTCAAATCCGCTACTGGCGATACTAAGTGGTATCGTGGATCGTAAAAGGTAATTAAATATGACCCGAGGCATCCTTATGTTCTTGAACTGATTTCTGCCCTCATCAACCGGCTGAAAATGAATGACTCGACATGTAATTCTAATACATAGACTTAAGGACGCACAAAACCCGAGCTGGCCGATCCCGGTACAAAACCGGTCAACGCTCTGTATACCCACCAAGTCGACTACTCTCGTAGGATTTCCAGATTGAATCACACACGTACGTTCAGTCAAAAGTCTCAACTTAGGGTTTGCTCTCTACTTCCAAACAAGGTATGTGGTCGGAAATTTCCGAATGTGGAAATTAAATTGTGTTTTCCGCCGCACGTTTCAAGGAGATGACTCGGGATTCGACAATCACTGACCGTCTAGCCTCAAGATCACCCCCGCGCTAAATGCACGCCATAGCGCGAAAATCTACTCATAGTATTGCAACTACATGCACTATTTTAGTATAACTCAACATCATCACGAGATGAACGAATTGATCGTTGGAAAATTTGGGGACTTCTTGGCTGGTGCTAATAATGAATGGTTTTCTCGGCAGCATGGTCATACGACCCTGCTACAACATGTCTGTAATTGTCCTCTAGGGCTACTGTGTGCAAGGTCGCAGGGCCAGACCAATGTAACCTAAGCACTCTATGTATGTATGCTTAATCTGCATACTACTATCTGCAGGGGATGTGCCCAGGTGATTGATCGGAAGGTTATTACTGAAAAGTAGTGCTTCATACAATATTTTTGTCACCATTAGAGGACCCATGAGAACCGGATATCTTCCGATTATTTCCTGATTCAGGGCACTTTGCACACGGTCTGTGAGCCGGTAACTCTGCGTTCCTGGCTGACGAGTAATGCTTATTCCCCGTGGCTTGACCAGTAAGTTATCCTGTATTGGAGTCAGAGTATCTCCCATTGGACTGTTGTATGCACATATTTTTGGCTGCGGCCAATGCACGCTAAGGAGGCTGATATAAGCCTTGAGATATGAAGCTTCGATAGTGGATACTGATTTTGACTTCCATGGCGTTCCGGGTGATATCGTGTATGTGCGGTGTACATGGCTTGCATATGCTGCAACATTGCTACATATGTTTCTTGATTTGAGTATTGACCGGGGAGATATGAATAGCAACTTGGACACATGTAAACGTTGCAGATCCGATAATGCCAAGAAAGATGAGCAATGACTACCACTTCTTGCATGTTGGTCGGCCCTTTAGCTGATTGGCAGCCGAGTCATGCCGCTGCATTGCACTGCACTACTGCCATATTGTTGAACAAGTGAGAATTTAGTCCGGTAGTCAATCCTACTAGCCTTCCACAAACTGCTGGCATTTCCTAATACTACTACCCTCTCGTGAACAAACAAGCTAGAATGATCGATCCACGTGGAGAGAAATAGCACCACTACACTTCTCTAGCGTTTTCATTCCGGATATAGTCTACGTACCTACAGAATGCATGAGCCAACAGTATCATTCAGAATGTAACACGTGTGACCTCCCCAACTTAAACCCTGAGATTAACATGGCCAATTGACTTTTTCATTATTGAGATAGCTTACGACGCTTCTATGATTATTCATCCTGTCTTTGATCATAGATGTGTATTGACAGTTTCAAGATAGTTGTATAAGAAGGAGACATCAATCCTTCGACAACTTCTCGACTTGCCAAGCTCTGTCTAGCCTGTTAAAAAAGTCAACAGTCTAGCAAACAACAATGCAGAAGAGTATCGTTGCATTGTTGGCCCTTGCCGGTGCCGCCAACGCGGGGGCGGCATCGTTGAAGGACATCAAGCACGTTGTTATGCTGATGATGGAGAACCGCTCATTCCAGCACGTGAGTGATACCCTGCTCAAATTATACGAGAAGAGTCCTCCTCATACTTATTGATTAGTACTTCGGTACTATGGCTGGKGTGCGAGGCTTTGCCGATCCGAATGTCCAGATCAACCCTGACGGCAAATCGGTTTGGTACCAGTAAGTGGAGATGGAGCAGATCCTATTGATCCTGCATGACATGCTATTGCATGAGATGAAAATTATTCAGTATTGATATCTTATGGCAGGAACCTCACTGGCGTCACCACCGAGGCTGAGTATCTCCTCCCTTATTGGTTGAACTACCTTGGAGGAGAGGAGAACTACAACAAAAGTCAATGCCTCTGTGCCGGAGCCAACAACTGGATCCCTACCCACCAGTCCTTCAACGGTGGTCTCAACAACGCCTGGGCTCAGATCTCGACTCCTCAGTCATGGGGGTATTTCAAGCGTCAGGATATCCCATATCACTTTGCGTTGGCTGAGTCATATACTGTTGCCGATCGTTATCATGTATGTTTTTATCCTTATCCGGTTTTGTTACATTATTCATATGGTTCTTTCATAGGCAAGCATTGCTTCCAACACCGACCCCAACAGATGGTTCTGGCAGGTATGTATCCAGTTTTCTGTAGCATATTGAACACGTCATACTAATATATGATCAGTCTGGGTCTATCAACGTCCCCGGTGGTCCCCAGCCCCTTGGCGCCGGTGGTGTCGTCCTAGATGACCAACAGGCCGACAGTAAGCCGCATCAACTTTCCAAATGACATGACCGAACAGCTAACCATCTTAACAGCCTGCTCCGGTGTTAACTTGGACTGTCTCCCCCTTAAATGGCCCGCCTTCGCCCAATACCTGGACGAAGCCGGCGTCAACTGGCGCTCCTATCAAAACTCCTACAACTGGGCCACCAACAATGGTCTCTTCTACTTTGAGGCATTTCAAAACGCATCCACCAACTCTAGTCTGTACGAGCGTGGTCTCGCCTTTGACGGTGACAATGGTCTTGATGCTTTCAAGGCTGCCGCTGCTGCCGGTACTCTTCCCGAAGTCAGCTGGGTGTTCCCTCCTGGTGCACTTCAGGAGCATTCGCCGAATACTCCTATTGACGGATCGTGGTTTATTAACCAGGTTGTTGGCTCGGCTATCAATGGAAAGGATAGAGAGGAGACCGTCATCCTTCTTAACTACGATGGTGCGTATAAACCTTTTTTCAATAATAATAATATATCATGCTGAAGGAAAGCTAATGATAACAGAGGGTGGTGGTTGGGGTGATGCTGTCTTGCCCCTTGTTTCTCCCAACGGTACCGCTGGTGAATGGTTTGAAGATCCTTATGGAACTTTGGGCTACACATTCTCCGGTCCTGGTGAGCTCCTCTTCCTTCTCATAAAGCAACTAGGCAGTATATACTAAGATATGAAAGGTGTTCGTATCCCCCTTTTGATCATTTCTCCCTTCACTCGTGGTGGCCACGTCTTTACCGAACGTTCGGACCATTCTTCCATCATTCAGTTCCTCGGTAAGTCGCTAATCAAGGTCTGATACACTATTGAAACTAATCTAATGAAATCACAGAGCAATACCTCACCGCCAGAGGATACAAGAACATCGTCACCCCTCAACTCAACGAATGGCGCCGCGGGCACATGTCCGACCTCGTCAACGCCTTTGACTTTGAGAACGTAAGTCTTTACAACCATTCAGCTGTTCCATATACTCCCTCTAACTCTTAAAACAGCCCGACTACAGCATCCCCAACCTCCCCACCCCCAACACCCCCATCGCCAACTCCGCCGGCGAACTAATCGGGATGTACAGCGGCTTCTGCGACATCGAATGGACCGGCTCCTGCTCCGGCAGCGAATACGTCTCGGGCATCCCCTACGGCAACCAAACCGAAGAAGAAGCTCTCTACTTCGAGGACGGCTTCAAGGGTATCCGCGGCTACATGACCGAGGGCCACTACCTCGTCTTTGAGTACAAAGGGTACGCTTTGACCAACGAGGGCGGTAAAAGCAACACTCTAGCGACCAGCAAGGCCACCTCAACACACAACGCAAAGAGCCAGAGATGGGTTCTCAAGGCTTTGAGTGCGGAAGGTACTACGTTCAATATCTACAGTGCTGTTGATGGACGATACCTTACTACTGGAAGTACATTCACCACGAATGCTAAGAACGCGGAGACGTACAACATCACGTATCTTGGTAGTGGTGAGTATGCTATTCAGGCTGCTAATGGTGTCTATCTGGAGATTAATGGATCGGGTAAGCTCAAGTATTCGAAGAAACCGATTGGTTTCAGCGTTTACAGTGTTACCTACCATGACTAGATGAAAGTCTTGCTTGGTATGATAAGGATGAAGGAAGAAAGAGGAAAAATGGTGTCATGATGAAATGAGTGAATGTAGGCATCATTTGGCCAAATTTGATGATGGTAGAGAATATCAATCGGAATGGACTAGAAACTTTTCGAAATCATGTTGATCTTTGGAACCAATTAGTTGATAGTAGGCTCGATATAGAATAAGGACTTCGTTACTACCTTGAGCGATATACTAGGACACCCCTAGGGAGAAGGTAAATAGTTCCTAGTTGGAAGAAAGGTAGGAAAGAAAAGAAAAGAAAAGAAAAACCCGGCATGACTCCATACCCTGAATGATTGCTTAAGTGACCTATCGAAAACTTTTATTCTATTGTATATTCCCCGTCTCCGCTCAAGAGACCGCTAAGGATTTCAACCATCCTGGTCCTTTTCGCTCTATGCACCCTTTCCCGAGAAATTTTCCAAAACGCCGTGCGATTTAAATTACTATCCTTCTTCTAATATGTTTCTTGTCTACCTTTTCGTCAATCAGTCCGCTTATTCCAACTCAATGGTGCCAGGGGGCTTGGAAGTTCTAAGAAAATAATGTCAGCTTAAAGCTCAGCATCTCAGAATGGAAAGCTTTTACTTACAGATCATAGACGACGCGAGACACGCCCTCGACCTGGTTGCAGATGGTGCGAGAAACATCCTGGAGGAACACCAATTAATGACTCGAATCTAATGAAGGCGCTTCAGAAGTGACTTACCGCGAGGAAAGTATGGTCAAAGTTGAAGACCTCTGCACTCATAAAGTCCTTGGTACGGACGGCGCGCAGAATTATAATGTATCCCCAGACTCGCTGATCACCAAAGACACCGACGCTACGATTGGTGTCGAGACCGGCAAAAGCCTGAGAGATCTATGGGGTAAGAGTCAGCTTTCGTTCTTATCGCGTTGGCCTGGTGATGCGACATACCTCGTCGTAAAGGCCAGCTTCTTTAATCTTTGTGATGAAAATGTGGTCGGCCTGACGGGCGATATTCACGCGCTCTTCGGTGCAGTCACCGAGAATACGGATGGCAATGCCGGGGCCAGGGAAGGGGTGACGGTTCACAAGAGACTCGTGGATTCCGAGTTGACGACCAATTGCCTATACGAACATTAGTATCGATTACAACTTATGTAAAGGTCCGCTGTAAAGGCTCGCTTACCCTAACTTCATCTTTGAACAAAAGTCTGAGAGGTTCAATAAGCTAGAGTCGAAATTAAATTAGCATTGTTTACATGTTAAAGCAAAAGTATGAGCACTTACACGCAAGCCTTGCTAAATGAGCCGAATTCGTGTCATGTCAGTATTTTCAACCCTGCCAGAGGCTATCAAGTGGTTCAACTTACGCCGTTCATCATACGCTATATGCTAGTTAGCCAGGGAACAATTAGGTGTAGGAAAGAATTGCTTACCTCAGGCAGACCACCAACGTTGTGGTGAGCTTTTTCAAATGTCAGCTTATTTGAACTTCTTTTGTGTAATGTCAGTAAGTGGCTTACTCTTAATAGTGGCTGAAGGACCACGGAAACTCAAGGATTCGATACTAAAATCTGTCAGCTTAGAAATGTGCAATTCAGTCAAAATCGCTTACACGTCGGGGTAGAGTGTGCCCTGTAAGAACCATTCGACCTTGCCGGAGTTGGGGGTATGCTCTACTTCCTTCTCGATCTGAAAATCTCGTTGGTAAGTCACATATAATGACATAAGAGACTGAACGTACCCTGATAGCTTCTTGCTCAAACAAATCGATGACTTCACAATAATCAGTACCTTTGTCAATAGCCCATCAACAAMCCCCGGGATACTCACAAGTCGAGCCAATAATCTTTCGCTTCTTCTCGGGGTCGGAAACACCAGCGAGACGGCTCATGAAAAGCTCACCAGCATTGACAACGGTAAGATTGACGCCAAGATGTTTCTCGAGCGTCTCCTTGACCTGTTCGCACTCGTTCAAACGCATAAAGCCATTGTCAATAAGGATAGCTTTGAAGCGGTCTCCAATAGCTTCACGCATTAATTTGGCTCCGACAGTGCTGTCCACACCACCGCTGCAAGCACCAAGAACGAGTGCGCGGGGGCCAACGAGTTCACGAATGCGAGCAATTTCGAGCTGGAMGAAGTCGCCCATTTTCCAGTTTGGTTGAGCACCGCAAATATCAACGGCAAAGTTGCGGAGAACCTCAACACCGCGGGGTGTCTACATTCGATAGTCAGTGAAAGTTTCTTTCGGAATGTATTGTGATGTGGTAACAGACGTGTTCAAGCTCGGGATGGAATTGGACACCTAAAAGTTAATCGTTAGCACCTTGCCATATTAGGCCACGAAAATAGCTTGAAAAAGACGAACCAAAAATGGGTTTCTCCTCATGGGCGATACCGGCATATTCTGAATTCTTGGTGGCACCGATGACCACGAAGCCCTATTAGAGTCAATAAGAAAGATTAAAAAATAAGAAGCTAATTGACTCACCTCAGGCAGGCTCACTAGCTTGTCGAAGTGGGACATGAAAACAGGCATTGCTTCACCGAGACCAGCGAAAAGGCGGTCGACATGGCTATTTACGTGGGCGATGTTGACGTCGGCGTGACCGTATTCTAAATTAAGGTGTTAAATAGCGCGATACGTGATATCCCCAAAGTACGAACCTCGTGCTTCACCGCGGGCAACATTCTTTGCGTTGATGCGCCAAGCTATCTCCTGGCAACCATAGCTGAGTCGATATATTAGTGATGTACCACAAGTCGATGACACAGGAGGTCATACCAAATACCACTATAAGTCCCACGTTAGTTCATATTCCAAAGATTCACGGGTGGTTTGAGAACAAGACTCACAGAATGGGGACACCGAGGTCAAAAACAGCGGGGTCCACATCTATATATATGAGTAAACGCATCGATATTTCCCAAAGGCAAAGCCCTTACGAGGAGAATCATTATCATAGACAGAAGCAGGGCCTAATATCTCAATTAGAATTCGGCAAAACATATATCATGCGAACTGTATACCTCCGGAGAAAATTATTCCCTTAGGCTTCCATGTCAACTCGGCGATCTTGGTGGTACACGGAAGGAGCTCAGCGAAGACGCCGAGAGCGCGGAGACGTCGCAAGATAAGATGACTGGTTTGACTCTTTTAATGATGGGAGTCAGCATTTGTTTACTTTTTCGTATCGACGCCGAAGCTCGTGCAATAGATCAAAATGGAGGGGTGAAGGGCTGTCGACTTTACGTACGCCAAAATCGAGAACGAGGATAGTCTGAAAGTGCAATCTGTTAGCTTAACCATTTTTATTGCATTTTCGAGTGCATTGCGCCCGCGTGCTCTGACTGTAGTCATTCGTCGCAAGTTCTTGGTCTGAGGTACATACATCGAAATTGTTGTGAGGCGTTTCCGCCTCGAGGTTGGAAACCATTATAATCGTTCTTGAGCTGTCGAGAGGAGTAGCGGAGTTCGTGAGGTTCGTATAATGCTAGAATAAAAGTGGGAAGGATGTCGTGGGCGCAATGCCAGTCTTGAAGTGAAAAGAATATACCTGTCAAGTCTCAATGAAAAAAAAGTTCTGGGGTATGACTCTTATCAGACTGCCAAGACTATAATTTAAAGCTAGAACTTTTAGGGTAATAAAACCCTCGCAATTGGCCAATAAAGACGGTCTCACAAGATCCACTTTCCATTTCTCACACTTATCTGACTACAAAGTCACGTGATGGCTTATCGAACGAATCAGCCTTCTTTGTTCAAGGGTTGTTGAATGAGGGGCAACCCTAATCCTAATCAACTATCGAAATGAATCACGTGACTCAGACATTACATTGAAAGTAATGTCACTTGTTTATAGCGAATACAGAGTGTTCGCACCCGTCTTACATTTCGTTACCAATATCACCCCATTAAGGGGACCTCTTTTTTGGTAAAGCGGTTTTTTGCTAACACATCGATCAAAGTCTTCGTGTAGGATTATATAATGTAACATTATTTTTTGTGACAATTCTATTTTAAGTCCTATCGATATGTGGTACCTCTGGATCTCAGCCATATACTAGATATTCGCTGTCGATATGCAAACTTACAAAGGGCCTTGCAGAAGGGAACAACCTGAACGCTATGGCTTACAAGTGGAAGCCGAGCCTTAGCAAAATCGTAGGCCTAATATCTACCCACCTGGTAGGGCAAGGCTGTGAGTTTCTACTAGGCTGAATATTACATTTCCTGAGGCTCATCACATTGGTTAGCCAGACGTTTGACCGCCTTCTTGACAGGGATCAGTTTGTGATAACAAGGCTGAAAAATAGAAGGACAGAAAAAAAAATTAAAGAAAACATCTCATTTGAAATAAAAACTCTCACAAAGGCTTTTGAGCTCGTGTCTATGAATATCTCGGCCACACAATATCAGCACCCCCCCTTGGTAGATATTTCGATATAGACTACTACTCGGCTTCGAAATACTAAGGTCAAGATTCAATTTCTCGGTATAGTATTGAAATTTACATCATACTCTAATAATGTCAGCACCACCTACCCTCCAGAGCCAAGACTATACCTTTGGTTGGGTATGCGCCCTCTTTACCGAACTCGCGGCCGCACAGGATATGTTGGACGAGAGGCACAATGACACTCATGTCAATAGTCTGGATACAAATATCTACACACTGGGCTCTATCAGTGGGCATAACGTGGTCATCGCTTGTCTTCCAGACGGTCAGATGGGAGTAGGTTCAGCGGCCGCGGTCGCTGCACAAATGAAGTCAACTTTTCCTTCGATCCAGTTCGGGCTCATGGTCGGTGTGGGCGGTGGAGTTCCAAGTACAGATAATGATATACGGCTTGGAGATGTCGTGGTAAGTCGCCCAGATAAGGGACATGGGGGAGTCGTTCAGTATGACTTTGGAACAAACACCCCAGGTGGCTTTCAACGGACAGGATTTTTAAATTCCCCGCCACAAATTCTGCTGAAGGCTATTGCGAATATTCGTAGCGACCACCTAAGAGGCGAAAGTAAAGTCTTCGAATATGCATCTAACTCTGGAGAGAGGCCAAAATTTCCGGGTCGTGATATTCTTTTTGAGGCCGACTCTGGTCATATTGGAGGTTCTATGTGTGAAAGATGCGACAAAAAGAAGATAGTGAAAAGAATACCGCGGGACAAACAGGAAGTTGTGATTCACTATGGCACTATTGCATCAGGAAGTCAGGTAATGAGGAATGGCGTCGAGAGAGACCGACTAAGCTCAGAGCTTGGTGGTGTTCTATGTTTTGAGATGGAGGCAGCAGGCTTGATGAACATCCTTCCATGCCTCGTCATACGGGGCATCTGCGATTACGCCGACTCGCACAAAAACAAGGCATGGCAGCTTTATGCGGCAAGAATGGCGGCAGCATATGCAAAACACTTGCTTTCTAGAATTCCAGTTTTCGAGGTTAAAATATCTCTCAACGCGAACGATAAAACGGTAAGTGGAGAGGAGAAATCCATGGCGATATATATAAAATTGATTTGAAAAAAGGTCTAACTAGACGCGTCTCGCTTTCAGGTTCATTCTCATTTGCTCCTCGGCCCAGCTGTCTGCCCTTCCGAAAGCATGATAACCCCTCCATACTTTGGATGGTCAGGAACGTATGTAGCCACAGCCGTAGAGGCTGTGTCCAAAGTCATACAGACCTTGGAAGAGGACGACCATGACCAGCCTTTTACGGAAGCGAAAGATTTTCTTTGTGAACTTAAGACTACACTGACAGATATTCAAAGATATGKGGTTGAATTTCCCAGAGGACAATTTACTAACGACATAACCCGTCTTCTCCAAATTATGCAATCTCCACTTGACCACTTTCATTGCTTTGTGGAGGCATACTATCGCACACTCACTGGTCGATCGCAGATATCACAATCCAAAGACGGTCCTGAGAGCAAAAAGCTATCAGAGCTATCTGGAAAAACAATGGAGTTGAAGGATGCCATCTGTCACCATCTAACACTAGTCCACACACTTCTGCTTTTACACAGCCTGTAAGTCAACTTGACTTTATTGCTCTGGAATTTTGACTCTGACATGGTTCTAAAAAGTGAGGATGTTGTCAAGGTAATCAAACAAGAAATACCGGTTATGAAGCCGGACGCCGTCGATGTAGCGGCAAAGCTCATACGTGCTTTGAACAGCATTCATAATACCACGATCGATGCGAACGTAAAAGGCCTCAAAGTACGTCAGAAGTATGAGAAAGCAATTCAACTCAGCGCCGACTGCTCAAAGAAAGGTGTTTCCCATGTACTACCTACCAGAGGCAGGAAAGTCCGAAGGGGTGGGTCTCAAAGCAGCGAAATGGTCTTCGCCATTGAAGTTCTTCGACAGGAATTACATCGTAGTACTGGAATAGTTCTTGACGAGTTGATGAACCAAATGGAGAATCCATCCAATAATACAGATGTGAAAGATTTATTGGCAGTGCATAAGCAGTCTTTTACAAATCTCCATCAATCCCTCAAATCGTCATGGATAGCCACAGACGAAATGGAGGGACTGGTTAGACAATGGAAGGAGGAACATACAATGGGAACGACCTCCAATTGGATCATCACGGGGACGGCTTCGCTCCTTGGAGCAGTGATTGGCTCAATAGCCAGTACTGTGTTTGGAATATCCCTGAACTATAGGGATGAACCACAACTTTGTGATGTTTCATCCTTAATTAAGGAGAGAGATATGAGCGTAATCCATCGAGATGGAGCGGAATCGTGCCCTCGGTGCAAGCATTCAATCTACTCAATTGGAGGAAATGACGCCCCAACCCTTTTTTCCCACTCGATTCGAAGTAGAGCATCGGATGTGCATCATATGGGCTATGAAGAGTCTCCTCGTTCCTCGGAGGAATCGTTGCGCTTTCAATCGAAATTTGCGGATAGGGCCGCCACTTCATTACAATCGGCATATGAAGCCAGCTACCTTCATTACGGCGCAACTCAGAAACTAAAAAGGGAACAAGCAGCGTACCTGGTGAGATATACCACTGGAATGAGTGAGAAAAATTTCTAATATGTTTCTAGGAGCCAGATCTACTTTTGACATTTGCTGCATTGTTGGCTTCTACAGTACCCTCTTTAAGCAGCGCTCGTATGTCGTCGGGTTGTGGGGCTCTACACTCGTCTTTCGATTTTAACATGCGTTGGGACTATGACAAGAATTTCTCACTACCGTGGCGATGTTGTACATGTGCCACGTTCAACACGTTCACCCAACATGGAATTCCACATTGTCCGAAATGTTGTCATCGCAAATGCTTTTATTGCTTGGAAATGTCAAAGGCCTAAACGTGAAAATACCTGACCGAGTGCGATGTTACGGTGGCCACGTTGATAATAGGAACCGAATTTCGGATCTCTTTTGACGCTGTCTTACACCTCAGTTTAGTTCAGTTAGTGTGGATAGAAAAACAGGGGAGTTGAACAAAAACTGAGTGGATTGATGGATGTTGTACATTTCGCCCTCATATTAGAAGACAATTTGCGACGTCCCAAAACCAGGGGTCAGGGAGGTTATATAAGATTCTGAGATGAAGTCATATCATAGAAAATATCCTATGAAAGATATGATCTGCTTGGTTTCCTTTCCGAGGCCGTTCCGCAATAAAAGATTTATGCCACATCTGGAATCTCGGTATTTGGGCTCTACCATATGTGACTTGTGCAGAATCATTTGCCCAAGAAAGCACAGGCAAGTTGATAAACACAAAACATACAGTATTACTCTATGCAGAATGTACAGAGGTGAGTATTCAAGGTGTCTCGGCTTTCGGACCATGATGTAAAGTTCGTCGGTTATTGAACGGTGCCATAATCGATAGCCGAGAATCAGGAGTCAAAATAACTACAAATAAAAAGCAACACGATGCTGACCGTATTAAAGATTTGGTACTTCTTTGTGAATATTACATATGATCACCGGTTGAAAAGCGCAGCAACCTTGAAAGCCGTGTCCATCATGGGCGAAATCTACGAGGGTAAGCAGATCGACAGCCATGGTTCGGGAACGAAGGGAATATGAAAAGACATACACTGATTTAAACTATAAAGAACTTCCCTCTTTAGAGGCATTGAACAGCTTAGACGAGATCGAACGACTAGCTAGCAGTTCAATCAGCAAAGAAGCATGGGCGTTCAATTATGCCGCCGCCGGGGACCTCGTATCCAAACGTTTGAACGCAGAAGCCTACAATTCCATTCTACTACGTCCTCGCATCTTTATCGACGTCGGCAAATGTGACTTGAGCACAGATATAATGGGACAGCCATCAGGACTACCAATTTTCATTTCTCCAATGGCCATGGCTCAACGATTTCACCTTGCTGGGGAGGTAGGTATTACTCAAGCATGTCGCAACTTTGGCATCATGCACATAATCTCCAACAATGCTTCTATGACTCCCGAAGAGATTGTTGCTGCTGGTCCAGATCAAATCCATGGATTTCAACTTTATATTCAACAGAATCGAAAAGAGAGCGAGGCAGTGCTCGCGCGAATCAATAAGTTGGAGGCAATTAAGTGCCTCGTTTTGACGCTTGATGAGCCTGTTTTCGGAAAACATGAGTTGGGAGGGAAGGAAGGTGGAAGGACAGAAGTTGAGGAGAGGTTTGGGCAGATGACAGAGCTCAAACCTGCTGTGGCATCAGTTTCCGGTCCCGCGTCTGATTTGACTTGGAAGGATACACTAGAATGGGTCACACAACACACCACACTACCTATTGTTCTCAAAGGGATACAAACACACGAAGATGCCTATATCGCCTCTCTATTCCCTCAGGTGAAGAGTGTAATATTGTCGAACCATGCCGGACGTGTGCTAGATACTGCTCCTCCTGCGGTTCATACGTTGTTGGAAATTCGGAAATACTGCCCTGAAGTATTTGACAAGGTGGAAGTTCTAGTTGATGGAGGTATCCGAAGGGGTACAGATGTTGTAAAAGCGCTATGTCTGGGTGCGAAGGGTGTGGGTATTGGTCGCTCAGTATTTTGGGGACTTGGTGCCGGAGGGATTCGTGGAGTTGAGAGGACAATTGAAAGTGAGATTCCTTCCCGACTTCAGATATGGGGTGATTCCTTAATGCTGATTTGACTCGATAGTTCTGGCGGACGAAGTAAAAACCTGTATGCAGTTGTTGGGTGTCGGAAAGGTGGCGGACCTGGGTCTTCATCACGTAAGTCATCCCTTGCAATCAGCCTCCTTCATTTCCATATTGCAATTACTAAGAGACAGGAATCTAGGTCAATGCTTCAATAATCGAGCAACAAATTTACAGAGGTCCATCGCGACTTGACGTTGTCAAGGGCGAATTATAGAAGTTTCTCGCCTTGCTGTGAAAGGTCGTTGAGATTAGCGATAGCCGACACATACCTGCAATCTGTGCATCAGTATATTTGTTCCTACGTACTTGATTTCTCCTGACGCGGTGGGATGTTCCCTTTCCGTTTTAGTGCTCACCCCGTCGCCACTTTTACTCCCTAAGTAGAATTGAGCATGCCCCTAAGCGCTGTAATTAGATCAGTAAGCTTTATATAAGCTTATAGAGATACTTAGTAATCTATTATTGAGCACACTGATTTGCTTACTAAATATAATATATGCCTTTATATATTGCTGCTAACCACTCTTTTTAATAAGTTATAAAGCTACTATATTAATCCTGAATTCCTATACTTAGTCTTTTAACATTAGACCTCTGCAAGTCCCATGGGACTGAAGAAATTTCAGTCCCAGTCCCATGGGACTGGTTTCCATGGGACTGGGCGGGACACCTCAGTCCCACCTATGGGAGTCCTATAGAATTCTATAGGACTCTCAAGGCTGCCAATTTTCTACCTAAATTTATATAAATCTATAGGATATTACCTATTTTAGATATATTAAATACTAACTAACTTCTATCATTAATTATTATTTATATATATATTATATTTATAAAATCTCTAATATATTATATCTATTCTAATCATCCTATCTATTTAAGCACTTAGAATATTAGTTATTGTCGGAACGTCAATATCAACCCCGGATATCTAACCCCGGCATCTAGCAACTCCGCACCTACCGTACGTGCTTCGGGGAATAGTTATTCCTTACCGAAGCACGTACGCGTTGTTTATATATCGCCGGACCCCCGGCACCCCCTTTCGTAGGAGGAAGACATAAATTAGGAATCAAATATTGACCCTTTTGTGCCTCACCTTACAGGCTTGTCGGACTAGCCTTTCCCAATCCAATTGAGCTGATCTTGGACCGGATAAACCGACATTCTCTATATAGTGAATATAACTAATATCTATAATAATAATAATTAGTATAGTAAGCTTTATTACTAAGGATAGAAGCTAAATTCTGTGTAGTGTGATATATATCTTAATATTAACTTATACTTATATAAAGATTGCTAATCAAGCTTAGTATAATATTTAAAGATCTTCTAGTTATTATTTGATATATAGGGTGTATATATATTACTTTAATAATCTTACTTTAGAGATAGGCTAGGATGCAAAGTTAGAGATCTAATAAATAAATTAGATTTTATAGGTCTTAAATTATAATTTTAAAATATTAAAGAATGTCTTTACTAGAATTATTATTAATAATCTATTAAAGTATAATATAGGACTATTTATACTTAATAATATAGTAGTATTCTTCTTCTTTAAAATATTTATATATTATTTTGGTAGGATTAGTGTTTTATTACTTCTATATATAATACTATAAATAGTAGTAGATAAGGRCTTAACTATATAGTATAATAGAAAATACTAATTAGTATATTTTATATATATATAATAGGTAGGTATAGTAATAGTAGTCCTAAAAGATATCTAGCTTAAAATTAAATAAGTTATTATTTCTCTTATACTTTATATCTTTAGTATAGAGCTTCAATAAGGATGTTAATCTAGGTATAATTTATATAGTTCTAGGGCTCTTAGTAGAAATTAATATAGTAATATTTTTAATGCTTAATATAAGGCTTATATAAATTAGGATAGAGATTATTTTATATAATAATTCTATAGTTAGTTTTGATCTAATATTATAGAGATAAAATAGAATAGTTAATATCTCTAGGATGCTTATTTTTAATATAGATACTGGTTTAGGAATATTATATAAAGTAATAATTATAATAAATTATTTATATATAAGAGTCTATAGATAGAAACTCTTATTAATATTAAGATGATATCTAATATCTACTTTAGTCTATAGTTTTATATTTAATTCTTAGAATATGATATGTATTATCTCTAATATCTAGCTAGAGTTACTGGTGTTAATATATATGCTATTAGTATGAAGTTGTATGATAAGGCTATTAAGATATAGAAATAAAGCTTATTCAAAGTTCTTGAGGCTCTATTTCTTGAAGTCTTACTTAAATATTATCTATAATAATATATTATATTGGTTCTCGTACGAATTGTACTTTATAAGAATATAGATATCTAACACTTTCTAGTCCTTGCCTTTAGGATTGAAATCTGTGTTGGTTAGGTTATATGCTATTGTTATTCTTGATATTTAGGGTTTAATATTGAAGATGGTAGGTAGTTTATAAATAAGCTAATATATATAAATTAGGGGTTAGAATAGAGGTCTGATCTGTATATTGATTAATATTAGTTTATCTAGTCTAAGATCAGCTTAATTGGATTAGGAAAGGCTAGTCTGATAAGCTTATAAGGTGAGGCATAAAAGGGTCAATATTTGATTTCTAATTCATATCTGATTCCTACAAAAGGGGGTGCCAGGGGTCTAGCGATATATAAACAACGCGTACGTGCTTCAGTAAGGAATAACCATTCACCGAAGCACGTACGGTAGGTGTGGAGCTGCTAGATGCCGGGGTTAGATATCCGGGGTTGATATTGACGTTCCGACAATTAGATATACTATTAATTTAATTATTTCTTTTATAAATAGAAAGAAAGTTAGCTAGAATATACTATTTGTTATTTATAGGATTATATAATATTATTTTTCTATAACTAAGTAATAGTAGTATAATCTATTCTTTATATCTCTTTTAGTTAATTTAGTTAAATATATTAAAGATAAAGGCTATATCTAATAGATAGATTAATATTATATACTTATCTTTCTAAATCTTTAGATTAGTATCTAGTATATCTATTAAACTTTAATTATTAAAAAGGCTTTAGTTTTAGTTATGTTAATTAGCTTTAAAGCTTTATTAAGAAAGTTACTTACTTATAAAATCTTATAAATAAACTAGTATATTCTTAGTATAAGAATCTAAGATGCTAAATTTAAAGAAGTAGATATTAAGGATCTTAAAGAAGATATCTATAAAGTTCTTAAATAGGTAAAAGATCTTGACTAGTTTTATATATTATATATCCTGCTTTATGATACTCTAAAACTCTATGAAATAATAAAGTGAATCTAATTAAAGATCTCTCACCTTAGAAAGAAATTAATTATCTAGTATTTAAGCCCTAGTCAATAGTTTCTAATAACTATAATGCTGAATTTAGCTAATTTTTTTTATATTATTTATTATATAAATCTAAATGCTTCCTAATACTAGTCTTTAATTAATAACTTTAATAAGATAGATAAATTAATAGTTATAATATACTTATACTATATAAATAATATAGATATTAATTTACAGTACTAATACTGAAATATTTATTTACTATATATATTTATAGGAATATCTATTATAGTATAAGCAATCAATTAGGTTTATTAAATTAGATAGTCACGCACTATCAAGGTCTATAAATATTATCTTAAAAAGTTCTTTAACTAATATATAATTATAAATAATATTACTAAAGTAATATCTGTCCTAGCCCTATTACTAAATAATATTAATTAGAAGTTTTAGTTAGATCTTAAGACTGGTAGTAGTATAATAATAGCTTTATATCTATTGAATAAGAATAATATTATTTCTAAGATAGATGATCTTTAGCTTTTATACCTCTGTTAGGATAAATATATTACTTTTAAAGCTTTTCTTACTATTATATTATATACTTAAATAGAGTTATAGATATATATATATCCTAGCTATATTATTCTAGATATTATTAAAAAGTTTTTATACTAGTATAAATCTAATATATTTCTAGACTATTATAAAATAATATCTAATATCTATAAGCTTTCTAAAAATAAATTAAAGKCTTAGTTATAGAAGATAGTAATTACTAAAGAAGATAGTATTCTTAATAAGCCTAGTAAAGATCTTAATCTTATAGTATAGTATATTCTATTTTAGATAAGCAATCTTATAGATATCTTCTATAAGGTTATACTTTTTGCTATCTATTTTTTACTTTTTTTTTTTAATATTATAAGATATTATATATTTCTGTAGATAATAGATATTATAAATATTTTCTATAGAATTATATCTCTCCTATTGTTTATATAGTAGTTTTATTCTATTCCTCTTTATAACTAATACTCTAAGTGCTTAAATAAATAGGATGATTAAAATAGATATAATGTATTAGAGATTTTATAAATATGATATATATATAAATAATAATTAGTAGTAGAAGTTAGTCAGCATTTAATATATCTAAAATAGATAAAATCTTATAGATTTATGTAAATTCAGGCAGAAAATTAGCAGCCTTGGAAGTCCCATGGAATTCCATGGGACTCCCATAGGTGGGASTGAGGTGTCCCGCCCAGTCCCATGGAAACCAGTCCCATAGGACTGGGACTGAAATTTCTTCAGTCCCATGGGACTTGCAGAGGTCTAGCTTTAACAGCAATAATATAAAGTAATAAAAAATCTAAAATATCCTATATTATATTATATTAATATTTAAAGCACTGAGACTATTACTTATAAGAAAAAAAATAACTTAAAATAAAACTAAAAGATATAAATTAAAATAATAATCAATTACTCTAATTATAATTCTTATTAAAAACTATTACAATTTTAYCAAAATAAAAAGAACTAAAGCTAGAAATTAAAAAAATAAAGCTATATCTAACTTTATAAACTAAGAAATAAAGAATTAGAAATAGTATAGTAAATTAAGAGCTGTACTTATTATAATAAATAAAATTAAAAGAAAAGAAAAGAAGAAGCTAATAAAACTCTATTAAAAATAATATATATAAAAATAGTCTACTAATGCTAAAATTATATTTTAAACTCTATATTAAGATAGATATTATAAAATATAATATTTAATCTGTATCTCTAATTATTTTATAATTATAATAAATTATATCTTTAAATTTAGATATAAGCTTTAAATTAGTAAGAACTACCTATAACTCTAATTTAGTTCTAGAGCTATAACCCTATAAGAAGAGAAATAGCTATAAGGCTATGAATTAAATAGTATTATAGATAGCTTCATATACTCTAATTATATGACTTTGGTTAGGCTTAATTATATATTAGTCAGCAACAAACTTCATAGTGAGGCCGTAGAGGCCACGATTCCTAGAGAGCAGCAAATAGCTGCGAACGATATATAACCCTACGTTTCTTACCCTACTGAGCACCCGTACTACTACGTCCTTGTAAACCCCTCTCACAATTAAAGTATAAATAGCTTAGCTCCTTTTCTAATCTTCTTCTATTCCTTGTATTTCTATTCCTTGTATTTCTATTCCTTGTATTTCTATTCCTTGTATTTCTGAAAGATTGATCCTCTTCAATGCTGTCCTGTTGCTCCTCGTGTTTGACAAAACCACGCACGCGATGGGTAGAAAGCTATTCTTTGCCACGCACAACGACATTGACCAACCCAAATGTCGAAATCAACAGGACTTCTATAATTCGATACAAGGAATGCGGCAGGGTATCACACAGCGCTGGGCAAACTGCGACAGTTTGCCCAAGATGCACCTGCAGTGGTGGCGGCTCGGTTCAGTAAGTCGCTCTCCTCCACGGCCTTTTCCGTGCACTAACCAAGGCTGTAACTTATAAAACATATGAAAGGAGGCTTCGAATCTGTCTGTACCAGCTAACTAAATATCGCAAATGATTTATTGTAACTAAGATGACACATCTAGTTACGGCGACTTCTCGTTTAAAAGAGTACCAAAGGTACTGAAATAATTCACCTCTAACATTCACATTTCATACACATGGGGATGGAAGGAAGGATTAATAGACGAATTAGATCAACTCTATTGTTCTAGCATCGACTCCTGCAACTACCAATCCAAGTTACGGATCCGCATTGTAAAGGGATGAGTCCGGGACAGGTGAGCCATCAGGCAGCCAATTCGAGTCAAATGCACCATCTACGGGATTGTAGAGACCTCTTGCATCAACCCGTCCAACGGGTAGAGCAGTGTCGTCCTGATTTCGCTCGCCTATGCCTGGGAAGATCCGATTCAAGTTACTGGACCTGAAAACACCTTGATTGTGGAGCCAGATCCCCTAGAGTGCGAGGAGAACATTTAGTTGCGATCCAGAGGTGGTGAATAAGGTACTTACGAATTCATTGATCGTATCGGCGTACCCACCAGGCAAACCCAATTGCCGTGCTAAGTTGATTAAGTCTCGGGTTCGATCTGTACCAAAGAACCAGCGGCCGCCTCGACATCTGAAACTCTCGGTCCGGGCATTATAATCCCGCAGGTTACCGTTGTTGTTACGTCCGTTTTGGACCGTCCTTGCATACCGGAATTCGGCTCGGTAGGCAGGGGTAAGACCCGTAGTCACAGCCCAGGGCCGCGCGATGGTCTGACTTTGATAGACAGTCATCATCGTGACGCCTGGATACCATTGTGGCAAACCACTTCGGAAAGTTTGGTCATCGAGTGGAATATGAAGATGCATGACGATCCAACGGTCGGTGGCTTGCGTATGGGTGCGGTCGGCGTATTGGGCCCGCAAACTAGCATCCGGAGCCACTCCTGGTGTAGGGCCGATCCAAAATGCTATCTCGAGCATGACCTGGGGAAGGACTCTGTTACCCACTCGAGTATTGCTTGCGGACAACCAACGCAAATAGTGAAGGCTCAAGTCGCCCTAGTCAAAAAAAAATATTGGACAATCAGTAACGGAGATAGAACTCCAAAGGAAGATGGACAGGCTTGGCTCTTGACTCACACTTAAAGCGCCATTGAGGACAGCGAATACCGTGGGATAGTCGCCATTATCGGAGCGATCATTCATATTTATGCCATCTATCATCCGCTTTGTGAGGGAGGATGAGCCATCATCTATCTCACACAGGGCTTCTTCCGCGAGCTGCACGCTTTCAGTGCCATTGACTGAATGCGCGATATTGCAAAGCATATCAGCTACCAGTCCCGAGGGATCGGAGCCCGGAGTATCATATACATACGATCCATCCCACGATGCATAGACAGCCTGGCTCAGATAAGTACTGTTGGGCGCCGTACCCTGATACCCAAACKGCGMAAGCCGCTGATCCCATATGGAACGCAGGTCTGTTCGCGGGTATGAAGATGTTGCCAACATCACGATATAGGACACTAGGCTCGAGAAGGACTTTTGATCAAGGGCCGTCGATCGCTTATTCAGCGCCCTCTTATAGAATATAGAACCATAATTAGACTCCCAGGTATCTACACAAACAGGATTGGCAAGGAATGCTGACAGGTAGGCATCAAACTGCAGGGCGGTACTATCTCGCGGTGGTCCGATGCCTCTTGGCACAGAAAGTTTCGCAGGTGCACCAGAACAACAAAATGCCTCATTTCCGAGGTAACAATTGCTCGAATATGCGGGCAGATATATTCCGAACACCGACTGCTCGGCAATCCGTATAGAATTGGATGGGCAACTATCAGAGCAGTATTGTGCATAGGAAAACGAAACCTCATGGCCATACCAGTCGCAATTCGTAAAGGCATCGGGAACGGACGAGGTTGAGCAGCAATAGTTGTAGTTATAGCCACCATCACAGGATGGACGACCGCCCCAACCATCGCGTGAACCCATGACAAATGTTGGATAACCAGAAGGGCAGGTGTTGTCACTCTCGCAACTCGATGTCCATTGACACTGCGACCAAGGGGTCGTTGACTCGGTGATGGTACAACACGCCGACTGATAACCAGAGCTGCACCCTGCTGAGATTGTGCCAACCTCAGCCTCACCGTCAAGACAACCACCTTGACACTTGCCGCTGTTATGAAAACCTCTCCATTGACATGTGGGAACGTTTGTAGAGGATGGACAGCAAAGTGTTTGCGTTTGAGAGTTTCCCCGCGGGCACTCAGTTGAATCAAGCATAAGTTGAGATGACTCATCTCCACGAATAATCGTGGTGTAGCCGTTGGGACAAACTTCACCGCAATTAATAAATTTGCAGTAATTTCCTTGAGTGGATAGGCTGGCGGTGGTTGAGAACTCCATGACCTCCACGGTGAGTCCTGTTTTCGGATCCAGATTAAGCGGATTGCCCAGTGCTGCTGCCAGGCCCCTGGCAAAAGTTTGATTAGTATCATCATTATCGACCGACCAGACAAGGACCCCTCCGAGGCATTCGGACTTGGCAAAATCCGCCTTGAGCTTCCAAGTATCTTGGTCATCAAATGACACCCACTGGTCACCATTCCAAGTGACGGACTTGACAGCCGCATCTGTATCCAGAACAGGGGTAATACCGTTTTCGCTAATGATTTCTGCGATCTCGCTATTAAATAGTATTCCGGCGGTGTTACTACAGTCTCCAGCATCACCAGCCGAAAGATATGCACAGCCAGGTTCCGAACAGGAAGAGTCGGCCAAGGTGAAGCTTCGACCATAAAACGCCACACCCATATTAATCTTCGATGCTGTGATATTGTTCCGCCAAAGAAGGTCAAGAGCAGATTCAATCTCAGTCAGATTGGTATGAGCGTTTAAGTAAGCGCCTGTCCATTTGCTGCCAACATCCCAAGTGCCATGAAGATCATAGCTCATATAGTTGAACCAATCAACTGACGGCTCTATCGAGACCAGATCAAAATGTTGTAAGTACCAATAGCTGGTGGGCAGGGTAATAGAGAGACCAAAATGGTATTCGCTGAGAGCTTTCTTGAGATTTGCTAGAAAGATGGGATAGTTGCTGTAGTCGCTCGGCTGGCCGTTGCGATCGTCCGCAGCAGGATACTCCCAATCGATATCGACGCCAGTAAATCCCCAAGTGTTCATGAAAAGAATGAGCGAGTTGAAAAAGGCATTTTGTTGGGTAGTGTCAGCTGCGGCAAGATCCGAAAAGGTTGTGGCAGTTGGCGCATCACTGTTGGAGAAATCCCATCCACCGATTGAGATCCATAACTGCTGACCCAAGTCTCGGATCTGAAGCGCTTCGAGCAGCTGGTAAAGTTGTTCGTCGCCGGAGGACCCGGGCACAACCTCGAAAGTTCCTGGACTAATACTGCCGAAGGCAGCGTAGATGTGGGTGTAGATGCCCTGAGGTATCGACTCGGGAGACATGCCTCCACAAGATCGGGCGATAGCAGCTAAATTGTAGTAGCCGACAACACGGCTAATAGAGGCTGAATTGACATCACAAGAAGGCCTCGAGACCGTAGAGTTTCCACAAAAGTCAGAGGTCGTGCCACAGAAGCCGTACTCACTACAACACACGTTTAAGGGACATGTAGTAGCATTAGTATATTGTTCTGGCCAGTTGCCAGGATTGCACTCTGACTTGGCATTGCAGTTGTTGATACAATTCTCTGGAGCGCAGTAATCTGGTCCCAGGCCACAAACATTGTTGTGGCCGCAGCATCCAATCGCACATGGCACACTGGCACTGCAATAGGTGTCTGCGGTGGTGGATGGGAGACAGATTAGAGTTAGAAGAAGGATAGCAAGTATGGCTCTCATCATCGCATTGCTGTACAGTTACTATCAGTGAGGTAACTCCAAGCACTGTCCCTGGGGCTCTTCTGTCACTTACAGCAATTATCTGCTTCAGCATTCCTTCGGATTGAAATCGTATGAAGGAGAATTCAATGAATTGATGCAGAAGAGCCAAGCTATAGCATACATGCTGCTCGGTTCCGGATATTATGGGCGGCTAGAAGGCATATTTATTTTTTATTTTTCTCTGCCAATTCTGACGTCCAAGTAATAGACCCTGTGAATGTGACATGCCGTATAATCTAACCCGGTAACTCCATAGTAACATCGTGTGCGTACCAGTCCAGTAGGAAACAGATTTAACAATTTGAAAACTTCTCGGGTGAGAAAAAGTAATACGAGGTAATTGATTAGCTATTGCTAAATCCACCCATCTCATTTCCGAGCAAAGTGGACCGCTGCAGGTGTGTGGTGCAATCACACGCAATATAGTACAGTATTGATTCAAAGCAATCCGCAGCATTCATGTGATCATGTCACAACTCACCTGCTTCTTAATGGCTATCAGCCTATCAGTTTCCAAACAGAAGTGTCGGGTAACTTTGATAGGAGGAAAAGCAATTTAAGCGGCATCGTCATGATGAATGACACTTGAAATAACAGCTGAAAATTGATTTGATCCAAGCTCCTGCCTCCGTGTGCAGTCTACGTAGTGCAAGAGAAAGCGTTGATCCGCGCAATCGATACTGAAAGACGCAGGTGGTTCAGGAACAGGAAACAACCCTGTTGATCCGGTCAGTGCCGTCTTAGCCATGATCATATACGGGGCTACTTGACTAGTTCCGAACCATATCACAGCGTACCATTGTCATGCGTAGTTAGTGTATGCTACCTCATGTCCTACGCCGCAAATGCAAAGACACTTTATCCGGCCAGCGACCCAAAAGCGACCTACAAAAGGCCAGGCTCGCGGATCTTCTCCACTACATCTACATAGCATCGAACCAACAGTCTATCTCGTCTCTCATTCGTCGCGTCCCCTCTAGCGCAGCTGAACTTTTGAATCTATCGCGGCCAACCCACCAAAAACTCTACCAACCCTAACCTCACCAAAGTGTTGGCATTATTTACCGCTAGGCTCAACCCGGATAGAGCTCAAGAAATTATTTGACATAAAATTAGGGGCATTGACAGCATCTTTCTAGAGCGCTAGCTGACGATCACTAAAGCACTATTTAGCATTATTTAGCAGTATTTAAACGCTTGATGAAAGCTCAATATTGAATATTAAGAGCTCATTTTTGGATATTTTGGATACACAGATTGGGATAACAGCAGTCATGAGTTTGTATGGCGTTCACACATATATAAGGGACAGGAATCGCCCAGATAAATGTTAGGGAGATAGACGATTCTTACAAGCGATTTCCACCCTATATTCATTCTTTGCCCCTTCGGTGCTAGCGGTAAAATTCTCCAATACAAAGACATCCCAGCCAATGCCAGCTAAGATGGCTTACTGGCGCATCCAACAACAGCAGTCAATGCGGTCAAACAACAAAGAGGCAACTAGTACCCACGAGCGACAGCTCGTCTCCACCAAGCTACTAATTATTTGTTTATAGGAATAAACCTGTTGGCTAAATTAATATGTACTCGTGCCAACTCGCGCCAATCCCATCCTGGTGTTGGTGCTCACCGGTTAAAATGCCGTATTTCTTGAAACGACGTTTTGATTTTGTATGGGAATCACTAACAAATTCGAAAACTTGACTTTGTTATAATCAGTTCTATTAACACACCACAAGGCAATAATTTGAAACTTATAATCGAAGAAATAGAATCTATAAAGCTTATTAGTTAATTGATCATTTCTGAAAATTTCAAGTGACTTTTTCTAGAATAAAGTTAAAGTAGCGAATTAACAAAAGTCTTTAATATGATAGATTTTTCAAATAAAAAAAGACATATTAATAAGACAAGTATAGAAATATAATGACACTAGTTCTTACTTCGATTCATTCGATATTGTGGGTCGAAAAACGTGAAAATTGAGTTTTCGAGGGTTTTTCAATTTGTTAGGGATTTCCCATACGAAACCAATGCGTTGTTTAAAGAATATAGCGTTTTAACCGATGAGCACCAACACCAGGATGGGGTTGGCGCGGGTTGGCACCGATAGCACCTATCATTTGAGATCCAGCCCATCTCAATACGCCACTGTCACACTGCCCGCTTGCCTATATGAGAGGTTTACCTTACGGCTATCCCGGACATGGTGATACCACCGCATAAATCCACTCCTCGGATCTCATTGGACGTCGACCCTTCCTCGATAGAAGGATTTGCCAAGAAATCCCATCTTTAATCAGCGCCAACAAAAGTTTGCACTTTGCACTATATTTAATTATAGCAACCTACTACGCATGGCAGAGATTTAATTCCTAGCTAAAAACAATTACATGACATTACACATCCCATTCGGATTCTCAACTTAGCAATTGCCACCTCGGAGGGTGCTGTCTCTATCTGGGAATTGTCTTCCGTGTGGGACGAGTCACCCAAAGGATTTAATTTCGAAATCTTAGTCTTACAAGCCCTGCTCAAAATCCGCGCCTAGCCTGCATTAGTGAGGTTACAGATATCACTATTCTGCTCTGGAGAGGAGAAAGCACCGTGTTGGAATCCACGTACCGGCAATTCTCGGTTTGAATTAAACATTAAGAGATTTGTACAAATGTAAAAGGCTCACGGTCCTTAACGAATTCCTTACTTGGGGCTAAAGTGTATAAATTATATCAAGGTGTCTGTATCAGGTCCGCAAAGAGGGGCTTCAACCCTTGTGTTGCGGAGGAAGACAAGAGTCGAAAATATTTCAAATTACGTACTAACTATATATGCGATCTTCTCAGTCCAGTCCATTTACTGAACGTATCTTTACGCAACGCAACCCCTCTTATCTGCCCTGGATCCAGATCAATACCGTTTGAATTTTGTCTACCTTGAGAGCAATGGCTATCGTAGACTTGAGAGCGGCCTTATTCTACCTGTGTCTCGAATCCAGTCTAGTTGCAGGACATGCTACATTTGGCGGATCGAGAGGCCATTCTTTTAGTCTGCATCATGATCGACGCATGCTCAACATAAGTCACGATATCAAAAACGGCTTGATTTTCAATGGAATATCAATGTTTCCCACCGGGTCGTTGATCGACTTAAATCTGACAGCGGCTTGTGAGAGTGCGCTGTATCAGGCTGTTTACTGTGATGATGCCGCCTCGTCTCTAATGACAAACAGGTATATGGGCAGTTTTGGAAACTCTACAAAGACTACTCAGGTGTGCGATCCGGGCTGTGCAGCTTCCATTGCACAGTTAAGTGCGAATGTCTCCGTCAGCTGCGGGGAGACTGCTGGTCTCGTTCCTGGACTTCCTTTCCTTGGCCTTATCAATATGTTCTGGAGCAATTGGAACCAGTCCTGCTTCGTGGATCCTACCACCGGACAAAATTGCAATGGCAAGTCATCTCTTTTTTTCCCTATAAATTTCTGCCCCTAATGTATAACGAAAAGTAAAATCCTAATATTTTTTCTAGATGTTATTGCTGCTTTTCCAAACGTGACCGACGTAGCCGATCTTCCACAATCCGACTTGTGCTCTTATTGCAACGTCAAGAAACTTGCTCTGATGCAAGCTGATGGCTATACAGATGTCTATGATGACAACTGGATGAGAACTTATGAATATATTGCGCAAGATTGTGACCTCTCAGTTACAAACTTCAACTCTACACCAAGTGTGTTTAACGTAACTGTGCCATCCATAACACCGGTCTGTGTTTCTGGAAATACATACACAACCAAGATTGGCGATACATGCGACTCTATTTCATTGGCACAAGGCGTCTCTGCAGCTACAATGTTCTACATCAACCCAAATATTGCTAATTGCTCCTCGATTCTTCCCGGAACCGTTGTTTGTCTACCTTTGCAGTGCAAGGAAATCTGGTCTGTCCAACCAAACGACACTTGTACCAGCATTGCACTGGCAAACGGCATCACCACTCAGAATGTGTTAAACTACAACTCTCAACTTGATTGGAATTGTACAAATCTACATTCTAATGATCCTCTGTGGGGCTCAACCTTGTGTGTCTCTACCCCGGGGGGCATATACTCAGGCCAGGCTCCAAATTCAACTATATCTACTGGCTCTGAAACTGTCATTCCGCCTGCTGGTGCTACCATCGCCCCGGGGACAACTACAGACTGCGGGGGTTGGTTCGTCAACGACGCCACTTCAGGACTTACCTGTGCACAGATCTGTCTCTCCAACCAGATTGCCATTAATCTCTTTACAGCAGCTAATCCTTCTCTGCACAAAGCAACATGTGATAGTGATTTGGTTATTGGAAACGCCTACTGCATTAATCCAAGAATTGGTTGGAATTGGGGAACTAACTCTACAAGCAATACGACCGCTACAATCTCTTCTAGTGGAACTTACTCTACTTCGGTCTCGTCGGCGACTGCCACCAGTGCTACAATCACAACTACCTCTGGAGATGGTGTTACTACACCAACACCTTACCAGACGGGAATGRCAACAAATTGTGATGAATTTCATCTGGTRGTCAGTGGAGATCAATGCGGTACTATCTCCACCAACTATGGAATATCCCTATCTCAGTTCTATCTCTGGAATCCTGCCGTTGGATCGATCAGTATCTGGGCTTAGGCGACTACGTATGTGTAGGAGTGCTTGGAACAACAATAACAACAACAATACCAACACCAACTATCTCTGGAGATGGTGTTACTACACCAACACCWTACCAGACRGGAATGGCAACAAATTGTGATGAATTTCATCTGGTGGTCAGTGGAGATCAATGCGGTACTATCTCCACCAACTATGGAATATCCCTATCTCAGTTCTATCTCTGGAATCCTGCCGTTGGATCGAAGCTGTCAGTATCTGGGCTTAGGTGACTATGTATGCGTTGGAGTTGAGTCTTAGATAGCTGCTGATGTCGCTGTTTCCCACTATTTTGCCTACTAGGAGAAGTTTGCAATATTAGAAACTGCTAATAACAGCTCTGGCCTCGAAGAATCCCCATGAAGCAACTGGCCAACTCTCTAGATATTGGCGTATGGTATCGCTAGTTGGAGAGCGGCATGTGTTAGCGCGTGAGAAAGCGGACATGAACACATTGAAATTTGACGCTTCTTTGTATGTGAAAGCTGTTAAGCTAAAATAATTTTCAATCCAGAGCTAGGATCCCACCACGTTCGGATAAAAGGCTAAAAAAGATCAAATTGGCTTGGTACAATGAGCATAGGAATAAGGATACCTGAACAAGGAGGTTACCATACCATATTACTATGATATATTGCAAGATTGTGCGCGCTAATATAGTAAAGGGATTCTTGGCATTTATGGCAAGGTCCACTGAGGTCCAATGAGAGCAAACGAGTGGAGTTATGCGTTGCAATCACCAGATCCGGGATATCCGGAATGTAATCCTGTCAATTGGGGAAATCAAGCGTAAGGAAGGATATTCGGGTACGGGCTTTCGAACATTTCTGTCTTGACGATCTTGATCATATTTATATGCAAAGTCAACAATAATCAATTTCAACGATGATATCACAATATTCCTTGCACGTAATATAAATCTCAATTTGGAAGCCCAATTTGTCGCTCCTATTGGGGATAGTAAATCTTCATTTCGTGAGATTAGCGATCTGCGCAATGTGCCTCGGCAGTATGGAAACAATTGGATTTCCCAATATGGCTTAGCTTATGCTAGATGTTAACACTAGTTGGAAGTCAGGTGATATTGGACCCGAAATCGTACTAGAGCGTTTACGGAAGCGGTCAGATCTGAACAAAAAGAAGCGAAGCTTTTGCGGTGGGAGTAATATATCGATGTAGATGCACTCACTTTCGACGCTACATGGAAGTTTTGATTCTTTTTATACGCAAGATCCCATCAGGAATGATAGACGATGTAAATCTAACTTTCTTGATAGTTTTAGACTTATATGTCGATTTGTAATGCTCAACTAGGCATCGATTTCTGTAGAAAAGGGTCGATATCTGGTCGTTCAACTTCTTCTCATATGTTCTAGGAACTAATACAAATTTGGCCTAGTCGGTATTAGTTCCAACACAAGAACAAAGCGCGGGACATTTCTATTCAGGCACGAACTCATTCCTTTCTACCACAAGGTTTAGCCCAACATGGCAGATCTGAAAAAATATGAGCAGATTTTTGATGAGAACCCAATAGAGGGTTCTTCACCCTTACGCCTAATTATTGAAAGCAACGATGTGGCAGCTCTACATTCCTTCATAAAGAAATATCCAGAACAAGTCTTTCTGCCGACGGAGATGATCGTTGATAGCCCTTTCGACAATGCTACAGCAGATGAGAGATTAGATGTTCTTCGCGTGCTTCTCGACCTAGCTGATACTAATGGGCTACAAATTCGACCCGTCAGACCCGATGATTATTCATTGCTTGATATTGCCTGTGGAGGTGCCCAACTTAATACAGTGAAGTTTTTGTTAGACAGAAGCCCCCCGTTGGGAGCAAGATATGCCTCTGATCCTCACGGTGGCCATGCTCTCCTATCTGCGGCGTCCTCTTTCAGATGCGACCTTTCCTATAAACCAGACCTGGACCCTGATGGTCAAAAGATATGGCTCCGAGACGAAATTGCACGGAGTGAGGAAATAGTATACATGCTCCTTGACAAGGGTGCCAGGGTACAAGACGCTGTTCGTTCATACGGGCTTCCTCATGTTGAACAAGATGAGAAACCCATGCATTTTATGGAAACTGCTCTCGGAMAAGCCGCTTCACGTGCCAGTTATCAGTTGTTATCACGTCTGATTGCCGAAGGGGCGAATGTTCACGCCCGACAGTATAATTGGAGTAACGATCCTATAAGCGATGTCGAAGAAGTGACTGCATTGCATATTGCTAGCGGATATTGCAATGTACAGGGAATCAAGGCGCTACTGGACAATTGCGGCGAGCTTAATCCTGCAGATATGGTGTCCATGCGTGACGCTGGGGGACGTATTCCGCTGCACTGGGCAACCAACAACATCTGCCTTGACCATTATTATCTCCCTGATGATGAGATTGCCTCTCAGATATGTGATACTCTCGAGTTGCTTATACAAACTAATCCAAAAACGATCAACGCTCAAAGCAAAGATGGTGCAACTCCTCTATTCTCCATTATAGAAGGTCATGCGGATTGCGGCGGAACCAAACATTTGGAGAGAATTGTCCGACTTTTATGCGAAAAAGGAGCGGATGCTGGTATACGAGATATCACTGGACAGAACGTCCTACATATTTTGGCTGCCAGAACTATAGGGGCCCAACCTGTCAATCCGTCTATACTAGATCTATTAGTAGCACATGGGGCCAAGGTTAATGATGCTGATTTGGAAGGCAATACTCCTCTACACCATATGGCTAGGAGTTTGCGACAAATGAATCTAATGAGGCGTCTAATTCACCACGGTGCGAGAGTTAATGCTACCAATACCAAGGGAGAAACACCTTTTCACAGAGCAATGGCACCCCTTCCTCTTGCTCGGCAGAACATGGACGGAACACTGGATGCATTTACACATGAGAGGAGAGCGAAAGCGCATGGCGAGGTACTTGAAATCTTGCAAGAAGCAGGATGCAGAATGGATCAGCCGAATATAGAGGACAAGACATCATATCAGCTTCTTGGAGACCAGGACATCATGGCACAAGAGAGATGAGGAACGAAAATATAATATTCCAAGCCGACAACGAGTGTGAAAATGTTTAATCAATGTTTGTGAGAAACTATTTGAGATTTATATTTAAACATCTTGATTGATGTCTCATTTGAGCCATTTCCAAGTCGTGCTACTTACTCTCGTATTTGGTGTTGATGAAACGTTGCCATTAGCTCTAGACAAGGCGTTCTGGTTGAAAATTGGTTACTGCTACTATACGTATCCTTGTAGCTCTAATTACAGTCGTCGTCACATTTCTTACGGGCGAACTTTATGCCTTGCCTACGGGCCTGTGGTCGGCCTTTGCCTTTGGTTCTGTTCATGTGTGCAGTATAGCTTGCGAAGATTACGACACTCCCCAGATCGTTATTATGCCTGGGTAGTTCAAATTTAGAGGACCTCGTAACACGTAAGGGACGACTTGTTAGTCGCATTTCAAGTGATTTAGGAGAACTTCTAAATAGGATAGATAATCTTTGCAACCTCATTAATATTGAATACACGCTACGCTGTACCCTGTGGCTAATTGTAGTCGGATACAATTGCGGGTAGGGTTAATCGCTAAGAAAAAATTACCCTAAAAAGCCGGATTACAATTGATTTCACCCCCCGATAACAATTATCATTAGCCAGTCGGTTATTCCCAAAATTGGCCAATTTATAGACGCAGCAATTGCTTATGTATCGCAAGTTTTTATAATATCATCTAACGATTATATGTCGACCAATGGACCTACGAAGTTGGTGACCTTTAATTACAATTTTGTTGGGGTAACACGGGCGCGCTCAGGCTATACAACCCTAACAACCCTAACAGCTCTGTCATGCGCTATTTCGACCCGGGTTACAGCTGAGGATGATATCCTCCTGAGAGGGGATGATATCCTCTGGGGCGCTAGTGTAATTTAAAGTTGCTAATTTGGGACTAGTAGATGTTATAACGCTTAGACCAAGTAAAAAAAAAGAATTAGAAAACTTATTACTATAAATTATATATATACTTTTTATATAGAAAGCTTATATTAAGCTTTGTGAGAGGGGTTTACAAGGACGTAGTAGTACGGGTGCTCAATAGGGTAAGAAACATAGGGTTATATAGCGTTCGCAGCTATTTGCTGCTCTCTAGGAATCATGGCCCCTACAGCCTCACTATAAAGTTTGTTGCTGACTAATACATAACTAAGCCTAACCAAAATCATATAATTAGGATATATGAAGCCATCTATAGCACTATTTAATTCATAGCCTTATAGCTATCCCTCTTCTTATATAGTCACAGCCCTAGGACTAAATTAGAATTATAGATAGTTCTTATTGATTTAAAGCTTATATCTAAATTCAAAGATATAATTTATTATAATTATAAAATAATTAGAGATATAGGTTAAATACTATATCTTATAATATCTATCTTAATATAGAGCTTAAGATATAATTTTAATACTAGTAAACTACTCCTATATATATTATTCTTAATAAGATTGTCGGTTTATCCGGTCCAAGATCAGCTTAATTGGATTGGGAAAGGCTAGTCCGACAAGCCTGTAAGATGAGGCACAAAAGGGTCAATATTTGATTCCTAATTCATGTCTGATTCCTACGAAAGAGGGTACTAGGGGTCTAGTGATATATAAATAACGCATACGTGCTTCAATAAGGAATAATTATTCTCTGAAGCATATATAGTAGATATGGAGTTACTAGATACCAGGATTAAATATCTAGAATTGATATTAATATTCTAACACTAGCAACTCTTTGAATAAAGGAAAAATAGGAATAATAGAGATATAATTCATATATATTAGGACTAATAGAATAGTAAATAGAAATAGTTAAAGTAGTAATAAATAGACCTCTGCAAGTCCCATGGGACTATGCCCATGGGACTGTCCATGGACGTCCATGGGCGCTCTTTGGGACTGACCCCTGTGTCCATG